ACCGAAAGAGTCCATAATTGTATAATATTGAACAACTTTTTCACTATTTTAAATTCTGCTAGCATAAATATATGTATTTCAGCGTCAGACAGGGGCGTAGCTAGGACTTTGATGAAGTGTAGGCAAAAACTACGACGAGAGGTCTTGGGGCCGTTCAAGGCGCCCAGCGGGTTCAGAGGGTAACAATTGTGGGCATATAAAATACAGCATTTAAGGTCTCTTCAACATGAAATTTCATAAGGCCACCTTTAAAAAATTGTTTGGTTGCCCTCTCCCGACCGACTGGCTAAAAAGGGCCCACGACTCAAAACTTCTTTTTAATCTTCAGGAAGCAATTAATTTTTATTATGCATTCTGGAAAATAAATTTTGAAAATTCAGCAATGAAATTGAAAGAAACTGGGGGGATAAGCCGAGCCATATGCCTACATAACGATCGATAAAAAAATCAATAAATTCATTTTACAAAAATTTCACTTTTTGTTGAATTAATGTAATGCTTATTACCATTTGCATACAAATTTGACAAAACCTGAATACTCTAGCAGCGAAAATGATTCTGATTAACACAACAAAATGGCATCACGCTCGATTTTCACAGATACTGACATAAATTGGATGATATAACTACATTTTTTAAATAGAGTGGGTCATCGTACCATTTTTTTGAGAACGATTAATGAAAGGCAATGGAAAGATGTTGCTTGTTACACTTGCAAAAATTTGGTATGAAGACCAACTCTACATAAAAAGTTAAGTTAACTTACTTAAATTTTCACCGTGGTCTTAAAAAATTCTAAGTCCAAAAACGCTTGCTAAATATAGAGAATTGAATGGTATTTAAAGAGACATGTAAATGTGACTCCGTGGTCTAGTGGTTAGCGAGGAGCTCTTTAAAGCGACGTTTATTGAGGAAAGTGTTCGAGTCATGCTCTGATATTTTGATTTATTTTGTTTTGTTTTGTTTTGTTTTAATTTTGTTTTACTTTATAAACAATGTCTATAGGAATAACATATTTTTCACTGGAAATAAAATATATACATGTAGTAATGAACTTTTATTTACAGTAAATTATTTAAAATGCCGGATAAAAATTATAATAGATATATTTGAATACTTTTATTCCCGTTTTTATTTATTTTAAATAAAAGCGCTTCTAGATCACCATTATCATTATATACGATGTTAAAATTTTTATAATATCTCCACAATAAGTGTAAACACTCAATATGCAGATTAATCAATAGAAGTCCTTACCCATGTTGGACATTTGTGACAGTAAATGAAAGTCAACTGTTTAGCTTGTTTAGAATATAAATATCATTTTGAAAACTACGGTAAACATTAAAATGCTTAAGTAAATTCGAACAATTGAGAGATTTTTTCCAATAAATGTTCTTGCATTGCCGAAAAATGGGCATGGGCACATGGCTCGTCTTATCCCCCCAGATTCTTTTCTGAGAAAAAAATTTCTCACCTACCTACCGACCAATTTTTTTTATCCTGAGCCGGGAAAGGGCAAACAAACATTATTTCAAAGTTGGTCTAAGTAGAAAAGCTAAAAAAAAAAAAAAAAAGTGCATTACAACTTTTTACCAGAGGTCTTTAGTTAGGAGAGTTTTATATTTTTTTTTTTCAGCGTAATCAAATTTATAACATGAAGAAGAAATTTATTTAAAAAAGTATTCAAAAATAATCAGACACAAATCAATGTTTTACAACAAATATTGAACAAAATGAAGTTTGCCTACCCCCAGAGATTAAGTTGTTCAGGTTTAAGTTGGCCAATGCCCATAAAAAAGACAGCATTTCTTTTTATGCTGGAATTATAAAGTACATAATTGTATATAGGTATTGCTATAAGCTGTTTGCAAAATCGTCTTGAAATTTACACATTCAATCTCAAATGTTTGGCGTAATAAAAATCAAGATTTTTCAAGACCTAAAATTCCACATGTATCACACATATATTGCGCCACTGGTGGGTATTAAGGACACATAACACAAACAAAAATTTGATGCATGGATTGATATATATTTTTTGACTGATTTTGAATGAAAATGACATAAATAACAAATCCCTAAAATATTAAGAAATTGTAAGTTTTGTTTGGTGCTTCAATATGCGACTCTGTTTCGTTTTCTATGTAACTCTATACAATCTTTGCACCCATTTTTAACATTGTGACAAATTCCTACTAAATTCTCTCACTTTATCTGGCAAACATTATTCTACAAAAGCCTATTAGGATCAATCTATGAAGAAAAAAAATAAAAGCTAGGCGTTATTACGCCTTTCCAAAAGGCGTTATTATGCCTTTTGAAGAGCCATTGTTATGCCTTTGACAGGCCCGTGCTTTTGAAAGGGGGGAGGGGCAACCTCCCAAAAAATTGACAAGCAAACAAAAAACAACCCCCCCCCGAAAAAATACTACTAAACTGCTTAAACTTGAGGGGGATCTTTTTACAACTTTTCGGTAAAACTTTTTTAGGTGCTGCCTAATTTAAACATACTGCAACAAAATGTTCAGGGACCAAGCAGCCATGCAATAAATGAATTTTTATATTTAAACTATAGCAAGACTATTCCTTCGAAAAGTGGGGTGAGGGAGCCCCCCCCCCCCTTCCACTCGTACTACCGGCCTGTTTGAAAAGGCGATATATCCAAAAATGAAAATGCGTTATTATATATTAATCAATAGATACTTGAAAGATTGAATCAAAGCCAGCTTTATTTATGCAATATTTAAAAGTATTTCTATATTCCTGCACATCTCGCAGACAACTGTTTACATGCGTATTAAGAGGTCAACACTACTTGTGGAAATCCGGGATACAGGCAGATTCAGATTGGGACTTTGCTTGCCATGTATAAAAAATTCATGTCAATTTTGAAAATATTTTTCTCTCTTCTTGGAAATCAAAGTACTGAAGGATGGAGGCATATATTTAAAAAAAAAAGGTGAATTGCAAATACAGGTTGTTGAGAATAATAGTTAATTTACATTAATTCCCCATGAAAACTAGAAGTATAACTTTAAAAAATGCGGATACTTCTGTGGACTCTTTTTTAAGTACAGTGTTAAAGTATGAAAAAACTATAGTGTCCCGATAAAGCTTTTGCAAAAGTGTAATAGCGCGTTAGGAAAAATGCACTAACGTGAGTGACACTGCACTACTGCGTTGTTCAAAACACACCGTCGAGCTTACACACAACACGTAATCACGCTATCGCGACTTTATACAACACGCCGTCGCGATAACACAAAACATGCTGTCACGATAACACAATTTCGTTAATGCGCTAACACAACTTTATGCAATCTAATGTGTGTTAACAAGCTTATCTTTTAAAAAGATTGGTGAGCTAGCGCTATAGCATAATAAAATACAGAAGAAGATATCTGAACCATTTGTGAAATTTGCTGAATCGATTAATTATTAATAGGAAGGCAGATTGGTGCACTGGGGGTTGAGTTGGGGGGGGGGGTCACAATTCAGAATGGTGAATCTAAGAGCGTGCTTCACGTCGGCAATGGCATAACTCCTAACTGTACTTTAAGCATTCTGCATTTTACTGTAATTTCAATTTCGAGGTGAAAAATAAAAGGTCGGTAGAACCAATGAGCACCTTTGGGCCTTTCCGGCGAGCTCGGAAAACATATCCGAGGTTGCCGGAAAGATCCATGAAGGTAGATTAGAAAAGATATGTATTCATTACAGCTTTAGAAATAACAGTCTTGGTTTTATAAGACCCGAGTTACTGTTACTTTTTGTTCATTTACGTGCAGGTTAGACAACAAAACACGAAACTTCAGATCATATGTATTTTCAGATGATAAACACTAAATTGACATGTCTTTCCGACATACTCTGAAAAAGATTGTTGTGGTTGTTCTTGTTGTTTTTTCCGAGCTTGCCGGAATTATTCACTAAAGTTGTAAAACTGTAAGGAAAGCTAGATGTCTAGAATCTTGGCATTATATGGCCAAATTTTTTTGCTGTACTTTTATGTGTAGGTTAGACAATAAATTAAAAAAAGAATCAGAATCCGGATCTAGACTGGTATTGACTCTCTCTAACCTACGAAATGTATTTCACGCATATCAGACAGGAAAGGCCAGTGTAAATTCGGATCATTTCTATTTTTGTATGACAAAACGAAATTCTTATCGTACAGTCTATCTACAGTAGTTTTCCCAGAATCCCCGACCGTGAAATCGAGCATGCGTATTTCAGAAATATAGACTAACGTAGTTGCTAGCGCTCGAGAGCGCTAGCAACAAGACGACGTGTTGTGTAAGTAATATATAGAGTACCTTTTAACGAGTGTATCTTCAGATATCAGACGAGGGGGCTTGTCCCCCGAGTCTGATATCTGAAGATGCACGAGTTAAAAGGTACTCTATATGTTTTGTATTATTGTTCTCAGGTATTGAGCTACCCATGATCTATCATATTCACGTTAATAGCACTTTATTCAACTACATATTCCCATGCACTGAATAAGCCATGATCTATCAAAATTTCATCATACCATTTTATATAACCAATGAAAAAAGAGCACGTGATTCGAAAAGTATAGCGCGCTGTATTTCTTGAACTTTCTACCTCGTCCATTCGTATTTTGAACGCCATGGATGACGGTTGTGATTTTATGCTTTTACAATTCTTATAGACACGGAAACCGAAATTATGAAGGAAAATTCCATAGATCAGTTAGGAATCCCAGATGCAGGTTGAAGATTCTTTGGGAAGTATGACGTTTGATCTACCGGAACCAAAAATTGAACCTATTATGGATTTCGATATAGGAGATATTTTAGACACGATGGCGTTAATTTCACCAGTCCTGAGGTCGACACGAAGACGAAAAATGAAAGGTTTGTACAAGTGTCCGAGTATGAAATTCAGCGTTTGATAGACTCTCAAATATATCCTTGTAACGTTCAAGCTAAGGAGTGGCGTGCGGCACGGGAAAATGTCCACTTTTGACCGAGATGAACAGCGATTCTCTAAATTACTGGATGCAGCGATTTGTGTTGGAATTAGAAAACAAGGAATATCCACCTCGCTCCCTGTACTACATTGTGTGTGGTTTGTTACGCTTCAAGTTTATGAAAGACGAAAACATTCATTTATAAAAATGTGCTTGTGTGAATTTCGTTTTGGATTTTAAAAAAAATTGACGTGCAAAATTTAGAATTTTTTATGTAGACCTAAGGAAAGATATACCTTCACTATGTTTATATGTGCTTGTACTGGACTTTTGCGAGAAGCGCGGACTTTTACGATCGACAACTTACTTTTACACCAGGACAATATATGGAAGCTCTTTTGCAATATAATATTTAGCTTAACATTTACTAAATCGATAATAATCGGTCATTTCAAAGCCCATATTACGTTGTCTAGGAAGGGAAAAGCAACTGACATACAAACAACCCCCTCCCTTTCCAAACGTAACCAACTCCTGCTAAGTTTTCCTTTGTTTTCTATGTTTTTTTTTTCATTATCTAGTTCCTGAAGAAAATGAAAACAAAAGCAGATACTATCTCTTATGAATAAGGCATTGTAAGTAATTTTATTCTTCCTTCAATATCTCTGGTGTTGGTAAATGATATAAGTGCCCCTAATACCATAACTTTAACCATTATTTATGTTTTCTTATCTATTATCAATTCCGTACCTCCGTACATAACGCAGGTTTAAATGTCAAAGTAAGCCGTCAACCTTAAAAGTCAGTGTTCTCGCAAAAGTCCAATTTGCTCATAAAGTCAGCTACTTTGTTTATATTCTTCTTCTTTATCAATGTAAGGTCAAGGGTCATTGGAATTGTTGCATCATTACCCTGGTGTGTTCTATCTTGATAGAGCATGGTTGTTAGAGCACAGTTAGTCATGGTGTATCAAAAATAAAAACACGGTGGACATCAAAGGAAAAACACCGCAACAATGATACAAAGATGCGATAGCGTGACGGTGTGTTGTGTGTTAGTGCGATGGCATGTTTATATGAGCGTGACGGCGTGTTGTGTAAAGTTCCGTTAGCGTGACGGCGTTTTGTGTTAGCGCGACAACGTGTTGTAAACAACGCACCGGGGCATTGTCACTTTGTGCTAACTTATAAAAGTGCAACAATTGCACGTTTTGAACTGCGTGTTAGCCCGTTGTCACCTATGCTAGCGCGTTTCACTTTGCGTTTTCGCGTTATTCTCAAGTCCCAAGGAGTGGAAATCTGGTAGAACGAGGAGAATTTTAACATAATCTACAAAAATAAAAGAATCATATTATATACAGATTCTCCATGTTTAGAAGAATTTTATAAAAGTCACCTGACGTTGACATTACTCACATTACTTATGTAGCAATATACCATTATCACCTGCATATGGGCTTTATGTCTCCTGGTTGATTCGATACGCAAGCGCATGCTCTACGTTCGATCAATTTTTAAAATGCTATTGACAAACAAGTTGATGACACAAGAATATCAACAGTCTCGTTTGAAGTCATCATTTCGCAAGTTCTTGGGTCGATACAATGACCTTGTCAGCAAACACAATCTATCATTAAGACGAATGCGGACTGACGTTTTTCATGCTTATTGTTAGGCCATTATTTACACACTGAATTTTCTATGATTTTTCCGTTTTCCCGATCATGACAAAGAGCACAAAGTATGTGTGACTGGTCGTCAAGGGATGCTTACTCCTCGATGGCACCTGATTCCACCTCTGATGTTTTAGAGGTCAGTGTTTGCTCTGCTCCAGATTTGTATTGTTTCAATGGAGTTTTGAGCTTGAATACTGTTCGTTATCTCCATATATCACGATAGCAACGATGTTGTTTTCTTTTTGGCATTTCTATATTGCACTCTTTGCTTGCCTTACACAGCATATAATTTCGTAAAGAAAAAAGACCCTTCGATTTCTGATACAAGGATCAAAAATGAAATAAATGATTATGATTCACTTTGTTTCTTTAAAAAATCATACTCGTGGTTTTATATTCTTCATCACGGCGAGTATGATTTTTAGTATAACAAAAAAAAAGTCCACAAACAACTGTGATTGCTACATGGAGGGTGCGCTCGGAGATCTGCCATTGGTATACAGGATTTGCCGTTACTAAAATTAATTCTGATCTCTCACTGTTGTGTATTCTTCTATGAAAACCAGTTATGAGTAGCGGCTAAAAGAAAACACATATTATAATCTGTAAATTAACAACTGTGATTTTCTAGTTCGGTAAGTAAATACGATAAAGAATTACCCCTGATAACAAGATGGATATGTTTTATGTAAATGAGGGCGTGTCCCTCCTGGGTTGATTACACTAACAACCCTGATTGGCCTGTTGGTGAGCTACATTGTAAGACACTATATAAACTCCATGACTACATTAGGTTCAGGAGACCGGACCAGGATGCGGCTTGTGTTAGCTCTAGCAGTAACTTTCTGTCTGACGTGGCAGGCCTCCGCGAGGGCATACGATAGGGAGTGGGAACGATGTCGGAGGCAGTATGAAGAACTTAAAGCAGAAGTCCAACATTTACAGGAACTTATATCACATCTCCAGTATGCCGTGTCAAAGTGTTCCAAACACTATGTTAAAGGTAAGGGTCAGGGTCATTTTCATGTCTTTACCTAGTCATACATACATGTATCTTGAAATGTAAAGGTGAAAATCATTAGTCACTTTTTATTTTCCCGAGTTCTAAAACACTATATGAAAATAAGGCTTAATTACTAGTCAATCAATCTCTTCATATATTTAAACAGTATATAAAGGTCATTGGTCAAGGTAAATTGTATACCTCTCATTAAATAATAGAAAAATACAAGTTATATGTTATTGTTTTATTATTCCTGTAAGTATCCTAATTCTGTTAATATGTGGTATAATTATGCTTCGTGTAACTTTCTCTCCATGAATTCAACACCAAACTATTTTCACATAGTATACAAAGGATTTATATAACGTATGCATTGTGCACTGCTTGCTTTTTTTTTTTAGAGAAAGCACCCATAACTAAGGATCTGTAAAATACGACCCCTAAAACGTCTATCCATAGCGCTATCGACTGCGCAGCATAAACATCTATACATGTATTATAACACGTCATTTTGTTTATAAACGTAGTTGCATATATTTTACACAAAACAATACATTTTTTTTTGTATTGCCTGGTGAACTGAACCTCCGCAGATATAACCTAGACGACATAGTCTTGACCTTTGATAAACCATTCAAACAAAGGGTTCTAATGTTATTGCCCGGGGCGATTTAATTACAGACAGGCAGACAGATAAGATAACAACATCTGATCAGTATGTTTCCATATTACAAACAGGCAGGCAAACAACATAACAACATCAGTATGTTTCCATATTACAAAAAGGCATACAGACAACATAACAACATCAGTATGTTCCCCTATTACAAACAAACAGGCAGACAACATAACAACATCAGTATGTTCCCTATTACAAACAGACAAACAGACAACATAACAACATCAGTATTTTTCATATTAAAAACAGACAGACATACAACATAACAACATCAGTATGTTTCCCTATTACAAACAGGCAGACAGAAAACATAACAACATCAGTATGTTTCCCTATTACAAAAAGGCAGACAGACAACATAACAACATCAGTATGTTTCCCTTTTACAAACAGACAGACAGACAACATAACAACATCAGTATGTTCCCCTATTACAAACAAGCAGGCAGACAGACAACATAACAACATCAGTATGTTCCCCTATTACAAACAGACAGACAGACAACATAACAACATCAGTATGTTCCCCTATTACAAACAAGCAGGCAGACAGACAACATAACAACACCAGTATGTCCCCTATTACAAACAGACAGACAGACAACATAACAACATCAGTATGTTCCCTATGACAAACAGACAACATAACAACACCAGTATGTCCCCTATTACAAAAAGACAAACAGACAACATAACAACATCAGTATGTTTCCCTATTGCAAACAGGCAGACAGACAACATAACAACATCAGTATGTTCCCCTATTACAAACAGACAGACAGACAGACAACATAACAACATCAGTATGTTCCCTTGTTACAAACAGACAGACAGACAACATAACAACATCAGTATGTTTCCCTATTACAAACAGGCAGACAGACAATATAACAACATCAGTATGTTCCCCTATTAAAAACAGACAGACAGACAACATAACAACATCAGTATGTTTCCCTATTATAAACAGACAGACAAACAACATAACAACACCAGTATGTTCCCCTATTACAAACAGACAGACAGACAACATAACAACATCAGTATTTTTCATATTACAGACAGACAGACAACATAACAACATCAGTATGTTCCCCTATTACAAACATGCAGACAGACAACATAACAACATCAGGATGTTTCCCTATTACAAACAGGCAGACAGACAACATAACAACATCAGTATGTTCCCTTATTACAAACAGACAACATAACAACATCAGTATGTTCCCCTATTACAAACAGACAGACAGACAACATAACAACATCAGTATGTTTCCCTATTACAGACAGGCAGACAGACAACATAACAACATCAGTATGTTTCCCTATTACAAACAGGCAGACAGACATCATAACAACATCAGTATTTTTCATATTAAAAACAGACAGACAGACAACATAACAACACCAGTATGTTTCCTAATTACAGACAGGCAGACAACATAACAACATCAGTATGTCCCCTATTACAAACAGGCAGACAGACAACATAACAACATCAGTATGTTCCCCTATTACAAACAAACAGGCAGACAGACAACATAACAACATCAGTATGTCCCCTATTACAAACAGGCAAACAGACAACATAACAACATCAGTACGTTTCTCTTACTGGGGACATAACTGATTATTTACAATCTTATTGTGGACTTCATGAATATCATGCAAACTGTAGGTGTTATGTGCAATTTACGGATATCTTGAAGAAAGAAAATTAATTATTCCACTTGAAGTATTTAAAGCTGATTTACTGACATTTTGGGGGAAAGTAGTCTATGGATTCTAAAATTATATTCGTGCCACGTAACATTTTAACAATGCTGGTCTTTTATGTATTTGTTTTTAAATAGTCGAGATACAGGTTTTTTTTATTATTACTATGTTTTGATGCATATTAGTTTTCAAACGGTTACTACTGCAGCCACATTTTCGTTTCATAAACGGGTTTTATGTTTTTTTAGTACTTAACAAAAATGATGCGCAACTCATACAACATATCTATATATGTTTAATCTTAGGTAATCTCTGTTTGTGATTGATCACAGGTCCACCAGGTGAACCCGGAGCTCCGGGACCAAGGGGTCCTAAAGGAAAACCCGGAATAAAGGGAGAGAAGGGAGACCCCGGAATGAAAGGACCAATGGGACCCAAAGGCTATCCAGGACCTCCCGGTCCAAAGGGCGATAAAGGACCTCCGGGACATCCCGGAATTCCGGGCCTACCAGGTCGTAAGGGTAACAGAGGAATTCCAGGAATGAAAGGAGACCCTGGTCCACCGGGTCCTCAAGGAAACAAAGGAGAGAAAGGTGAAAAAGGAGAAAAGGGTGAACGAGGAGAGCCGGGAATTCAAGGTGAACAAGGAGAAAAAGGCGACCCAGGTAAACAAGGAGAGAAGGGAGAGCAGGGACCCCAGGGCATTCCCGGTGATCAAGGACCTCCGGGAAATACAGGACCAAAAGGGGACACAGGTCCTCCTGGTATACAAGGTGAAAAGGGTGACCCTGGTGATCCAGGAGACCAAGGACCAAAAGGCAACGATGGAGAGAAAGGAGACAGAGGTCCTCGAGGTCCTAAAGGTGACCCAGGAGAAAGAGGACCCACTGGTCCCCGAGGGCCCCAAGGACGTCAAGGGGACAAAGGAGAAAAGGGGGACATGGGTGAAAAGGGAGAAAAGGGAGATGTTGGCCCTCAAGGTCCACAGGGTCCCATGGGTCCTAAGGGAAATAAAGGTGTTAAAGGAGACAAAGGAGACCCAGGGGAGCCTGGGGAGAAAGGGGACAAGGGTGACAAAGGAGACAAAGGTGAGAAAGGTGAAAAGGGAGACCCAGGACCCCAGGGAGAAGTCGGACCCATGGGGGATCAAGGTCCAAAGGGAGAAACTGGACCAAAAGGTCACCCAGGACCCAAGGGGCCACCGGGTCCCAGAGGTCACAAAGGACCAAAGGGTGATAAAGGAGATAAAGGTGAAAAGGGGGATATTTATCCTTACTAAACCTCTCTGTGGTGACAGTATTAACCATGATCAAATCTATTGTGCTGCAAAAAGCGTTCAATTACTATTCCAAACAATAAATCATAAAATACAAAGAAAGGCTAAATCTTGTTTTTATTTTGTTCTTTATGAAGGTCTTTTGTTCTTATGAGGAAAGGCCTGAATGTTATTCTGTTATTTCTTTTCATCTATTATTTCAAATGCGCTCTTTTTCATTATTATTACTTCATTATTTCAACTGTTGTTTCAAATTAATGTACATGTAGGGTTTTTTTTCTGATTGTATCTAGCAATGAAGACTTTTTGGGGACTTAAGTTTCTATAGCAAAGAGTTTTGCTCAATTAAACTAAAACAAAGATTATAATGATAAGATTTAATTAGTTCTTGGTTTATTTCTGATTTACTGTTAAGTTGTCCTTAAATTGGAACTGAGAAGTTTGAAGTAAACAGTAAAATGTATCTTTTGTTTTACTCTGAATTTGCAATACAACACATTTGGCTAACTTCATATCATAGAAACAAAGCTTATTTTATGGATGTGTTCCCATATAATAACACCTTATAACAGAGTTTTTCGTTACCTGCCCCCTCCTCCTGAAATTTCTTCTAGGGCCTGACTGTGGCGATCAAAAGAAGATGGACGTATTTGCAATCTGCCGGCCAATCACAGGCCCGTAGGAAGCAATTTCAGTTGGGGGGGGGGGGGGCACAGCCATATATTTTCATCAGTTGGGGGGCACTATCAACCAAAAATTCCTTGACAAGCAAAAAAAAAAAGTTATCAGACGTTTTTATTGAGGGGGCACAAGCAAATACTAGCATTGTTTTCTACAGTAATGTATATATCGGCAAAATTATTGGGGGGGGCACGCCCCCCCCCCCGTGCCCCCCTGGTTCCTACGGCCATGAATCAGATGGAGCGAGACGAAGTGATAACACCAAAACCTGTCAATGGAGAAAACTTTATGTGTCGGCTATAAGTCGTCTGATTACAGCATATAAAACACTAAGGATAGGGTTAAGGTTATAGAGACTAGTTGGACATCTTCCTGACAGAGTGCTTGCAAAAATATGATAGGAAACACTGTTGTTACCTAAGAAATTATCCTCGAAGCGGGGAACCCCCCCCCCCCGTTTGTTTGTAATTTTTGTTTCTTATCTTGTGTATTTTTATTATAAAGTATATGGTCAAATCTTATACCTTTAGTTAATAAAAGTACAAACCAATTGCACAGAATGACAAATAGAAATAGGAAAATAAATGGAATTGACGAAGAAATAACGTTTTTTTTCTTCGAGAAAATAGAGAATCGTTGTATTTTGAAAGTTAGCTTTGGGAGGGGGGGGATAAGAGCTGTATGTTATCCACGCTTCAGGTGCCTGTGGTTTTGATGTCAAGTACGGTATTATGACGTTACAATGGAGATATCCATGCTCATCCATAGTAGTTCATGAGAAAATGAAACGTTCTTTAATTTGCAAAGAATCTTATGAGAAAATATGTGGAAATATTAAATAATATAGTTCAGTGTAAATAAGTTAAAATTTTCGCTCCGAGCAACTCAATCAAAATTTAACTTTATTTTAAATTTTAATTGATCAGTAAATAAAATCAAAGTGACAAAGGACTTGCAATTGTTTGTTTAAAAAAACGCCGTTGCAGCACTTGGAGGTAGAAAATTTATTACGATCATGTTTGTAGTAGCATAATTTTTTTTTGTTGGGGGGGGGGGGTCCACTCCTTGCCTTTTTTTGAAGGGAACTTAAGAAGAAAAGTTTCAATTTAAGATTTCAAGGAATTTGACGGATGTCGGCCTTTAAGCCTTTGAAATGATATATATACATGTATTAAAAATTTGATGTTTAAACAAAACTGTCAGTTAAGCTTCGCGTAATTTTCATTTTCAGTCTGTACATCGTGAAACCTTATAAAATACGCCGAGATCGCAGATTTTGAAAGTATCTTTGACGATTAAATAGAGCAATGGACTAAGAACGGTGTAAAGCCTTACCCTTACGCGAGTTTTACTCCCGAAAACACTGATGCGTTTAGAAATAAAGTGAATACAGTTTTATTACCTTTAATTTAAGATTATTATATAGTAGCACATTTTTAAAGAGTAACCGAGTAAAAAAATCTATGGTCGATAGTCGGTGTGAATACTCGTTGATAATACACATTCCTAGTTTAACCATTTAATTTTAATATCAAATCAACTGGTAGTCTTTTCGAAGGAGGTAGAAACTGAGACCAGGCCTAGACAGGAATACTAGTATAGCAGGCATGTAACATAGTTTTTGAAAAAGGGGGGGGGGTTCGGGGGATGTCAACTTACCTGAAAATCTTTGACAAGCAAGAAAAAAGTTTTTTTAAGAAAATTGTCTAGACTCCAAAGTCCTATTTCGTGTGTGTTGAGGGGGGTGGGGGTGGGGGTGTTCTAGCAAGAAATTCTTTTTAACTTACGTTCAAATCGGAGGATTTGACTATTTGACTGATTACATTTAAAGTTTTAAACATACAGTTTGACTTCATTAATATGTACACTTGTGTATGTATTTAACTATTGAAGTAAATCATCTGATAACACAGTGTACTTTTCATTTGTATGCCAACATGTTTGGTGAATCAATAAATGAAAATTGAATTGAAAAAAATAAAAATTAATTGACTATGCTGAGACAAAAAGTGGTTGGGTAAAGGGGAGCATTTTCATTATTAACAGTAAAAGTAAGGTTTGGGAGGGAAAAAGTGTGGACCCCCCCCCCCTCTGCTACGTGCAAGTATCGCGCATATCGCATATCAGACAGGAACGGCCAGTCAATATTTTGATCGGGTTTGAAGTCCATATTTATGCAAAACATCAATGACCCCGACCGGTGATTGAGAGGACTTGTGTCTAGTTGTGACTGAGAGAAACCGGTTCAGTTTGTGAGAAAAATGTTTCTGTTCTGTACTTTGTGTAAATATCGATGATGAATTGTTGGAGAGTAGGACCCGGATTGATTAGGACTGTACAAGTTCCCTCACAGCAAAAGGTGTGTAATGCAACAAGCAAATTTCGAATTTCCTCGACCTTATCCATTGTTAGTTCCCAACTGACTTTACCGAGGCATGATAAAAAGGCTTTGTTTAGTAATCCCCAGGTAGTTTTTGGAATTATTATTGGGAATTATTCTAATTCGTAAAATACTTCTTTAGAATCGAGCAGCCCTGAAATTTAAAACTTTTTTTTCAAAAATAAAGCATAGAAAAAATCTTTAAAAAATAAAACCATTTTTAAAGTGATATTTTATTACGGACCGGGTTTGTGGTGTGGGCTTGTCCCGAGACACAGTTAGATTATTCTAACTAGGGAGAGTTACCAGGTTACAGAAGACTCCATACTGAAACGTGGGAATTCAGCTACACCAGCTCCTGTCCCAACTTCTCTTACCTATTAATCCTTAAATCAAAGTACCCAACCTTTGAGATTCAGTTGCTTTGTTCAGGAAGATTTAATCACGTTTTTATTCATGTTCATTTGCATGTCATGCTGTTTAATCACCACCAAACATCAACTTAGTTCCAACTGAAGTAGTTCTGTGCCATTTGGTTACGTCAGCATACAGATATACAACATACAATGTACAGGGCCAATTTAATAGTGACCATCATATCATTTATTATTGTGATTAACTTGAAATATATTCATTGGAATTACTGAATTCTTGCGTCTCAGAAGTTAGATAGATGAAATTAAGTTGCCATAGGTAAGGAAAAGTTGCGACACCAGCTGGTGAAGCTGAATTCCCACTTTTCAAGATGTGTCTAATCTGACTCTCCCCTGCACACATCAAAATGAAAAAAGTAGGTTAGAGGAATCCCAGATTATTTGTCTAGTACCATTTCATGCTATAATGAGTCTATGACCCCCCACCCCCCACACACACACAACAGCCTGAAAATAACAGGTCCCGCACAATTCCTTGATTAACCTCAATTAGCTATATAGACTGATTTAGCTATTTCTTGTATGTGTAATTCAGCATATAATAAAGTTACAGTTTGGTGACGTGATACTCATGGTGATAGTATTCAGCTTTGTACTGTAACTTTGTGTGTCTCCTTCAGAGCAATTGCAATCAAAGTTCTAAAAGCTTTTGGTCTATATAAAGCTGTTAATTTGTAACAAAACTATTATTTCTTGAATGAAATTATAAAAGAGGCCAATTCTGGTTAACAAGATAATGAAGGGGAATAATTCAGCATGTTGTGAGCATGGTGAATTAATGGCGTTTATCCATGCCTCACCATACACAAGGTGGAGTACAGTTATCCAAACGAAAACTTATTCAAGCTATATCACTGAAGACATTGTGCTGCACCTAAGTAACAGATGTAGGATTACCAAGGAAAAACATGGGATGTTGCTCGGGACAATATATATATATATATATGTGTAGGGTTGGAATATAGGGATTAAGCAGGCTCAAATACTTTTACTAAGTACATATGTAGCACTATTGAGTATTAAGGATTGAATATTGGGCTGGCAACATGTGTATATGTATTACATGTATATTCCATGTCAAACAAATTTCCTACTACAGTTTTTACTGTATTGACTATGAATTTTGGCCTTTAAGTGTAAAATTACAGTTGCCCTATATGATCTTATGTACCTTTCCATCCTAAATGTTGTACAAATACTATCCAAAAGTATTGGTAAAATGAACACCTGGATTGTTTTTATATTTTAGTGTTACTCCAGTTTATTATGGACACAGCTAACTAGTAAATACAGTGTACAACCAACAGTGAGGCGGTTTTACTTTGGATGGGCAGTTTGTCTCCAGACGTCATCCAATCATCTTTTTTCCAAGTCTAGGAATTGCAGTTCTCCAGTTTCTTTTTGTGGCTATCGACCGTTGACCTCAAAGGCAGAATTACATGAGGAATCTGGACTCTTACTACATGACCCCAAGAAGGGAGACCTTGTTTACTATGGACCACTGAGTGCACGGGTCCGTGGTCTGAAGATCCTTTCTGTATCCTCCAGTTTGACGTGTATGGCCCTACTTCCGTATGTCTTTATGCGAGCTGAGAATCTCCCTCCATTCCTACAGGCAACATGTGGGCTCATCTCCGGATTCTTCATTTTCCTTCAACCATGCATCATACATTGGTTGGTTTACCGCTACGTGACTGCCTTGTACTACAACCGTGAAAATAAGACATTCACTGTAACAACATTGACCTTTATTGGTACAAAAAAGGACATGACGTTTACAAAAGCAGATGTAGAAAATGTGGACACACCCACTTTGTTTGAGCGAGTGCGAGTGAAAGACCGACCCCTCTATATGGAAAATGACTACTTTGTAGATGTTGCTGCTTTTAAAATGATAATGAATTATGATAGTGATAATAAAGATTTATAACACAATACCAGTGTTAATAAGTATTATGTGAGCAATTGAATGTAAAAAATAAAAAAAAAGGTATTATTTTATTTACAGGTTTTTTTGTTGTTGTTTTATTACATTAGTACCGATCATTTTAATTCATGGGGACTAATTTTTATGGATTGCTAAGAATCTACATGTTCATGAGGATGGAATTTCATGGGCGAATATCATGTTTTGAAAGCTACCACCTGTATTTGAATATTTGTGGAAACCCATAACATCCATAAAAATTGAACCAACTTTATAAGGGAATGCATGTACTCAAGGTCAAAAACAGGTTTATTTCCAAACTAGCCTCTTGTTGCAAGTTATTTTTTAAGTGGAAAGGATTTTACTACCGTTATCAAAGTATTTTTACTATTAATTACCGGTATTATGAATTTAAAATTGTTACATTGTTAGGAAGAAACTTCTGGCTGGGACGTAAAGCTGCATGTAATTGACTAAACTCAAGGGCCCCCTTTTGTCTCGGAATACTCTTTTGATTTTATATAAAAATTGTCATTCAAAGACTAGTCGCTCTCCCCCTCCACTTTCAGGGTTCTCATTAACGCAAGAATCTGCGTCCTAGACGCAGCAAAATTACTTGGGACGCAAGGTTCTTAAAAACGATGCGTCCGCGGACTCGTGATCGGACGCGTCCTCGTTAGCGAGAAAATTCGGGTGATTTCGAAAACGGGGAATTTAGATGTTAGGATTTGTCAAAGAAATATTTAATCGAAACCTTCCTGTAACTATCATAAAGTTTATCCAAGAAACAACTTTTTTTATACTTACTTCTCTTTTTTTTTAAAACAGGGATTGATCATAAGATATTTCATGTTTATTAGTCCATAGTCATAATAGTGTCGCATGCCAAACTCCGACAGCTGTAAACACACTGCAGTTTTTTTTAAAAACACTTTTGAATCTTGAGTGTTATCTACATGTAGAAACCATAATTACTGCTTGTATACACAATGCGGCTTGATTACCTCGTGAATTTCACCCAGTGCAGACGACCGACAGGATTAGTTACGCCTCATTGCACATGACACCTGTGATTGTATACAGTCAACTTCTGGGTACTTGATTTTTTAGCTTTATAAACACCAAGTTATTTTTATGGCAATTGATTACGCGTGTATTTTAGAATATAGCTTGAATGCATTACCAGTTTATATACTTGAATATGTTAATACTGCGTAAACAAACTGATAAAATGATAAAGATTTTTATTGATGTTTGGATGGAAGGATACTGCAATAATTTAGTTGGGACTCAACATAATTTTTCTGGGACGCATCAAATTTAGCTGGGACGCAACCTTCTCAGAAACCTTGAGTCCTGGGACTCAAGTTAGCAAAATCCTAGTGAGAACCCTGCACTTTTCTAACACTCCAACATTATTGAACACAAATTTTTTTTTCACCGAAAATGAGAGTGTGAATCGGCACACCCCATTCCCTCCCCAAAAATTACCAAAGTCAAAACTTACATAAAGCTTGGTGTTAGGAACTAGCTCTATGATTAGTTAAAGTTGGGTTACGGATTCAAATTGTCCAGATTAGGGAGTCTGTGTGCAGGTTTGGAAACTGAAGTAATCATACAGGCTTTATACTATAAACAAAGGGAATTAATAGGCTTTAATTTTTTAGCCATTTTGTAGCCAGTATTTTGAGTCATGTAGTGGAGGGGGGGATAACCCTTAATAGTTTTGCCAGTGTATACTAAACACTCAGTAGAAATCAAAACTAATTTACAGTTGTGCCAGTATATACAATAGAAAATAATGCTGATTTATGATGTGTTCCCTAAAATGTTTTGCTTGTCAAGAATTTCTGTTAAGTCCCCCCCCCCCCCTCCAATTAAAATTGCTTCCTATGGGCCATATATGGGTAGTCTTATAGGTCTCTGTCATGCACACATTTTATTAGGACCCTTCTCAGCTGTAACAATTGATGTAGATTTTGGTAAATTATAGAGCAAGATCAATCCAAAATTGCACACAGTCTACAACCAAAAGTTCTTCAGTAATTAAATTTTATGTAGGGCGTGTAAATATTTTCTAATATTAATAAGTTCATGTAAAACATTAATGTATTTTAGGCTAACTTTACTTGTGATTTTTTTTAATTACTTTAAACATAGAAGGGACATCCAATCCATTAATGAACTGAACCAGTATAAGACCTTTCTCATTATAATTCCAGCCATAACATTGCGCAGGAAATGGGACCAACAGGGACAGGTATTGTTTTCATACACGTAATAGGAAAAAAAATCTTTTGGAACACTGTACCTCAGACTACATATCGTCGCTGAAATATTCAATTGTCGTAAGTCGATTTTTGGCGCGAAATTTTTATTGGATGCAATATTTTTCTTATAAAAGGTCGTATGTCTTTGATAATCACTTCAAATTGTCGTATGTCGATTTTTGGCGGGAAATTTTTATTGTAAATTTACAATCTACACTCCTGAATCTATGTTCTGTCAAAACGGCCGCATTTCTAGGCCAATTGGAAAGCGAGATATTGACATGAAAAAAAATCGTACAAGTCCATTGGATGCAATATTTTTCTTCTAAAAGGTCGCATATATGGCTTTAATCATCGTCAAATTGTCGCATGTCGATTTTTGGCAGGAAATTTTTATTGCCAATTTACAATCTACACTCCTGAATCTATGTTCTGTCAAAACGGCGTACTTCTAGGCCAGTTGATCAATCCGAATAAATTAAATTCTTTTACATCGCATCACAAATTTTGTGGCTATCTGATTAACTAATCTGCTATTTACAAACCTCTGTTCTTTGAAATAAATTTATAATACCTTTGGATACGACAAAATCAAAAGGTCGCAAGTAGACATTATTACCAAAAACTCGGAAACAAATTGTCGTATGTTTGCCTGTCCTTTTCATTTTGTCACACTCAGTGGCATCAAATTTGGCCTATGATATCATGGAAGACTCCAAAATAATTTGTTTCCACTTATGCTGGTCGTTTCTGGTGTTCTGGTTAAGAAATAAAAACGTTTTTGTCTCTCCTGAAAAGTTTGGATTTTCGACTTACAACAATTTTTATTTCAGCGACAATATACAGGTACACTTCAACATCACAATGAAATCGGGATCGTGATTCCCCAAAACAATTGAATGATGGCTACTTTCAATTTCAATGTAGGTGTGCTTGGTCACGTTGATAGTGGAAAAACAAGTTTATCAAAAGCTTTGAGTACAGTCGAGAGCACAGCTAGTTTTGACAAGAATCCACAGAGCAGGGAACGTGGGATTACGTTAGATTTAGGCTTTTCGTCCTTTTCCGTTGACATTCCAGATCACCTGAAATCGTCAGCCCCGCAATGTCAAAAACTCCAGTACACACTCGTGGACTGCCCTGGTCATGCTTCGTTGATCAGAACAATTATTGGAGGTGAGAAATATGTATGATGGTATATATGCGAAAAAATGACTCTTGAAAGCGGATTAACAGATGTAATGAATTTTTGAGCTAAGTGCACATTGTCTCTTCATGTTTTATTTTAGGGGCTTATATAGAAAAAAAAATCAGTTAGAAAAGTAAGTATACCTCGGAGAAAAATATTTCTCCAAGGTACTTACTTTTCTAACTGTTTTTTTTTTTCTGCACAAGCCCCTGTGGTTTGTTTAGTAAATTCCAGATACTCAGTATATCTATGTAAGACATGTACACATGATTTATTGGTATGTTGAACTGATGTCCAGATAATTGATTTCATGGTACCTTGAGCAGGTGCCCAGATAATTGATTTCATTTTGCGTTGAACAGGTGCCCAGATAATTGATTTCATTTTACGTTGATTAGGTGCCCAGATAATTGGTTTCATTTTACATTGAGCAGGTGCCCAGATAATTGATTTCATGGTATCATGTGGAGCAGGTGCCCAGATTATGATTTCATTTTACATTGAGCAGGTGCCCAGATAATTGATTTCATTTTACATTGAGCAGGTGCCCAGGTAATTGATTTCATGGTGCATTGAGGAGGTGCCCAGATAATTGATTTCATTTTACGTTGAGCAGGTGCCCAGATGATTGATTTCATTTTACGTTGAGCAGGTGCCCAGATAATTGATTTCATTTTACGCTGAGCAGGTGCCCTGAAAATTAATTTCATTTTATGTTGAGCAGGTGCCCAGATAATTGATTTCATTATATGTTGAGCAGGTGCCCAGATAATTGACTTAATGATGCTGGTGGTGGATATTACAAAGGGGATGCAAACACAGACAGCAGAATGCCTAGTCATAGGGGAGATTACTTGTGATCACATGATTGTTGTCCTTAATAAAGTAGACCTCATACCGCAGGAAAAAAGACAGGCTCAGGTGGAGAAGGTACTTGGTTAATATTATGAACTATGAAGTATATAATGTTGAACAGCTGAGATATGATTTAGATCCTGACCCAAAGTGTTACCCTTAAAGGCCCTTTGTGTATATAGCACTGAGACTTCATTGGTATAGTACGTACAGCATTAGAAAATGAACCATCCAACAATTAGACTTCACAGTCCTTTGGAGAAGGGAGACATAATGTTTTTTTTTCACTTTGCTGCAATGGTTATCGAATACATGTAGTTGACATAAATCTTCTAACTTTTATTCTATTAAAAGTCAGGGTTAGGGTTAAACACAGATTTAGGCTATATAAAAATTGAAAAATTATTCATTTTGATTTAAACTGAATTTGATCAACAGATGAAGAAAAGAATGCACAAGACTTTAGAATCTACAAAGTTCAGAGGATGTCCAATTTGTGCAGTAGCAGCCAGGCCTGGGGGTCCTGAGGTAATAATAGCAAGTTCTCTCCAGAATAAAGAAACTTTAATTGGGCAAAAAAAAAATGGAAGTTTATATCCCTAATATGAGGTAATATAAATGTTCTGTTTTCAATAAGATATTTTCCTTATAATTTCAGGGAGATGGCTCTGAAGGTCTTGGTGTGTCTGAATTAATTTCTGTGTTAAGTGACAACACATACCTCCCCAAACGAGAGAGTTCTGGTCCTTTTATTTTCTCAGTTGATCACTGCTTCTCAATTCGAGGGCAAGGAACAGTAATGACAGGAACCACACTGAGCGGCTGTTTGACAGTGAATGATGTAAGTTTTTATATATCATTGTCACAGGTTGTTAATGACTCTTTGACAGTCAAAATTAAAAAATTTGAAAAGTAGATCAAACAAGGTCATGAGGTCAAAAATACTTTTATAAAATACTCCTTGAAAGGTGTTTTCACAGGTAATGATCATGTGAAATATGATAAAACCACATCTTTCATTCAAAGATAACCAATGTTAAAAATTTTAAAAGTAGGTCAAACTTCTAGGACAAGGTCACTGGGTCAAAAATTATAGTACAGTGTAAAGGTCTTGTCACAGGTCATGCACATGTGAAATGTTCAAAAGTTTTGACCAAGGTTAAAATTTTTTTGACAGACTGACATACAAAATGAGATTTCAGTTAATGCCCCTGTGCTTTCACGAAAACAGGGAAGGGGGGGGGGATCAAATTGCATCCATATTAAGATTTTAGTGTGCTTTTGGTGGATTTTTTATTTCAGCATATATATGCTTGAATAATTTCTTCACTGGTACATTTATAAATAAAAATATCATGACACCTATTAAAGGCTCCTGAATTTTAGGATGCATTGTTTTGGACAAATTCAGAAAGTGTTATTTGATGACTGAATTTCCACTCGAAATGGAGATGGTAGGTACATGGCTAGTGAAAAAGGGCTTTGAATTTAAAATCAAACATCAAAGGTCAAAGATCAGTCATGGATGTTAAAGAAACTTTAAAATTAAGTGGAAACATTTAAAAGGGAACCAATTCACTCATTGCTGAAGCAGATATAAAAGTTGGCCAGATAAAAGTTATTGATTTTTGCATCAAAAGGTCAAATGACAAGGTCAGTGATAGACATTGATAATTTGTGAACTACATTAATTTAATGTACGAGAAATGCCTCCTTGAAGAAATATCATTTACATGTAAATAAATTCAAGGTTCACTTGATGGATCATAAAGAAGATGGGTGAACAAGGCGGGCGAAGTGCCTATAGTGCGACAAACATGAAGTGAAAAATAAATTCTCAATTATATAAAAATTTTCTTTGATATTTCATCTAACATTAAAGTATATTTTATGCTAAATCTCCACAATTTACAAAAATCTCACAAAGACTGAAATTATTTGCCTACGAAATAGCATACACACACTAAAGAGGACAAAAAGGATCATTTTCTCATACTTTAACAAAATTTTTCGATATGAGTGGGTCTTCGCTCCATTTTTTTGAAAGTTGATCCTAAAAGTTTGCATAAAAATATACATTTTTTGGTTTACAAAAACATGGAGCAAAGACCCACTATACCTTAAAAGTACACTTTTATGACAAAGCATTCGCATCTTTCCGAGAAATACTTGAAGTCCATTAAGTCTAGGGTCATATCACAAACATGATTTAAATGCCACTATTCGTCAGGAGCTGCGTGGCGTAGTGGTAAGCGTGTTAGTCTCAAAACAATATGATACTCCGGATTTTTATTGATAGGGGTTCGAATCCCACGAATACCATTTTATTTTTTTAATAAAAGAATAATTTTTTCCGTGATCTTTTTCTCAGAAAAGTTTTGTTGATCATAATTTCATAAATTTCAATAATGAGAACTTTATTTTAAATACTTAATTCACAAATTGAATATGATTTTATTAATATCTGAATTATAAGCATTCTGCACGCCTTGTTCACCCATCTTCTTTGTACCTCTTTGAATGCTGCTGTAATACTTTTAGTGGACTATTACTGTAAAAGTGGAAACATTGACAATGTTGAAACCGTGACAAAATTGACGGATTTCTAATAATAGCCAAAGTTTACACTCGTCAACTTTTACATTTGTGTTAAAGAGCACTGTTAAGTTGATAGTCAAAATTTCCACTCACCAGATTTCCAAGAAACCAAAATCGTCAAATTTTCAACAATTCAATATTCACTTTTACAGTATTCACAGTATTCAGAATTCTGTTGAATCTTGATTCTACAGTATAAATATTTCAGTGATATATTGATGCAATAAATCTTGCACCGTAGACAAGATAAAAGATTGAGCAGATCTAGGTACTTGTGTAGGTACATTATTGACAGACATATATTTTTTTTTTTAAATTCCCAGTTTGATGTGCATTTCTGACTGTGTCATTCGTCCATTTGCAGAGCATTGAAATCCCATCCATGAAAGTCACCAAGAAAGTGAAGAGTATTCAGATGTTTAGGAAACCTGTGGACTCCATTATCCAGGTATCAGTTTTCATACAGAATACTCTTATATGAACCGAAACAGAGCCAAACCTTCTCTAAAACACAAAGTTTATAACAATTTTTGAACCTTAATTATTCAGTTACTGAGTTTGGATACTACTCCCGAAATTCTGTTTTGTGCTACATCTAGCTGGTATTTTGTACATTTAGCTGGTATTTTGTGCTGCATGTAGCCAGGTATTTTGTACATTTAGCTGGTATTTTGTGCTGCATGTAGCCAGGTATCTTGTACATTTAGCTGGTATTTTGTGCTGCATGTAGCCAGGTATTTTGTACATTTAGCTGGTATTTTGTGCTGCATGTAGCCAGGTATTTTGTACACTTAGCTGGTATTTTGTACTACTATTAGCTGGTATTTTTTACTACTATTAGCTGGTATTTTGTACTACTATTAGCTGGTATTTTGTACTACTATTAGCTGGTATTTTGTACTACTATTAGCTGGTATTTTGTACTATTATTAGCTGGTATTTTGTGCTACATGTAGCTTGTATTTTTCTGTATTCTGATGTCTGCATTAGAACATTGAACTGAGCTGTTTTATTTTTGTTCTTAGGGAGACCGAGCAGGGATCTGCGTGACACAATTTGATCCTAAACAATTGGAGCGTGGCCTTATTTGTGTGCCTGGTGCCTTGCCCACAATAAGTGGAGGAATTGTAAGTGTTGAGAAGATTGGGTACTACAAAGGGACTGTGAATTCCAAGGCTAAATTCCACATCACCTCAGGCCACGAAACTGTGATGGGGAGAGTGACTTTTTTTGGACTGCATGAAGGGGCACCAGTGGAAAATGGCAGAGAATTTGATTTTAATTTGGATTATGTTTATCAGGAACAGCTGCTTGCAAAATCCATAGGTGCTGAGGAATCCGGATCCAAACATCCTGTCCAACAGTATGCAGTAATTGAATATGAACGACCAATCACATGTCCGGAATACTGCCTTGTGATTGGTTCAAAGCTGGACACAGATATTCATGCTAACATGTGTAGACTGGCCTTTCACGGCAGACTGCTGATTGGGTTTAAAGACACCCAGTACCAGCAGACTATCCTACCAAAAGTCAAGGTGTACAAAACTAAAGTCCGGGAGGGAGTAGTGGAGCGATGTAATGATGAATACACAGTCATTGGTAAAAACCTCTTTAAAAAGGAAACTAACATTCAAAACTTTGCTGGCCTCAAGGTGGCACTATCTTCAGGGGAACATGGGGTGATTGAGGGAAGCTTTGGCCAGAGCGGGAAAGTCAAAATCAGAATTCCAGGTCAGTATATTAAATTTATCCTGTAACAATTTGGTAATAAATCTTGATTTTAAATGTACTGTAAAGTTCATTCTGATGGTGGACAGTTACATGTTGCCAAAATAACTTTTATTTTTCTAATTTTGTTAAGTAGTAGAGAGAGTACAATCAGCATTTTCACCAGATGTGTGAAACCAACATAATATCCCATCAAAGAGCAAAGCCTTTCATAATCTGTCATATGGAAAATTATGTTTGATTTTATTCTGTCTCTACTTTTTGGGAAGATTTCAATAGATAAAGCATTATATTCTGTTCAGGATGATGTAAACTAATAATCTAACATCATAATGTACTAAATCAAGAGAAGGTGACAGGAGTACCACCTGTGTTTAACCTCGGCCTTGACTCTTGACCAGTTACCTGGAAATGGAGCTCTTTGTTATGGATGATCTGTTCAGATAACTTCAGTTTCACACACAAAATAGATACATATAATTCATGATAAATGTAAGATCACAACCATCAAGATTTCACTGTATCAAATAGTAATTATTCTGTAATCTAACCATGATGTCTCCTTTAACTTTTGTTTAAGAGGGTTCTTTACATTATAGAGGGAGTCAAACCAGAAACATATCAAAGATATAGTGGTGGATCAAAGAAAAAAGTATCCAAACCAGAGGAAGTGCCATCTGATCATCAACCAATCAAAATTAGTTTAACATTCAAAAGATATATGTATGATCCTGAAAGGAAAATGAAACAGACATAGTAACTGGATATTTTCCTATATGTAATGCAATTTCATCATATATCCTAGACAATTAATTTCTGTGATCAAATAGCAAAAATTTTAGAATAACTGATCAAATAAATATTGCAAACTAATGAAATAGTCAATATTTCTTTACAGTAAAAAAAAAACCTAGTTGACTTGATTTCTGAGTGTTAGACACCTAATTAAGGTAACCAATGTTCCTGGCCATAGCCGGGTGTAACAGGAGAAACATGACTTTTGTTGTATGGTTTTCCTTTCCAGGTTCAGAGGTTGCTATGGTGATGGTATATAATTTGTTACTATGGGGACTATGTGTCTGTAGACTCCTGTAGCGGTTCCACCGAGTTATAATGTTCTCCCAGACCAAAAGCGTGTCTCTGGTATACAAGTGTCACAGGGTCACCTTGACAATCATCACCAAGGATTACAGGGGGAGTGTCACTCTGAAGCACTGTGATTGGTTGATTGAGAACATGTGACAGTGCTTTGATTTCTAGATGACCTCCCCACATTGTTGTTGTCTCCAATTCACTACAGTACTTGTCAAAATCAGACTCTGTAAAAAGTTCTCCACTCTCTGTTGTCAGAAATGGCAGGAAGTCAGCAGCATGTTCTGAAAAAGAAACAATTTATTTTGACATGATTGTCAAGGTTTACTCACTATTCTGCTATGGTTATTGCAAAGATCAAAGAGATGCTGCCGCCATTATTCTACAATAAATCACAAATGTCATCAACAAATTATCGATAATTTTAAATCGGTTTCCTGTAATTTTGACTGCCTTCATTAGGAAAAGGATATAGATACCTTTTGATTGTGACGCAAATTGGTGGGAACAAATTTACTCTTGGTTCTGATTACATCATACTATTTCGAAAGCTTGAGATACACATGAACAAGAGAAGCATTCTATTGTGATGTCATGAGACACTTCTGATGATGTCCAAATCTAGCCTCTGCATTTCTCTACAGAGAAGTTTAAATATTCGCCGTAGCAGAATAGAAAGAATTCCCTCGTCATCAGAATTGTTGGAGAATATATCCCTTAGTCTCGAGATTTTGTTGGCAAATAAAAACCGAGTCTGAAGGGCGCAGTTTTTATTTGCCAACAAAATCTCTTGACTATCGAGGTATATTCTCCAACAATTCCTCCGATGCAGGAATTATTTCTTAACAGACTATATAGCTTTCACATCAATGACCTATTACACATAAAGACAAATAAGTATTTGGACTTTCAGTCTTCTGCAAATTTCAATGTCAATCATGTCATGACGTGACTTTGAAGCATTTTCTAGTGATAAGCAACCTTTGTGTCAAGAATATTTTCCAATCATGCAACTAAAAGTGACCCCTGTTACTTTGACATAGTCCAGATGACACTAGCATGGAGGTCAAATATTATCATTAGGTCATGTCAAGTAGGAGTGTCTACAATAACAACATTGCAAACTTAAGGCTCACACAAGAATTTTGATTTTTGAAACCTTAAACACAGTCTTGATGCCAACTTTCTTGCTTTAGTCTTAAGCAACTTTTGTGTCAGAGTATAATCTTTTTAACATTCTCCAAAAGTTTTGAATGAATGAGTGAATGGTTGAATGAATGAATGAGTTGTTAGCCCTAACCCAGCTGTACACATTACATATATTTCAGTAAGTTTTTCCTCATTTAGGAGACTCGCCTCTCATATAATTAGCTGCCTGAGTTATTCACCCTAACCCAGCTGTATATAGAACATACTGGTATATTTTAGTAGGATAAGTTATTCTAGGTTTAGAAGACTCACCTCTCATGCAGCTAGCTGCCTGAGTTGTTCACCCTAACCCAGCTGTATACAGAACATACTGGTATATTTTAGAAGGATAAGTTATTCTACATTTAGAAGACTCACCTCTCATGTAGCTAGCTGCCTGAGTTATTCACCCTAACCCAGCTATATACAGAACATACTGGTATATTTTAGTAGGATAAGTTATTATAGGTTTAGGAGACTCACCTCTCATATAGCTAGCTGCCTGCTGCCTGAGCTGTTTACAGTTGGTCTGATGTCCGCCTTTATTAACTTGGTGTGCTACTGCGTTATACAGACAGTCTCCATCAGACGGAATCTCGGAGATTTGTAATCCTTGCTCCTTTAGTAAATCTTTCAGCCTCTGGTACTCCACATTCCTAGCTCCTGTTTCGTTTTCTATTTCCTGGCGTGAAATCTCTTCCTGTCTCTGCCTCGCCATCTCTGTCTTTTTGTTACGACGTTTCTGGGCTTTGGAAACCCTCTTTGGTTCCGGGGGAGACAACTCTTCAGATCCTTTCAGGTTCTCCAGGCTCAAATCTTCCACCACTCCAGATATCTGCTAGTACGCAAAGATAAAATATTGCTCAATGGTTATTAGTTATGTGATTCAATTATCTTGGTTATGTAGGTCAGTGACTTTTTTCTGGGCCCCTATACCTTACCTGGACATGGGTCACTACACCTTCAGAGGTATCCCTGTTTTGATACTGGACACTGTCCCCAGTACCTATTACAGGTCTTATTGAGTTACCTGGCTCTATTTGTGGGAGCTATTATAAATTTTTTTTTAATACTTTTTTACAACAAACTTTTTTTTAAAATCTATCTGTGATGTCAGTTTAAGATCAGTATTCTGTAGTTTATGACTTGCCTGGTGTCTGAGTCTTTCATATACTACCTTGTTTGTTCTGGGAGTCTATATATGTAAATCTTGTTTGTCTGGGAGTCCATACATGTAAATCTTGTTTGTCTAGGAGTCTATATATGAATGACATTGTTTTTCTTGGAGTTAATAGATATATGACCTTGATTGTCTGGGAGTCTACACATGAATCTATCACGGAGTTCTTTCTTTTTATCATGTACTTTTATGTACTTTTTATAGTTTTATTTATGTATGTATTACCCTGTCTTTCTATTTCTAGGAGTCTATACATGTATTTTCTTGTTTTTCTGGGAGTCTATATATATGTAATTATGTATACCTTGTGTGTTTGGGGTCTATATATGTATTACCTTGTCTGAATCTGTCTGGGAGTCTGTATCTATTATCTTGTCTGTCTGTCTGTCTATATATGTATTACATTGTCTGTTTGTCTGTCTATATATGTATTACATTGTCTGTTTGTCTGTCTACATATGTATTACCTTGTCTGTCTGTCTATATATCTATTACCTTGTCTGTCTGTCTATATATGTATGACCTTGACTGTCTGTCTATATATGTATTACCTTGTCTGTCTGTCTATATATCTATTACCTTGTCTGTCTGTCTATATATCTATTACCTTGACTGTCTGTCTATATATGTATGACCTTGACTGTCTGTCTATATATGTATTACCTTGTCTGTCTGTCTATATATGTATTACCTTGTCTGTCTGGGAGTCTATATATGTATTACCTTGTCTGTCTGTCTATATATGTATTACCTTGTCTATCTGGGAGTCTATATATGTATTACCTTGTTTGTCTGTCTATATATGTATTACCTTGTCTGTCTGGCAGTTTATATATGTATTACCTTGTCTGTCTGTCTGTCTATATATGTATTACCTTGTCTGTCTGTCTGTCTATATATGTATTGCCTTGTCTGTCTGGGAGTCTATATATGTATTACCTTGTCTGTCTGTCTGTCTATATATGTATTACCTTGTCTGTCTGGGAGTCTATATATGTATTACCTTGTCTGTCTGTCTATATATGTATTACCTTGTCTGTCTGTCCGGGAGTCTATATTTGTATTACCTTGTCTGTCTGTCTATATATGTATTACCTTGTCTGTCTGGGAGTCTATATATGTATTACCTTGTCTGTCTGTCTATATATGTATTACCTTGTCTGTCTGTCTGGGAGTCTATATTTGTATTACCTTGTCTGTCTGTCTGTCCATATATGTATTACCTTGTCTCTCTGGGAGTCTATATATGTATTACCTTGTCTGCCTGTCTGTCCATATATGTATTACCTTGTCTCTCTGGGAGTCTATATATGTATTACCTTGTCTGTCTGTCTATATATGTATTACCTTGTCTGTCTGTCTTTATATGTATTACCTTGTCTGTCTGTCTGTCTATATATGTATTACCTTGTCTGAATCTGTCTCGGAGTCTATATATGTATTACCTGGTCTGAATCTGTCTGGGAGTTCTCATTTCCATCAAATTCCTTTAACTCTTTGTCATGTTTCTCTTTTAGATCTTTCTCCATCTGAGTTGTCTGCTCCTGAATAGCTTTCTTTCCTTTCTTGTCTCCCTTGGATATGCTATGTTTAAGCTTAGTAATCTGGTTCTGTAATTCTTTCTTTTCTTGCTTGTGGCGCTGAATAATTTCTGCTCTTGGGTCTGTTTCATCCATGTTGTTGTTTTCTACAGAAACTATAGCGTAAGCTTAGGAGGCCAATGCTTCTATGCACAACATTTATTAAAATGGTTAATACTCATGAAGTTTTTTAATGAATATTCAGTAAAAAAAAAAATAGCATGTTCATATAGCTGCTTTTTGACATTTCTTATAAAATGCATAAACTACTCAAAAGAAGGAGCCATGGTGTGTATATATAGATGTGTACTCATGTATATTTGTAGATTGTAGGGCTGAAACGATTCACCGAAATATCAATATTGTTCAATATTACTGCTCAGTTCAATGTTCGATTCATTATCTTGATTTTCGGTTCGGTACGTTTTTTTATAATTGGGTTTGGGTTCGACCTTATTTTAATAGTTTGACACACACAAGGGAGAAAGTTGTGATGGAGAAAGTTTCAGAGCAGGCTGCCACTGCTAGTATTAACACGAACAAAGTGCTCTTTTAATCTACAGAAGCACAAGTAGTGCTCTTTATTGTATCACCACCTTTTACTTGCCATTTGAAATCTGAATACATGTTTTCTTTAAAACTTATGAATTGTTTCTTTTTTAAATTCATTAAATTCAATAAATGAAATCTTCCAATCTACCCTGTGCAATTTTTAGTAAAGAGGTCCGCCGAAATATGGCTGAAATATTGCCGACTCGGCGATAAACCATCAATCAATAGTAAAGAGGTATAGCAATGTTCTTATTTACTGACATTGCCCCACCTCATTATTGTTAATACGCTGTGGTTGATAAACATGTTGATATTGTATTGCAGAGAATTTTAAGTTGTAGAAGCCTGAGAACGTTAGCCCTCTTCGAAGAGACTTCCAGTCAATTTTTTTAGACTCGACGAATCTCGCTGAGATTAAGATGGCCATAGTTCTAATCATCAGAACACGGTTTATGCTATTAGATTGTGAAATCCTGTGCTATTATTAAATACATACCTGACTTTTACAACAAAATTAAGGTCTGTTTTACGCGTTTGTGCAACCTATAAACAACCTATGTACTGTCGTCGCGTCGTCAAACGGTCAATGCGTGTTTAGGGGAACATGCTCAAAAATGAAAGTAGGAGTTCGAACCCGATTATATATTTAAAATGATTTGAAAAGGTTAAAAAAGATTAATAAAGGCGTTGTTTTATAATATATTATCAAAGTCATAAATAAAAGAGTTATATTTCTGATACTATTCTAATATTTTGCTCTTTGAAAACAAGAACAGAATTTAGCTTATCAATATCTTCGCTATCCGGAATTAAGACTGTTTTGTTGTAAGTTTCTTTGTACTAGACCATATATTTCATATCTGGTTTGAACCATGGTCAGTTTGGGAACGGATTCGCGTCAAACTGGGGTATTTTACTATTTTATATTTATTTTATCTTATATATAACGTTCGAAACTAGGAGATATACAGAATTCACATGAAGGCTAAACACTTGAGACAGTAAGAAAAAGGCTTAAGACCAAAAGCCTTACACTGCTATTGTAGGACTGTTTATAGAATGATTAGTGAACTATAGATTCTCTGACACTAGTTTTTAGTCTTTACCTTTTTAGGGCTATTTTTTCCATGACCATGGTAGTGTTCAGGATAGCGAGAGGGAAGACCTTCTATCTGAATCTCCCTCCCTCTCTGCCAGCATCGATCCACCGTACAGAAAAATCTACACAACATGGGCCACAGGACTGGAGATTTTAATCATTGTAAGATTATCATCACTACACCAGTATATACTAGATTATAGGGATATATAGTAACTGTATAGTCAACACATGTACAGGGCATAAAAAATAGAGATGTGACATTATTACAGCATACAGACTATAGAGATGTGTTGTACAGTTACAGTACACTGAGTATTACAGATGTTTTATATACCAGCACACACAGAGTTTTAGGGTTGGGTATCGGCTGGAAATTTCGTATTGCGATATTTTGAAGTGTATCGTGATATGTATTGCAATATTTTAAATGACAGTTAAATTGCTCTTTTTCCTATTTTTTAATCTCCATCTATATGCAGAGTGTATTACAAAACAGTTTTTCTTGATTTCAGTACAGTTTTGGAACAAAATGCAACCATACAACAGCAACCTTACAATCTGGTACTGTTTGGTACGATTGAAACATTCTTAACATATTAAATTTTGTATTTTATTTATGAAATCTAAAGCCCAAGCAGTTTGCCGGTATATCGGGACTAGAAAAACATATTGCAATACGAAATTTTTGTTAATGAATCACAATATACTGGAATATTGATATTATTGTGCAGCCCTACTGAGTATAGAGATGTTCTTATTATTTAGAGGGTATAGAGATTCATCATATTATTACAGCACACAGAGTATAGAAATGTTTATATTAGTTTATATTATGCACACTGAGTATAGAGATACATCATACATGTATTATGACAAGCTGAAAATCCTATAGAGGTGTGTTATATTGTTACAGCACACTAAGTACTAAAGAATGCAAAATATTTTTTTAACAATTGTTTAACAAAATGTGGTAAAATATAGTTGTATTATGTTTAAGAAATCTCAGAGACAAGTTTTAGTTGGAAGTTTCTTTAAATGTAATTTAAAAAGTATTGTCAACTCCATTTCTTTGTAATCTTGGTAAATATGATGAAGTTTATGAAATCTATCCTCCTTTATCTTGACAGATTATAGTAGAAGTATGTGTTTTATTAACAGATTATAGTAGAAGTATGTGTGTTTGTGATTCCATTACGAGGGGTATGTACGGTGGATATGTGTACTGACCTTTCTGTACTCTGCTGTATACATGGAGGATTGTGGTTTGTGATTCTCCTCTTTGATTTCTTCTATCGAGTTCAACACAACAAAAATAGGAAGCTGGGTTACCTGGAGTTTTACAGAAAAACCCGCCACATTCGACGAGCGCCATTACTGGTCAACTCAGCTGGTGAGATTCACCTTAAAAAAGGGCAACTTTAACCAAAATGACTGATCATAATATGCCTGGTTTTGTGTCTTAGTAATGGCAGTCTGATAAAGCTTTAAAGTACCAGTATTTAAGTTCAATTTCCTAGAATTTCTCATTTTTCACTTAATTTGAGCAAATCTGAAGGATGATATCCAGATCTGATGAAAAACCCCAATACTGGTATTCCCTAGCCAATCATATTTGTTATAATAATGATTGTTTTCACTAGCAATTTGTAGTCTGCAAAGAAGTGACTTCTATTCATTGTATTAATTAGCATTGATACTTAAATTTACATGCAGGTCAATATCTCTTTTTTAGCTAATGCCATCTTGGTGATTGTGCTGTGTCTGTTTGGTAATCTAGAGAAAAACAATAAGGATGAAAGACTGGGCCTTCAGATTGGAATATCAGTAGAAATGGCTGTCATCTTAGCTATTCTAGTGTGGTATATGGGTAAGTTTTATTAAGTATGGGGTTGTGAATGATATTGTACCATGGATAGAAATGAAACAATCAAATTACATGAGGGCTTAAACTTTCAACCTCATGAGTGCTTTTCAAAGGAGAATTCAAATTGTAGTGTTTTATTGCTTTATGCCTAGTAAAGGTTTGTTTTTCTATTATGGTAAAGGTTTGTTATGATCCCAGGATCATGGAACAGTTCAAGACCTAAGCAAAAATTTCAGTCTGTCAAAAAAATATTTATTACATACTGACTCTTAAAAATTAAATTCACAACATTTAAGGGCAACAATTTTGAAGAACATTTCAAATTTTATGTCTGTTCTATAATTAAATTTAAAGAAAACTCGCAGATTTTTTTTCGTTTGTTTGACATAATGATTCCTTCTATTTGTAGGGATGTCTGTTAACTTTAACAAAAGCCAAGTAGGACCAGATGTAGCTCGAGAAGACATGATGAACAGCTTCTTACAAAGCAGTGTCACCTCCGAAATAGGATTCAAGTAAGTATACATCAAGTCATTGTTAGTGTACAGAGAGACAATTACAAAACAACATCACATCCGAAATAGGATTCAAGTAAGTATACATCAAACCAGTGTGTTACTTAACAGAAAGACTATTACAGTAAAACTTTGTTATCTCAAACTTTATGGGACTGAAAAAATTTAGATATCTGAGGATTCGGTACAATGAGGTTAAAATACAAAATGTACATAAAGAAAGAGTAGTTGGGACTTCATAGTGACTTTGACATATTCATTGTATATGAAATATCTATGTTTGAGATAATGAAGTTCGACTGAAATTTATAAACTACCATCACCATGGAAATATATTTTAAGATTCATGTTGAAATTAAGCATACATTCTGCATTGTAATTCACATAGACATTGCTTTAACATAAGTTATCCTAAGGCTTATTACGTTTGTGATAAAATGCAATGATACTTTTCAAAATTCATATGTATAAACATTAAAATTATCATTTAAATATTGTTTAAAATGGAAAAGTTGTAATTTTGGAGAAAGAGAGGCTGTTGTTAAATATTTCTTGATGCTCACCAATTAGTACGGAGCTTCTTTTGTTTATAAATGGATGGACATGGAGGTAGTGTTGACATTTTACTTAATCTTCACAGTTTCTTAATTCATAAACGCATTTAGATGCAGAGCCAGAGGACATTCAAGTTAAACAAAATGTTGTCTTTTCAATGAGACGCACATCTGCAGCTAGTGTTTACTTAATCTTTGTTGAAAAAAATCTAATATAAAATGGCCTTACTGTAAAAGCAGAAATATTCATTGGGAATTAAATTTTGTTAATTTTGTTGTTAACGATTATCAACAAAATTAAATCCCACACAAAATTTTTATATGACTTTAATTTGAATAAATTGAATTGGGGTATTTTGAACAGGTTGGGGGGCAACGTAAATTCCGCTATAATAGTGGTATATCACTATTATAGTGAGATTCCGCTATATTTTCAGCCGTAGTTACCCTCGATTTCATCAAACAACATGCTTGCTGTTTAAAGCGCAAGTCATGGTGGGTATAAAAATGGACAATAATTGATATCTTTACATGTTATGAATTTTATTAAATTTTCTGCCGATGCTTTTAATAATGCGAACACACTTTTGAAAACGGAAGTTACATTTTTAACATAGCAACCAGTGATTGCAGTAGTATTCAAGCATAACTAAGTCTTATTTTCTCTCACACATGTATACAAATTGTTGCTTGTAATTACTTTCAACCCGGATGAGAAGAAGTATGTCGAATTTGCAGTAGAAATGATGATTTTTGACAGCATGGTTACCGATATGGAGGCCCGATGTGGCAAATGAAAAAAGCTCAGTGCATGTACACTTATAACACTGATGTATCTGATTTGTATTACTTAAATGTAATAAATCGCACAACATTTATAAGACGCCACTTCTACAGGTAATTCCCAGTATAATGTTTATTGTCTCAATGATGAAACCACAAGTTTGAACGATTTAGCCTTATCAAGATAAAGAAAACTTTATATACTTGAAATTTATTGTTTATAGCATGAAATTTTATTCTAGAATGTTCTGAGCTGAAAAAAGATTATGAAATCCTAATTGAAATTATACCAGAATGACAATATCAAATTTGACAAAAAGTGGAACGGTTTCTTAATTTGAAAATTTTACCAAGTATTTAAAAAATAAATTGTTCTATTTGATTGTTAGTCCAGGAATAAACGTTACAACTATTGCAGAAAAAATGCACAGGATAGTAACCTGCGTTAGAAGTTTTCTGCAAAAGCTGCAACCGTTTATTCCCTTTAATGAATAAAGAAAGACATTATTTGTTTATATTTATTTGTATACAATGTAAATAATTATATAAAGTAGGTTTAAGTACGTTAAATATTGTATTATTTATATGTACGTCATTGTGAGTTTCACTGATTGAAAAGCACACTGCGAAAGAAATCTTCAGGTGACTTGAAAAACCAGCAATAATCAAAATTCACTGAATGATGAAAGAAGTGGTTTTCATATACACTTAAAAGAGAAGAAAATCTGCAGTGGATATAAATATTTCTCAACATTTTTTTTTTTTTGAAACTACGGCCAATATTTCGTGTTTCAGATGAAAAATAAATAACCATTCTTTATTTTTGTGCATCATAATTGTGTGGATGAAACATATTATTAAATGATCAGGAATTTTGATCCTCTCTGATTGCTTTAGACTCTCTTTCCTGATGTGTACCTTAGAGTGAGTTCCCCTCAAATTTAATTTAAAAAGTCGAGTATTTAATTATTAGAATGTTGTTTTCCACTGTTAATCAGTTGTTAAGTTGAAATATCATTATAATACGTTTTTTATGCCCTGTTCACATGGAGAGTTTAATTCGAATTAAACATAAGTTACTGCGAATTAAATTTGATCCGCGTTCACACGGAGAATATAATGCGAATTAGTTTAATTCGAATTAGTTTATTGCACATTAAATTACTTCGCATTAGCTCCGTGTGAACGCTAAGCGAAGCTAATTCGAATTAAATTTTGACGCATGCGTAGGGGCAGAATTAAATCACATGCCACATGTCGGTGGTTAAATATAGGTATTTGTGCTATTTTGAGTGGAAAACAAAAGAAAACTATGTTAATCACTAAAAACTGTACAGACACTATGAAATTATGTCAAATGCATATCTGCTCTGCACAGTGTGACATGATTTGCAAATGACGTCATAATAGCCTTACTGAATAGCCTTATAGTAGAAATAAAATTTTAATTCGCATTAGTTTACTTCGCATTAGCTGTCGTGTGAACACAATTTAATTCGCATTAGTTGAATTCGCATCATTTTACTTCGCATTAATTTACTGCGAATTAAACTCTCCGTGTGAACAGGGCATTACACTACACAATATGTAATGATTGTTTACATTTGTAGGAGAAAAGAACTGAAGTGTCAAGAATGTAAAATTTCTTATTATTTAATAAAACGGTTATTGCCTTTTAAATTCGGTTTACCTGTGACTATACAAACCTGGACAGGTATTGGTTACAATGTAATCTCAGCATTCGACCTCGGTCAACCAATACCTGGCCAGGTTTGTATAGTCACGAGAACACCTCATCAAAGTCAATAATTGTATAATATAAAGCACAAATATTTCTTCTGAGAAATTATGCCAAATATTCCCCACACTATATACTTTATAGTCATTGTATACAGTTTTTTTTTCATCAAGGTTATCATGCAGAAATTAAAGAAAAGGTACAAGGAATTTTTTTTTCAATATTTTGTTTAACATTCCCAAGACAAATATCATATAAACATCATATTTGGGATTACCTGCTGAAGTGACATTTTACAGATTGTTTACGATTTATTGCATTTAAAAGAAATAATTAAATCAGATACATCAGTGATATAAGTGTACATGCATTGAGCTTTTTCCATTTGCTACAACGGGCCTCCATACCGGTAACCATGCTGTCAAAAATCATCATTTCTACTGCAAATTCGACATACTTCTTCTCATCTGGGTTGAAAGTTATTACAAGCAACAATTTGTATACATGTGTGAGAGAAAATAAGACTTAGTTATGCTTGAATACTACTGCAATCACTGGTTGCTATGTTAAAAATGTAACTTCCGTTTTCAAAAGTGTGTTCGCATTATTAAAAGCATCGACAGAAAATTTAATAAAATTCATAACATGTAAAGATATCAATTATTGTCCATTTTTATACCCACCATGGCTTGCGCTTTAAACAGCAAACATGTTGTTTGATGAAATCGAGGGTAACTACGGCTGAAAATATAGCGGAATCTCACTATAATAGTGATATACCCCCAACCTGTTGAAAACAACGAAATTTAATACCCACGAAAGCTTTTTAGAGGACAAATCAACGAAATTTTATCCCCATGAAAATACGTTCTTCTACAGTATTTCCAACATTACTATGGAAAACCTATAGAGTACTCTAGTTGGTAGCTGAAAAACCTATAGAGTACTCTAGTTGGTAGCTTACTATGGAAAACCTATAGCGTACTCTAGTTGGTAGCTTTCTTCAAGCTGTTTTATTTACATTAGCCTACAAACACTACACTGAAGTGAAATTAACCAAAATTTACAAATTAATAATAGAGATATAACAAAGAAAAACGCAAAAGCAATCATGAACAAAACGTTTCTTTACTCAATGAATAATCAGATATCTGAATTGCCTTGTTTTTTTTTATATTTGGTGGTATCTAACAAACCGTTCTAACCTGATTTTTCTCCACAGAGATGACAGTTACTCTGACCAGGTTCTGGAGAGGCAGGCAGACATGATTCGTTATCTCAAGCAACACAACTCACAGCTGGCAAAACGCCTCCTGGCACTGACTGAGGAAAACAACATGCTGAAAGCCAATAGCTGACGTCAACACAAACAGCTATGGTGTGAACCAATCAAAACAGAGCTCTTATGTGGGAACAGTGCAATGTGATTTATTTTATGCTTGAGTCAGTGCCAGCCAACTGGTATATCCAATCCAGTATTATCAACTGTAGACATCAGTGTTGTGTGGTTAAACTTAGCAGTCAGTGTTCACACAAGCCAAACTTATGGCTTCACAAGCATTGCCATTACAACTGAATTGTGTTAATTCATAATTCTATGACAATATCATTCCCTTCTCATATTACTGCTGTACATGTGTCCTAGTTTTTTTTTAATTGACTTTTTCTGACTACTTATACACTTACTTAAATATGCTTTATTAAATTATACACATGATGTGTTTGTGAATTTTGAAATGAATTATTTTTGGTTTCTAACTGACCACTTCAAAGGTGATGGTCATATACTCAGTGTTGAACTCAAATGGGCAGTCTCGGCATAAAACCTCCATAAAAATAGTCACACAAGATCAGGATTATTCTACCCTTTATTAATTGCATGTAATTTATGTATCCTGGACTTTCAAATATTTAAAATTTGCATGTCAGCAGGGGCTTTCATGTCACATTTACACATCAAGTTGTTTTTGGAAACCATCACAACACCATTAGAATTAAAAACAGATATGCTACGGAATTATGTTTCTTAGTATAATGACTTCCTGTGTACCAAGTCTTATTGATATCATACCAACATTGTAGGAGGGGTAACATTCTAAAGGAATTTCATAGAATTTTTTTTAGTCACCATGGCAACACTTTTTTTTTTGTATCTTCACAGAAATTACACACCTCCTAGGTATCTAGAAACAAGCTTCATGAATCTGATAGAGAACACAGAGTCCTCATAAAATTATGTAATTTACATTACCTGAGTCTAGAGTTTAAGGTGGGGCTAAGTAGCTCATACGAAATCAAGATAAAACCTATGCTACTCAAGTAACTGCTAAGGCCTTGGGCCTGTTTTCTTCCTTTGAATTCTTTGTAAGAACTACTTATAAAAATATTTTATCATTATGTTTTACAAATGATTAAAAGTACCCAGTTTGTGAGTCAAGAAAGTGGAACACAATGATAGCTTAAACAAAGTCAGATTCAAATCAATTAGCCTGGATAGAGTTCCCTGCACTAGCTATAACCACAAATATGTGTAGCTGAATGCTGTTGTTAATTTTTACATCATGGTACAATAGTACATATTCTTGACAAATCTATGCTAACATGCTCTAGCCACTCTATAGAACACCAGGTAGGATCACGTCTCCTTCTAAAGCACATACTTTATCAAAATTACATTAATATTAAGATGTAAATTAAAAGAAAGGATAAAGATTTAGTAGTTAATTATATTTATAGCTCTAAAGTAATAAACATTGACTTGATAAAAAACTAATTGAAACATTCATTAAGAAATACATACAAATATAAATATATCATAAAGATAATATATTAAAGTATTGGTTGCACTAATCACGATCAAATTCTACATGAGTGAGTAGAGGAATTAACTGGTCTGCTATGGATTGATTACAGGCAGCCAATACCTGTCTGCTCAGCAAGTCAACATCTCTCCCTAAAACAAAAGTGAAAGTTATCAAAGTAGTCATGTGATCAAAGAAACAAGAGGACTATGATGGAGTCTATCTAGAGACATAATACAGTGAAAAAGTAGCAACAAAATGTAGGAGGTACCTGAGGGGTCAATCAAGAGGCCTCCTGCCTCAGTAAATATTATCCCTGCAGCAGCAATATCCCAGATGTGAATGCCATATTCAAAATAAGCTTCCCCACTTCCTGAAGCAACCATGCACATATTAACAGCTGCAGAACCCAACATCCTAACCCTAAAAAAAAGGTATCTTTGATTAACAGTGTAGCCATGCATCCTTGATAGACAAAGCTTACAAGTGTAATGGTTTGGGCCGTGGATATTGACCTGGGTAGCTCAGTGGGTAGAGCACCTGACTAGTGATGCACGGGTCCCGGGTTCGATTTCCAGTCTAGCCATACATATTCTCCTTTCCTGTTAAAGATTTGGTGCCGTTGACCACCCCTGGACTTGCAGGTGTAAGTCCTGCCAGGGGCTAATAAGAACTTGGGTTGTGTCTTCTGGGGCAAAGACAATTTAAGGAGGGAGGAATGTAATGGTTTTGGCTGTGGATATCGGCCTGGGTAGCTCAGTGGGTAGAGCACCTGACTAGTGATGCAGGGGTCCCGGGTTCAATTCCCGGTCCAGCCATACATTTTCTCCTTTCCTGTTACACAAATATGCTCTTACACTGTGAATTGCACAAGATTACAAGCAGCACATATGTAAGGACATGATAACCACCTACCCATGTGAAGCTTCCACCACTCTATGAACATTCTTCATCTTTGTTGACAATATCTGTGAATCTCTAGAATTCCCTGCCTCAGTTATAACTACCGACTTCTTTAGGTCTATATAAAGAGGAAGAGTTAAACAGGAAAAATAAAAGTAAAGGACTGTGTGGGAGCCCAATTAAAAATAAAGGACTGTAGAAAATCATTTTTTTTTCTCTATGAAGTAGAATTTGCTTTATAAAATACCTATAAATAAGAGATTTTTTTTCTTTGAAAACAGTGCAGCTACAAATTAAGTACTTTGTACCTTCATATCTTGTAAATACTTTTAAAAAAATATTTAAAATTGTGATTTTAAAAAATATAGAGATAAGACTGAGAGTCTACATTGCTGACCTTTGACCTTGGATACTGTTATTTTCTGTTTGTTACAATAAGCTCCGCCCCCTCTGGACGCTGAGTACGTTTGTCCTGTTATAGGAAGATGTACAACTCCTACCACAATCTGTAACATACAATAATCTGTGACATACTACAATGTGTATCACACACCAGTGTGTTAGATAGAAAAATATACAGTTGTTATAAAATAGTTTTTAGGGCAATGGTCACAAGGTAAGGACTCTAGCCTATAGATTAGCAAAAAGATGCAGCCATGTTATAATTCCTTTAAAGATTTAGTGATAAATTTCTTCGTAAAACACTGCACCCTTTAGTAGCTTCAAAAATACTGGTACCTGCCCAAGGGTTCATAGTTTGAACATGTTGAACAAAAAGATTCAATCTAATATCAAATGTTGTGATTCAGGTGAAAATGTAATACCCAATCTCTTTACCAACAGATACATGAACTTTATCCTGTTATTTAAGTAGCTGATAATGCAGAACTTGTAACCATGCCTCATTTGACAGACAGACCAATGCACACACAAGTATGAGGAATGTTGTGTACAAAATTTGCTGTTCCATAAATATAACTCAACTCTCCACTGAGAGACAGACAAATACACAAGCAAGTCTGAGGAATATTGAAAACACTATGGCTGTTCCATCAATGAATCTCACCATTCTATTGAAGGACAGACCAATACAAAAACAGGTCTGAGGAATGTTGTGTACAAAGTTGGCTGTTCCATCAGTGTAACTCACCTCTCTACTTACAGACAGACCAATACACACACAGGTCTAAGGAACATCGTGCACAAAGTTGGCTCTTCCATCAGTGTAACCCACCTCTCCATTAATTGACAGACCAATACACACACAGGTTTAAGGAATGTCATGCACAAAGTTGGCTGTTCCATCAATGTAACTCACCTCTTTATTAATGGACAGACCAATACACACACAGGTCTGAGGAATGTTGTGTACAAAGTTGGCTGTTCCATCGGTGTAACTCACCTCTCTATTAACCGACAGACCAATACAAACACAGGTCTGAGGAAAGTTGTGTACAAAGTTGGCTGTTCCATAAATATAACTCACCTCTTTATTAAAACTGACAGACCAATACACACACAGGTCTGAGGATTGTTGTGTACAAAATTGGTTGTTCCATCAATGTAACTCACCTCTCTATTTACAGACAGACCAATACACACACAGGTCTGAGGAATGTTGTGTACAAAGTTGGCTGTTCCATCAATGTAACTCACCTCTCTACTTACAGACTGACCAATACACACACAGGTCTGAGGAATGTTGTGTACAAAATTGGCTGTTCCAGCAATGTAACTCACCTCTCTATTTACAGACAGATGAATGCACACACAGGTCTGAGGAATGTTGTGTATAAAATTGGCTGTTCCATCAATGTAACTCACCTCTCTATTTACAGACAGACCAATACACACACAGGTCTGAGGTATGTTGTGTACAAAGTTGGCTGTTCCATCAATGTAACTCACCTCTCTATTTACAGACAGACCAATACACACACAGGTCTGAGGAATGTTGTGTACAAAGTTGGCTGTTCCATCAATGTAACTCACCTCTCTACTTACAGACTGACCAATACACACACAGGTCTGAGGAATGTTGTGTACAAAGTTGGCTGTTCCATCAATGTAACTCACCTCTCTATTTACAGACAGACCAATACAAACACAGGTCTGAGGAATGTTGTGTACAAAATTGGCTGTTCCATCAATGTAACTCACCTCTCCATTTACAGACAGATGAATACACACACAGGTCTGAGGAATGTTGTGTATAAAATTGGCTGTTCCATCAATGTAACTCACCTCTCTATTTACAGACAGACCAATACACACACAGGTCTGAGGAATGTTGTGTACAAAGTTGGCTGTTCCATCAATGTAACTCACCTCTCTATTTACAGACAGACCAATACACACACAGGTCTGAGGAATGTTGTGTACAAAGTTGGCTGTTCCATCAATGGGGTCAATGATCCATGTTGGTGTGTCTGTCCATTCTACTTTCTTTCCTTCTGCTGTGGATTCCTCTCCTATAAATCTTGTATTGGAAAAACCATGGAATCAAAGTCTGGACTGATTTCTGTTACTCAACTAAAACTGTGTGTAATGAGAAGATACTTTATGAAAACTTATGATGAGTAAAATACTTTTACAATAGTAGTCTGCCCAGTTAAACACTTTAACATTATGATGACTTAATACTTTACAACCCTTACAGATGCTTTTACAAACCTTACAGATAAGGTAGTTTAACATTTTTATTATAAGTTGGATACTGTTACAATACTGGATCAAGTTTGGTTTTTTACAATTCTTAGTTATGTGTTTGATATACTTTACAATACTGATTTTTCATGCTTATGAGATGGGTATTTTCATAAGTTTGATACTTTACAATATACTTACTTATGAGATGGGTATTTTTCCTGCAGTAAAGATATGATCAGTTTTTCCACAGCTTGGTCTGTTTCCGTGACAATATCCGCGTAGGATTCTTTTGTCTTCTGATCTTTGTCTTTGTAAAATGCGTCTTTGACCACCTGACAATCAGCAAAAAGACTCCTGCTGTATTGAAGAATCAAATTATCAACTGATATTAGACTAGATGAAATATCTCTGACATATAGTTGTACAGATCAACAACAACCAGCAGATAGCAGTTATAAAGGAATGAGATTTATTTAATAATCTGGACATCTACCAAATGAAGAATCCACTGAACATGCTGAAGTGAATCTACTAAATCTTCTCTCTTTGCCCTCATTTCTGGTCATTTCCAGTGCTGTTTTGACCCATAATTGTGTTGAGATGTATATTACATACTTTCCTCCCATTTTCTAGAAGACTGTGTTGATACATAATGCATACTTACCTCCCCTACTTTCTGGGCCACTTTCAGTGCCATGTTGGGATAAATATACAAGTACACAACTTTGTAGATCTGTAATACAAACTTACCTCCCCGGCTATCTGGGCCACTTCCAGTGCTGTGTTGAGGTATTCAGACAATGAGTGATCAGACATTTTTCTTTGCTGTAAATTTCTATATAGAAAAATTAGGAATATATAGATAAGTACGAAAGTCACCTTCAAAGTGTAATATGCTTCACATGCTTAAAAGTAGAGCAATTAAGATTTATAAATACAATAAACACTGATAAAGAGAAATAAAAATTATTGGCTTTACTTTGAAAATGGATCACTGATAAAATATCTGTGATTTTAAAACCTGATGTTATAATGCTTAAATTAGGGACTAATCCAGAGTCTGGGGGAAAACTGTCTCTTCTGGAGATACGTACATGTGTATAAGAAAAATCATTTGCCAATTGGGAAGGGGCTGCTTCAGACCCCCTCAAAGGTGCAGGCAAAGCTACACTATGGTCTTCCTAGGGGTTTGTTTAACATCAATTTCATTTTTCTATGTTATGCTTAAAATATCAATTGATATTTAATAGTTGTACAATATTAATTGTTCAAACTTCTAATATCCTTTTCTCAAATGAACTTTTAATTTAATTGGATGCTGATCTACAACCTTTAAATGTGGCCCTTAGTGAATATGCATGTGTATACATATACAAATTGTTTTTCAGCAATAATGGTTTGTCTAACTATTTTTTCGTTTACCTGATCAAGGCAAGGAGCACACCTTGGGTGTGACCAGTTAACAGGGGATGCATACTCCTCCATGGCACCTGATCCCACCTCTGTTTTAGACTGCTCCAATTTGTATTGTTTCAATGGACTTTTGAGTTTGATTTGCTGTTCGTTAATTATATTCATATTTCATGCATAAAAATCTACCTCATCAGATTAACTTAGAAATAAATCAAAAGGAAAGTGGCCACATATCCTTGAAGAAACTGCCTCTATTCGGTTTTGGGCCATTAATAATTTACAGTTTGACCACTGTTGACAAATCAGCTGATTTCAGATTTCAAATTTGAGATAGCAGAGCGGTTAACAGGTTAAAGAATTAATACATTCGGAAAATATAGAAGGACATTTCAGAAGAAAGACGAGAGGGAGAAATGCACTGAAATCATTCAATCTCCACATAACCATGATAACTTCGAAGTAGAAAGGATCACTTACTACAGTCAAAATCGGTCTGGCTTTCACTTCCAAGATGAATAAGAGTGATCTCCCTTAGACTGCTAGAATGTGTAAACGACATTTTAATGAAATTCTGCGTTTCATTTTTTTTTTTTTTTTTTTGCAAATAATAAAACAAGCGGTTAAAAATTTGAATAATTTTCTTTAATATCAAAAGTTTTATTTTCTGATATTGCAATTTATTAGGATAAACTCTGAAATTCGTTTACGGTAAATCCGTTCAGAGAATTTTACATATTATATTCTTATGTTTATTTCCGGTGTAGATCCACGTGTTGTTTTGCGTTGGATAAAAATGTCATCAAAAACTAAATCTAAGCGTGCTCCTGATAAGGTTGGTAAATCGCTAAAGTAGTAAAAGAGATTTTATGAATAACATAAATTCTATTGTTTCATAAAATTGTTCTTGTTTACACTAAACAGTTCGTAACTCAGCATACTTAGAACCTAGAATTTCATAATCTGATAATAGAGCCTAATTGTGGACAGACTCTCACAACAAATCGAGTACATTGGACAATATCGTAACGATAGAACATAATTGGAGTAATCTAACTGTGTCTCGGGACAGGCCCTCACCGGGTTCGTAGGACATACATGTATAACATTTTAACGATAGAACATATTCTATCTAGATCAGGTCCAGCACAATACCCTGATAAAGGTATATAGCTTGATAAAGTTATATAGCTTTATCAAGGTATTACAAATACCTTGATCAAGGTATTTTATGTAATGAAAATACAAAAAAAATCCTTAAAAAAATAAATACTGAAAGTCGAGTTCTGAGTTGTCGTCAGTAAATTCACTCATGCATGTAAAGTACTCAAACACAAAGAAATCAGTATAAAAGCATGTCATGTGAGGAGACGTACTTTTATGCTGTCTTTTTGATACCTGAGTACTTTTCATGCACGAGTGAACACACTGACCACAACTTATAATTCGACTTTTAAATTTTATTTTTTAAGAATTTTTTTTGTATTTTCATTACATAAAATACCTTGATCAAGGTATTTGTAATACCTTGATAAAGATATATAGCTTTATCAAGCTATATACCTTTATCGGGGTATTGTGCTGGACCTGTAGATGGAACAGTCTATCTACTTACTTTTATTTAGACTACTTGTACATGTTTTCTGCCTTATTTAAGGTTCAGACTTTTGTTTAATTTTGCAATTGAAAATCTTTTTCTTTTTGTGTGTGTTGATGTTAATGTTTTGAAAAGGTAAAATTTACTTAAAACACTAAAGGAAAAAAATCTCAATCTTAGGAAATGTGCTTTGTATTTATCTGGATTTGAATTTAGTTTGGGTTTGTGGACAAAGGAGCTGATGAAAGTGACTCGTCAGAATCTGAGGAGAGTGTTTACTCTGGACTGGAAGAAGAGCCAGACTCGAGTGAGGAAGAACAGGTGAGTGAATGTTTACTCTGGACTGGAAGAAGAACCAGACTCAAGTGAGGTAGAACAGGTGAGTGAGTGTTTACTCTGGACTGGAAGTAGCTGCAATAATGTAGCCCTCTCCGATTTTTTTTTATCTTGATTTTTTCTGGAGAGGGCTACAATTCCACAGCATCTCTGTAATGGTGCAAATATATTTTTTAAATACGGGCGACTGCAGGCAAAATAAATTGTTTTTACATTCAACTTACTTCTAAAAAGGCGAAATTTTTATTCACTGTCAACAACATAGCCCGTTAAACGCGAAAACCAGATAAAATAAATCTGCTTGTTTACCAGTCGCTCTCATCAGAAGCCATGACAGTTCTCGCGTGATGCACTGAGACTTGCGCTTGAAAATTATAAATTACTTTGTAAAGTAGATTTTCAGGGTTACTAAATGATTATGCTGTATGGCATCATTAAATATTTATAAATAAAACTATTCCATGTGACATTTTTTCGTAAACAGCGATATTTATGCCTAAAATAAGGTAATTCATACAGAGATCCGCTCCCTAGAGATCCCTAGTCTCATTGGCTGTCCCAAAATAAAATCGATCAAGGTCAGTAAACATGGCGGATAAATTCAAGTTGTGATGTTGACATACACGAAAAATAACCGATATATGGATTGTTCTGTGTATGTTTGGATTGATTTATGTTTTGCATAACTACATTTTTGGAGTTCAGGTAAGAAATGTCAATTAAATAGCCATTTACTGATAATTTAAGCCGAAATTCGTGCGGGAGTGAATCACTCCCGCACTTGCACCATTACGGAGATCCTTAGGAGTTGTAGCCCTCTCCCAAAAAAAAAAAAAAAAAAAAAAAAAAGGGAGAGGGCTACATTATTGCAGCTAGACTGGAAGAAGATCCAGACTCAAGTGAGAAAGAACAGTTGAGTGAGTGTTTACTCTGGACTGGAAGAAGATCCAGGCTCGAGTGAGAAAGAACAGGTGAGTGAGTGTTTACTCTGGACTGGAAGAAGAACCAGACTTGAGTGAGTTAGAACAGGTGAGTTAGTGTTTACTCTGGACTGGAAGAAGATCCAGGCTCGAGTGAGTTAGAACAGGTGAGTGAGTGTTTACTCTGGACTGGAAGAAGAACCAGACTCGAGTAAGTTAGAACAGGTGAGTGAGTGTTTACTCTGGACTGGAAGAAAAACCAGACTCAAGTGAGGAAGAACAGATGAGTGAGTGTTTACTCTGGACTGGAAGAAGAACCAGACTCAAGTGAGGAAGAACAGATGAGTGAGTGTTTACTCTGGACTGGAAGAAGATCCAGGCTCGAGTGAGTTAGAACAGGTGAGTGAGTGTTTACTCTGGACTGGAAGAAGAACCAGACTCGTGTGAGTGAGAACAGGTGAGTGAGTGTTTACTCTGGACTGGAAGAAGATCCAGGCTCGAGTGAGAAAGTACAGGTAAGTGAGTGTTTACTCTGGACTGGAAGAAGATCCAGGCTCGAGTGAGAAAGTACAGGTGAGTTAGTGTTTACTCTAGACTGGAAGAAGATCCAGGCTCGAGTGAGAAAGAACAGGTAATTAGTGTTTACTCTGGACTGGAAGAAGAACCAGACTCAAGTGAGTGAGAACAGGTGAGTTAGTGTTTACTCTGGACTGGAAGAAGAACCAGACTCAAGTGAGTGAGAACAGGTGAGTGAGTGTTTACTCTGGACTGGAAGAAGATCCAGGCTCGAGTGAGAAAGTACAGGTGAGTTAGTGTTTACTCTGGACTGGAAGAAGATCCAGGCTCGAGTGAGAAAGTACAGGTGAGTTAGTGTTTACTCTGGACTGGAAGAAGATCCAGGCTCGAGTGAGAAAGAACAGGTGAGTGAGTGTTTACTTTGGACTGGAAGAAGAACCAGACTCGTGTGAGTGAGAACAGGTGAGTTAGTGTTTACTCTGGACTGGAAGAAGAGCCAGACTCAAGTGAGGAAAAACAGATAAGTAGAGGCACTCAGCATAATGAGTTCAGGCTAAGTAACAAAAAAACTTAAGAGGCCACATCATTCAATCTCAAGGATGTTAAAATCTTTATCGTGGACAGTAACACCCCTCCCCCTTTTCACTGAGGACACTCTGCCTAAATTCTTTTAGGCATTACCTGTTCTAAACTGTATAACCCAGCAAAATGGCATTTATTGTTATACACCAATTTAAATGAACATAATAATGTAACTGATACTCCCAATTTAGATAATTTATTACATTTTCAACAGTGAAATACTGTGATTTATTCATTGAATAAAAGTGATATTCTCTCACAGTGTGAAAGGATACCAAAAATGATATTCTCTCACAGTGTGAATTAAGGATATCAAAGTAAGTAAAAAAATAATTTCTGGCCTGTCATAAGATAGAGATAGTAACTAAGCATCTTGATAGAGCTAAAACTGCAAATTTCTCCCTAAATATGTTGCTAAAATCCATGCTATGTAATGTTTTCAATCTGACACACAACTTCTAAGCCATGATGGCTCAACCGCTCAACTATGACGTCAGTCCTATGACACTGTGTTAAGAAAAGACAGAGGCAAAGGGAAAATCAAAGAAAATGTAATAAACAGAAAATTCAATGTTTTGTAGATGAATATGGAATTTATTTCACTCGTGAGACAGGATTTTTTGATATTTTCACTTCTGCTTCGCACTCGTGAAAATATCAAAAAATCCTGTCCCACTCGTGAAGTAAATTCCATATTCATCTACAAAACATTGAATATCCTCTATTTATTTAATAAAATAGATATGGGTAGATCTGAAACTTCAGTGAAATATATCATTATAAGGACCCTTTTATTTAAAAGTATTGAATAACTGATTCACTGGGTAATGATCTTTATATTATGCATCTAGTTTTTAACTTGTATTAAGAACAGTTAAGTTTTAGATCTTTGTAGTATTCTTCTACTGTCCCTATGTTGATTGTACTACACAAGATATATTTACAGAGTTGTACTGTACGTTCCATATCCATAGTGATTTAACTATTTAGAAACAGGACAGTCTGTTTGTTGAAAACTACAGCATAAACTTGCCTTTTCATGTACTTACATTGAAAAGATCTTTTTACAGGGTTCAGACCAGTCTGATGTTGAAGGTGTTGATGATGATGAAGATGACTCAGACGATGACAATGGGAATTCAGACGATGACTTTGAAAAGGGAATTGAATTAAGTTCAGAACAAATGAAGGAGTTGTCTACAGCCAGTGATGATGAATCTGGTGACCAAAAATATACAGGGAATGTCAAATCCTCAAATCGTCGTCAACTCAAACAACAGCCTGTCAAAATGGCAGACAGACCAGACGAATATGATTACGATTCTTCTGATGAAGAGGTTTGTTTTAAATGTTAATTATTAAAAGAAATCAAACTGAGCAATCTTTCTTGATTAAAGGATAAAGTTATGGATGGTCTGTTCAGAATCTTTAATAATTCTCATTTTATTTTTAAGTGATTTTGATCATTTTTGTGTGTGAATTTGTATGTTGAAAACAACGCTTGCATAATTATGATTGACGGAGCCTCATATAATTTCGCTAGGCTGATTAAGGTATTATATTTTGTTTTGTGGATTAATTTAGGATATTAGGAATACAGTGGGGAATATTCCTCTGGAGTGGTACAGAGAGTATCCACACATTGGATATGACATAGAGGGAAATCGTCTCCTGAAACCAAAAAAGGGGGATCAATTAGATGAATTCCTCAATAAAATGGACAACCCAAACTACTGGTATGAAATCAAAAGACATACATGTATGTGATTTAAATTATTATTAATATTACTAATGGAAAAGTTGTAGACAGACTACTTACATGTATTTATAGTCTCAATACTTTCTCATCTATACAGATTTTGTATTGTGGTGTCACAAACCTAAAATTATAATTGAATCATTTTGTATCTTTTCTCCAAAGTTCAATATACATGTATGGTAGATAACAACCTTTTCGTATCTGTGAAGGTAGTTTATTATTCCTTGTTTACCTTTCCATTTGAAAAAAAATTTATGTGATAAGTTTCCAGAATTCACAATTATATTGTTACATCTGAAATATCAGAATATGTATAGTTTATTGCCTTGCTCCTTTTATTTTCAGGCGAACAGTAACAAACAAAATGACGGGACAAAATGTTGTTCTCGGAAAAGAGGACCTGAATCTGATACAAAATCTACAGGGCAGTAAACATCCAGACTCGACAGCAGAGAATTACGAGGTAAACAAATCAGTTGTCTGTATATCCTGTCTGTGTGATAGAACTTAAGAAATTAATTTTTGTACATTATTTTTGAGGGTTTTTTTTAAACATTTAGCCATGACTTAGAAAAATTTAATTATGCTAAATGAATTTTACAGACAAAATTGAAGTAGAACTGTTTTGAATTGCTGTAAAAACTCTATGTTTAGTCATTGGAAAGGATGTAAACATTTAGAGACACTGTAAAAATGCTGTAAATTTTAGGAGCTGCTGTAAATCCTGTAAAGTTCATGTCAGTGTCAAAGCAGTAAGCTTTAAAGGTTGCTGTAACTCTGTTATTTCTTTTTCAGCCCTGGATTGATTTTTTTGTATTTGTGTTATTTTTTTCAGCCCTGGATAGATTTTTTCACACATGAGACAATGATTCACCCAGTTACAAACCATCCACAACACAAGAGAAGTTTTATTCCCTCTAAGTGGGAAAAACTCAAGGTATAAACAACCGTCAAGATGTAAATAAAGTGCAAAATACGATCGATGGGATGTAAATTCCTCTTTATTTTGATCACACTAAGATTTGAGAAATTTAATGATGCTTCAGAGTTGTTGAAGGCGATGACATGAATAAACAAAAAGAAATTCAATGCTATGGCCATAAACAATTATTTAATTTATTTACAATAACTTCTGTAATTGGAACCTCTATACTTAGCTGGGAATCTGTTAGACAGCGTGTCTGTGATACAGAATTCAATCAGAATTATGGTCTCTTTATCAGGTAGGACAAATGGTGCATGCTCTTAAAATGGGTTGGATGAAACTAACAAAACCCAAGACAGAGGAAGAAGAGGAACAGAATTTTTATATGCTCTGGAAGGATGACGAAGAGGTTTTACAATTAAATCTTAGCGTTGATTAAGGAGTACAATGTAAACTCTCAAATCTGACAAAGCACTAATATTTATCTGATTGATATGTGACATGACACGATTTATTTGGGGTTTATTCTTAGCCTGAAATAACCAGAAGATACAGGGCTCATTTACCAGCCCCCAAAGTCCCCCTCCCTGGTCACGCAGAGTCTTACAACCCCCCACCAGAGTACTTACTGAGCAAGGAGGAGGTAAGGACAAAAAAATAAACTAATGTATCATGGCTCCTGGGTGAGACAGTGGATAATGATATAGTCACCCTGTTTGTCTGTCTGTTTGATTCTCTTTGTGTTTAACGGTCTGACTATTTGTAAGGCTGTTTGTCTGTTTTACTGTTTGTCCTTTTGACTGTCTCTCTGTTTGACTCTGTCTGTCTGTTTGACTGTTTATCTGTTTAACCTCTGTTTCTTTGACTGTCTGTCTCTTTGTAGGAGGAGAAGTGGTCAAACATGGAGCCAGAGGAGAGAAGAATGAACTTTTTACCACAGAAGTACAATAGCTTACGACTCGTACCTGCATACAAACGCTTCATTAATGAGAGATTTGAAAGATGCCTTGATTTGTACCTGTGTCCCCGCAAACCAAAAGTTAAGGTACCTAAAATTATAATTTTATGTATTACTTGCAAAGTGTGTTATTCATATCACTTTCTGTAAAAATGCTTTCTTATTAATGTGTAAGATTTTAATGTGTATTTATTTTCCTTTTTAATCTAAAAAGATATTTTATATTTCTAAATGTAATAACAGGATAATTCAATATATTTAGATGAACATTAATCCTGAAGATTTGATTCCTAAATTACCAAAACCAAGAGATCTTCAGCCATTTCCCACTTCCCAAGTAATTGTAAGTATCTCATATTCCCTAGTATCTAGTAACTGTTAGTGACTAATTCTGGTATCTAGGCTGTTTTTGTTGACATATGTCTAGCATTATATAATGTGTAAATCATTGTCAGTACTTACATCAGTGTACGTGTCCAAGTTTATTTGTCATGTTTTATCATTGTCATTTTAAGATATAGCACCAGAGGGACTGGCAGTCAGTTTACACTGGTGTTTTGAAGTTGCAGTGACTATTCTCACTAAATACACTTTTATCCATTTATAGGTATTTAGAGGTCACGATGACATTGTACGGACAATTTCTGTGGACCCAACTGGACAGTGGCTAGTGTCAGGTAATGTCATCACACTCACACTGCTAGGTTGCCTTGTTATTTGGGTTTTTTCCCAACCATCATGATAAATTGTAGACATTTTGATTGTGGAGTATCAAATTATGTGTTGCAAGGATTACATTGTTCAAAAAAATTATGGTATCATTAATCCAGAGATATTCTGATATCATTATGTTATATATTATACACTTTTTTGATGTTATTGGTCCCTGTGTGTTACAGTAGTCTGATATCATTCATTTGTTTGTCTAACTCTGGTATTTTTAAAAAAATTTTTTTAGACACTCCAAATATCATTACTATTTGTCAGACAATACATTATTAGTCTTTATTATAGTATCTTGACATTATTACATTGTACTACAAAACATTTTGATATCATTTTGACATCATTACATTGTACTGTATAATATGTCAACATTTTGTCAGCATTTATAGTGCTTCACTCTTTTTTCACCATTTGTGCAGTTCAACGCTTTGACAACAATGCATAGTCCTCTGCAAAATTATATATTTTTATGTCAGTGTATTGTGCTTCTACATTTTGACATCAGTACATTGAGCTGTATAACATTTTGAAAACACAACATTGTGCAGTACAATGCTGTACAATATTTGGTCTCATTACATTGTGTTGTAAAACATTCTGATTTCATTACATTGTGATGTAAAACATTCTGACTTCATTACATTGTCCTATCAAACATTCTGACTTCATTTCATTGTCCTATCAAACATTCTGATTTCATTACATTGTACTAACAAACATTCTGACTTCATTTCATTGTCCTATCAAACATTCTGACTTCATTTCATTGTCCTATCAAAAATTCTGATTTCATTACATAGTACTATCAAACATTCTGACTTCATTTCATTGTCCTGTCAAACATTCTGATTTCATTACATTGTACTGTCAAACATTCGGACTTCATTTCATTGTCCTATCAAACATTCTGACTTCATTTCATTGTCCTATCAAAAATTCTGATTTCATTACATTGTACTATCAAACATTCTGACTTCATTTCATTGTCCTATCAAACATTCTGATTTCATTACATTGTACTGTCAAACATTCTGACTTCATTTCATTGTCCTATCAAACATTTTGACTTCATTATATTGTGCTATACAACATTTTGACATCATTACGCTGTGCTGTACAATATTTTGTGTCATTACTTTGTGCTGTAAAACATTCAGACTTCATACATTATGCTGTACAATATTTTGACCCCATTACCTTGTGAAGTACAATATTTTGGTCTCATGACTTGCATCATAAAGCATTCTGTTATGATTACATTTTGTCCTGTTACATTTCGTTTTCCTCCAAACAGGAAGTGATGATGGAACAGTGAGATTCTGGGAAGTGTCGACGGGTCGATGTATGAAGTATGTTTCCATGGAGAAAGAAAATATAGGAAACTCTAGCTGTGTTAAATGTGTGGCCTGGAACCCAAATCCTGATGTCAGCCTTGTTGCCGTGGCTGTGTAAGTATTATAGATAAAATGACCTTCTTTGTAAAAAAGAGACTTAAAGAAACAGAGAAAATTACAATTCATTTTGTCTCCAGTAACCTTTAGTTACACTTTTTCATGTCAAACCTACCAGTACAAAATGGAATCTTTATCACAGGGGACTAAGTGTGCTTCTAATTAATCCTGGATTGGGAGACAAAATGGTGACCATTAACACGGACAATGTAATCAACTCACCTCCAGCTTCTGAGGAGGACACAACAGGTAAATACAATGTATATAAATAAGGGATGTCAATGACATCAACTAATCGGAGGACACAGCAGGTAGATGGAATGTATATAAATAAGGGATGTCAATAACGTCAATGTACTCGGAGGACACAAAGGTAGATAGAATGTATATAAATAAGGAACGTCAATGACATCAACGTTAGTACTCGACTATCATTCTGATTTCAAATTGACAAATCAGGAATAAATGTTGTCACAGATAATATTTGGTTTTAAAAAAAGGGTAGATAAATCCTTTTGCAATAAATAGATAGTAAAGTCATGTAATCAAATGACTGATATATGTGAAGGTTTCGTGTGTCTGTGGTGTACAGTTTTGTTAGAATGCCAATAACAAGCTTTAACATGCACGGAGCAGTAACTAGAAAAAGGCTATAGTTCATAGTAGTAAAATGTCAAATGTCTTCATATTTTCTTGAGTTGTTTAGAACAAGAAAAAAATCTTTCCAACAAAATCAAGTGGTAGAAAAACAATAATTTAAATTGGTCTCTTTCCTAGCAAAGATGGAAAAACCTACTTAGTAATACAAAGAAATATCCATTACAAAGCATCAATGTAATTTAAAAGGACTCTATCATTATCACAGGTGTTAGGATAGCTGGGGATAGAGAAGCCCCTTTAGGGGTATAGAGAGGCCCCTTTTGGGGGATAGAAAAGCCCCTTTTTAATTTGGTTTGGATCATTGCTTCCTTTTCTTGTAGGTAAAAAACTGTATGTGAATTGGTCTGTCATTGACCCCTCAGACAAGAGATATGAGAAGGGAGTCAGATTTACTCTCCAACATGCAAAGGTAAGGCTGTTTTTCATTTCTCTGTTTTCTGTGTCACAATATGAAAAAAAAATCCCCCTGGTGTAAAGATATGTTGGGTAATAAGATCAAGATGTTACTGTATATGTACTTAAAAAGGCGGGCTTCATACTTTAGCAGCTTTTGCGCAGACAACAATGTGCTGATTTATGAATACCCCTAAGAAATCATTTTTAAATACAAAATACGGCGCGGACATATACAGCGCTAATTCATGATTTCGCCAGCAACTCCATACCCAGTGATTGCGCTAAATTTTGAATACGCCAATTTATGTACAAGTACAGTATAATGTAGATACAGTGTATCACATCTTGATTCGAATATTCTTCTTGAGACAGATTGTGTTATCTGATAATTTTTATAAGATCACCGTAGTCTCTCAGGTGACCTATTGCTATCTGTTTGTCCTACCACATATGTAGTATGTTAACATTTAAAATTTTTAGCTTTTAATCTGGAACTGCAAAAACCAATTTCAACCAATTTTGGCATATAGCATCTATAGTAAAGGGGAACAAAAAGTGAAATTCATGGCCCTTGTCCCCAGGGGTCTAAGGGGTGGGGCAAAAATTATCAAAATTAATGCAAATCAATAAAAAATTCTTCTTTACTGACATCAATCAGTCAAACTGTTTGATGATCAGGTTGTTATAAGCATTGAGCCATCTGTCAAAATTGTGAAATTTATGGCATCAGGGTCAGAGGTCCTGGAGTTAGAGTGGGGCTCATATCATATAGTGATAGTGACAATGCATAAATTCATTGAAAAACTTCACTGCTCCTGGGTACTAAGCAAACAAACTGAGAGCATGGTTATATTGAGCAAGGGTGCTTCTCCCAAAATTGTGAAATTGTTAACCCCGGATCAGAGGTTTTGGAGTTAGGGAGGAGCTATATTGATTAAACAGTGAAAATGCATTTTTTCTTTGAAAAATCTTTGCTTTTCACGAGCATTTAGCAAACATACTAAGTGCATGGTAATGAGGAGTAAGGGTCATCTTTAAGGAATCTTTATTATATAGTGCCATTGTGACCTCCTATTTTACTTTTTGCTAAGACATATAATTCAGGATTTCCATAGCATAATCTGGACACTGGCATTCTTTCTATAATATTGGGGTACCCATCTCTTATCTGCAACTTCTCCTATAGCACTGAATCAAATTTATTTAGACTTAATCTGAACAGACAGATATTTGAGGTTTCCCTTGGACAGAAATGGACTTCCATTATAATCATATGGGAGTAAGGGTATTATTTTGTGTTCTCAGTACCCCTAATTTTATATTTCTGTGAATTCTTTACTGACAAATAATATACTCCTGTGACCGTAAAGGCCCTTGGGCTAGGGACCTCTTGTTTTAGGTTTATTGAATTCAAGAAAGAATAGGAAGTGACCTGTTTCACAGTTTGTCTTTTCCTAATTATAATCGTGTTTTAACAGGAAGTATCCCAGGTCACATGGCATGGAAGAGGAGATTACTTTGCCTCAGTTATGCCAAAAGGAGACAGTCAGTCAGTGCTCATACATCAGCTCTCACGACGTCGGTCACAGGTAAGCTAGATATCTCTATATAGACAGTAACAGGTAAAGTAGATATCTCTCTATAGACAATAACAGGTAAACTAGATATCTCTATATAGACAAAAACAGGTAAACTAGATATCTCCATATAGACTGACACAGGTAAACTAGATATCTCTGTAAAGACTAACACAGCTAAACTAGATATCTCAATATAGACAGTAACAGGTAAACTAGATATCTCTATATAGAATGTAACAATTAAACTAGATATCTCTATATAGACAGTAACAGGTAAACTAGATATCTTTATATAGACAGTAACAGGTAAACTAGATATCTCTATGTAGACAGTAACAGGTAAACTAGATATCTCTCTTTAGACAGTAACAGGTAAACTAGATATCTCTATATAGACAGTAACAGGTTAACTAGATACTTCAATATAGACAGTAACAGGTAAACTAGATATCTCTGTATAGACTGACACAGGTAAACTAGATATCTCAATATAGACAGTAACAGGTAAACTAGATATCTCTATATAGACAGTAACAGGTAAACTAGATATCTCTCTTTAGACAGTAACAGGTAAACTAGAAATCTCTATATAGACAATAACAGGTAAACTAGATATCTCAATATAGACAGTAACAGGTAAACTAGATATCTCTATATAGACAGTAACAGATAAACTAGATATCTCTATATAGATTGACACAGATAAACTAGATATCTCAATATAGACAGTAACAGGTAAACTAGAAATCTCTATATAGACAATAACAGGTAAACTAGATATCTCTATATAGACAGTAACAGGTAAACTAGATATCTCTACATAGACAATAAGAGGTAAACTAGATATCTCTATATAGACTGTAACAGGTAAACTAGATATCTCTATATAGACAGTAACAGATAAACTAGATATCTCTATATAGATTGACACAGATAAACTAGATATCTCAATATAGACAGTAACAGGTAAATTAGATATCTCTCTATAGACAATAACAGGTAAACTAGATATCTCAATATAGACAGTAACAGGTAAACTAGATATCTCTCTTTAGACAATAATAGGTAAACTAGATATCTCCATATAGACAGTAACAGGTAAACTAGATATCTCTATATAGACTGACACAGGTAACAGATAAACTAGATATCTCTATATAGACAAAAACAGGTAAACTAGATATCTCTATATAGACAAAAACAGGTAAACTAAATATCTCTATATAGACAATAACAGGTAAACTAGATATCTCAATATAGACAGTAACAGGTAAACTAGATATCTCTGTATAGACTGACACAGGTAAACTAGATATCTCAATATAGACAGTAACAGGTAAACTAGATATCTCTATATCGACTATAACAATTAAACTAGATATCTCTATATAGACAGTAACAGGTAAACTAGATATCTCTCTATAGACAGAAACAGGTAAACTAGATATCTCTATATAGACAATAACAGGTAAACTAAATATCTCTATATAGACTGACACAGGTAACAGGTAAACTAGATATCTTTATATAGACAGTAACAGATAAACTAGATATCTCTTTATATACAATAACTGGTAAACTAGATATTGCTGAATAGACTGACACAGGTAATCTAGATATCTCTACATAGGCAACATTAGATAAAGTAAATATCTCTATATGGATAGGCTTAGATAAACTTGATATCTCTTTTTAGATTGATATCTCAAATATACTACACTTTTTAAATCATGTAAATCTTCCTTTTTTTACTATTCTGACCTCAAACAATATGATGTTAGCTTTCCAGATTTGTCACTGAATTGTTTTTCTTTCAGAATCCATTTACAAAATCTAAAGGTCTGGTTCAGTGTGTCCTTTTCCACCCTGTCAGGCCATTCCTGTTTGTTGCGGTAAGTAAAATAAGTAATGGTATCACAGACAGACAGATAGACAAACAGAAAAACAGATAGACAGACATATGAAAAGATAGACACATAGAATATTTCCTGTTTGTAGCTTTAAGTAGTGAAGTAAAACACAGACAGATAATATATCAAACACTCCAACTGACATATTGAAAGAATATGCCAACATGTAGCTCTGAATATCACAGTGACTTAAGAACAAAACCAGAGCATTTAAAGAAGTATAGCATGAACATTGTAATAGGTGAATTAGGTGAACTGGGCATCTGAATACATTTTATAATCTCAGTGCTCTGGCATAGTGTATAAAAATATTCTGTAGACTCAGTAGTACATGTATTTCAGTTTTATGTATAAATATATTTTGTAGACACAGCGCTATGTTAGAGTGTATAATTTACTGAAACAAGAGTTATCAAAGAAACTGATGACCAACTGTAAATGGGTGTCCAGTATGACTGTCCACTCAGGAGGTAAGATTAGTAATGTCCAGTATGACTGTCCACTCAGGAGGTAAGATAAGTAATGTCCAGTATGACTGTCCACTCAGGAGGTAAGATAAGTAATGTCCAGTATGACTGTCCACTCAGGAGGTAAGATTAGTAATGTCCAGTATGACTGTCCACTCAGGAGGTAAGATAAGTAATGTCCAGTATGACTGTCCACTCAGGAGGTAAGATAAGTAATGTCCAGTATGACTGTCCACTCAGGAGGTAAGATAAGTAATGTCCAGTATGACTGTCCACTCAGGAGGTAAGATAAGTAATGTCCAGTATGACTGACCAAGATAAGTAATGTCCAGTATGACTGTCCACTCAGGAGGTAAGATAAGTAATGTCCAGTATGACTGACTACTCAGGTCGTAAGATAAATAATGTCCATATGACTGACCATTCAGGAGGTAAAATTTGTAATGTGAGTTTTAGGATTTTTTCCAAAAAATTTCTTAAAACAATGTGTAGATTTTAATTTCCTTTGTCACATACACTTTATCATTAGAGCTCGCTGTACTGTCACATACACTTTATCGTTAGAGCTCGCTGTACTGTCACATACACTTTATCATTAGAGCTCGCTGTACTGTCACATACACTTTATCATTAGAGCTTGCAGTACTGTCACATACACTTTATTGTTAGAGCTCGCTGGACTGTCACATACACTTTATCGTTAGAGCTCGCTGGACTGTCACATACACTTTATCGTTAAAGCTCGCTGGACTGTCACATACACTTTATCGTTAGAGCTCGCTGGACTGTCACATACACTTTATCGTTAAAGCTCGCTGGACTGTCACATACACTTTATCGTTAGAGCTCGCTGTACTGTCACATACACTTTATCATTAGAGCTTGCTGCACTCCCTATTAACCAATGCTATTGAAGATGCATAGTAAAGCTTAAATTATTAAAAAAATACATGATTTGACCTTGAATATTTTATTGTTGCCTGGGTGTCAATGTTATAGTAGGATATTGTCATTTTCATCTCTCATAATTTGACTTTGACTTTGTTTTGTTTTGTTGGCTAGGAGACAATGTTATAGTAGGAAGTTATGATTGTCGTCTCTCATGGTTTGACCTTGACCTTTCCATGAAACCTTACCAAACACTCAGGTTAGTTTTCCTTTTTTTTTTAACATCCTTTAAACCACAGAATTGAGCAATTAGTGATGACATTTTTTTTATGTGTTTAGTATTTACATCTAAGATTCTTGAAAAATGAACACAATTTCATTACATTTACAATATATTTTTCAGGCACCATAAGCGGGCTATCCGAGCTGTTAACTTCCACAGGAAATACCCACTGTTTGCCTCGGCTTCTGACGATGGAACGGTCATTGTGTGTCATGGAATGGTGTACAAGTGAGTTATTGACACTGAGATTTAACAACTCAATTAAATCATAAACAATATAGTATAAACTACTGTATATAAAATAAACATTGAAGTATTGTGGTTCATCACTGCATACATTCTAAAAGAAAAAATTATTTACTCTTAATTGTTTCTAATAATGTATTGTATGAAACAGAAAAGTAATTTTCAGTTAAACAATTGTTAATGTTACTTGTATGATTTTTTTAAGAAATGAGGGAAAGAAATTAACATTCAATCTGTTATAGTAAGTACAAATTTGAACTATTAAGGGAAATCAAACTAATAACCTTTACAGAGCCTAAGATTATTTTTTTTTCAGTGACTTGTTGAAGAATCCTCTGATTGTGCCTGTGAAGATTCTAAAGGGTCACTCCATTTCCCAGGGTCTGGGAGTCTTAGACTGTGTGTTCCACCCCAGCCAGCCCTGGGTTTTCTCCTGTGGGGCAGATACAACCATCAGACTGTTTACGTGACCCTCCCTAGTCTGGGTCATTCCTGGTGGGGAGTCCCTCAGCTGTTATAGGAGTATTGTGCTCCAGAAAAGACTGTGTGACACAATGAAGATAAATCATGAATGAAACGTTGTAGAGAGACATCATAGAGATACTTCTGAATGATATCTCAGATACTTCTTACATGGTTTTTGCATTTCATTTTTGTGGAATGAGACTATATTTTTATTTTGTTGGAAATAAACATTTAAAAAATTACAAATATTTGAGCTTACTTTTATTTTTTAGTAATTTGTAAATGAAACTGACAGTATAATCTTTGTAGTAGAACAATTGTTAATTAATAACATGGTTATGGTAAACCTAAATGCAGGCAAACCATTTTACAAATGATTAAATCTCCTGTCAAATATTGAAGAGGTTGTCACATTCCACAACCTGTAGAGCTACAGTCTCATTGCAGACATCTGTTTGTGGAGTGTGATCTTTTAAATTTATTTTGATTTTTTAAAAAATGAATTTGAAAAATATTTAGTTTTGCCATTTAAGTTACTTGAAAATGCATTCTGGTCTTTGCTGCAGAACTTGTTTATCAATAGCATGGCAGATGTAAATGCTAGAAAACATTTTTATTTCTGTCAAAGCAAAGGTAAATTAGCCATCTGTTTTCAAATGCAGGGAATTCTATGAGTGTATATTATTAAAATCTACCTTGGACCTTATTTGTGTATAATAAATTCAGGTTTCATCATTCACTGAAGATGGAGAAATGAGGAAAGCACATATCCTGGGCTTTTGATCATTGTTTTGTTAGCTGCTCTGTACATGGTGGAATTAGCATAATCCTGTTTCACGCCCAAACTGTTTGTTAATAACTTGCGTATTAGAAACTACTGTAAACTAGGAAGTTTTACTCAATGATTTTTATCAATATTCAATTACTGACTTTAATAACAGAAAATCATCTCTCTCAGGTGTCAGAGGTGGCTAAGTATGTAGACTTATTGAAGCTCTGTAACAATATTTGATACCCATTGGGGGGGGGGGGGCAGTTTGGACTTTACAGCAGAAAGAGGATCATTTTTGTGGTCCCAATTACATTTTCAATGAGATTGGCTGTTTGAATAAGCATGTGGTCAGAATCACAGATCAGAAAGGGGGGGGGGGGGGGGTAAAAGATGGGTGAGCTTTGATCTGATTGACAGAGCTTTCACAGAGGTGCTGATATCTGAGATTTAAATTCTTAACCAAGAAATCTCAGTTTCTGAATATATATATAGATTATATAGATTTAATTCTAGAAGGGGCGTGGCAAGTGGGCGTCTCCCGCTAACAGGAGACCTCGTTATAGAACCACAGCTGTGATGCACAGGGATCTGTACAGTAATGGGGACCAAAGAAAATATTCTCCTCCTAACAGGTAGGATTTTATCTTTAATTGTTTTACTGATGACAAATGAAACTGAAACTGATTTATTTGATTAAACGTCTATTTTTACACAAACGTATTCAATGGCGTTGTACAGTAAAACTGTAAAAAAAAAAAAAAAAAAAAAAAAAAAAAAAAATTTACATATTATGTACAAATATACATGGAGAATAATCATTAAAATAAAGCATCAAAGTCCCTAAAGAAGTAATTTTTTAAGTTGTTTTTGAAATCATTAATAGATTTTGATTGTTTAATATAAAAAGGCAGTTCATTCCACAATTTTGGTCCGATGGTACTAAAACTCCTGTCGCTGAAAGTTTTTCTTTTATTAAATGGGACTATGTAACAGCTTTCGGAATTTCGGGAAGAGCGCAATTTTGATTTGAAGTTTGTTTTGACAATAGTTCAATTAAATATTCTGGTGCTTGGCCCACTGAACAATTATACATGAATGTCAGAATCTTGAATGATATTCTAGACAAATGTTAAGCCCAGATACTATAAACTTTTTTCTAGCGACTAAATGTATGTAAATAAAGAAAATAAGTAAGTGAATAAATCAAATAAATTTATGAATTTTAAATTTTTATTCAAAGTTTCTCAGTATTGACCTCTAAGGTCAGGATAAGTTGCATAGATCTTTAATGGGTGCGGAAACCCCTCCCCGTCCTCGTGATTTTCCGAGTTAAAAATTTCTATGTAAAAGTAACGAAAAAAGGACGTTGGAACTCTCCTCTTCTCCAGGAAAGATGGAGAGTCCTTTACCCGACGAAAATTGACGTAGCCCCCCCCCCCCAACACACACACATGCGCGTGCGAAATAGGTCTCACAGGTTAGGTGGATTTATTATGATTCTCTTTTCTCGGGAGGGGGGTAGTGTTGGTTTGGTTTGTTTGTTTGTTCTTTTTTTAAATTTTAGTCAAAAATATTTTTCTAAAAATTCCTAGATCAGTGCCTCTTTTTTTTCATAAATCAGCGGTATATCCAATATATTTATATTTATATTCATATATTTATGTACATACCTTGATTAATGTTTGTCAAATTTGAAAACATTTTCAGATTTTATAATTACGTGATAAAATTTATATAGATTTATAGAAAGAGTGCAACAAAGTCGCATATTTGAACGTCAAAGGAAATCTTTACATTAGAGGAATTTATATATGTCATTTCTGTTCAAAAATATACATGCATATCAATCCATGTATCAATTTTTTGTTTGCGTTTGCGCTATTTATCCTTAAAATTCTAGAATCAGGAACAAAGATCAACATTTTTCTTAAGCAAGAGACATGAAATCATGAAAAAAAAAACCTCATTAATCAAAAACATAAGCCTGTGTGTTTACATATAATTTCACTGGGTTGTAGTAAATCCTGTATTTATGACTTTTTTAAACATTAGATTACGTAAATCAAAGATATGTTGTTGTTTATATATATATATATATATATATATATATATATATATATATATATATATATATATATATATATATATATATATATATATATATATATATATATATATATATATATATATATATATATATATATTCTTATATAAAAGTTTGAAACCCTTTTGTGACCCCACCCTTCCCCGGGTCTGATTTAAAAAAGTATTGAAAATGCACTATCTTAGGATGCTTACATATTAATTAATACGACTAACCATGGTATTGTTGTTCTTGAGAAGATTTCTAAAGATTTTTTCCTGTATGTTCACATCTATAAAACGTTGATCCCTCATCTTGACCCCTAACAAGCTTGAATTTTAGATATCAGAAAGTTGACACACAAGCTTTTCATAATTTCTGGCCAAGTGATTCTTGAACAAAAAAAATAAACACTTAGGACGTTGCCCTTTATTTAAATTAACTTGAATGCCCTTCACCAAAAGACTTTATGTGATGTTTGACTGATATTGGACCAGTGGTTCTGACCGTTGATCGAAATAAAAAATTGATATACAGAGTTATGTACCCTAGTTTTAGTCTACCTGTTCCCCAAGTTATATTGGCCGTAAGAGGAATTAATGGGGTTTTGAAAATTTATTTACAGCCAGAAAAACAGACGGATGGAGACCTTACTATTGCATAAGTTCTTTTGGTCTCTGACCAGTACTCGTATAGCTAAAATTAGACGCCTCCATAATTCCAATTTCAGCATGTGCAACAAGCAGATAAAGAATTAAGACTTTTACTGGCTAAGATAGAATGTGAAATTTTTATAAATAATTTATTTTTGTGTTAACATTTTATTTTTCAGTGTGCGTCTGCCTAGGGGAAATTTCTTCAAGTTCATTGTTTAAGTAAGTATTGATACGAAAGAAAGAACGAGACCTTATTCTCCCTAAAAAAAAAAATTATTGCTTTATTAATAAATATACAAAAGAGCAAAACAAACAAAAGACACAGAACCGAAACAAAAGATGTACACACACAAACCGGCCCCTTTTGATTTTTCATAGCATTTGAAATTCCCATTAATTACCATGATTTCTTGCGAACTGCTTCTTTTCCTGTCAATTTAATTTCAATGCAGGATTTTTAAAACTATTTTTAAGGTAGCCTAATCCTCAAGTTTATAAAATCAGCAGTCAAGTAATTGAAAATAAATACTTGCAAAAAAATGTCTCTGGATTCACACAGTAATGTGTATTTGCCCATTTTACTTCTACAAAGTCCATCATTTTAGTTAATCATTAATAGAAAAATAAAATCAAATCTCAAGCATTTTTCAGGAATTTCATCACGATTCACTTTGACTCTCTTGCTTTTCATCAAGTATGTAACATTTATATTGCATGTTTTCTGGCACAGAAGAGAGACTGATTCAAACAGTGGCGTTTTGACCCAAGTCGGAAAGACGGTGTGGAATTGCATGTCCAGTAAGCTGACAGAGGCTGTTACAGAACTCCTAAAGGACATCAGCGAGGCTTCTAGTATCAACAACTGTTGGTAAAACCCTCAGTATAAAGTCATAACTCAGTGATGTATCTCAGTAAAATACTAATATCTCATTAAAAATGCATCACTGGAAAATAGTGTAATACCGGTATCACAGTTACAGGTTATATCTCAGTAAGAAAATACCGGTATCACAGTTAAAGGTTATATCTCAGTAAGAAAATACCGGTATCACAGTTACAGGTTATATCTCAGTAAGAAAATACCGGTATCACAGTTACAGGTTGTATCTCAGTAAGAAAATACCGGTATCACAGTTACAGGTTATATCTCAGTAAGAAAATACCGGTATCACAGTTAAAGGTTATATCTCAGTAAGAAAATACCGGTATCACAGTTACAGGTTATATCTCAGTAAGAAAATACCGGTATCACAGTTAAAGGTTATATCTCAGTAAGAAAATACCGGTATCACAGTTAAAGGTTATATCTCAGTAAGAAAATACCGGTATCCCAGTTAAAGGTTATATCTCAGTAAGAAAATACCGGTATCATAGTTAAAGGTTATATCTCAGTAAGAAAATACCGGTATCACAGTTACAGGTTGTATCTCAGTAAGAAAATACCGGTATCACAGTTACAGGTTATATCTCAGTAAGAAAATACCGGTATCCCAGTTACAGGTTATATCTCAGTAAGAAAATACCGGTATCCCAGTTACAGGTTATATCTCAGTAAGAAAATACCGGTATCACAGTTACAGGTTATATCACAGTAAGAAAATACCGGTATCACAGTTAAAGGTTATATCTCAGTAAGAAAATACCGGTATCACAGTTAAAGGTTATATCTCAGTAAGAAAATACCGGTATCACAGTTACAGGTTATATCTCAGTAAGAAAATACCGGTATCACAGTTACAGGTTATATCTCAGTAAGAAAATACCGGTATCCCAGTTAAAGGTTATATCTCAGTGAGAAAATACCGGTATCACAGTTACAGGTTGTATCTCAGTAAGAAAATACCGGTATCACAGTTACAGGTTATATCTCAGTAAGAAAATACCGGTATCACAGTTAAAGGTTATATCTCAGTAAGAAAATACCGGTATCCCAGTTAAAGGTTATATCTCAGTAAGAAAATACCGGTATCACAGTTACAGGTTGTATCTCAGTAAGAAAATACCGGTATCCCAGTTAAAGGTTATATCTCAGTAAGAAAATACCGGTATCATAGTTAAAGGTTATATCTCAGTAAGAAAATACCGGTATCACAGTTACAGGTTGTATCTCAGTAAGAAAATACCGGTATCACAGTTACAGGTTATATCTCAGTAAGAAAATACCGGTATCACAGTTAAAGGTTATATCTCAGTAAGAAAATACCGGTATCCCAGTTAAAGGTTATATCTCAGTCAATGATCTCAGCCAGTGTAATCTCAGTGTTATCTCAGTCAATTGTATTTTAGCTAGAGTTATCTCAGTCATGATATCTCAGCCAGAATTATTAAAGTAACAGAGTATCATCTCAGTCATATGTATCTCAGTCGATGTGATTTATTTCAATAGTGGCAGAAACTTGATTATCATTGTAACATTGTATCTCAATTGTGAGACACTATATTGTGTTAATTAGCAAGAAACTGGTATCTCAATGATAATATTATCTCAGTGGGGTATTTTTTTTAAGAAAGTGAAAGCTCTGTGAGCATTGCAATGGTATCTAAGTGCAACAAACATACCCAAGTAAAAACTCTTTAGATGTAGACTTCATACGTTCTTTTACAATTTGTTGTTTTATAACTTAAAGTATTTGAATAGAAACCAGAAATGTAGCATGTATTCTCATTTTATCACCCATTTATAGGTACAGTGGACAATATGGGAGTTGCTTGTCAGCCAACCTTAGTACAGGGCCTGCAAGTCATGTAGTCAACTTCAACAACGTGGTGTACCCAAAGCCATGTGTAGCCCAGCAAGGTACAGGATGGAGGCTGTTAATTATAGGGCCCAGCATTTCAGATCTCGCACTCATAAAAAAATACCTTATAGTTTAGCATGAGGACTGTTATAGGGCCTCAACATTTCAGATCTACAACTCCCTGGTACAGAATGAGGACTGTTATAGGACCTAAAAGTATCAGACCTTACCCCAAACTTTCAAACTGCTACAGAATGAGGACTGTTATAGGGATTCAACATTTAAGACCTCTCACTCTTAAAAACTCCTAATATATCTTCTACCTTATCTGTTGAGCAGCATTATTATGGGCAGAACAAGTTTGATGTAGGTTGAAATATCTACTGGAAGCTTGATTTTCATTCATTAAGATTTCTCAGTACCAGCCCAGTACCAATTGCATGAAGTTTATCAAACCGAGAGACCATTTGTAAAATGTTCATTGATATTTATCCTAGTCATTAGCTCATGAGTTGGGTGTCACTTTGCCTTTTTTCTAAATATTTTGTCAACTGCAGCAGGTTCAAATGCCCCCCCCCCCCCCCCCCGTTTCTCCCTTTTGATTTTGTAGGTCACAATAGGAAACAAATTTCATTCAGCAACTAAATTACTATTTGATAATACATCTTCTATTAATAATCTAGTGTCTACAACCAAATGCATTTCAACCGCCATGTCAGAGGTCAGTAAGTATGGCTGTGAGAGCAAAGTGGAGGAGAACCTCGGGAAGCTGAAGAGTTCCACTCTATCAGAGGAGGATCTAAAGGAGGCGTACTGTAGGTGAGCTTATCTAAAGGAGGCCTACTGTAGGTGAGCTTATTGTAAAAGCTGCTGTCGAAGCTGTCTTTCTGTAGCAGGGCTCTATATTTTCATGCATGTACGTATCTTATTAGCGTTGTTACATCTGAAATTCCCAGTTATATAATGAATATACACACCAAGAGTTCTGAATTATGATTGCATGCATTAATGTAAAGCATACCTTTATAGGTGGGCTAATTTTCTGAATACAATAAAATAAAAACACAACCCTTTCATTTTTCAGGACATCGACACCCAATATTTTATTTCTAGGACCTCTGTGACAGCATACAGCTGTATTTTATTTTCAGGACTCTGTGACTGCCTAAAAGTTGTATTTCATTTCTCTGGACCTTAGTGACAGCCTAGAGGTTTATTTATTTAGAGCTTGGCGACAGCCTATAACTGTAATTTATTTTCAGGCCTCAGTGACAGCCTATGTTTATTTTTCAGGGCCTCAGTGACAGCCTACGTTTATTGTTCAGGGCCTCAGTGACAGCCTATGTTTATTTTTCAGGGCCTCAGTGACAGCCTACAGCTGTATTTTGTCAGTGGTGAAGTACTGTGACGTTACTGGGGGACCTAAGATAATGGACAGTCTATCCATGTTTAACAGAGTCCACACTGCTTGTTCATCCTACCTGCCTGCCACCACTACTCCTAAATCTACCGACTCTGACATCGGTGGCATTGGAGACCTCTTCCCATCTGATACAGATGATAAGGGATCAAACGTGAACACTGCCTCCGCACCCAGTCACACAGAGTCCTTCAGAGCCTGCACAGCCACAGTTATCTGCCTTGTTTTCATGGTGTTTACTATTGCTTATTAAACATCAGACAATATAAACTACCGGTAGTACTTTTTATGTCTTACATTGCATCACAGTGTTGTTTATTTACTTAGTATGTAATAATCTCCATTTTGTTCTTAACAGATGTTACTTCTATATTCATCTTGTATAAAAAAAATTACAATAATAATACTCATAAAGAATAAAAATTTATTTACCACCCAAAAATCAGACAATTTTTCAGATGTCAGCACAGTGCTCCATACTTCATGAAAAGAATCAAATGATATTTACAATGTTTTGTCACATAGAAGTAATATGTAAATTAGCATCTCTACTTAATGTGAAAAGAAAAAAAATTCTATGCTGTAATAATCCATATTAATAAATACAAGTACTATCAGATTAAGAGTACTACGAACGAATCATATTTATTTTCCTGTGCAGGAAATATCCACAGTATTTACAAGTACATTGCTGTGCAACATAAAGCTATTTTTTTATACTGCATCGAGTCCAATAACAGAAATAAGAATCAAAATGAAAGTGATGTCGACACAACAATGAATCAGTTCATCTTTACAAAGTAAAATGAAGTCTGTAACACAGTTATAGTTTGTACACAATTTTTTTAGACAGTTTAGTTAAATAAATTTGTCAGGATGATTTATGATGGAGTAAAATCACAAAAAAACTGTTCTCTATCACATCTGTACAGATCTCCTGGAGGGTGAGTCTAGTCTGTCTAGCTTTACGAATACAGATCCTCCTGATCAGTCCCTGGGAGGTCAGCCTCGTCCATCGAGCTGAAGTTGAGGAAGTGTGATGGCCTGTGAACCTCATGATAAAACTCCTTAGGATTGGACAGCTGGAGCTCATACTTCATGTTAGGATCATGTCGTACTCCTACAAATGTATCAGAAGCATTAACAAAAGAATCCAACAAAACTAAACTAGACAATCTTCAGCAGTACAATTTATTCTATTTCATAGTAACTGAATATGTCTACATGATCAGCCACCTATTCTTTCTACAATAAAAATGAGCACGTTGAGAGAAATTGATTGATACAGTCTACAAAGTATTTTCACTTACCCATGAAGTTGTAGTTCCATGAGCCCTCAGAGGGAGTCATGAAGAATCCAAGGAATCTGTCAGATAACAACATCTGAACACGCTCGTAGTGGGAGGGGAGGTAACCCTTGGGGTTGTTACCAGTGTCAGTGTTCTGTCGTCCCCACTCACAGCCCGTGGGGGTTAGTTTGTAGGCAGTCAAGGAGCAGGACCCAGGGGTAAAACTTAAAGAATTAAGGAATTAAAACAGATTTAGATCATGTTATTGAAACATTCATTGATAATAAACTTTTGCCATGCTAAAAAAAGTACAAGACGTGTTCCCTGAATCAGTTACAGTGCAGAGCTTGGCCTTACACCAGTTACATGTATTTACCTGCAGGTGATAATGACTGTTTTCTCTCCATCCCAGGATGGATTGTCAGCCATCACTTTAGCGTGTGTGGTGATGTCTTGCGGTGACAGCTGTGGTAACTCGTTAGGCTGGGTGTGGATCCATCCAAGGGGCTCCATCTCCTACAAATGCACCACCACATACATCATTTAATCTACAGACTTAATGTGGTTAATACTATCATCCTTTCCTACCTTGAGATACTTGTGGCTGGGGAGGGGATAGGGGAGGTAAACTGTCTGATGAGCTTACTTCTGGTTGGGGAGGGGGAGGGGATGGGGGAGATGATACATACCTTGAGATACTTGTGGTTGGGGAGGAGGTGGGGCAAGTGAACTGTCTGATGAGCTTACTTGTGACTGGGGAGGGGTGGGGGAGATGATACGTACCTTGAGATACTTGTGGTTGGGGAGGGGATAGGGGAGTTAAACTGTCTGATGAGCTTACTTGTGGTTAGGGAGGGGGTTGGGGAGATGATACATACCTTGAGATACTCGTGGTTGGGGAGAAGGTGGGGCAGGTGAACTGTCTGATGTGTCCCCCACTGTGGAGGTAACACAATACATCTGATCTCCTTCACCTGAGGGTTGTCTGGGGGACTAACTCCATACAGGTAACCAGCAATCTGGAACAGAAAACATACAGATTTCAACATTAGCATTATCAGAGACAAGGTATCATGTTGATCATCTCAAAAGGCTCTGCTTTTAGGAAATCACATACAATTTACTTTCGACTTGGTTAAAAAACTGCACTCTCTTCATTCTATTCTTTGACTAATTGATAAAGGTCAGAAAATTTAATCTCTACATAAGGATTTAACAGAAAGATCTATTTGACCCTGACCTCTAATCTGGAGGCTTAGTTCAAGGTCAATATATATCCTTTTCTTTAAGTATAACAACTCTTTAAGTATAGCATCAGCCCAAAAGGAGAGTTAATTTGCTCCAGACAAAGATTTTACAAAAAGACATATTGACCTCAACTTTTAACCTAGAAACTTGAATAGAGGTCACTGCATAGGCACCCTGTTGGTGAAATACAAGGCAGAGGTGCAAAGGGAAGAAATATAGTAAAACAAGTCTAGCAAAAACCCAGGGACAAATTTGATTCATTGTAAAGAATTTTTTATAATTTCATAAAACTATAGGCAATTAAAATCACTTTGCTGTAAGCATTCATTATAAAGTATTTGCTGTAACTATGTTTTACTAATATATTATTTAAACATACAGAAATACTGATCCCAACTGCTTGTTCTGACAAAATGTGGTTTTTTATAATTTAGGATTAATATGGATGAATTTCAGGGACTGGGGGCCCTAATATAAAGAGTTGACCATAAATAACATATTTCCTCAAACTTACCTGAGCTCTGAGATCTGAGATAATGATAAATTTCTTCAGTACATTCTTGGGCAGAATGTATGTATAGCCAGTCTCCTTAATGTCATCTGATGATACATAGATGTGGTTAGTTCTCAGGTGAAGGTTCGTGGCTGAGATGGCTCGAACTCGCCATTCAGTCTTGGAGGCAAATGTGGAGGTCTCATAATTACTGGTAGTGGATGTAATGATCTCGTCTCCATGTTTGTTTACAGTACGTGTTGTTGTTGCCGTCAACTGAGACTGCTCCTTTGTCTGTTTCTCTATCTCGGCAATCTGTACTCGCTGAGCTGAAGGAGCTGAGATTTCCATTCCCAGAATTATATCTCGGATCTCAGACTGAGTCAGGGATGCTACATTAACACTGAAAGGAAAAATATATATATTTTATAAATAATTAAATGTAGATCTATTTCGGAGATCTGAACAGAAATTCTATGTCTTCTCAAATCTATAAATCCTCTTTTAACATACAGCAAGTTTTCAAAATTCATTTCTTAATTTGAAGATGTAGAGGGTCTGGTTTCATTTTGTCCTTTTTTTGTTTAACACTTTCCATATGATCTCCTTAGAGCGCACAAATCTTTTTTTTCCTTTACTTACTTGTTTTTCTTGCCGTAATCAGCCATAATGAGATCTTTGAGCTGGTTTTCTATCTTCATCCACTCTTCATCAGACAGACTCGGCCAGATGTGATGAGCCTCAGTGATGGTCGTTTTGTCAGGCTTAAGAATGACCTTTGTCCTGTCATTATTTACATGTAATGCTCTCAGGATCAGAATCAAACGGGAGAATGCCTGTATAATCAGAAATAAAATAACTACATGTAGAAATCTGAATCATATACTGTAAACGTATTACATTTGGCAGTGTATCCTATTTAGGGCTTTTCACGGAAGGCAGCTTCCACTGAATCAAGTGCGTCGACACGTGTCAGTCATTCAAATACTTACCATGTAAGAGGAAGTAGTCTTCAGCCAATCGTCATACAGATTAAACAAGACCAGTCTTTCAAATACTTACCGTGTAAGAGGAAATAGTCTTCAGCCAATCGTCGTACAGATTAAACAAGACCATCTGAGGTTCAGTAGCTTTCAGAATTAAATCTCCAAACTTCTCCACCTGTCAAAACAGAGGGCAAATAAGCTGTTAAAATTCATCAATCCAACTGACTTTACCTCTACACATGTGTACTATGTTGAAAAGTTTCGACAATAAAAATTTCTTTTGTGTATAAAACTAAGAGCTATTTGCTCTGGCTGCCTTCTATACATACATGTACTCCTTCAAATATATCTATGTTGCAGTTTCTTATAACAACTTTCTCCTGATTTTTCCAAAACTTAACTGTCTTTCCTGGCATCATGTTTCTTGTTCTTGCAGTGTTTAAACATAATTTTGAGCTGTCAAATTCAGCAACTATTGTTGAATTCAACAACATTGTCAAAATTCACTTTTTCTGAAGAAAAAAAATAATTGTGTCCCCTTGTTACATCTTCCCAAATAAGTTATCTCCCTTACCTTAAGACAGGCTTGGAATGGTAGCTGGAGTTCACTGCCCTTGATGACAATGTTGGGGAAATCCAGCAGGTGGACTTCCAGAGGATCTAACATTCCTTTCCTAGTCACAATGATTTGTTTAGGCTGCTCCTCTACTGGCAGTGATCGAATCAGAGCTGCCACTTCCTCAGCGGTCTTCCATTTGGCCAGCTACAAAAAACAGCAAAATGTTTATACACACAATCACTAAGGCATGCTTAAAATGCTCTGCCTTAGAACTAAAATGAAGGCATCATTAAAATTAGTGTAATACGATATCAATTATGCCAAAGATAAAATATGAATTAAGATTTACTGTATCTAAGTGCTTAATAATGATTTTAGCTCCTGTTCAAACTTAAACTCACCTGTCCAAGACGTTTCTGGCCTGCCCACACAGAGGTGTGAATAATCTTCAGGAACAGCTGTCCTGTCCGAGGATTGAAGATAAAGATGGCACCATTGATTGGTTTAGTGGTCAAGTTCCCTTCAAAAGTCTGAAACACAAAAAATCTTGCACATCAAAATACTTTGCTTTAGTTGAAAAATTGGCAAAACATCGTAACAAATTCATGACGTGAGTCTTCAAGGTATTCAGTAAGGCTCATGGTTATCAAACATAGAAACAAGGTTCTGGTTTATTGCTTTTATACCATATATCAGTTGAACATGCGCTCAGTTTGACATTTCAGAAACCCAAAACATCGAAAAATTGTATTTTCAATCTGGTCATATGATCACATCTCTGATTAAATGGTCTTAATTTCAACCAAGCAGGTTTATAATGGAGAAATACTGCCAACTTAATTAGAAACTAATGACAGAGAACCATACCTTGTGGATAGTGACTCGATACACGTTTGTGTCGTCCACGAACCAGATGATCTGATTGGAGAAGAGCTCGCCGTAATTCTGAGATGACAGATACGGTTCAGTGGGCTCAGAAGAATACAGCTGGAGTCCCTTACGAATTCTCTCCCTCAGGACGTACAGAGCTGGATTAGCTTTCATGATCTTAGCCATGGCTTGTTGGATTAAAGGTTTACAACCTGGGAACCAGTTACCATAACCACTGAAATACAAAATAGCAAAGACTGATAAGGAACCAGTCAAAATAAACTGCTGGAAACAAAATATATCTTGTAACCAAGGAATATGAACAAAAACTATTGTTATTACTGCTTTTATTTAAATGTCATACTTAAGTTGGAAAACCATAATTAAGCAGTCAATAATTAATTGTGCTAAATAATAATTAATGTAAACAACCTGTAAATGTACACAATAACTGATATCAATACCTGTTAAGGTTTATAGGCCTGGCTTTGGGGCCATAAAACTTAGACAAGCTCACTTTTGATCTCAGTCTCACTTTTACAAAAAGAAGTGAGACTTGTGAGCTGTCGAAAGTTTTATGGCCTTAGAGCCAGATCTATACCAGTCATGTAGAGGATGGAAGTCTAACCCTAACCATTGTACCTGATAATGATATCCATACCTGTGTAGGTTATAGGCCAGATCTATACCAATCAGCAGGCCTGTAGGGGATGTTTAACCCTAACCTTGTACCTTATAACTGATATCCATACCTGTGTAGGTTATAGGCCAGATCTATACCAATCAGCAGGCCTGTAGGGGATGTTTAACCCTAACCTTGTACCTTATAACTGATATCCATACCTGTGTAGGTTATAGGCCAGATCTATACCAATCAGCAGGCCTGTAGGGGATGTTTAACCCTAACCTTGTACCTTATAACTGATATCCATACCTGTGTAGGTTATAGGCCAGATCTATACCAATCAGCAGGCCTGTAGGGGATGTTTAACCCTAACCTTGTACCTTATAACTGATATCCATACCTGTGTAGGTTATAGGCCAGATCTACACCAATCAGCAGGCCTGTAGGGGACAGAAGTCTAACCCTAACCATTGTATCTGATAACTGATATCCATACCTGTGTAGGTTATAGGCCAGATCTACACCAATCAGCAGGCCTGTCGGGGATGTTTTACCCTAACCTTGTACCTTATAACTGATATCCATACCTGTGTAGGTTATAGGCCAGATCTATACCAATCAGCAGGCCTGTAGGGGACGGATAGATACTCATGTTGTCTGTGGTGTAATCAAGGAACTTGGCTCGAGCGTAGCGCTCAATGTCATGCGAGTCATAGTCACCCCATCTCAGCTGGATATCAATCCAATACTTCTGTGTGGTGGTGTTGTCCATAACATCCCTAACAGAGAACATTAGACAAAATTAGCATTTTGGAAAACTGCCCATATGATATGGAAGGCTTCATCATTTACAATGTTATCATAACAAGTAAGTACATGTCATCATGTCTGCATCAGTTAAGAAGTTTTGAATTTGGTTGACTTACTTTGAGTCTGCCAGCAGTGAAGGTTTGGACACGTTCCATTTGTAGGCAGCAAAAAGGAGAATATCAGCACAAGAACTGTTCATTTTGTAGGATTTACGGGGATGGATGGTCTCTTTCTGAACAGTTTCAATCTCCAGGGCATCCAGCTCCTGGTCAAACACCTAAACAGACAGATAGACATAACCAAAAGTCATCAGTGAACAGAAAGATTGACAAACATATCTGAAAGATCAGAGGTAAACAGACAGACATAACTAAAAGATGAGAAGCTCACAGACAGACAAACAGACATTAATAAAGATGGAGATTCACAGACAGACACACCTTACTAAAACATGAGGACCAACTGAAATTATTCAGAGATCAGAAGTTTAGCAGTTACATCTGACATTTTTAAAACTTCTCCAATCTTTTAGTAAAGTCTGTTTGTCTGTCTGGGAGCTTCTCATTTTGTCACTTATTCTGTTCTTCACAAATGGTAAACAATACATGGTCAACAGTCAGCTTTACTCAATTACAGAAAACTTCAAAGGACTATTATACTACCCTAAAACCTATATACATTTGTATAGTGTTTTACTGCACTATATGAATTGTTTTGTAAGAAAACCATTAGATCCATGCCTCACCTGACAGAGGTCCATGACAACACTTTCGTGGATTTTCTGCCACAAGTGAGCTCTGAAAATCTGGATGAGGGAAATCTTCAGGGTGGGGATTTTACCATGCATGAAGATTCCTGTCAAGTCCAGCTGTACTTGGAAACCCACATATACCTTGAAAGAATAGTTTACAAATCTGTTAAGGGTCGTATGAGAAAATTCTGTTCTATACACACACATGTATTATGTTTCTTTTGCTTCCAAAAAACAGAATCCTTTTCAGTATGTGAGTAATCAATCTCTAAGAATATACATTGTATATGACTCAATATTCATTGCAGAACTTATTTATATTAGCACCATATCTGACGGCTATGTTTGTGAACCAATTAACACGTATCAACACTTACATTGGCTCTGTTGATGGTGGGTGACCACCATAGTGTGAAGCGACGATTTGGGATCTGATTCAAACCTGACCTCTGGGCATTGGTCAGTTTTTTGTACTTCATGGATTCCTCAAATCCACTGGCCCTCTCCCTGCAATACAGCTTGATTAAGGGTCACATTAACAAGACAAAAACAATCTAGCTTTAATCCTTAAACTTCTTAACTAAAATACAAATTAATATGCTTCCTACTTCTCAGAAATATTCTCCAGAAAACAATTTTATATGTGATCAATTCATTCTCTCACACACCTTATCATGTACATGAAATAAAATGAGGAAAACTTAAATCATCCAAAAATATTATCACTTTGCCACAGCTTCAAACACGGAAAAAATTTGTTGACTTTTACTCAGATGTTAGTGATTAGTTTAATTAACCTGAAATGTGAAATGCTTCATTCTTGAGATTTATAAAGTTAAATGTATGAACAATGAGGAAAGTATAGCTGAAATGTGTCTGTTATGTACCCTGTGTAGAGTTACTGCTGAATTAAATTAGTTATGTCCCCTTGTCAGTGCACTCACCAGAACAGACCCTCCCATGTGGGGAGGTATGTCCCAGAACCTGTATCATGTCTGTAAGTACTACTCACCAGAACAGACCCTCCCATGTGGGGAAGTATGTCCCAGAGTCTGTATCATATCTGTAAGTACTACTCACCAGAAGACCCTCCCATGTGGGGAGCCTGTATCATGTCTGTAAGTACTACTCACCAGAACAGACCCTCCCATGTGGGGAAGTATGTCCCTTTAAACAATGTGTGCTCCAGTATACCCTCCACACCTCCCAGGGCCTGTATCATGTCTGTATGTACTACTCACCAGAACAGACCCTCCCAGGTGGGGAAGTATGTCCCTTTAAACAGTGTGTGCTCCAGAATACCCTCCACACCTCCCAGGGCCTGTATCATGTCTGTAAGTACTACTCACCAGAACAGACCCTCCCATGTGGGGAAGTGTGACCCAGAGCCTGTATCATGTCTGTAAGTACTACTCATCAGAACAGACCCACCCATGATGTGGGGAAGTATGACCCAGGGCCTGTATCATGTCTCTAAGTACTACTCACCAGAACAGACCTCCCATGTGGGAAGTATGTCCCTTTAAACAGTGTGTGCTCCAGTATACCCTCCACACCCCCCAGGGCCTGTATCATGTCTGTAAGTACTACTCACCAGAACAGACCCTCCCATGTGGGGAAGTATGTCCCAGAGCCTGTATCATGTCTGTACGTACTACTCTACAGAACAGACCATCCCAGGTGGGGAAGTATGTCCCTTTAAACAGTGTGTGCTCCAGAATACCCTCCACACCTCCCAGGGCCTGTATCATGTCTGTAAGTACTACTCACCAGAACAGACCCTCCCATGAGGGGAAGTGTGACCCAGAGCTTGTATCATGTCTGTAAGTACTACTCACCAGAACAGACCCTCCCATGTGGGGAAGTATGACCCAGGGCCTGTATCATGTCTCTAAGTACTACTCACCAGAACAGATCCTCCCATGTGTGGAAGTATGTCTCTTTAAACAGTGTGTGCTCCAGTATACCCTCCACACACCCAAGGGCCTGTATCATGTCTGTAAGTACTACTCACCATAACAGACCCTCCCATGTTGGGAAGTATGTCCCTTTAAACAGTGTGTGCTCCAGAATTCCCTCCACACCTCCCAGAGCCTGTATCATGTCTGTAAGTACTACTCACCAGAACAGACCCTCCCATGTGGGGTAGTATGTCCCTTTAAAAAGTGTGTGCTCCAGTATACCCTTCACACCCCCCAGGGCCTGTATCATGTCTGTAAGTACTACTCACCAGAACAGACCCTCCCATGTGGGGAAGTATGTCCCTTTAAACAATGTGTGCTCCAGAATTCCCTCCACACCTCCCAGGGCCTGTATCATATCTGTAAGTACTACTCACCAGAACAGACCCTCCCATGTGGGGTAGTATGTCCCTTTAAACAGTGTGTGCTCCAGTATACCCTCCACACCCCCCAGGGCCTGTATCATGTCTGTAAGTACTACTCACCAGAACAGACCCTCCCATGTGGGGAAGTATGTCCCTTTAAACAATGTGTGATCCAGAATTCCCTCCACACCCCCAGGGCCTGTATCATATCTGTAAGTACTACTCACCAGAACAGACCCTCCCATGTGGGGAAGTATGTCCCTTTAAACAGTGTGTGCTCCAGAATTCCCTCCACACCCCCCAGGGCCTGTATCATGTCCGTTCTGTAGTTGTTTAGGTTCCACAGCTTTCCATCATGTCTCTGGTGAGTCCACCAAAATGGATTCTGCTTCAATACCTGAAACAAAGTTAAAGTATATAACTGTTTGTTAACAAAGCTTCAACACCTGTAATACAGTTGTATATTGTGATAGGTTTCAACAACTGAAATGCAAACAGTGATTTAACCCTGCTTCAATACCTAGAAAATAAAGTTAATCTAGAGACCTCGAATGATTTGAATTCCTGCAACTCCTAAACTTGTAATCTGTATAAGCACAAGTAAACCCTGATTTTGTTCAAATTAAACCCCTTTATTTCAATTCCATAATATTTAATGTTCCACAAAAAGTATGATTTTCACCTACTAACAAGACATTTTATTTTTTAACCAAATAATGCTCTCCCCTTTAACTTACCTGGAAGGCTTTAAACTCTGTGCGAACTCTCCAACCTTTGTCGTACGCCAGTGTGTGTCTGTCCTTCTGGAACAAAGTGTTAATTCTGGGAACACCACGGTCCCAGCTGTCTTCCAAATCCTCGAGGGTTAATCTCCTACAAAACAAATCCAAATCATTAGAAAGATGTATAGCCACAACACAAAAAGCTGAAATAATTACATACTTAAAACATACACTCAAAGCACTGGAAATAAAACATCCTATATAAAGTGCATTGTAATCACAGATCACAATTGATATACAGTACAGGTTTGATCTCCCCCACTTATTGACTAACTTCTCTTATAGCATGAAGATCCTATGACAATTACTCTACTGAATGCAGTATAACTCCTACCTGTTCTGTGCGTTGGCCTCCTGTCTCTTCAGTGCATACTCCGCCCACACTCTTTGTGAATCAATAAACTCGCTCTCCCAGGGCATGATGTATCTATTCACAAAAGATAAATATTAAAGTAAATTAAACATTAATAATGCTTATCTTGGGAGAAGTAATCTTTAAATGTAGTTCTGTCTTCCCCTCATAACCCGAATATTGTGCATGGATGGAACAAACCTCAGATCATCAACAATTCTTAACAAAGTGAAAACATGTTTTAACTGACCTGTACAAATTGGGAATAAGTTGATCTTCATCATGACTCATACCAGATCTGAAGTGAGTGATTCCGACATCTGTCTGCTTGGACCAGCGTAGATCTGATTGAGGAATTAGAACGTGTCCCATGGACAACATACCCAGACCGCCCAGCTCTTTAGGGGTGTAAAACACTACAGGGGGGAACCTACTGGGCATCTTAGAATTCAGTCCAATCTTAATACGAGTCTGAATCTTGTTCTCACACTTGACCAGCAAGTCCAGTAACTCCTGCGTGTTCACTACGGCCTCTCTAAAGTAGGTCATTAAACCAATCAGGGCTGTGTTCCACTTGTTCACAATCTGAAGACAGGATATAATCATTTAGTATTAACACATATACATGTACATCTTACAACTAACACAGGTCTTCAGTAGCTTTCTGACTAACATTAATATTATCCTACCTTAGTAAATGTTGTTGATCCTGATGCCATCAGAATCTGTCGTACTCGGTTGTGGAATCTGGACATGGACTCATCATCCACTCTTAGGAAACACTGGGCAGTTCTCTCTTTGGTCACCTTAGGAAAACCACACACAAAATTACATAAACACCCAGTATTAGAGGCATAACTAAGCTGTCCTTCTTATACTGTACATTTTCAATTTCCATGTGTATATATATATATATATATCTATATCTTTGCAGAAAGATTCCAGATAATTTTTTGTCCATCATTTTGGTGCATGGAATGAACTAAAATACTGACAAACAGACTTTATACTGGTTCTTCCTAGGATTTAACTTAAACCTAATAAATAATGGTTAAAACTAGCATGGCTATACTATAAAGATTTCTGTAAGATGCCAAGTCTTACCTCATTTTGTAGATTCCAGACTCCATCCTTGTGCGTGAACTCCTCATGTGTTGTGCGACATTTGGGCAGAATTCGGCACTCGAAGCCGCACATGTTAAACAGAAGATTAGGATTGTCTTTACTATACACAGAGACAAAGCTCTCCTCCCATAGAATAGAAGTCACTGATCGTGGGAGACGGTTCTTAATGTCCCAAAACACAGCACGGCCTCTAAAATCATAATCATTACATGTAAATGTTTAAAATGTAAACACAGCACAGCCCCTAAAATCATAATCATATTGTAGAATCTTGACTTAAAACATTTAATCAGAGTGCTATGCCTCTTTAATGACCAAATTTTGAATCAATGATGGAAAATATCATCACAGATTTTATGTGTATTTTATACTGCATATTTAAACCAGATTAAACTGGCACTGTAGAGCAGGTTATGCTTGAGAGATTGATTACATTAACTGAAACTTGTTCTTAAGAAACTCAACACTGAGGCCTTCAGATACTAAATATATTTCTCCTACACCAAGATTATTTGCTAAACTGCTTATAATTATATTATCTGACTTACAAATTATGATCATGTTTTATCAGTGATAGTTTATAAATATCTATCTGACTTACAAATTGACGTCATGTTTCATCAGTGACTGTTTATTTTACCTATTTATAAATATTTATCTGACTTACAAATTGACGTCATGTTTCATCAGTGACTGTTTATTTTACCTATTTATAAATATTTATCTGACTTACAAACTGACGTAATGTTTCATCAGTGACTGTTTATTTTACCTATTTATAAATATTTATCTGACTTACAAATTGACGTCATGTTTCATCAATCTCATCCTAGAGTCCCGGGGCCAGCACTTTTTGTTGTTGTAACCCACAATATTTTCATTGTTTGGGTCTGGGTGTTCTGTCAGATATCGCTGGATCAAGTCTCGTGCCTCATCTGCTGAGAATCTATCAAAAACACAAACAAACATAAATATTCCTATCTTAAGACCTTCCAGTGATATACGTCCTACCTTAAAATTTTGATATCTCTTTTTATATATTAATATAGAATCTTTATCTGATACTGTATACAGGGTTATTTTCAACCCATGTTATTTTTGCATTTCACTCTTTCAAACAAGTTTGCCCCATATTAAATTCGCCAAGACAGAGTTGTGTTAAGAGATATGTGGTTTTCTTTGAATTCGCCCCATTTTAAATTTGCCCACTTGCAAAAAGGGCAAAAGGAACGAAAATAAAATAGGGGCAAAATTTTTCCTGTATACAGTATTCTTGTCTTTTTTAGACAGTACCTAAAGAAGATGTGAATTCTGTCGATGTATCTGGAGTACAGACGGATAGGATGGGCTGATTCTGTCTCGACATCCTGTAAAATAAAATCTTAATAAATCATTTTAATACAAAATCATAAGGACTGCCATTACATTCCTTCAGTGAAAGAGCTAATTACATCTAAACCGACACAAAATACATAAACTGTAATACCAAAACACAGAAATAGCCATCATCACATTTTACAATAACACAAGATTTTACCTGGAAGGTCAGGAAATCATTTGGCATCTGAGGAGGTCCAGCCATTTCACTGGCTCTGTGTAAACCTAGGACCAACAAGTCCAAGACAAGTCCATAGTACTGGACAATGAAGGAGGCAAACTGTAGTCCACGGATTATTCCATAGGAATTTGTGTGGTTCATGTCCTAAAAGTAGATCACTCATACTACTGCCTTATCACTTCCAAACAAGTTATGAATTTAAGGTGTGTGGGAAAGGTCTATCAACAAACATTCAAAACTTTGCAATAAGAAATAAATAAATTAGTCAATCTTTTGCAATAAAATTTTCAATAGAAAGGATGACTGCACTTAACGCCGGTTTTTGGGTCTTTTTCGGTTGCTTCTGTTGCTTTTATATCTAAACCTTATTTCACTTTTGTATGTTTATGAAAGAATCCTGTCAATTTGGAACTAAATTTAAATCTTAAAATGATTTTAGACCGTGATACAATAAAATGATTCAATGTTTTTTGTCCTTACTGCTTTCCAATTATAGAGAATTTACACTTACCTGCCCTTGATTGAACATAAGATATGCATGAGAGGTGGAGCTAACATTGTAAGAATGGGTCTAAAATTAGACTTGATAAATAACAATGACTTGTTTGAAAAAAGAACGTGATCACTCTTTCCAATCTCCTCTCCATTCTGTATGGCACAAATACACTACTGACAAAGGTTTCAAAATGAAATTAATAATAGGAGCACGTCAATGTAATTAAAGCAGATTTCATATCAATGCCAGATGACTTAACGTGTTCGAACACAATGTCCTAGTAAGCACAAAACATGCTACCTTACAAGTCACGTGACGGAATTTAGTATTCACAAAGTTACCTGGGGTAAAAAATCACGTGGTGAATTATTATATTCAACATGTCACAACCCTTGGTTACAACACAGAGAGCGAATGTAAGAAGAAGCAGTTTTTTTCTCTTTTTAACCATGAGCGCATGTTTGTCTATTAATCTCCTTTTGACACATTATTATTTATGCAAATATACAACTACTGTTAAACGTAGAACAATAGACAAACATGCGCTGACTATGCATGAAGTCAGTAAAAAAGTGGGCGTCCTCATTATCGAACGGAGATTCAAGAAATTGTGATGACCCCTGCCTTTGAAAACAGATTCGAACTTCGTAAATACACACTTTTATTACACGTAATTACAGTAAGTTGTAGATTGGATGTTGACCATTCTTGCAATGGAAAGAAAAAATGCTTGTTTTGAAAGTTTATTTTGTCGCAAATTTCGCCTGTCCTTAAGTGCAGTCATCCTTTTTACAACAAAGCTCTTTTCATAAGGGCTTATTAAGCAGACATTTTTTTCCATTGTACTCTGCCAACTCAATTACCTTGTAGTTGATGACCACGTTGTTCTTGGCTGTCATGTAATCAGCGATGTTGTGATCCACGATCAGACGTAGAAGTCTGTTTAACAGCGTCAGATCTATCTTCTCGTACATTTTCTCATACTTTGTCTCCATCATGACGTTACACTCCCCCTCCCCTGTTTCCCAGACGTCCTGTAGGTTATTGATACCTGTAAAATACACACTGATTATTGTAAACTTATAACACAAAGACTTGATATTAATATGAGTTTAGACTTCACTAAATCTATTCAGTACACAAGACAAATGTGTATGACATAATTTGTAAAATGTATAGTAATATTCTTTGGCTATAATGCTTTAGAGTTACTTTGTCATTCAAAAAGCTTTACCTCCCCCCCCCCCCCTTTTTTTTTTACTTTTATTTTAACATGCATTATCTATACACTTTGAAGTCCTAATCTGTTTGATATTTACACAGATCATGACTTGTTCAACACATGGATCTACATGTACTGTATAATGATCTTGACACTAGCTGTACATTACCTACACAGAGCATGAAGCCACTCATACGTTTTCTGTATACTGACCTTGACACCACTTGTAGACCAGCACAGGTGGAGGTTCAGAGTCCGCTGGTTTGATCCACGGCGGGAACAGCCTTCGTTTGTCAGCCTCGTACCACAGGTACTGGTCCAAGTAGGCATCTGTGATCTTCTCTAGAGGTTCCACGTCATACACAGGAATCAGATGGCTGTACAGATCCATAAACTCAATTCCCACCTACAAACACAGGTACAATTTAAATGACATGCATAATATAAAACCTGAAATGATCACACCTGAAAAGATATAACTAAAGATATACCTATAAAGACAGATATCACTCAACCAATACAATAAATCTGAGTGTGATCACAAATCCCATACAGCTGTCAAGCCACACCATCATTCAATATCTGCTTTATCAGCTGCCAATCTCATCTGTAGCTGTGTTGACAGCAAGCTCTAATTTCCTAGACTCAATTACCCCTATTCTCCAAGTTTCCAGTAACCTGATCTCTATTACCCACAGTCTCCAAGTTTCCAGTAACCTGATCTCTATCACCCACAATCTCCATGTTTCCAGTAACCTGATCTCTATTACCCACAATCTCCAAGTTTCCAGTAACCTTGACCTTCATAACCCCTAATCTATAAATTTCTAATAACATTGACCTCCATAATCCCAAATCTCCAAGTTTCCATTAACCTTGACCTGGAAACCTTCACTTACCTCCTTGAAAGCTCGCTGTGTCAGTAAATGACGTTTGATACGTGAGAGGGCTTCGTGAGGATTGTCATACGCCTGTTCTATCAGACCAAGCTCTTCCCTCTGAGACTGGTTCAATCTACTCTTTACACTGAAACAACACCAAACAAATATTATATAAAATACATACAAACATACAAGTAAATAAGTTTGGTACAGATTTTTCCTTTAGCCACTAGGGAAGGGTGATGCATGTCCGTACCTGTAGGCCTCTTTCAGTCTCTCCAACGCCAGGATAAGGAGCTTCGTGTCGTGTTTGTAGGACAGCGGGGGGAAAGGAATGGGAGAGAACCTCCGACTCTCTAGCCAATGGACAGTAGTGGTGTAAATGGCAACAGCTTCCTCTGCCGTGATGTAGGGTCCATCCTGTCAAAATGTCATATTCATTTCATATACTGTATAAAACATAAACCAGAAAATAAATTAGGCTTTTTATCTATCTACATTCAGAAAATCACTTTCCTTTGGGTAATTATCAACTGAAGCTCCTGTGAGATAAATATCAATCGTTCTTTAGGTAATTATCTCCATAAATTCAGAAATATTTTACCTGTCTTCAGTAACGACAGGTATCTAACCTACCTTCAAGTAATTATGCTGTCGCTCCTGCTCTGCCTTCAGATACAGACGAGTCAACCGACCCAAGTTTTTCTTGCAGACTGTTTTGTCCACCTAGAATAAAGAGTACATTTTATTTACATTCTCCTGAATTGTTTCTCTGAGAAAGAGCACAATTTTCCCTTCCATGTTAATAACCATCCCTCTCTAGTTTATAGATGTTATGTGGGTACATTGTCTCCTCCCTCCCTGCTTTCTGTGAGATATCAAGCGGGTATGCATATAATGATCTCCACTTTAGTGTCAGATGTACCTACAGTCCACTTCCTTTTTTTTTTTTTTATCTGACATTAGGTAGATATACACAGTTGCCCCATTCTGTTTTTTTTGACCTTCCCCCTCCTTTATGTTTGTAATGTTGTAAGTGTATACTTACTGTAGCTCCTCTCCTTATTCTCTCTCTATTGTAGTGAGCAGTGTTTGTCCACCAGTCTGCCTTCGCCTTGACGTATCGAAGGATCATATTTTCTATAGGGATGGGTAGACCAGGGACTTTCCAGGGGATGTTGGCTTTCCAACATCTCCAAGCCTCACTGAGATGCTGAAGAATAGTCCTCGCCTTGTTCTGTTTGATTCCCTCTGGCATCATGTCCAAAATGTCATGCATAACCTAAAAAAATATTTAGACTCTAAAACTCATATCTAAATTGCCAGAAATAAAATAGCTTGTCTCAAGATTCCTGCTCCCCTAACAGGAACTGCATGTATGAATGTCTCATTACTCTCAAGCTCATATCTTTAAGAACCTCAAGTCTTATGGGTTTCACATAACTTAAGTCTCATGTCTCAAGATTTTTGCTAACATTGTCCCGGACTCTCTATGGCAGTCTCAAAGCTGAAGTTCTTAACTTTAATTAAACATTTCCAGATCATAAATTACAATGAACATTTCTGGTTCACATCATACATTGAACATTTCTGGTTCACATCTTACAATGAACATTTCTGGTTCACATCTTACCGCAGCTCTCAGCTCCAGATCAAAGTGACTCTCCACTCTCTGTTTGGTCACTGTCTTGGCCACTCCCTTGGAGTGTCTCCCCTCAAACTGACGTGACAACAGGTTGCCAAGCCAGCGCTCCAACAAAGGGGTGATTCCCCTCATAAAGAACAGCCACACCCTCCAGCCTGGGGCCCAGAATCCACACCCAGGTCCTTTACCCACAGGGCCCTGTATTTAATAAACGGATGTTTTATGTCAAAGAATTTCAAGCATTACAAAAATACAGAGTTGAAGCAATCTTACATTTACCTGTAAGTTACAAAACTAAATTTCAAAATAAACATACACTTGTAGTATTATGTATAATTTAGTATTTAATTTAGTATTCAAATGCATTCCTGAGGATAGGAATTTTCCACGGGAAAAATTTAATGAAATCTTTTCTTCCTTTAAACAACACAACCACCATCAAATGATGGTTTCATATTCATAAATAACATGGAGATTTTGTTGAGTAAAACTTTATCTAGGCAGACTTGGGCCAAAATACATAAAATTGATGTCTGATGAATAAATATGTAAACTGCCTCATGGAAATATAAAGATCTAAGATGCTGTTGTTGATTTACAGAATAAACCCTGGACTGACTTACCGTGTTGAACCTGTAGTAGATGACATGCTTAAGATCTTTACATATTCGGATTGTTGATTTACAGAATAAACCCTGGACTGACTTACCGTGTTGAACCTGTAGTAGATGACATGCTTAAGATCTTTACACATTCGGATCTGTCTCATCAGTTTATATTTATATCTGTACATCCCCGTTAACTGTCCCACATGAGCAAACACGTACTGAATTCCATCAGCCAGCTGTAATATACACATAGGAATAATAAAGCTACTCTAAGGAATATCTCACTGTCGTAGAACGTGGTGTTTTTTGTTTAATAAAATTCACTCTATAAAATAAATCCATATATATCCTATTTTGACTTACTTGGAAAGCATCCACATTTCCCAGTCGATACTGGACATGGCTGTCCACAATCAATTTGGTCAGTCGCAGAATCTCACGGCAAAGATGGAAAGCGTTACCAAACCGAGACTTCTTTCTCTCCTATACATGACAAGATATTTCGTCAATGACATCAAAATATCTAACCAATCAAAATATTCCTGTAATAATTACATGTATCTTATGACAATATTAATCTCATCATTAAAGATAATTTTACTAAAAAGACAAACTTTCTTGTCTATGATAAAACATGTTTTTCAGCATGTGTTATATACATTGTATAATGTCCATGAGACTAAGTATTCCTCCAAGTGAAAACAACCAGGAACATTTAGAACTTTAATCTTAATTTTTCCACAAAACAGTCAGAATGGAAGACAGATTAATATTAAAAGGAGCTATAACCATATGCTCAGAAAAGAATAAAATCAATTGATCACTTTGCTTCTTTCTTCAACAATGGAACAATTTTAAATACATGAATATGACATAGCAATCCATTATCAGATTCTGTGACACTCAGCAGCAAGCTCAGTCCGCCCGTCACATGACTTCATCATCAACGTTACTTAACACAGGATCATTCAAAAAACATAGATTCTGGTACTGATTACAAACTTCTACGTACTTTTGTGGTCAGTGTCTTGACCGGTTTCAGGTTGAAGTTGTAGTCCAGATGTAGGTAGTTGAGATTCTTGCGATGTATAAGCAGATTAAGCATGTTGTAACCTTGGCGACAGACCTGTAGACCAACCTCCACCCAATCAAGCTGAGTGGTCTGGAAAAACTTGGTGGCTTTGAATGACTTAAATAGGTATCTACAAATAATCAAAGTGTTGACTGTAAAACAGATATCTACGAATACGTATCCATTATACAAATGTAAAACTAGTAGTTGAGGCCATATACAAGACAAAAAGCCTCCAAGTTACTTAAACTGTAAATGTGAAGCTAAACAACAGTTAGGCCACTAAAACAGACTAGGAAGACAGATCCTACTGTATTTGTTTTAACTCACCTTTTTTTCTGAGCTTTGGGAGGGCGATGTTTCAGTGCATTCAGAACGAAGTACTTGAGAAGTTTCTGGTAGGACACTCGTACTTTGACAGGCATTCCTGCAGGGCAGTGTTCTCTGTACCTGATAGGGGAGGGAAGGGTAAAGGCATAAAAGAGTATCTTAATGTATTTAAAAAAGTAATACATACACATTTAAATTAAAAAAAAAAAAGTTGATTCAAATCTATTCTCTATGAAAAATAAAAACTCTGGACAGAAGGCTTCAGAATAATTTTTTTTTAATTACTTATGATCTATTTAATCATCTCTATAATGCATAAAACCGTAAACAGACACCTACCATGTTTTTACGAGAGGGACATCAATTGCTCTTCGGCATCTTCCTGACCTCAGGTTAAATGGCCGGGGGGCAAACATGAGTGCAATTCCATTGGCTGTGTTGTCTGTATACAGAGGAGTTTCACTGAGGAACGGTTGGACATAATCTGGCAACTCAAAATCTTCATCATCATCAGGCAGGGGCTCCGAACTCTACAAAGTCAACACCATCAGTTAAAATCCCAGCCACAGTCTTAAGAGATTACATGTAAAATCTGAATGTGATCATCAAATTTAACTCTACAGTGATATACATTAATTCCAACAACTACAGCTACATTCAACAACAGAGCTCTTTTCTTCTATCTTGTACAATGTCATCATAAGGCAAACAGTAGGATTCAAATATTCAAACGGAGTTGGTTACCTTGGAGACATGTCGATGTGATATGGGGTTAATCAGAGGGTCAAAGTAAAATGCAGGAAGGTCAGGGTCCTCTGTTTTAATGTAGACAACATTTGGAGTGTGATACCTATGAAAAAAATAATCCATTAATAACTTATGTAGATGATAGTACTGATAGGTCCTCCAAAACACAGGTTAATGCGTATCATCTACTGATTTCCAGCCTTTATTTCATTTTCTAATAGAAAGAACAAAGGTATTGAATTCCATTCGTGGTCACTGAAAATCCCATCTTTATTAACCTAAAGTTAAATTTTACTTTGAATCATCGACAACAGAGCTAAAGAATTTATCTGAATTGTTAACACAGATTGATGGACAGACATCGACCTATTGATCAGATTTACATCACAAACCATAATTTCATTTTCTTTTTTCTCATTACTATTACATAGTCTTACCAAGACAGATGGACTTGGAAGGGTAGACTGTTGTATAAGTATGGGAAGGCGATGCGATACTCTGTTCTGATTGGCTGACGAATGATGATCTTATTGATGTCATTAAATTCATTCCAGTCCTCATCTCTGCAAGAAATACAGTCATAAATATCAAAAAATAAATAAATAAAAATAAATCAATGAAAACAAATTATTTTTAATGATAAACGCTTCACATTAATTTTAAATACAGCCTGGGGTTTCTAGTGTAGTGAGTAGTGACAAGTAACAAGGTTTTACTAGTGTAGTGAGTACTGACAAGTAACTAGGTTTTTCTAGTGTAGTGAGTACTGACAAGTAACTAGGTTTTTCTAGTGTAGTGAGTACTGAAAAGTAAGTACTTACTGCAACTCTTTGTCCTTGACCAGTGGTTCAAACTTTGGACCACCAGGAATGGCCATGTTCAGAGCTTTTGCTGTGAAGAAGGACTTCAGGTCAAACAGATAGAAGTAGTTCTCATCCACCAGATCGGTCAGTAGCTGGTTACCAAGACGATAGAGGACGGACATGATAGGCAGACTCAGGTTCCACTTCCTGTATGTACTTCCGTTTACATACCTAAAATTGAGAATTATAAAGTATGTACATTTAAATACCTAAAATTGAGAGTGAATATATAAAGTTCATACTGCCATTTAAATACCTAAAATTGAGAGTGAATATATAAAGTATATACTGCCATTTAAATACCTAAAATTGAGAGTGAATATATAAAGTACATACTGCCATTTAAATACCTAAAATTGAGAGTGAATATATAATGTACTTCATTTAAATACCTAAAATTGAGAGTGAATGTATGATGTACTTCATTTAAATACCTAAAATTGAGAGTGAATGTATGATGTACTTCATTTAAATACCTAAAATTGAGAGTGAATATATAACATACATTTATATATAAATGTACATTTATATATCAAATATACATTTATATATGTATATATCAAAAATTGGGAGCGAGTGCATAAAGTACATATTTCATTTAAATATCCTAAAATTGGGAGTGAATGTATATGAAGTACGTACTTCCTTTTACATATCTAAAATTGGTAGTGAATATATAAAGTTAAGAGTGTCAATAATGTACATGTTCATATAATTAACTCTACATAAAAACAAGTCTATAAGTGGCTCATAATTATAGATCCACTCCTTAAACAGTGATCACATGTGACTGATATATTACATCTGAACAGTTACATTATCACTCGCTTACTTTGTTCCCACTCATCATTAATGTAATAGAACCACTTTGTAACATAACTGTATAAATGTAACAGAACCACTTTTAGACATAACTGTATAAATGTAATAGAACCACTTTGTAACATAACTGTATAAATGTAACAGAACCACTTTGTAACATGACTGTATAAATGTAATAGAACCACTTTGTAACATGACTGTATAAATGTAATAGAATCACTTTGTAACATAACTGTATAAATGTAATAGAACCAATTTGTAACATAACTGTATAAATGTAACAGAACCACTTTGTAACATAACTGTATAAATGTAACAGAACCACTTTGTAACATAACTGTATAAATGTAACAGAACCACTTTTAAACATAACTGTATAAATGTAACAGAACCACTTTTAAACATAACTGTATAAATGTAACAGAACCACTTTTAAACATAACTGTATAAATGCATGTGATAAATTACATCTATATGATTATTTAATTAACTGCCTCAGTTCACAACAAAATACTTTGTGCCTACAAGTGGTATCTACATGATTACTTAATTGACTGGCTTAGTTCACAACAAAATACTTTGTGCCTACAAGTGGTATCTACATGATTACTTAATTGACTGGCTTAGTTCACAACTACATACTTTGTGCCTACAAGTGGTTTATGGTCGTAGAACCACTCCATGACAGGTTTATCTTCTTCTGGGTCAAGTTCCATCTGAATAGCTTCCAGCGGTTCCACATCCAAAATATTGTCAGCATAGTCTAACGGTGGCTCCTCATCATCAAATGGAGGGAATCTCATCCTCTTAAAGTGACGCCGATCTCGTTTTTCTCGCCTCATCATGATCCACATTGTCCTGTTTAATGATATCGCAAAATAATATTTAATAATCATAGCTGTAAACAACACTTGAGCCATCAATCTAACTTTAGTTCACAATTAATGAATAACTTTTACACAACATACATGGTAAACTACCATAATTTTTCCAATTTAATTGACCCTGAACTCTTAAAAAAATTATTACTAGTATATTGTCATCTACAACATACCCCAACCCCCTCCCCCCTCTAGCAATGTAATCTGGTTCCTCTACTGGTATAGTATCAACTAAAACTTACCCCCACTGAGCAATGTAAACTGGTTCTATCACCCATGGAATCTCATTGACAAATGTAATTGCTCCTGTGATGTGATATAAAACTTTAACATCTCGGATCTGTTCCCATGGCATGGGCATGTTCTCCATCAGCTTCAACACAGCATGAGGCATGTATTTCAGAGCCCTGAAAGTGAAAGTAGAGTACGCTGCTTCATTAAAGTTGATTTTTGACTTTTTAAGTTTGGCATATTTGAGGAAAGATGAGATTGCACAGAAATAGAGCATTAATAAACAAAATCTGATGACTTATGATTCCAGTGACATAAAACACTTCAATACAATATTAAGACACATTATAAAAGCACTAGATATAACAGTTACAACAATACATACCCAAGATAAACTCTTTTGTCATGTCTGAACTTTCTGTTTGTCATATCACCATGGTCACGGATAATCTTTCGTACATGCTCAGGAGGCATGTCCTCCTTCTGTGCATCGACAAAACCAAACTTTCTCTTCTCACTGTATCGTTTTGACTGTAATTGCTGCCATTTTCGTGCTAAAATATCCAATATAAATTTAAGTGAAACTTCTCCAGGTAAAAATTCTTCAACTTGATGTATAAAAATTTTACATTAGTCTTTACTTTAATTCTAAGCAATGGAAATTTGTCATGGTCACAATTAGTCAAAATGAAGATTGTTCAAACTACCTTTTTCCTGTAGTTTTTCCTCTGACATGTAATCAGGCACTTTAGGGGGTACTGTCTGTGACTGCTGAGGCAGCACCTGCTGTTGAGGAATCACAGATACCTGTTGTTGGATCAGGGGCACCTGCTGTATAATGAAAGGTTGACCACCTGGTCCAATCAGGTATGGAAAAGCCATTGCTGCTGCAAAATAATCAACATTTCGAAATACATACAGGAACATTTGTAATGTAAGCTTCTGGTGTGTGATAGTAAGTTAAGAGTCTTTAAACCCATACTACTTGAAACAAATATTTCCCTTACTTCTAACACCAATAGGTTTTGACTTTAATAATTGAATGCAGCAAGCAAAAATTGATACACAGAATGATGCACCTTAGTGTAGTCTACTTGTGTGAAAAGTTATATTGAAATCAGACTAAAACTCTAGGAGGATTAGTGTTCTGAAAGAATTTCACAGAAATTTCTTTTTTTTGTAACCATGTCAAAACTGCTCAACAAAATCGAAAACCGATATACAGAATTATGTATGTTAATGTAATCTACCTGTGTGCCAAATTATATTGAAATCAGACTAAAACTATAGGAGGAGTAACCATTTGTATTTCACAGAAATTTCTATTTTTAGTAACCATGGCAATACCATTCATCAAAATCAAACAAGATTTTCTGTATGGCCACTGTTTAGGAGATTGATCCCTCAGAAGTTCCTAAAGTTCTTGGGGTTCAATCTAACAAACTGTAGGGTTGCAGAAAAACTTGTTTGCCACAAGTTATTCCTTTTTAAGTAATCTCGGTGGAGATTCGACTGGGCTAGATATTTGGTCTGATGCCCACCGAATCTCGGGACAGTCCTTCATAATTCATGTCTGGGAATTCAGCCCCAACTTCGGCCGGCTATAGCAAGAATTATTCACCTAGGCGACACTGCCGTTCGCTTCAATTAAGTCATTTAGTAGTTTAATTAACTCTCTGTCACTATTATTTCTACCTTGCTTACCGTCTAGGCAAGTAAATCCCAACATAAAAACATTCACTGAAATATCCGTTCAATATATGGCTCCCCGGACGTAATTGTTTATCTCCTCGCACTAAAGAGTTCCTCTATGGTCTGTTTTCATTTCTATCAAAAATACTTAAAAGCCACAGTAAAGGTTCAGTATCACATAAATGAAAACAGACTGTAGGAACTCTTTAGTGCGAGGAGATAAACAATTACGTCAGGGGAGCCATATTTTGAACAGAGATTTTAGTGAATGTTTTTATGGTGGAATTTATATGCCTAGACGGTAAGCAATGTGAAAGTAATAGTGACAGAGAGTTAAACAACTAAATGACTTAATTGAAGCGAACGACAGTGTCGCCTAGGTGAACAATTCTATATATAGATGGCCAAAGTTGGGGCTGAATTCCCAGACATGAATTATGAAGGACTGTCCCGAGATTCGGTGGGCGTCAGACCAAATATCTAGCCCAGCCGAATCTCCACTGAGATTACTTTTTAAGCTCTTTGATGGGGATTTATGATATTTATAAACAAAATAAAAATTCACAGTTGGCAGTTGAATTGGGAATTTTTAATCTCAAAATTGGGAAAAGTTAACATTTTTTGGCATTGGGAATGGTAACATTTATCGGTACCAGTTATATAAGGAAAAAAAAAACGCTGTGATATCTCGAATACCATGGATATGTCGAAGTGATTTGGAAGACCTAACCCCTTATTCTTTAAGTATTTTATCCTGAATATCTCAAATCCTCAGATATCTCGAAGTTTTTTCTCGGTACCACTGAATTCGAGATTTCACTGTATATGGATATCAGACATTATGAAACTTGGGAACAACCAGTTGTGTTGTTACTGTGTTCCATGTCAGAAGATCAATTTGTGGGGATTATATAAATTACTACACGACAGAAATTAAATGTGCTAGACCCTCTGCAAAAAGAAAGCATGATGTAGGCCTACTTATTTATTAAATATCCGATGTCAACTTTAACTTGTTCAACAAAGCAAGTCAGTGTAGTTAAATCACACATTTCCACCAAATGCATCACATTCCTGTCTCATTCGTTTATTGTCACCAAAAAATATATAAACAGCATTTATGCCTACCTCGTTTTTTTTTCTAAATACTGATTAATTGACTTTAAATGGCACGTGTTCTATGTTTTCAGCACATCGTTCATCTTCCTCGCCGCAATGGCGTCTCACGTAAATTCAACGTACATCACGTGACATTGAGAAGTCCGAACCCGATGGTAAAGCCAGTTCAGCTAGCCTGGAAAATTTAAAATATTCTCTGCAGGAGCAGATCAAGGAATTTCTGTAAGGCGACGTGAATATATTTTCAGAGGTAGGGTGTCTGAACCGCCTTTATAGTATAGACAGGCCTGGTGGGTCCGGGGATGGGGCAACTCTCTCAGAAGATCCTGAATTTCATGATTTCCCAGTTAGCACAACAACGTTATTAAAACGTTATAAAAACGTTATGAAAATGTTATGAAAACATTTTCTAAAACGTTATTACAACGTTATTTTGTGTGGTTTTTTAAACGTTATTATAACGTTTTGCAAAAACGTTGTACTGAAATGTTTTAAAAACATTTTTAAAAACGTTTGGAAAACATTTTTAAAAACGTTTGGAAAACATTTTTAAAAACGTTTTGAGAACATTTCTTAAAACGTTTTTAAAACATTTAAAAAATCAATTTTACAACATAATAAACAATATATGTCTTATAATTTAATAAATTTAAATCCATTCATTAATGTTGTCTAAACACTGTTTTTTTTAACACCTGCACAATAAAATTACAGTCTTCCTTCAAATGAAATTTGTACTGTTTGAAATACGAAAAGATCACAGCATCCTTATTCCATTAGAAATCAATCTGTTATACACTTGGACTTCTCTGTGTTCTTCTGAAAAACAAAGATTTATTTGGACATAAAACTTTGACTAAATGATTACCCATTCATACTCGTACATTTCTTTTAAGTTAAACATATCCATGTAATAAGGCATCTGACAACTAACTAAACATACTAGTATATAAAAATCTGATAAACACAAAGAAAGTATGCTTTGTTATACAGTTGTATTAATAAACAAAAAATTACAGGTGGTATTATATCTATATATTTCTGACAACCAACTTCAAACGTACCTTATCATATTTAATAATTCCTCCAGGAAGGTATGGATCAAACCTCTTCGTCCCACCTCTCATTAAATCGTAAGAGATTGTCTTTGATGCTTTGTAAGGCTTGTAAGCAGCAGCTACTAAAATGTAATGTGAAATTCATTATAAGAAATGTAAATAAGTTAATGTATAAACATATTTAACAAAGGCATCGGAAGCAATTTAAAAGGGGGGGGGCTAAACCAACAAAAACGTTGGGGGGAGGGGTTAACCCGAATTTTCACTAACTCTATTACGTCTATCTTTGCAAAAAAGTTGGGGGAGGGGGCTTAGACCCCCTGGCTCCGACGCCTATGTTTAATAGTTCAATGAAAACAACACAGCATTACTAGTACTTAGATCAGTTTCCTTTTGCTGTATACATTTTCCAATGATTTATAAGTTGATATGTTAACTGAATCTTAATGCATTTTCTTAGCATTAATGGTGATAAAACTTACTCTTAATAATTCTTTAAAGGGGTGCAACCCTTTGTCCAGTCTTAGTGAACTGACCCATGGAATTTGTTTGCATCATTGTCCTGCATATCTCCGCCCTGCGTTGAAACCACTGCATTCACTAAAATGAGTGTTATATTTTATCTTGAAGAATGTGTATTTCAAAATTTGATTGCTAGCAAATATATAATCAAGCCTGAGATTGATTAATTAATTTCTCTCCTTTCCCTTCCAAAAGAAAATAGGTTTAACGTGGCATTGTATTCTGTAATACATAACTCAAATTCGGAAAAGTCTAACTAATCCCCTCTTAAGAATTATTTAACCCTGTCTTGTTAAGACCCCCTCCCACACCCATTCCTATTCCCAACTATGTTTTAATTATGTTTTGAAACCCGTCACACAATTTTAATACATGTAAATAAACCCAAGTTTTCAAACAATAAATCGCCCACCTAATTCAAATGCCAATGAACTTTATAAACATATATATACACCTAAGTCTATAAGAATGAAAGATCTAAGATTCTAAATGCATATGTATTTAAAGCTACACTATATGATTGCTAAATATATAGGCAATGAATACTATTTAAAATTTAACATACCAAACGTTGATATTTGAAAGGTAATCCCCTATTCCTTTTCTTTGTCTTACAAGAATGCCGCCGGGTTTTTCAAAACTGTGATTCTGTTGACCTATATAGATCACATGGACATAGTTTGCAACAAGGATCGACTGCATCAGCACTGGCCATGGCATCCCGCTGTGTCACTCAATTAACTCTCGATAAACACATTATCGAAGGGGGAACTTATTTCCCATAGCACAAATAAATGACTCCACTGAATTTTTTAATTCAGGAACTTTGTTGAACAAATAAGTTTTTGGAATTTTTTTTACTCTCCTTGTTATATATAAATATTATTTACAATGGTATAAAAGAAAAATATGAACACATTTCCGGGTGGTTGTTGTTGTTTTGTTTTTGTTTTTTAATTTTTGGGGGTCTAAATTTAATTATCACAACTCAAAATCAATCATAACTCAAACTTTGGAGCTATTTATAAGAAAACAAAAGTTTTATATATTTATATACATGTGTCGTCTTGCACTAAATAATTAAAAACTTCTTATGCTTGGAGTTGGTATTTCTGTAACGTTTTTACAATGTTTTGCAAACATTTTAAGACAATGTTGTATTCATGTTGTCTCCTAACATTTGTATTTCATGAAATTTATAATAATTATTACACGAAGTATTTTTTTTTAATCATGCTATTCAATTTATAGCTGCGCGATATTTTACCATTATAGAAATTAATGTTAAATGCTAAATGTTTTCTCAAAACCTCCTTGCAACAGGAAAAAAATGTTATAAAAAACATTTTTAAAATGATTGTTAAGAACCTTTTTTAATAACGTGTTTACAACCAAAATAAAACGTTTTAAAAACATTTTATAAACGTTTTATTAAAAACGTTTTCAGATAACACCAATACAACGGGAATAAAATGTTATGAAAACGTTTTGTGCTACCTGGGTTTAGGAGTAAAATATCAACTTTAATTAGTATTCATATAGGCGTAGTCACAAGGGGAGATGTCCACTTTTTCTCACATTTTATAACATCCATTTATCATCTGAATTTTTTTAATATATTCGATCAGTGCATATTATCTATTCAAGATATATTACTAAAGTCAGGTACTCTTCACACAATTGCTCCGAAGAAAATAGTTCCATTCATGATCAGTAGATACAACATTACAACAAATGTTAAGAATAATGATGTATATTTAATACGTTAAAGAAAACAAAATTAACGTAAAAAGATTTTAAGAAAATCACTTTTCCCAAGAAAAGGAAATAAAAAGTTTTCATATTCCTACGCTCGCTGCCTCCTCAGTCTTTTTCACGAAAATATATAGGTCATCCTTCGATTGATAGTGATAAATCTTTTCACCAATTATATAACTGTCATGATAATTGTTCGTTAATTGCCGTATATTTTCTTTTGAGTGAGAATATTAATCATTAACTGTGTGTGTGTGTGTGTGGTTTTTTCTCTTTTTTTAAATAACGGAATGGTTATTATGTTGTTAAACACCTGCAATCGTAACTTCTCGGCAAAGCAACGTGATTTGCCGAGCTCGTCTGAAAGGATCTTCGCACGTGTGTAAACCTAGTCTATTTGGTCTTGCAAGCACAGGTATGTGCATCTTTCGCTAGTGACGCTTAGATCATGTAGACTGGGTATCAGTATTTGCTACGGACATGAAGAAGAACTATACACCAGTTTCATAACAAGTGCAGGTTTTTTTACTCAAGCCCTAGACTGGGCTAAAGGGGCTGAGTTACCTAAAACGATGCTAGGTCATTGATCTACTCAGTTTAAAAACACGAAAATATACTATTTTTGTAAATAAAAACATTTCTAGAAACAAAAATGAAGTTTATCTTCAAAACGTCTCTATATTCAAAATCTATATAAAGTGTTAAATGTCGGATTTTATTCTATGACGAAGGAGTGATGCTCCACAGCCGCAACCGATCTCGCGCTTTCCTTTGCGTTTAACAACGGCCGTCAATGCATCTCTAGACGAGTTCATTGATTACTCTTGTTGACCCATCTTTAACATCTGCCTATACTTTGAGTTAAAGTACTTTAATAGCACAAAATTAAAAAATAAATTAAAATCTATCCTTGATAGATCTATAGTTTTGCTATTTATAAAAATTGGGCTATCTTTGATCTTTGCTTGAACTTGTTTCGAATTTTTACAGAAGATTCTAACATTGGAAAGTTAGATGGTACACATGTAGCACAGGCCCATAGTATGCTGGATTTTTTCGGAGCCCCCCCCCCCCCTTTCACTTTGAAAACGTTGCTACAGGCCTGTAACATGCTATTTGGATTAAATATTCCTGAAAATGAGTGAGCTGTTAAATACATCTTTAAAATTATACGGTTAATTATATTTAGTCTATGTTCTATGTGAAATTAAAACTTTTTCTATAGGCATCTGCAACGTTGTGATAATAAAAGTCACTAATCGCATGTAACGTTATATACATGTATGTACATGCAGTTTCCTTAGTACATGCATATTTTATTCAACAAAAGATGTTGAAACCCAGTAGCCTAAATATTATGTCATTTTAGGTTATTTATGGCCATTGTATAGTTGACTTTCTACAGCTCGAGTATCTCTGACGTTTTATCAGTAAATAGTTTTTTTTTTAAAAATTAGAAATCATCTGAGCACAATGAAAATTCGAATAAATTAAAAGTCGAATATCTTGGATATGGGGTAACCCATATCTATTCTTGTTTATCGCTATTTCTAGTTAGGATTTAGTAAATGACACTGATCACTGTTCGTTATCTTCACTTATTTTCATTTTATAGATGTAACTATTTTTAATGTGTTTTGATATACGAATTTTAAAATCCATGAAAGATTAGTACACGTATAATCTGAAAGAGGAAAATATTGATGTACACCAGTGCACAGGTTAGCTAAAACAATGTATTTTGGATCGGAATCGGGATTTCATGCTATTGTCTCTCATTACCTATTTGTTCCTGTTTTATAATTAAATTTACTTGTAAGTCTCTTTGAAGTATTTCTTAATAAAAGAATAATCTTGACGAGTTTAGAGCAGAAGGTCTTATCACGATTATCCATTACCGTGAGAACTTAGACAATGTTATGACAAAGTCGGATCGATTTGTCACATGACGGGCATGTTCGATGTTGCCTTGAATACACTGATCAAGGTAAGGGAAGCTACAGAGGTAAAGTACTCATCAATTTATAGTTTTTCTTCGCCATTTTATAGGCAATATTCATCAAATTTTGTTCTGAATTGGAAGTAATGTTTTATACAAACAACATGTTCTTCTATGGACTTCAAAGCAGGGTTAGAAACTCCCTAAAATTACAACTCGCAAATAATTGCGAGTACCAACAAAGTGAACTCGCAATTTGATAAGACTACTTGCAATTTTCATATAAAGTTAAATTTATATAAATTAAATACATGTAACTTAAGGAAAAAGTAACTACTGTACAATACACAAAATACAACTACAGTGCGACTTTTATCTAAATTACTGATTTAAATCAAAAGTATTGTGTTCTGTCATATTATATAATTTTGCTACAGTTTCAATGCAAAAAAACTCAACTCGCAAGTTTTTGCGAGTTACCTAATTTTTAACTCGCAATTTGGGAATTCTAACTCGCGTTTTGCGAGTTGTATATAGTGAATTTCGAACCCTGCAAAGATTTGTGTTTAATGATGTTAAGATTCCTCAATAACAACAGGTCCAATACAATCTATTGCTTTAGCTCTGAAGCTTGAATTAATTTAGCTTTTTAAGTAAAAAAGTGGCTGCAGAACTGTAGCGTTATGGTTTTATATTTTAGTCTTTGACCATCAGGCTACAGATCCCGTTATGTAAGTAAAGTGCAGTTTACGGCGCAAGATTTTCTGCGCACTTTGGGAATGTATTTTGCCACTTTCCAGCATTGGTCAACCAACTATCTTTCATTCCCTAATTCTATACATATTCTATAACCAACCTGTGTATTTTATCCACCTCTTAACCCTTTATAGTCGTCTCTACAGATCAATAAACTTGTTATGCCATCCGACAACAAATTCACAAATGTTTAGAGAGTGCGCAGAAAATCTTGTGCAGTAAATTGCACTTTATTTACATTACGGGATCTGAAAATTTTCAACTATGAACTTTTCTGAAAACAATTTTAATGCACTAAAAAATCACTCATCAAATTATGCTTCCTTGAGAGACTTTGAAGTCAAAGTTCTAAAAGTTTTGAGGCTATAAAGCAATTGATTTGTGACCACATAGTTATTTCTTTAATGAAATTATAAAAGAGGCCAATTGTGGTCAACAGGATATTGACTGGTATTAATTCAGCACAATGTGAAATAAGCATAGTTAACCATGCTTCACTGAACACAATTTGGTATGCAGTTATCTGCTAGAACAATAGAAATGCATATTTTTCCTAAAAGAGTTTAAAAGCAGCAAAGTTTAAAGTCAAACTATGTTTGCTTTGGATTGCTTTTTAACAGTCCATACTACAAATATGACTAAGTTACATACTATACTTTTTTGTCTATTTCATATAAAAACATTTTTGTGAAAAAACTTTATTGCAATAGCTTTATCAAACTATTTTGAGTATAAAGCTATATAGCTAATTCAAGCTATATAGCTCAGTCGAGAGATCTGCTGGACCAGTTCAAGTATGTGTTTAAGGATGTAGATACATCAACAACAACAGGTCTGGTACAATCTCTTGATTTAGCTATGTAGCTTGAATCAGTTATATATAGCTTGATTTAGTTATTCAAAAAAGCCTTATTAAGCAATTTTATCATACTCTCTAACAAAAAAAACAAAGCAAAACAAAAAAAACAATGCAACCTTTTATGTGAATGGATATATTCACATGGACCTATCATTTATTGTCTTTAATTGAGATTGTGTTATTTCTCCTGTATTTTGTGATCATTTAATAATCTAATAAGAATAAAATAGAATGAATAGATATTTTTATATGGTAAATCATGAGACATTTTTGTGAATCATTATTATGAACAGAAAATGGAGTGATTTAATTGCTGACTAATATGCCATTGATTAAGAGAACTTGAGGGATAAACGACCTTAACTACATGTAATTTACTTTATGTTTTTGTTCATTGCAGACACTAAGACAACAGTGATTTGATACACTAGTGGGAGTATTCCTCAGGATTGGGTTACTTCCCCTGACAAACAGGCCATGTGACTGAGTGCCCCCTGAATCATATACCTAAAATCTTGAACAATGGCATCCCCAGGATTTTTATCCAAATGTTGTCTGGCACACAACGTGACACATTCCAAGGATTTAGAGGGTAGAACAGTTGGTGAAGTTATAAACATACTGTCTGTCGTATTTTGTTCCATTAGTCTTGTAACTGTTCTGTTTCTTGTCTGGCCGAGGAAGGATGGAAACTCAGAGGTGTTTCAGAGTAAAAATCGAATCTTAGTAGGACCGAATCTCAACAGCATCATCAAGAGTCTGGTCTCCGTCAATGTTCTGGCTGTCATAGGTAAGAAAAGTAATCGATAGAAGTAACCTATACTTTAGTCAAGTTTGCTGCTATATTCAAATTATTGTAGAAAAAATTTGTCATGAATTCTGTTAAATAATACCAGCTAGCTACTTAATAATAATGATCATTGAAAGTTTCCAGCTGCTGCTTGACAGTGCACAAGGAGTCATTCAATTGTTAATCTCTGTACATTCCTGATTACACGTACATTACACAGGGAGTCATACAGTGATAAATCTCTGTACATCTCTGATTACATGTACATTACACAGGGAGTCATACAGTGGTAAATCTCTGTACATCTCTGATTACATGTACATTACACAGGGAGTCATACAATGGTAAACCTCTGTACATCTCTGATTACACCTACATTACACAAGGAGTCATACAATGGTAAATCTCTGTACATCTCTGATTACACCTACATTACACAGGGAGTCACACAGTGGTAAATCTCTGTACATCTCTGATTACATGTAAATTACACATGGAGTCATACAATGGTAAATCTCTGTACATCCCTGATTACATGTACATTACACAGGGAGTCATACAGTGGTAAATCTCTGTACATCTCTGATTACATGTAAATTACACATGGAGTCATACAGTGGTAAATCTCTGTACATCTCTGATTACATGTACATTACACAGGGAGTCATACAATGGTAAATCTCTATACATCTCTGATTACATATACATTACACAGGGAGTCATACAGTGGTAAATCTCTGTACATCTCTGATTACTTGTACATTACACAGGGAGTCATACAGTGGTAAATCTCTGTACATCCCTGATACACCTAAATTACACAGGGAGTCATACAATGGTAAATCTCTGTACATCTCTGAATACTTGTACATTACACAGGGAGTCATACAGTGGTAATTCTCTGAAAATCTATGATTACATGTACATTACACAGGAGGTCATATAATGGTAAATCTCTATACATCTCTGATTACATGTACATTACACAGGGAGTCATACAGTGGTAAATCTGTACATCCCTGATTTCACCTACATTACACAGGGAGTCATACAGTGGTAAATCTGTACATCTCTGATTACACCTACATTATACAGGGCATCATACAGTGGTAAATCTGTAATCTCTGATTAAATGTACATTACACAGGGAGTCATACAATGGTGAATCTCTGTATATTTCTGATTACATGTACATTACACAGGGAGTCATACAGTTGTAAATCTCTGTACATCTCTGATTACATCTACATTACACAGGGAGTCATACAATGGTAAATCTCTGTACATCTCTGATTACATCTACATTACACAGGGAGTCATACAGTGGTAAATCTCTGTACATCCCTGATTACATGTACATTACACAGGGAGTCATACAATGGTAAATCTGTACATCTCTGATTACATGTACATTACACAGGGACTCATACAGTGGCAAATCTCTGTACATCTCTGATTACACCTTCATTACACAGGGAGTCATACAATGGTAAATCTCTGTACATCTCTGATTACATCTACATTACACAGGGAGTTATATTGTGTATAATCTCTGATTACACCTACAGTTTTCACCAGATTCACTATACCATTGAAACCTTTGTGCATTGTATTAAATGTGACTTGAAAATTATATGCCATAAGATTTTTAATATCTTGAACAATAAACTGAATTGAATTGCATCAGAATATTTAATATGTCAGATATCTGCAGGCAAGTTTATATGTCAAAGTCTGATGAACAAACAAAAATTTCCAGTAAGCTCATCTAAGCAGTTTGCCGTGAGTTTATTTCTCACAGAAGGGAACCCTAATATTGTAACTTTAAAACATTTTTTCTTCATTGAGAAAAACTACATTCATCTTGACCTCACTCATAAATTTTTTTTCTCCCATTTTGGGGGGTGGGATGGGCTGGATGTGAAAGTTGCCTATTGGGGTAATTTTTGTTTGGTAATAAAATAAAATTAAAAGACTGAGGATTTGTAGGAATCAGCACCTTTTAACCAAGTTGGAAATGTTTATTATGTTGCCAGGTTTGCTGGTGAGGTCTGCTGTGTGGTTAGCCCATGCCTTTCCTGACACAAAGAAGTCGTGTATGGATGCCAGTCATTATTTTTGTCTGGTCAGCAATGTAAGTTTTGCTGTTTTATCCAGTCATAAAGTCATCTCATCAGCATTGTAGATCATGCTGTCTTATCTATTATTACTTATTAGGTTTATTGCTGACTGTCCACAGAAATATGTAGGGTTGTTCAAGTCAATAGAAAGAGGAGTTGAGGACCAATAACTGTATAATAAACCTACTAGGATTTAAAGGATTTTTTTGTCTGTGCAGATCTCCTTCACTCATCAGATTCTTGTTTTTTAAGGGTGGAGCTGCTCAAATTTAATCACAGGATTGCTAAAGATTCTTTTGAATGCCAAAAAATAATGCCAGCATATTATTCTCTTTAAGTATGGATGGCATTGCATTGTTTTATCTGCCATGTTGCCATCCAAATTTTGCTCCAAAGAAAAATTGATGGCAAGCATGTGAAGTCTGTTACCTAATGACAGAGCATTATTCTAGACTGAGGCAAAACAAATCTCAGTTATCTCTTTTAACTTCAATACATTCATTCATAATGTCTCTTTCAACATCAGTGGAAGTTCACTGCCTTATCCAATGATAACACCAATGTGTGTTTATTGTAGCACTAAGTTTGTCAAAAGCAATTTAATTTTCTTTGTGCTTTCCAGTAAGAATACCTCTATTATCAGCAATGAATGTTACACTGTCTTACTATGTCAACAAAGACAAACATTGTTTAATGTTAAACATTATGCTTTTCTTCCTCCTACAATTTTGTGTCCAACTCAATAACGTTTTTGTTTATACTGACCTATATAAGGCTTAAGATTTGTTATTGGAATGACCTTTATAAATTAATATCAATGACAAAACTAAGATTTGACCTTTAAATTTGATTTTGGGGTCAATTATTAGGATTCTTGGCTAGTTAGTTCCTCCCTGCTATAGCAAAGAATTAAATAATGTTATTTGATGAATGGGTGTAGCATCTTAAGATATTTTTTGGTTATAAAGAAATGTGTTAAAAAACTCGTATCTACCAGTCAGTGATGTAGCTACCATGTATCCTTGTAGCATCCATATTATTTTTTCAACAAAAAATAATAAATGAATAAGTACAAAATTCTTTGACGAAAGAATACATTTCAATAGATTTATTTCATAATTGAAAATTTATTTTTTATGTGTTATCTTTACACTGTACGCATTCTGAGACTCAATCTAATGTCAACCCTACATATTGCTAATATGTGGAGTGTCCAATAAATGTGGTCATTTGATCACAATTTCATTAAAAGATTTGTTTTTAATTTGATATCATTAAAAACAAACTTTGACCATTGATAAGTTCACTTTTTCACATCTCAAGGGGTGGAATGTTCAGAGTAACCAATTAGGGATTCTGTATTTCCCACCATGGCTGACAGAGAAATCAGGGTTGCAAAAAAGTACGAAATGTATGCTAATCCCTCAGTTTATTTATTTCTTTTTTGGGGGGTTTCATTTTTAGCTCACCTGAGCCGAAGGCTCAAGTGAGCTTTTCTGATCGAAATTTGTCCGTTGTCTGTCGTCGTCGTCGGCAGCGTTGTCGTAAACTTTTCACATTTTCATCTTCTTCTCCAGAACCACTGGGCCAATTTCAATCAAACTTGGCACAAAGTATCCTTGGGTGAAGGGGATTCAAGTTTGTTCTCCTCCAAGGGGAGATAATTAAGAAATAGCAAAAAATTAATGGCATTATTGTAAAATCTTCTTCTCAAGAATCAATGGGCCAGGAAAGATGAAACTCATGTGGAATTATTGTCAGGTAGTGTAGATTCAAGTTTGTTCAAATCATGACCCCCGGGGGCAGGGTGGGGCCACAATGGATGATCAAAGTTTTACATAGGAATATATAGGAAAAATCATCAAAAATCTTCTTCTCAAGAACAGCAAAGATATGATTGGTCATATTTATATGGAAGCATCCTCAGGTGGTGTAGATTCAACTTTGTTCAAATCATGACCCCCAGGGCTAGGGTGGGGCCACAATGGATGATTAAAGTTTAACATAGGAGTATATAGGAAAAATCTTCAAAAATCTTCTTCTCAAGAACAGCAAAGCCATGATTGGTCAAATTTATATGGAAGCATCTGCAGGTGGTGTAGCTTCAAATTTGTTCAAATCATGACCCCCGGGGGTAGGGTGGTGCCACAATGAGCGATCAAAGTTTTCATAGAGTATATTGGAAAAATCTTTTTCTCAAGAACAGTAAAGCTATGATTGGTCATATTTATTTGGTAGCATCCTCAGGTGGTGTAGATTCAAGTTTGTTCAAATCATAACCCCCGGGGGTGGGATGGGGCCACAATGGACGATCAAAGTTTTACATAGGAATATGTAGGAAAAATCTTCAAAAATCTTCTCCTCAAGAACAGCAAAGATATGATAGGTCATATTTAAATGGAAGTATCCTCAGGTGGTCTATATTCAAGTTTGTTCAAATCAGGACCCCCAGGGGTAGGGTGGGGCCAATATGGACTATCAAAGTTTAACATAGGTGTATATTGGAAAAATCTTCAAAAATCTTCTTCTCAAGAACAGCAAAGCTATGATTGGTCATATTTATGTGGAAGCATCCTCAGGTGATGTAGATTCAAGTTTGTTCAACATGACCCCCCGGGGTAGGATGGGGCCACAATGAGAGATCAGAGTTTTACATAGGAATATATAGGAAATATCTTCTCAAGAACAGCAAAGCCACTGTTTGTCATATTTATATAGAAGCATCCTCAGATAGTTTAGATTCAAGTTTGTTCAAATCATGACCTCCAGGGGTAGGGTGGGGCCACAATGAAAGTTTAAACTTGTAGAGAAAAAAGTCACAGTTAATCAAAAAATTATGTAAGCATGTAATCATGTAATTATGTAGAATTAATTTTGTTCAAATCATACCCCCCACTCCCTCTTAGGGGTAGGTTGGGACCACTTATGCATTTAAGCTTTTTCAATACTAAACTGATTTTTTTCCTTTTTTTCCTTGCCACAGTGCTCAGGTGAGCGATGTGCCCCTGGGCCTCTTGTTGATGAATAATTTTTTTTTCATTCATTCATTTTTAGTGGGCGCAGTAAGCTGATTTATTCATACTCTAAAGTATTCTACCCAATTATAACACTACATAAGTGAGTCAAGGCTAGGTTTGAGCATTTTTATGCAAATGAGCTTATTAAAACACGTAAGAGGTTTCTCTACTATGAAAATAAGGTTTAAAGATGCTTAGTATCCACAATATGTTATATAGCCAGTACACATTATGATGTCATTGTTGTGTACTACTTGAGGTAACCAACAGCATTAACAAAACAGCTCTGGCACAAAGGCATATCTTATTTTATTTTACAGAATTTTTGTTTAATAAGAGGAAGAATATTCCAAAGATGAATGATATTACTACACGAATCTGGTGCATTATCTCATTTGATCTGATTTGAAAGAAACTTAGAGCAGACTCTTCATTTTTTTTTTTTTAACCTTTTTTCAACTCAATACTCCACAAATAGTAACGTAACAATTGAATTGTCAACAGTTGTACAGCAATACCAACAATCTTTGGAAAATTTTACTTGTTTGTGTCAAATTAAATTCATTATGCCTTAGCCCAAAATGCTTTTGTTTTGTTGGTAATGTTTATTTCTTTGAGTAGTAATGGGAAAGAACAGTGACATCATAATATGATGTCACAATGTGTTTTGGATAAATCATGTCATGGGTACTTAATATGTATAAGAAAGTTTGTTAAACCTCTTTATAATAGAGAAACCTCATATGAGTTTTATTGAGTTCATTTGCAAAGAACGCCCATATCTAGCCTTGACTAACGTGCATAGATAAGTTAGTCCAATGGATGTATTGACACTCTGTGTTGTAGTTTTAGTTATTAGTGTCTCTTATATCATACCTCCTAGTCATCATTGTGGATGACAGTAATGTTTACTCATTCAATTGTAGGTGTGGATCTTGTATTTTTTCACCTGCAATCATTTCTGGCACCTTGTCTATGCTATGGAAGCCTATATGGTGTCTAACAATCGAGAACTGTAAGTATTAATCTAAGGCAGCTCTGTGTAGAGATGGATTAGGTATGCTAGTATTGTATTGAGGGAAGGTAGTTTGTAAATATTAATCTAAGACAGCTTTGTGTAGAGATGGATTAGGTATGCTAGTATTGTATTGAGAGAAGGCAGTTTGTCAGTATTAATCTACAGCAGCTTTGTGTAGAGATGGACTAGGTATGCTTAGTATTGTATTGAGGGAAGGTAGTTTGTCAGTATTAATCTATAGAGCTCTATGTAGAGATGGGTTAGGTATGCTGGTATTGTATTGAGAGAAGGCAGTTTGTCAGTATTAATCTAAGACAGCTTTGTGTAGAGATGGATTAGGTATGCTAGTATTGTATTGAGGGAAGGTAGTTTGTCAGTATTAATCTAAGACAGCTTTGTGTAGAGATGGATTAAGTATGCTAGTATTGTATTGAGGGAAGGTAGTTTGTCAGTTTTAATCTAAGACAGCTTTGTGTAGAGATGGACTAGGTATGCTTAGTATTGTATTGAGGGAAGGTAGTTTGTCAGTATTAATCTATAGAGCTCTGTGTAGAGATGGGTTAGGTATGCTAGTATTGTATTGAGAGAAGGCAGTTTGTCAGTATTAATCTAAGACAGCTTTGTGTAGAGATGGATTAGGTATGCTAGTGTTGTATTGAGGGAAGGTAGTTTGTCAGTATTAATCTATAGAGCTCTGTGTAGAGGTGGATTAGGTATGCTAATATTGTATTGAGAGAAGGTAGTTTGTCAGTATTAATCTAGGACAGCTTTGTGTAGAGATGGATTAGGTATGCTTAGTATTGTATTGAGGGAAGAAGGTAGTTTGTCAGTATTAATCTATGGCAGCTTTGTGTAGAGATGGATTAGGTATGCTTGTATTGTATTGAGGGAAGGTAGTTTGTCAGTATTAATCTATGGCAGCTTTGTGTAGAGATGGATTAGGTATGCTTGTATTATATTGAGGGAAGGTAGTTTGTCAGTATTAATCTAAGACAGCTTTGTGTAGAGATGGATTAGGTATGCTAGTATTGTATTGAGGGAAGAAGGTAGTTTGTCAGTATTAATCTAAGACAGCTTTGTGTAGAGATGGATTAGGTATGCTAGTGTTTAGATAGAATGTTCTATCGTTAAAATGATATTGTCCTACGGACCCGATTTAACGATAGAATTCGTTCCGTGTATTCGCAATGTAGCAAAATAAACACAGGCGATAACTCGAACTCTGTGCATTTTCTATGAAGAATCCAGAGAGTTCCGAATGTCAACATGGTGTTAAATTTAAAGCGAGGAAAAAACGTTGAGAAAATGAGTTGAATTTTCGTATATATATGGATTAATTTTTAGGTTTAAAGGCATATACAATCTCAAAAAGGTTTGTTATGAATAATTTGGTAGTTATTTTCAGTGCAACTCATTTTGTATTCTTCAGAATCATTTTGGAGTGGACCTACTCCGATTTGCTACATTGCAAGTATATGGGACGTATTCTAACTGTGGTGAGGGCCTGTCCCGAGACACAGTTAGAATATTCTAACTAGCTAGTGTTGTATTGAGGGAAGGTAGTTTGTCAGTATTAATCTATAGAGCTCTGTGTAGAGGTGGATTAGGTATGCTTGTATTGTATTGAGGGAAGGTAGTTTGTCAGTATTAATCTATGGCAGCTTTGTGTAGAGATGGATTAGGTATGCTAGTATTGTATTGAGGGAAGGTAGTTTGTAAATATTAATCTAAGACAGCTTTGTGTAGAGATGGATTAGGTATGCTAGTATTGTATTGAGAGAAGGCAGTTTGTCAGTATTAATCTACAGCAGCTTTGTGTAGAGATGGACTAGGTATGCTTAGTATTGTATTGAGGGAAGGTAGTTTGTCAGTATTAATCTATAGAGCTCTGTGTAGAGATGGGTTAGGTATGCTAGTATTGTATTGAGAGAAGGCAGTTTGTCAGTATTAATCTAAGACAGCTTTGTGTAGAGATGGATTAGGTATGCTAGTATTGTATTGAGGGAAGGTAGTTTGTCAGTATTAATCTAAGACAGCTTTGTGTAGAGATGGATTAAGTATGCTAGTATTGTATTGAGGGAAGGTAGTTTGTCAGTTTTAATCTAAGACAGCTTTGTGTAGAGATGGACTAGGTATGCTTAGTATTGTATTGAGGGAAGGTAGTTTGTCAGTATTAATCTATAGAGCTCTGTGTAGAGATGGGTTAGGTATGCTAGTATTGTATTGAGAGAAGGCAGTTTGTCAGTATTAATCTAAGACAGCTTTGTGTAGAGATGGATTAGGTATGCTAGTGTTGTATTGAGGGAAGGTAGTTTGTCAGTATTAATCTATAGAGCTCTGTGTAGAGGTGGATTAGGTATGCTAGTATTGTATTGAGAGAAGGTAGTTTGTCAGTATTAATCTAAGACAGCTTTGTGTAGAGATGGATTAGGTATGCTAGTATTGTATTGAGAGAAGGTAGTTTGTCAGTATTAATCTATGGCAGCTTTGTGTAGAGATGGATTAGGTATGCTTGTATTGTATTGAGGGAAGGTAGTTTGTCAGTATTAATCTATGGCAGCTTTGTGTAGAGATGGATTAGGTATGCTTGTATTATATTGAGGGAAGGTAGTTTGTCAGTATTAATCTAAGACAGCTTTGTGTAGAGATGGATTAGGTATGCTAGTATTGTATTGAGGGAAGAAGGTAGTTTGTCAGTATTAATCTAAGACAGCTTTGTGTAGAGATGGATTAGGTATGCTAGTGTTTAGATAGAATGTTCTATCGTTAAAATGATATTGTCCTACGGACCCGATTTAACGATAGAATTCGTTCCGTGTATTCGCAATGTAGCAAAATAAACACGGGCGATAACTCGAACTCTGTGCATTTTCTATGAAGAATCCAGAGAGTTCCGAATGTCAACATGGTGTTAAATTTAAAGCGAGGAAAAAACGTTGAGAAAATGAGTTGAATTTTCGTATATATATGGATTAATTTTTAGGTTTAAAGGCATATACAATCTCAAAAAGGTTTGTTATGAATAATTTGGTAGTTATTTTCAGTGCAACTCATTTTGTATTCTTCAGAATCATTTTGGAGTGGACCTACTCCGATTTGCTACATTGCAAGTATATGGGACGTATTCTAACTGTGGTGAGGGCCTGTCCCGAGACACAGTTAGAATATTCTAACTAGCTAGTGTTGTATTGAGGGAAGGTAGTTTGTCAGTATTAATCTATAGAGCTCTGTGTAGAGGTGGATTAGGTATGCTTGTATTGTATTGAGGGAAGGTAGTTTGTCAGTATTAATCTATGGCAGCTTTGTGTAGAGATGGATTAGGTATGCTAGTATTGTATTGAGGGAAGGTAGTTTGTAAATATTAATCTAAGACAGCTTTGTGTAGAGATGGATTAGGTATGCTAGTATTGTATTGAGAGAAGGCAGTTTGTCAGTATTAATCTACAGCAGCTTTGTGTAGAGATGGACTAGGTATGCTTAGTATTGTATTGAGGGAAGGTAGTTTGTCAGTATTAATCTATAGAGCTCTGTGTAGAGATGGGTTTGGTATGCTAGTATTGTATTGAGAGAAGGCAGTTTGTCAGTATTAATCTAAGACAGCTTTGTGTAGAGATGGATTAGGTATGCTAGTATTGTATTGAGGGAAGGTAGTTTGTCAGTATTAATCTAAGACAGCTTTGTGTAGAGATGGATTAAGTATGCTAGTATTGTATTGAGGGAAGGTAGTTTGTCAGTTTTAATCTAAGACAGCTTTGTGTAGAGATGGACTAGGTATGCTTAGTATTGTATTGAGGGAAGGTAGTTTGTCAGTATTAATCTATAGAGCTCTGTGTAGAGATGGGTTAGGTATGCTAGTATTGTATTGAGAGAAGGCAGTTTGTCAGTATTAATCTAAGACAGCTTTGTGTAGAGATGGATTAGGTATGCTAGTGTTGTATTGAGGGAAGGTAGTTTGTCAGTATTAATCTATAGAGCTCTGTGTAGAGATGGATTAGGTATGCTAGTATTGTATTGAGAGAAGGTAGTTTGTCAGTATTAATCTAAGACAGCTTTGTGTAGAGATGGATTAGGTATGCTAGTATTGTATTGAGAGAAGGTAGTTTGTCAGTATTAATCTATGGCAGCTTTGTGTAGAGATGGATTAGGTATGCTTGTATTGTATTGAGGGAAGGTAGTTTGTCAGTATTAATCTATGGCAGCTTTGTGTAGAGATGGATTAGGTATGCTTGTATTATATTGAGGGAAGGTAGTTTGTCAGTATTAATCTAAGACAGCTTTGTGTAGAGATGGATTAGGTATGCTAGTATTGTATTGAGGGAAGAAGGTAGTTTGTCAGTATTAATCTAAGACAGCTTTGTGTAGAGATGGATTAGGTATGCTAGTGTTTAGATAGAATGTTCTATCGTTAAAATGATATTGTCCTACGGACCCGATTTAACGATAGAATTCGTTCCGTGTATTCGCAATGTAGCAAAATAAACACGGGCGATAACTCGAACTCTGTGCATTTTCTATGAAGAATCCAGAGAGTTCCGAATGTCAACATGGTGTTAAATTTAAAGCGAGGAAAAAACGTTGAGAAAATGAGTTGAATTTTCGTATATATATGGATTAATTTTTAGGTTTAAAGGCATATACAATCTCAAAAAGGTTTGTTATGAATAATTTGGTAGTTATTTTCAGTGCAACTCATTTTGTATTCTTCAGAATCATTTTGGAGTGGACCTACTCCGATTTGCTACATTGCAAGTATATGGGACGTATTCTAACTGTGGTGAGGGCCTGTCCCGAGACACAGTTAGAATATTCTAACTAGCTAGTGTTGTATTGAGGGAAGGTAGTTTGTCAGTATTAATCTATAGAGCTCTGTGTAGAGGTGGATTAGGTATGCTTGTATTGTATTGAGGGAAGGTAGTTTGTCAGTATTAATCTATGGCAGCTTTGTGTAGAGATGGATTAGGTATGCTAGTATTGTATTGAGGGAAGGTAGTTTGTAAATATTAATCTAAGACAGCTTTGTGTAGAGATGGATTAGGTATGCTAGTATTGTATTGAGAGAAGGCAGTTTGTCAGTATTAATCTACAGCAGCTTTGTGTAGAGATGGACTAGGTATGCTAGTATTGTATTGAGGGAAGGTAGTTTGTCAGTATTAATCTAAGACAGCTTTGTGTAGAGATGGATTAGGTATGCTAGTATTGTATTGAGGGAAGGTAGTTTGTCAGTATTAATCTAAGACAGCTTTGTGTAGAGATGGATTAGGTATGCTAGTATTGTATTGAGGGAAGGTAGTTTGTCAGTATTAATCTAAGACAGCTTTGTGTAGAGATGGATTAGGTATGCTTGTATTGTATTGAGGGAAGGTAGTTTGTCAGTATTAATCTATAGCAGCTCTGTGTAGAGATGGATAAGGTATGCTAGTATTGTATTGAGGGAAGGTAGTTTGTCAGTATTAATCTATAGAGCTCTGTGTAGAGGTGGATTAGGTATGCTAGTATTGTATTGAGGGAAGGAAGTTTGTCAGTAAAATTGATTTACAGATATACAGTCAAACCTTGTTATCTCAAACTCCACGGGACCAAGATTAAACTTTGAGATATCCATGGATTCAACATATAACGAGAGTGAAAAACATAAGAAAAAGTGGTTGGGACTGCCAACTCACTTTGACATATGCCTGGTATTCCAGATATCAGATGTTTAACTGTATTTTAACTACAGACTTGCTCTGGACCATACAAAATATTTTATAAGTTAATTTAAGTCATATAAACTAGGTAAATGGAAGGGCTATTATCTGCACCCATGTGTAATATTCATATGGATTATTCTATTTAAACCAGATTTTCTCCAAATTCAACTATCACACAGTTTAGTAAAAACAGTTACTCATTAATTCAAGGATAGAGAAAAATTAAAAATAAACCAGAGATTTGATTGCCCACGCAGCTATGTTAAGGCTGTCCGAAGGCTTAATATGCATTAGATATATACTATTTTATTTTAGCTATGTTTTGATTTCATTTTGTAATCTATGCATACATACACAGTTAAGTTGTAAAGAGAGTTTAATAAGGTATTATAAAAAAGCATTTCTGTGATGTCACATGACTGTGTTGATCACGGACACTTATAAATTTTCTTAAATGTTGCACAAAAATCGCATCGGCACAAGTGAAAAACAAAATTATTGTGAACGGCTTGTTACATAAATCAATTAAACGTATTCTTGGGTATACATAAAGTCCTGGGGGCAAGTCTGAATTTTATTTTGTAAGAAAATATTTCACGAGAAATTCAACTTACCCACATACAAGGGGTCATTTTCCACTCTTCATCGCAATTTATACAAAATGGGATAAATTACATACAATCCCCCAGCAAAATTCAGTTAGAGGACATATTTCTCTAGTGGATTCACACAGAATATCTTCAATTAATCCTTATTATTCACTTGTGCCAGTCTAATGTATATAAGATTTATAAATTCTAACTCTGTCTACCGACGTGTAAGGGGGAGCATTTCACATTTTTTTTGTAATTGTTTGAATACGTACATGTTAGACAAGAAAAAGAAATAACAATATTATACTGCAAATATTCACCATCATTACAGCCTTAAAACAACAATCCAGACACATGATTAAACATCAACATAAAAAAAATTCTACATGTGATGTGAAAGGAATGTAAAAGATATGACACTTTCCCCATCATGTCTGCTCAAATTTGCAGTGACTTGACGTCATATGCCATTATGACGTCATATCTAGGTAGTTCAGAGAAGTTACTACGGCTGGTACACTGTGACATTCTTTGGACAGCCTTATCCTAGCCGCGCAAAGGATTTTTTCAGCATTTTGCTTGTTGAAGGTCTGAGAGATATGATTTTCGTGCCTCTGTACTTTGTAGTTTATCTGATATCGGTTATTACAATAATTCTTTTAATCTAATATTGTTACACTCAGTATGCTCATTAAGCTCAGCTTATTCTGTTTATCATGTACACTGATACTCTTGACACCGGTTGTTATATCTTCTATTTTATATTTTCAGGACCTCTGGTCTGAAAGTTTTTGTGGGATGGTTTATCCCTGCATTTCTAACAACATCTGCTGGAGTAGTAGTGTACTATAAAGGCTTCCAAACGTAAGTTAAATTTCATTGTTATTAGGTCATCTAAGCGAATCTAAGCCAAAACTCAGGTGAGCTTCTCTGATCACACTTTGTCCACTGTATTCTGTTAACTTTTCAAACTTTAAACTTTGTTTCCAGAATTATTGGAAGCGAGAAAGTGGTGATTTGATTATATCTTCTTTAATTTTTTTTCATTTTTAGGTTAAAATTAATTTGTTCTGTGGTAAAATTAGGCCAAAAATAATTATTAATAATCAATAGTTTCTCAGGCCAAAAATTTCAAAATTCAATGCGGCAGGCATTTTTTTTTTTAAACAGGTGTTATATACCTTTTTTTCATGTCAGTCGTTTAACAACATGATGATATCAACTCATTCTTAATTTTTTTTATTCTCTTTAAAAGTTTATTCATAAAATACCATATTAACAAGAAATATATTGTCTATCTAATAAAAATGTCTATCTAGCAATTATGAAAAGGGAAATAACTCAATTTTCTTTTTCAACCTGGAAAAATAGAAAATTGAATTATTTCCCTTTTCAATATGTCAATAAAATTGATCAATGCAGCAGTTTTTGACCTGATGTGGCAGTGCCTGAGAAACTATTGATTAATTTTTTATGGCCTTAAGAGTAAATTTTATTTATTTGGAGAGATTTGATTTTTTTCATGTTTTTGCATGGAATTTTAATATTAAAATAGAGTAAATTTTTGGGGAGGATGAAAAAAATAAGGCTAGTTTGATAGGGAAATTTTGTGATAAATATGTGTTTTAGTAATAATTAAGCCTTCATAAACTGTTTTACAGATTTCTATAACATAATATTTGGATACTCTATATCCTTAAATGTCTTTTCAAATCAGTATGGCCACACTTTCATATTTTTACATATATATGCAAACCTACACATGTTTATATTTTAAACATTAAACACCCCCCCCCCCCTCCCTCCCCCCAGAAGGATATGGCTACAATCAGTAATATCAATTAGTATGCCAGGATCCTCCTGCTTTGAAGATTTAAATCTATGCATTACAACTTCTATTGTTTGGTCTGTGCCACTGTATGGAGTTAAAATGTTAGACAAGAATTTGTAAGAAATTTCTTTAAAATTTACATTTAAAGACATTCTACAGAAGAATACTCAGGTAAACATTGTGGCCTATGGGCCTCTCTTGTGTTTATGACCTACTCTATGTTGTTTTACTTCTGTTTACAGATGTTTTACGCTGAGCGTTACAAAGTCAGCCATTGTGTACATCCTCTTCCTGTCCCCCGTTGTCATAGTAATGCTTAGTAATCCAATCATATTCTACCAGGCAGGAAAATCAGGTAGGTCACCATTATCTCTCTACTGCAACCAGACAACAGATTAACAAGACACCATAGCTAAACTAAATATTCTCTGATGATATTCTGACTTTTTAATTTTTCCAGCTAAGCGAGCTCTTATTTGGCACTATGGACGCTACACCTCGTCAGAAAGAAAACTAGTCGATGCCATTCATACCAAATTTTATCTTATCCTCATCATTTATTTCATTTGGTAAGTTACCTTTAGTGCTAGCATTTTCTGGAAGCTTTTAAATAAAAGGTTAGTTGTACGAAGCTTCAGATTTTACACAAAGCTTCAGGATTTAGATAAATGCCTAGGGTTAGAGTATAATTTTAGCTTAAGATTTTACACAAAGCTTCAGGATTTAGGTATATGTTTATGCCCAGGGTAAGGGTATAGATGTAGTTGTAGCCTCCGAGTTCAGACAAAGCCTCAGGATTTAGGTATTTGCCCAGTATGAAGGTTGTGGGTTCACAGGAGCTAGTTCTTTATTTCTTTGAACCTTCCAGAAACTGAGAACTGAACTCAGAAAATGATTCTTGGTTTATCATTTATGTATTGTTTGGAGTTAAATTAGACTGATCTTATTTCTACAGCCCATTGTAATAAATCAAACTGATTCCTTCTTATATAAAATATGGCTGTATAGAATTAAGCTATGATATTTTATGTTTGATTTTCAGTTGGATTCCTAATCTTATCAATGCAGTTCTATTACTGAGGTCTAAGGCAGCCGCCACCTCATTTATACCAGATGACAAGAGTATCCTGGCTTTCTTTATACTAATGGTATGTATGTATGTTCCTTATTTATATATATAAGTATAGTCTTTATTTACAGTAAAGACTGTTTTTAGAAGAAGTAATTGCTAAATTAAAAAAAAGTCAAGGTGCAAGAGTTATACATGTACATAAAAAATACTTGTCATATAGACATATACAGTTGAATTTCATTATCTTGAACACTGATATCTTGAATACCAGGGATATGTCGATAGGCAGTTGGCAGTCAAGTCCCAACCACTTTTTTCTTATGTTTTTTTATTACCCTTGTTATCTTGAATCCTTGGATATCCTGAAGTTGAATCACGGTCCCCTTAAGTTCCAGATAATAAGGTTTGACTTTATATGGAAATGTTTGCTTAAGTTGGTCAAATTTTGACACTAAGTGCAAAAAAAGTGATGAAATAGGCATGTGATGTACTGTGTGTGTGTGTGTATATAAATATATATATTAGTCTCTATGTATGTGATGAATTGTAATGTAAAATTCCAATACAAATCTGCATTTGGCCTTATTTTCTGATTCTGCTGTTTAATACATTTTATTTGTTCTGATTTTAGGCAGTGTCCAATCCCCTACAAGCTCTCTTAGCTGCTCTGGTCTTCTGGGGACTCCCAACCAATCACAGGCTTCGTTTCAACATCTTCCATTCAGACGTCCAGTATAGTGGCTCCAGTGGAAGTGCCATTATCAATCGGTCAGGACGATCTGGGCGCAGTACAGGAAGTGAAACGGAACCTCTCATCAGCTTCAGACAAAAGTCATCTCTCTAATGCTGACTTACAAAGGATATTACACAGAAAAACTGTGCATTTAAATTGATAAAAGTCATTGACTATATTTCTTAAACTGGCCTCAAACAAAACTCACTGCCACAAGTACAAAGAACTTTAAATTATACGAGTTTTAGAAGATATTAAACATTGGATTGTTTAAGACTGTCACAATGGCAAATCTGTAATAAGAAGTAATGATTAATCCAATGGAGCATGATCTCGGACTCTGTACCAATGATCCATAAAGATATAATTTACATGTATATATACAAGTATAGTAGTCTTCAAATTAACAATTTACTATATGGTACACTTGATGATGCATTAGATGACTACACATATACTGGTTGGCTTTACAGCAGGAATCAGTGCATTTTATTCAGTCAGCTTTGATTGGAATCTGTGTTCATACCGTAATTGTTGTAATATTTTCTTTCATCCTGTATCATGTTTTTTGTTTGTTTGTTTTTTTAAATATATTACAAGTAAAGAAATAATTTTTTTTTTAAACAAATGATTCCAACAGGTGAAGCCTCTGAGACAAATTCTTAAGATCTTACAAGTTATCAGTAGCAATAATGGTAACTTAAAAAGTAAAAAGAAAATGTCATACTAGTGGTTATTCACTTGTAATGCTTAGCTTTTTAAGTCAAGAAGAATTCAATGGAATTTATCATATTTCTCTAATAGAAACATCAGATCATTTAGACATGAGTAGAGAATTGTTTGAAACATTGTGAAATTATAGATCTTAATATGTGAATTTACAAGTGTGGATCTGACATTTTTTTTGTGTCAAATGATTTCTGATGTATTTATTTCAAAATGGATGAGAGAGAGTTTAGTGCACATACACTGAAAAAAAAGAGGGAAAGAGAAAATATGGAAACAAAATTGCTTGCACTATTTATTTATGTTTTTTTTCTGTGCATTTTATGTATTTATACTTGCATTTTAATAAAATATGATGATAAACTTGTGGATTTACTATTGCTTACTGACATCTTACTTCTATAGATTAAAACAACATGCTAAGTTTTATTTTACTAGAGAAAAAGATTTGTGGCAAACTAACAGCAACTAAACTTTATGATAAATGTGATGATTTCAACTTTTTTATTAACTTCCCTATCTATGTAGCAATGTACCCTTATCACCTGCATATGGGGATTATGTCTCAAATTTGATTCGATACACTAGAGCATGTTCTTTGTATGAACAATTTCTTAAAATGTTGTCAGGCTTCTGACAAACAAGTTGATAATTGGAGGGTATATCTACAATCTCACGAAGTCAACATTTTGCAAATAACGATGACCTTGTATGCAAATACGATCTGTAGTTGGGTTGAATGTTGACCAACATCTTTCATACAAATTGTTAAGCCATTATTTTCATACTGTATTGTCTAATGGATGATCATGACAGAGAGCACACAGAGAGTGTGACAGGTCAACAGTCTGGGGATGCTTACTCCTCTATGGCACCTGGTCCCACCTCTGTTTACAGGGGTTTGCTTTTGCTCAAAATTGATATTGAACCTGATTACTGTTAGTTGTCTTCATATTTCATAAAAAAAAATAAAATTGTCATATTTTTCAAATTACAAAGCTGTTTTTCCCTTTATTTCATTTATTGTCGCAGAAATAATCCAATTCTGGTATAATTTTAATTAGGATTTTATAGTCTTTTTTTTTTTTTTTGAGAACAGAACGTAGTAAAATATAAAATTTCATGCAATTTAGACAAGTAATAAATCATGCAGAATGAATAAGATGTCACTTCTACAGGTAATCCCATGCAAGTATAATGTTTCTTTTCTGGAAAGGATTAATCAGTTGAACTTGTGGTTTCATCATCAAGAAAAAAAACTTATACTTTGGATTACCTGTAGAAGTGAAATCTTATAGATTGATTAGGATTTATTGCATTTAGATGATACAAATTGGTTCCATCAAAATAAAATGTACATGGCCGAGCTTTTCTGTTGAAGTTATTTGTCACAATGTGTCTCCATACCCTGTAAACATGCAGACAAAAATCATCTTTTCTTCTGTCAGTTCGACGAACCTTTTCCAATGCAGGTTGAAATTTATTATAAGCACTAATTTGTGCACACATGAGAGGAAAATTGAGATTCAGTCTTTCTTGAATACTACCACAATCACTGCTTGTATGTTAAAAATGTAACTTCCATTTTAAATAGTGTATTTGCATTATTAAATGCATCGGCAGAAAAGAAACTTGGGGGATAAGCTAGCTGAGCCATACGCCTACGTAATGACAGACAAAAAATCAGTTAATTTTTTTTCACAAAGTCCACTTTTTACTAAATTTGAAAAATGTTTATTACCATTTGCATTATACAAAAGTCACCACCCGTGTTTCATTCTGTGGCAGAGAATGCAAGGTTAAGTGTTTAACTTGTTTAGAATCTAGATACATGTATCATCATTTTGAAAGTACTGTACACATTTAAATGCCCAGAGATAAATTCGTACAACTGAGATGAATTTGTATTTCTGATATATGAACTTGCTTTGCTGCAAAGTGGACATGGGCATTTGGCTTGCCTAATCCCCCCAGATTCATTAATAAAATTCATGACATGTAAGGGTGCTTTTATACCCATGATGACTTGCAATTTAATAAGCAAGCATGTTATTTGATGAAATTGAGGATAACTACGGCTGAAAATATTGCTGAATCTCACTATAATAGTGATATACCACTATACTAATATAGCTGAATTTATGTTTCCCCCTAACCTGATTATGTCCAGAAGCTTTTGCATGTTTCATCTTTTCTGGCTCAGTGGTTCTTGAGAAAAAGATTTTTAAATGTCCTCACTCTATTTGTTTGCCTTTCCTTCATTTTATCTCCCCTTAGAAGGGATGGATGGATGCCATACGAAAATGTGATCAGAAAAGCTCACTTGGGCTTTCAGCTCAGGTAAGCTAAAACACTTGCATTTATACCAATTACAAGGCGAGCACATAAATCCCAGTGATATAAATTGTTTCCCTTAAGTTTACTCAATACATTACTCATTTCAGCATGCAAGAGATACTGTAAATATATTTATTTTAACAGTAATCATATTTTAGCACCTTAATTGCAGTGCTTTTTTTTGCTAAGTGAAGTAATGCTAATATAAGAATAAATACTAAATACCCAATTCATGATCACACTTACCAGTTGGTGATGAATACTGCAGTAAATTTCGAGTGTGCTAATTTATGTACATTTACAGGAAATCTTTACATCTGGACTGAATATTCTGCAACATCCCAGACTCCCAGTTGTCGATGATGAAATTTTTCACCACCTATCCTCCCTTGTTTATTTTGCCCCATTTAAAATGGATAAAGAAAACAATTTATTTCATAGAGTCACTATAGTTCATTTAATTTTTGTTATAATCACCATAGCAACATGAGTGAGACAATATACAATTAAGCATCACAGGTCATCAACAAACAAAATATCTTCTTTCATCATATAACTATAACACTCTACTCATGGTAACAATCCCTGCTACCAAAAAATAATCAGCATTATCTGTTTTTAAATATTTGTAACTATAGTTATTTGTTTGTAAAATAAGTTCTGTCTCTGTAACCATGGTAATATTGTCCATGACATCAGATCTGCCTCTGTAACCATAGTAATGTTGTCTATGGCATCAGATCTATCTACATGTATGTAACCATGGTAATATTGTTTGTAGCATAAGATCTGTCTCTGTAACCATGGCAATATTGTCTATGACATCAGATCTGCCTATGTAACCTTGGTTATGTCCTTCATCTGTGACATCAGATCAGCCTCTGTAACCATGGTAATATTGTACTTTATGACATCAGATCTGCCTCGGTAACACCCTGCACATTTAGCTCCATTAACACATTATCCAGATATTTATCATCCGGGAAACCATGCCCGGAGTGGTTCCTCCCAGATTCGGTTTTATGGTGTATTTCATTCCATGTCACCGTGTCTGATTCCCCTGTCGTGGTGGAATGACCAATCGTGAAGGTCAGTCTTCTCTTCCATGCAACTATCAACAACTTCAGGACCTGATATAAAAAAATTATATCAATCAGGAAAAACTCTCTTAGTTACTGAATTATTTACATGTAGATACTGGGAACTTAGATTCTGTCTAAGATACTGGCTGACTTAGATTTTGACTTAGATATTAGTTGATGACTTACCTATAAATTTTGATTGACAGATATTGACTTAGATTCTGACTTTTGATACTAAACTTACTTAAAAGACATAAATCTGGCAAACATATGCATTAAGATGTAGTTCCTGGCTTAGATATTGATTAGATTCTGACTTAGATAGTGACTTAAATATTGACTAAGATAGTGGCTTAAATTCTGCTTTAAGTAGTGACTTAGATTCTTAGATAGTGAATTAGATTCTGACTTAGATTCTGACTTAGTGATTTAGATTCTGGCTTAGATAGCAACTTAGAGTCTGACTTAGATAGTTACCTACTAGATTCTCATGTAGATACTTACATATTGATTAGATTCTGACTTTGTGACTTAGATTCTGACTTAGATATTGACTTAGATTCTGACTTAGAAATTGACTTAGATTCTGACTTAAATATTGACTTAGATTCTGACTTAGATACTGACCTTTCTACCCTTCTCACTGTCTGGAAGGTAGCACACCCTTGGGAATCCCCTACAGGTGTAGCGTTTCCCAGGGTGGGGATGTTCTGAGCCCTGAATCCCTGGGGCTATATGATATATAATGATCTTTGTTTGGTGGCCCTCGTGGCCCGGTAATGAGTGGGGTAGAGTCAGATATTCCATGACACCATCTGGACAATTTCCATGTTTCTCTCCATATATTGTTTTACATGTAGGGCACTGAACCGAACCATTCTATTGCAAACAGATGAAAAACACATGAGAAAGCAGCAGTAAAATCATTACTTTAATGTTCAAACACTTATCTGTAAACATAACTTGAGCTGTTCTAATGGAACAAAAAATCTCCTGTAGGGCAACTAAAGAAAAGAAACACATTAATAGCTTATAAGAGGCCCAAGGGCCTTGACTGTCACCTGAGTATAATGCAACGATCAGTAGATTAAAACAAAATAAGCTGATAAATGAAGCTATGTTGCCCAAAAGCAAGAGAAATAGGATGACCAGGAATCAGCCAAATATTAATTTAGTACTCAGTAACAAGTCTTAAAGTTTATATATTTATTTGGTTGTACTTTCCCCCATTTGTCACTATCCCCATGTGGACTAAACAAAACAACAGTTCTAGAGCACTATTAGTTAACACATTCCCCCTCACACTGGCCTCTCTTAGTCTTTGAAGATTATTTAATGTATAAAGATATGGTATTTTTGTCCCATTTTTATTTATCCATCATTTAAAGTCTACCTGACCATTTAAAACTATGAAAGTACTTTTTGTATTAAAGATTATAAAAAATTTCGTATAATTCTGCTGTTCAAATGACCTTTTCAGTTACTATTAAATTACAGTGATTAACTATTATAGGTGAGTAGCAAAGTTGAATAACTTTTTTCAGTAGAAATAAATAAACTGATCAAAGGGTACAGAATTTCAAAATCTGGTAAAAACCCCTTGTTAATTACAACTTTATATACTCTGTTTGCCTCCTAGATAACCAGAAGATTTTTCAAAGAAATAAACCATTTTCACTACAGATTCAATATAGCCCCACCCTAATACCTGATTCAGATGCAAAGACAGTGATTCATTTTGGTGTGCGTCCTGCATAAATTACGCACAATTTTTGCCCAGGACGCATTATTTCAATAAATGTGCATCCCAATGGACGCAATAAATTTTTAGGAGGACATGTACTATTTAAAATTATTCCGGTATAATCTGATTCAAAACTTGACCGATTGCATCATATCTACGTGCTAAGCGATATGCATGAATGATTTTAACAGGTATAAGGTTAACAACAGGTCAGATTTCACAACTGCAGTTAAAAGCAATTATCAGAAAATATTTGAGAGTTACAATGTAGATAGCATAGTTTGATTATCACTGATTATGTCTATACCATAGAATGTTTCTGAAGCGAATACTATACCTAAATGTATTTAAGCTGCAACCTGTATCATTTTTTTTTTGTCTTTTCGTTTTTTCCTTACAAGCTAAGAAGTATAAAACTTAATCATTTTTATTTCAGACTATTTGTCATTTCTTCTTAAACTTTTTTTTACTGCATTCTGCTTCTGTGCATTTTATGACTGATACAATGTGTGAGATCGTATGTACGATCTAAAAATAGAACCAAAGTGCACAGTGGACAATAATTTAAATATAATATTTTTATGACACAAAATCACGTAGTACAATCTTGGACAATTGATAGTAAAAGTATAAATCACTCACAGCTACAATAAAACATTTGCACTTTCGTGCAATACCCTTTTTTATTTCACCAGAATTTCCTCTGTAACATCTAATATACGGTACCCTTGGATTTGGACGCATTGATTTTGGCAGGGACTCATTGTTTTCATTAAGAGGGGTCCTTTGGACCCATCATAACCATTTTCAAAATGAATCACTGCAAAGATATTCAAAATTTTGGAAAAAGCACCCTTGCTCATCATAACCATGCACTTAGTATGTTTCCTTAATAATAGTGGACAGAGAAGAAGATTTTCAAAGAAATAATGCATTTCTACTATAAATTCAAAACAGCCTCATCCTAGCACCAAAACCCCTGATCCCCGGCCTATGAATTTCAATTTTTTTTAAAAGACATCCTTGCTCATCTTAATCAAGCAATTCGTTTTTTCTGTTAAATACACAGGGGCTGACAAAAAGATTATCCAAAAAAAAAATAATAATAATAATGCATTACCACTATATATATTCAAAAGACCTCCCCCTATGAATCCCTTATCCTACGACCACAAATTTCACAATTTTGGAAGAGGAATCCTAGTTCATCATAACTATACACTTGGTTTACCTGTTAAAAACCTAGGAGCATTGAAGAAGATTTTCAAGGAATTAAATTAATGCAATTTCACTACATAATCAATAGAGCCCCCCTCCCGCAGAACCCCTGAACCTGGGGTCAAAAATTTCACAACTTTGGAAGAGGCACCCTTGATCATTATAACCATGCACCTAGTTTCTCTGCTTTATATACAGGGGGAGTGAAGAAGATTTTGAAAGAATTTATGCATTTTCATTATATGATCAATAGAGCCCCACCCTAACACCAGAACTCCTGGTACAGGGGCCAAGATATTCACAATTTTAGAAGAGGTGCCCTTGCTTATCATAACTATAAATTTGGTTTATCTGCTAAATACCTAGGAGCAGAGAAGAAGATTTTCAAAGAAACAATGCACTTTCACTATATCCCCCCTCCTACAGAACCCCTCACCCTTTGGCTACAAATTTCACAATTTTGGAATAGGCATTCTTGATCATCATAGAAATGGACCTTGTTTCACCCACTTTTACTATATAATCAATAGAGCCCCCTCCCCCCCCCCCCCCCCCTTCTTGCAGAACCAGCTTCCAAAGAAAATCTGGTGGTGTGCATCCCTATATCATGCATAATCAATGCTTCAATGGGGCTTATAATTATTTGGGAATGGACAAACTCCAAAAACTTTAACCTATTCATTCACCTGAAAATGTAGGTCAGATATAGCATCTGAAGCAAGACTGTGGTTTGCATTCAAAGATGCATCATCCAAGCAAGGTTGGTCCAGATAGGATTTATAGTTACTTCAGAATAGACCTGCTCAAAAAACTTTAACCTGGTCACTCATCTGGAAAATATAGGTCAGATCCAGCATCTGAAGCATGTCAGGTAGTATGCATCCCTAGATGCATCTTCCCTGCAGGTTTGGTCACCCAAGGTCTTACAATTACTTTTAAAAAAATGAACCTGCTCCAAAAACTTTAACCTGATCACTCATCCAGAGAATGTAGCTCAGATCTAGCATTGGAAGCATGCCTTGTAGTGTCATCCTTAGATGTATGAATCATGCAAAGTTTGCTTGAGAATGGACTTGCTCCAAAAACTTGAACCCAGGATGCTAATGCCAACACCTACGCAGAAGTATAGCATAGCTCATCCTGATTTTGTCAAGGTGAGCTAAAAACTTTAAAAAGGGTGAAAACTGCTTGGCAATATATGGTTTGTAATGAACACAATTGATTACCTAAATATGTTTTAATGTTTGACTAAAACATGAATTTTTATGGTTTCTCTATTGCTAAAATCTTTGTTTTTAATATTATCTGACCACCTACCTTTGTGGTGCTCTCATACATAGCCAAAATGCATAGCTTATGAAACATGTGACCACATTTCTGGAGTTTGAACACAACCTTCTCATCTGTCTTTCCTTCACCATAACCAGAGGGATGGGTAAGCTTCTCACAGCATATACAACAATCCTATATAGAAATAGAGATAAATCTCAGAGACTCGAGATACGAGTAAGCTTCTCACAGCATAAACAACAATCCTATATAGAACCAATAGTCTCTGATGAGACTGTAGCTCTACTGGTCTGTACATATAACAAAGGAAAAGTAGCACTTGGATTTGATACTTTGCAAAACGTAGCAATAAATAGAATAATGTATCTTAATGTAGTCTACTTGTGTGCCAAGTTATATTGAAATCAAACAAAAACTGTAGGGGAAGTAGCGTTTTAAAGGAATTTAACAGAAATTTCTATTTTTAGTAACCATGGCAACAACGTTCATCTAAATCAAAAACTGATGCACTAAATTATGTATCTTAGTGTAGTCTACTTGTGTGCCAAGTTATATTGAAATCAGACCAAAACTGTAGGAGGAGTAGCGTTTTAAAGGAGTTTAACAGAAATTTCTATTTTTAGTAACCATGGCAACACCGTTCATCGAAATCAAAAACCGATGCACTAAATTATGTATCTTAGTGTAGTCTACTTGTGAGCCAAGTTATATTGAAATCAAACAAAAACTGTGGGAGGAGTAGGGTTTTAAAGGAATTTCACAAAAATTTCTATTTTTAGTAACCATGGCAACACCGTTCATCGAAATCAAAAACCGATGCACTAAATTATGTATCTTAGTGTAGTCTACTTGTGTGCCAAGTTATATTGAAATCAAACAAAAACTGTAGGAGGAGTAGCGTTTTAAAGGAATTTCACAAAAATTTCTATTTTTAGTAACCATGGCAACACTGTTCATCGAAATAAAAAAATGATGCACTAAATTATGTATCTTAGTGTAGTCTACTTGTGAGCCAAGTTATACTGAAATCAAACAAAAACTGTGGGAGGAGTAGCGTTTTAAAGGAATTTCACAAAAATTTCTATTTTTAGTAGCCATGGCAACAACGTTCATCTAAATCAAAATCTGATGGACTAAATTATGTATCTTAGTGTAGTCTACTTGTGTGCCAAGTTATATTGAAATCAAACAAAAACTGTAGGAGGAGTAGCGTTTTAAAGGAATTTCACAAAAATTTCTATTTTTAGTAACCATGGCAACAACGTTCATCTAAATCAAAAACTGATGCACTAAATCATGTATCTTAGTGTAGTCTACTTGTGTGCCAAGTTATATTGAAATCAGACCAAAACTGTAGGAGGAGTAGCGTTTTAAAGGAATTTAACAGAAATTTCTATTTTTAGTAACCATGGCAACACCGTTCATCGAAATCAAAAACCGATGCACTAATTTATGTATCTTAGTGTAGCCTACTTGTGTGCCAAGTTATATTGAAATCAGACCAAAACTGTAGGAGGAGTAGCGTTTTGAAAAATTGATGATGGACAGACAGACAGATGGACGGACGACGGACACCTTACTATCGCATAAGCTCTTCTGGTCTCTGACCAGTAGAGCTAAAAACAGATGAATCTCTGAGACTCGAGATACGAGTAAGCTTCTCACAGCATATACAACAATCCTATATAGAAACAGAGATAAATCTCAGAGACTTGAGATATGAGTAAACTTCTCACAGCATATACAACAATCCTGTATAGAAATAGAGATAAATCTCAGAGACTCGAGATATGAGTAAACTTCTCACAGCATATACAACAATCCTGTATAGAAATAGAGATAAATCTCAGAGACTCGAGATACAAGTAAGCTTCTCACAGCATATACAACAATCCTGTATAGAAATAGAGATAAAAAAAATCTCAGAGACTCAAGATATGAGTAAACTTCTCACAGCATATACAACAATCCTGTACAGAAATAGAGATAAATCTCAGAGACTCGAGATATGAGTAAACTTCTCACAGCATATACAACAATCCTGTACAGAAATAGAGATAAATCTCAGAGACTTGAGATATTAGTAAACTTCTCACAGCATATACAACAATCCTGTACAGAAATAGAGATAAATCTCAGAGACTCGAGATATGAGTTCACTTCTCACAGCATATGCAACAATCCTTTACAACATATAAATCTCAGGCCATCACTGAAAATTTTGTTTGTACTCCAACCCACAGTTTTCATGGTGGGTTGGTAGGTAGCTTTTTTTTAAATTATCTTACACATTGATAATCATAATAAATAAGTGACTCAGTACTGTAATTTTCGGGGTATACGTTGATGCTACAGGAGGTAACTCAAAAGCTTTGACTGTGATCAATGCCAAATTTCAATGTAATAAATACTTTACATAATAAAAATGCCAATGAAAATTGAAATTTTGAGAGGAGCGGGGCAATGAGATTCAGAAATTTAATTTTATTTGGCCTTGGTGACAGAAATAAACCCATGGGCTGAAGGAGTGGGCCAAAAGCTCCTTATTTATACTCACCTCATCATCGGGGGGAGTGTTCAGAATTGAAACATACTTTTCAAACACTTCACAACCAGCCCAGTTACCTGTAAGACAGAATGCATGTACTGTTCACAAAACTTCAAAATATCTCACAAGGGAAATTTACCAAAGAATTAAAACAATTTGGATGACTATCAATAATCAAACCAGACTGGATAAAACGGTGTGTTTTATGAAATAGTATAAATTTTACCTGTGGAATGGGTTGTTTGCTTGGACACATTATTTGGAATGTTGTCTTTTGGTGGTAGATAAAAACCAGTGGCTCCCCCTGTGGCTCCAGAAGAAATGGAGGGCTGTACATCAGCTGATGAGGCAACATGGGGAACCAGAGAATTGGGAGGATAAGATAGAACATTGGCAGTTGAACCTCAAAATTAGAACTCAACAGATGATATAAGCACATAAAGATAGAGTTACTGCATGCAGAGGTATATTTTTCATGAGAAAAGTTAGGACCAAAAAAATACTAATTACAAAAATATTCAAAACTTTAACAAATACATACTTGTCACCCCTGCTCTGCTGTTTGATCCACCCAAAGATTGACTGTTTATACTGAAATAATACCAATACCTCATAAATAATAAACCAATGAAATTGTAATTGATTTGTGATACCTATTAAGAGAGATTGCTACCTACCTACATATATGTAAAATAAAACTTTCTGGACATATGTTAGATTTATCTTATTCATGATAATCAAATCTCTTGGACTTGTTACTTTATATCTCACCTGTGCATGTTGTGATAGGCGACATTGCTCCCACCTGCCAGTCCCATTCTGGCCGAGATGTGGGGATGGATGGGTAAGCTGGAATTCTGCGAGATATTTGCCTGAAGAAAGTTGACTGCCCGCTGGAACACACTACTGTGGGGAACAAGGCCACTGGCCAAGATACCAGAGGAAACTGGCATCTGATTGGAAAAAGTCTGAGGAATCTGCATGCTCTGGCTATTCTGACTGGATACCTGCTGCGATTGAGGCACTGGATGAGTAATCTGATTGGTGTGGATTTGAGACAGAGAATTCATGTGAACAGAGGTAGGTGGAGCTGAGTTTTGAGTCATGTGTGTGTATAATCTTTTCCTTGTCAGAGGTCCTGCTGAACCACTTGATAAAGAATTTGAGAGAAACTGTCCATTTCCAGACATTCTCTGTCGTTTAGCACAATTAGGCCCATTCAAAGTACTGGTATCACTAAACTGACCATTTGTGGTACAAGAGCTACTAGACTGACCACTTGTGGTACTTTGTCCACTAAACTGACAATTGACAGTACTGCTAGTCTGACCATTTACTGTCCCTGAACTTGAGGGAATTCCATCAGAAGGACTAGAATTCAAATAAGGCATGGGCAGTAATTCACGTCTTATCATTCGAAGCCTCCCTGTCTCAATTCGTTTCTGAGTCATGTTGCTGAAGTCCATGATATATGGAAGTTTAACAGCTGTCTTTGTGAGATTCAACTCTTTGTTTCTATTGGCAGGGTTAGAAAAATGGTCCTCCAGAAGACATGCTACCTCCATGTCAAAAGAGTTCCACTGACCTCGATTATCCCCCTCCCACTGCCATATGATGCCTTTCCCTGGAGGACTCGAGTCTGGGTACAGTTGACGTCGAACTGGTCTTGCAGTTCCTGCAAAATTATAGCTCACTGTAAACATTTCTTTTTTCTTAACAAAAATCTTTTCAAACTTTATAAATGAACATACTTGAAAGTCAGGACTTATTTCTTGCCATATATTATATGACAATACTCAAAAAAGTTATCTCAGCAAGACAGATGTCGCTTGTGAACTACATTTTTTTTTCAAAATGTAACAATAAAAACTGAAATTAACAATGTGTAGAAAGCTCACCTGTTCCAAACCGAACTTGGCACATAGTTAGAAAATCTATCGAGTACATTCCCATATTTGGGGTCACATTTCCCAAGTTTACTTGCACTGATGGGCTTTTTCTGTAACTAGACTCAATAAAATTAGCTATATGTGGATCATAAGGCCGCCATCGACCGTACTCATTCATCCACTCCCACACCACGACAGATTTCACCGAGCTTGTCATATTTTTCTTCGTTTCCCACCTTCTCTCCCAAAAGTATTGAGGAGTTCCGATAGATGGTATAATAAGAGTTCCGAAAGTATTATTTACATCGATAATCAATTTCAAATAAAATAAATGTAATATCCACAGTAATTTTTTTACCTGTATTGTGCCGAAAAAATATAGATTATAATTCAAGAAAAATTAATAACATGGAAAATACGGACTTTTGCGAGAGTTGACGAATGTAATCCGGAAGTTGTAAATTACCCACAATGCTCACAGCATTCCTGTAGTGAAGGAAAACTGGAAAAGCTAGGGGAGGGATAATATTGATTTATACAGCCGGCATTGTTCTTCAGCGTGTAAACGCACAATGCCAACCAAACCACTAATCGAGTTCCGTTAATTTTATTCGTAAGTAATTATTGTTTTAGAAGTGATGGCTGATATATAGCAAACTTGAGGTTTAGGTATGGTGGTTATGATGTATGATTTCAGATTTTTATTTGTTCTTAATTTCTAAAGTAAAAACACACACTGCATGATGAGTTAATAGTCATAAAATTTTGTCTGCATTATATCAGTTTTATCTTATTTAGATCTGACTGTGCCGGCTTTTCATCTGGTACTGCCTAACATCTTTATTAAAAAATAATGTGCTCTTGTTATGGATTCTATAGCTCTACTAAAAAATCTCAGCCAAAGAATATGCCAGCTACATGTATATGGGTTTTTCAGAATCACTTGAGATTCACAGCATCTTTGCAGTGAACCTTTTTTGCTGTTAAATATAGGTTGAAATATTTATTTGGTAAGATAGCATGGTAACAAGATGCATGCTGGTATATTTTGCTCCAATTCCATTTTGCACCAAGATGGTTTGTGCCACAATGTTTTGCTCTCAATATATCAATAGCACAATATTGAACTATTTGTATTTTAATCGTTTAGCATTTTAACATATCCATAATATGTTCGATTCTGAAACTTTTAGGAGTGCAGTATCATTTGTGTAATAATAATGAACTCTACTCCTCTCGCATGTCATTTTCATACTGCTAATGACTTTACACAATTTTTAGTTTAACTCCTCAAGTCTTCCTTTACTGTCTTTCCTAATGTCGTTTTGATTTCCAAACAATTTTATGACTAGTAGAAATTTTCTCAAACTTTGTAGACTCCCTATGCATCAGAGTCAAGATTCCAAACTTCTCGTATATTTCTGACAAAATCGGAGATACCCAAGTCATTTTAGTGACAAAAATATGATGTCCTATGAAAAGTCAAGTTTAGTGAGAATACAAATGATAGTTTTTTTTGGCAAGGAAATTGCACTAAATTCTTGTTTGTTAATCTTTTCAATTAAGTTGTTACTATGATTTATCCACCATGTTGCTATGCATGCAAAGTGGATTGAGAGTATTAGAATTTTTTCACATGGACTCATAAAAATTTCTTTGAACTATGTGTAGATTTCAACCTGAACATAATTTTTTTTAAACATGTTAAAATGGTAAAACAGAAAGAAAGCACAATAAAATGTAGATTAATGTTTGAATGACAAATAATTTGTGTATCAAAAAATTTATAAAATTACAAAACTACTGCTTTGGCAGCTGCATATTCAGTATATTTATTTGGAGTTTTACAAGGAGGCAAATTATCAGACAATTCTTCTTCTGATGGAGAGACTTCTAAACCACCAGTTTCTTTATATTTTGAAAGTTGTCCGTGGGCTGAGATCTTTTTGTTTAGAATTGAGAAAATGACTGAAAATTACTGCCTATGGTTAATTTTATTTTCTTAGTAGTATTCATAGAATTTAACAATGCTTGGTAATCATAAAACATTTAATTGGAGGCAGAATAATGGAACTGCACTTTACAATTTCAGATGAACACAATTATACGGAATTTTGTACCTGCATACTAAACAAAAATTGCAAATCCACAGATATATGACTCCATGGAAATAAATATGCCTACAGTATATTATATCTAGCAAATTCAAAAGACACTAATTTAAAATTAAATATATATGCTAATGTGTAAAATTGATTTCTGCCAAATTTCGTACACGCTTAGCCTAAATTTAATACATTTACAATAAATCATTTTTGTAAGCAGATGTTTTCTTATTAACTTTCATTAATTTGAATTGGTAGAATTGGAATGATTTCTTTTCTGAAGTTCAGCTAAATTTGGTAGAATTGGAATGATTTCTTTTCTGAAGTTCAGCTAAATTTCAGCTATGAAATAGCAGGAAAAAAATATTGATGTCAAAATACTAATGTCAAGCAGTCACAATCAACAGCATATTTACCATAGGTTTTCAAGATGAATATGAAAATGCTAAATAGGCCGATTCACTTTAAGATATTGTGCATCATTTGTACATGAAACCATAAATCTGACATACAAGGTATGGTAGATAATATTAAGGAATACATAACTGAGAGAGTATGTTGTTCTCCTGTGTAGGAAGGGAAACATAATTATATATTTATATAAAATTTCAAAAGTAATGTATAAAAATACCCCTTTTGATCTTTGTACTTACTTAGGACGAGGGGCAAAGGTATTTTCTGTATTCACTATCATTGATAAATATCCCAATGATGAAAAAACAACAACAAAACACTGATCAAGAAATAACTTCTGTTACAATATGATAATAGATAGTTCTCACTGTGCAGTATTTAGACCATGTTTATTAATGGCAAACAAGTGAACATTACTTCTTCATTGCAGCATTCACCATGATTAAAAAGTGATTTTGAATATATTTTAAACATTGTCTCAAATAGCATACCTTCACAACACACATAAGAGAAAAATAAGTAGATATTTAAATGAATCATCTGAACTTCTGTTGGTCATCTTGCAGGTAACTGTAATCTTTGAATACTGCAGAAGGTTTAGATAAGTCAAAACTGTGAATACGGCAGAGTACAGAATGTCAGTACTAGGATGAAAACTGCAGGGAATTCAGAATGTCAATACACTGTACTATGAAAACTTCAGAGGGTTTAGAATTGTATCAGTACTGTAGAGATATCTAAAGCAAAAATATATGGGATCTAGAAAATTTATAGTTGAATACTAACTATAGACTATAGAGTTTAATGAATTTTAGTGAATGCAGACTTCAGTACTTATTTTACACATACATATTTACAGAATATTGGCCATTAAATTGAAACCATGGCAACACAAGCAGCTGTCCATCAACGCAACCTTGAAAGTGCCATCCTCTTCATGCAGACTGAGCATGCTCAGACACTAAAAGGTCTCCACGAAGAAATTAAAAATCTCCAGAAAAAATGCTCAGGTATACGCTAATGTTGTTCTTATAGAAGTAGCCTACTTCATCTCAAATGAAAGGAATATCCTTGTGCATGCAGAATGCTTTAATTGACCTGCAAGTGAGGCCATTCCAAGTTTTTTCCATGTTTTAGTGTTCATATGTGCCTTGGTTTTTGACACTTCAGATCAGAAAACAGTGGTCCAGATATGATGTTCTTTTTTTTTTTCAGTTAAAACCTTTTTGAATTTCTTCATTTGTTGAGAATCTGTCAAATATGTTATATTAAGCTTTTACAACTTTGATTTTGCAGAGGAATTTTTTTATGAAAAAAATATATAAGCACAAAATCAAATCTGTTGAATGATATCATTTTTATGACCATTGATAAATCCTTGAGGCACCTTTATTTACTTTAAATAATTTGTTTGTTTACATTTTAATTAAAACGTTTTCCTCTCTTGTTTGATTGAATCTTGACGCAGTCACAGCAAATATGATGTCATTTCTTATAAGGGCCACTACTCTAGTTTCAGAAAGAAAACATTATGGAAAGTGGTTTTCATAATAAATAAATTCAAAATGTCAATGCAATACGTAGGCCTATAATGCCAGATATCAATTCTCACCTGCTGGACATAAAAATATAGCCGGCAGTCATGTGTCGCATTTAAACCAATGAAAGTGTGACATTTCAATATGAGGGAAAATAAATATTAGGGCTGGCAATTTGTAATCGGTTAACCGGTTACTCGGTCGGAACGATGCTAATCGGTTAGAAAATTTGTAATCGATTAGTCGGAAAAAAAATAATATATGTGAAAATATGAACAGACTTTCCTGAAATTTTTATTTAAAAATACAAATAAAAAATATTTTAAATGTTAGCATTTTTAGCTCTACTGGTCAGAGACCAGAAGAGCTTATGCGATAGTAAGGTGTCCGTCGTCCGTCCGTCTGTCTGTCTGTCTGTCTGTCTGTCTGTCCGTCTGTCTGTAAACAATTTTTCAAAATGCTACTCCTCCTACAGTTTTGGTCCGATTTCAATATAACTTGGCACACAAGTAGATTACACTAAGATACATAATTTAGTGCATCGGTTTTTGATTTCGATGGACGGTGTTGCCATGGTTACTAAAAATAGAAATTTCTGTGAAATTTCTTTAAAACGCTACTCCTCCTACAGTTTTGGTCCGATTTCAATATAACTTGGCACAGAAGTAGACTACACTAAGATACATAATTTAGTGCATCGGTTTTTGATTTCGATGGACGGTGTTGCCATGGTTACTAAAAATAGAAATTTCTGTGAAATTTCTTTAAAACGCTACTCCTCCTACAGTTTTGGTCCGATTTCAATATAACTTGGCACAGAAGTATACTACACTAAGATACATAATTTAGTGCATCGGTTTTTGATTTCGATGGACGGTGTTGCCATGGTTACTAAAAATAGAAATTTCTGTGAAATTTCTTTAAAACGCTACTCCTCCTACAGTTTTGGTCCGATTTCAGTATAACTTGGCACACAAGTAGACTACACTAAGATACATAATTTAGTGCATCGGTTTTTGATTTCGATGGACGGTGTTGCCATGGTTACTAAAAATAGAAATTTCTGTGAAATTTCTTTAAAACGCTACTCCTCCTACAGTTTTGGTCCGATTTCAATATAACTTGGCACAGAAGTATACTACACTAAGATACATAATTTAGTGCATCGGTTTTTTATTTCGATGGACGGTGTTGCCATGGTTACTAAAAATAGAAATTTCTGTGAAATTTCTTTAAAACGCTACTCCTCCTACAGTTTTGGTCCGATTTCAGTATAACTTGGCACACAAGTAGACTACACTAAGATACATAATTTAGTGCATCGGTTTTTGATTTCGATGGACGGTGTTGCCATGGTTACTAAAAATAGAAATTTCTGTGAAATTTCTTTAAAACGCTACTCCTCCTACAGTTTTGGTCGGATTTCAATATAACTTGGCACAGAAGTAGACTACACTAAGATACATAATTTAGTGCATCGGTTTTTGATTTCGATGGACGGTGTTGCCATGGTTACTAAAAATAGAAATTTCTGTGAAATTCCTTTAAAACGCTACTCCTCCTACAGTTTTGGTCCAATTTCAATATAACTTGGCACACAAGTAGACTACACTAAGATACATAATTTAGTGCATCGGTTTTTGATTTCGATGGACGGTGTTGCCATGGTTACTAAAAATAGAAATTTCTGTGAAATTCCTTTAAAACGCTACTCCTGCTACAGTTTTAGTCTGCTTCTAATATAATTAGGCATACAAGAAGACTATACTAAGATACATAATTTATTGCATTGGTTTTTGAATTCGATGAACAGTGTTGCCATGGTTACTTAAAATAGAAATTTCTGTGAAATTCCTTTAAAATGTTACTCCTCCTACAATTTTGGTCTGATTTCAATCTTATTTGGCACACAGTTAGAATACACTACGATACATAATATGTATTTCTGTTTTTTTTTTTATTTGGGTGAATGGTGTTGTCATGGTTACTAGAAATAGAAATTTCCATGAAATACTTTCAAAACGCTACTACTCCTAGTTTTCATTTGATTTCAATATAACTTGTCACAAAAGTAGACTACATTAAGATACATAATTCTATTTATTGTTGCATGTTGCAATGTTTCAAATCCAAGTGCTACTTTTCTTTTGTTATACAAACAGACCAGTAGAGCTACAGTCTCATCAGAGACTTCTGGTTACCTATCTATTGAAGCTGATTTTGGAGATAATTAAGGTTCTCCAGATAAACATTGTGGGGGGTAATTGGGCAGTTGTTGATATGTTAATTGCTGTTTAAACAATGTACATCGCTCCCATACATGTACCTGCCCCGTGTTTCTTTAATGATTTTAATTAGATGATCGTTGAATACTGTGAACTGATTATAATGCGTACCTTACCTTTTCTATCCTTTGCAGTCACCAATCAAACTATAATATTAATTGTAAATTAAGTTATAATTTCACTGTATTTCCAGAATTTGCATTGCATTTCCAACAATTTTTGTTTTCATTTCCGACATTTATTAATTTATTTTTTTACATTTCCAGAATTTTTGAAGGATACCTTTCCGACAATTTAATGTTAACTAATATAAGTGGAAATAGAATTTTAACAGGATATACATGTTTTATTTTATACCACATTTTCCAAATAAGAACATTACAATGCACCGTATCTATATGCAGCAAAAGTTAAAAGTAAAGGAGATGAGCTAAAGTTCACAACACTTACATTTACTCCATTGAAAAATCTACTTGTTTCTTTAAAAACTTAGCTAAACTTATTATTTGGATATCGATTATATATTCTAAAAGTACTATATGATAAATGTCGGAGATGAAAACTTAAAAATGTTGGAAATGAAAACTACAAAATATCAGAGATGAAAAGTTCAATATTTTAAAAAATTCCGGAAATGAAATGCAGCTGATAATTTAGATGTAGTTTTGATTATAGTGACAATACATAATGAACATGCGTGACAACTGACGAAATTTCATGCAACTGAAACACTAAGCGTGTCTCATGGATTTCTTACTCACTAATTTTTTGCCTATTAAACAATGCTTTAATTGAAATAATGTAGAATATACTGTAGATAGTTTATCTGATAAAATATAAACTTATTATTACTACATGTAACATTCATATAGTCTTGTTAATGTTTTTTTTATGTTGAGCTTTGAATGATGAGAAAATTTTTGATACGATTAACCGATTAATTGGTCGGAACGTCTTACGGTTAACTGATTGGCAATTCTGTATTCGATTGCCATCCCTAATAAATATATATATAAAATCTTCAGAAATTTTCTTCAGTCTGAAGTACAGCAAGACCACGAATAGTCGTGTTCATGATGTGTATAGATTCAAGTTTGTTCAGTTATGAACCATGGGGCTAGGATCTAATGGGGGAATTACAAAAGGGGAAACAAATGTTTTTGACACAAAATATTTTGATAATCACTTAAACAAGGGCACAATTTGTGAAGTTGCATTGACTTAATTCAGTCTTGTGGAGAATTGGGCCATGGATATTGACTTTAAGCCTCCATTTACTGTCAATAGAATTGTTGAAATTTATCATGGATTTTAATGTGTTGACAACATAAGGGGTTTTCTCTATCTAAAAAGTGCATATTCATTTGTGAGGGAAAGAATGGCGAATCTTGATTTTTTTTTTTTTTGTTGGCCTATGGGCCTCACACTCCATAAATATTCAAGTCCTCAGTCTATGTATTTATGATTTATAATAGCATATATTGTATTTTAGTATTTTAGACTTGACTTTCCAACTCAATATGCCATATATTGTATTTTAGACTTGGCTTTCCAACTCAATATGCCATATGTATTGTATTTTAGACTTGGCTATCCAACTCAATATGCCATATGTATTGTATTGTAGACTTGACTTTCCAACTCAATATGCAAGGAATAGGGGATGATTCACCAGGTGAGTGGGTACCTAATACTCTTTTCTATCTCAGTTATATCAGGAGTAAATACTAGTGAAGTGTTTATAAGTTTATTGGTCACACTGGTCATTTAATCCAGATCTTCTTTCCTTACCCTGCACCTGAAGCAGCTGGATGAAAGAATTAAAAAAATCAACTCGGTGACAATTTTTCATACTGCTGCAGCAATCATCAGTATAGTTACAGTCTTGTCAGAGACTGGTTCTAAAGATACCTTAGTTTCTGCCCCTGACTCAGATTTTTTTTTTTCCAAGATCCCCTTCCTTAATTTTGAGGATGCTGATTGTTTTTATAATGCCAGGCTTGTTAAATGTCCTTTTATGTAAAGATTACCAATAAAACATCCTTTAAACATAACTATTCTTATTTGTCTTTTCAAATGTTAAACAGGTGCTCAAAGCGCTCAGATCGAAGACTTGAAGAAAGAAATCCAGGAGCAAATTAAAGAGAGGGAGGAATATTGCCAGGAGCTCCAGAGGAAGGACAAACAGATCAAACATCTGGAGACTGACGTCAAGCGAACAAAAATCAAACACCAAGAAGAGCTCCGCAAACGAAGCGAATGGGAGGACAGGCTGCGTGCAGACCTCGAGTCAAAATCTAATCAAGTGGCTTACTTGACCACAGAACTGCATAAACTCAAGAGATTACAGTTAGAAAGTGGTTCAAAACAGGCATATATTGCTAATGCCTCTCATGGACTAGTTCCTGCTCCTCCTGGACTCCCAAAAGAGCGAATGTCAGGAATCAGGAGGGGTCATCGTGGAGCTAGAAAACCTGAGCACGAAGAAATACAGCCAGTCCGTGCAGGGTCAGGTGGCACATCACGGTCCGATTCTCCCGTTCTGGAGGCTGCACGATCCTTCATCGAACGAGATGACATTGAGCCAGAAATCAAAGAACGCAAACTGCCACCACTTCCTCCCATAAAAGCTGCCCCTAGTGATCGCCATGTCATGTTTCAAAAGGTTGTTCAGCCTTCTCATCGCAAAAAGCATGTGGAAATCTCACAGGAAGTGCAGGTCATAGCTGTAGATCACATGCCCACAAAGGAACAGAAGTGGGCCACTCATGCCCATGAGTCGAGAAGTTCTGAAATGAACTAAAATATAAACTTGTCACATTTGCCAAATGTTATTTTACATGTTGTGTTCTTTTTGTTATGTTTTGTGTATGTTTTTGATGCCAACTATTTGAGTTTACAGACATCATTTTAATGTGTGTGCGATGATCATGTTTTTATGATAGAGAGGGTTTTTATTCTGTTTTTAGAACACATTTAGCATATATTTAAGAAGGGTATGTAATTTACGTATTCTTAATTTGTACTTTATTTCTTTACTTATTTTAAGGATACTTGTTCTTTACGAGGGTTGAGAGAAGTTTTATTCCGTCCAGGGTTTGTGATTCTGCCTGTGATACTTTCAGATCAACATGTCAGGTCAAAAACAGTTACCATTGGCCATAGTTTCTCAAATATTACTGTCAAGTCAGTAATTACCATTGGCCATAGTTTCTCAATACAAATATTACTGTAAAGTTAGTAATTAACATTGGCCATAGTTTCTCAATACAAATATTACTGTAAAGTTAGTAATTACCATTGGCCATAGTTTCTCAATACAAATATTGCTGTAAAGTCAGTAATTACCATTGGCTTTAGTTTCTCAATACAAATATTACTGTAAAGTCAATAATTACCATTGGCCATAGTTTCTCAATACAAATATTCCTGTAAAGTCGCCATAATTTCTCAGTACAAATATTACTGTAAAGTCAGTATGATTAAACATGTCATGTTTTTGATGATAATAAGTTTTCTATATATCATTTGATAAGTAAAATGTGGTAAATTTCATAATCAATTCTCTCACTTCTGAGTACTGTTTTGAGGTACTTGGTTAATCTTAAGTCTCATGTTGTTTCAACTTCTATGTGAATTTGCACCCATGTGTTGTGACTAAATAAACATGACTTTTTACAGATTTTGTTTAGTTCTTACACAGCTGGGCAAGCACTCGGTGACATAAAAATGACTGAAATATGGCTGGAGATGTATACTCTACATTTGCTTAGGATGTGATGAATTTTTAGATGGACTACAGTTAGGAATTCTCTTCTGTACATTAATGTTCTCTTTACTACCATACTATACTTGTGTACATTAATGTCCTCTACCCTATAGTACTTGCGTACATTAATCTTCTCTACCCTATAGTACTGTACTTGTGTACATTAATGTTCCCTTCCCTATAGTACTGTACTTGTGTACATTAATGTTCTCTTCCCTATAGTGTTGTATTTGTGTACATTAATGTTCCCTTCCCTATAGTACTGTACTTGTGTACAGTAATGTTCCCTTCCCTCCCTATAGTACTGTACTTGTTGTACTTGTGTACATTAATGTTTACCTTCCCTATAGTACTGTACTTGTGTACAGTAATGTTCCCTTCCCTCCCTATAGTACTGTACTTGTGTACATTAATGTTCTCTTCCCTATAGTACTGTACTTGTGTACATTAATGTTCTCTTCCCTATAGTACTGTACTTGTGTACATTAAACATTAATGTTCTCTTCCCTATAGTACTGTACTTGTGTACATTAATGTTCCCTTCCATATACATGTAGTACTGTACTTGTGTACATTAATGTTCCCTTCCCTATAGTACTGTACTTGTGTACATTAATGTTCCCTTCCCTATAGTACTGTACTTGTGTACATTAATGTTCCCTTCCCTATAGTACTGTACTTGTGTACATTAATGTTCTCTTCCCTATAGTACTGTACTTGTGTACATTAATGTTCCCTTCCCTATAGTACTGGTGTACATTAATATTCCCTTCCCTATAGTATTGGTGTACATTAATGTTCCCTTCCCTATAGTACTGGTGTACATTAATGTTCTCTTCCATATAGTACTGTACTTGTGTACATTAATGTTCCCTTCCCTATAGTACTGGTGTACATTAATGTTCTCTTCCATATAGTACTGTACTTGTGTACATTAATGTTCCATTCCCTATAGTACTGTACTTGTGTACAGTAATGTTCTCTTCCCTATATTAATATTGCTTAAAAATTCACTTATAGGCAGAAAAACATAAAATTTTAAATTGAATGTTGAATGTTGGAAGTTTTCCTGTAATCTGAAAAACTTACATACATATTTATCCTGTTTCTGATAAAAATCTTGAAATTTCAATTGTCAAGAAGATTACTGTATTAAACCATACATATATTATGCTGTCTACAACATTATATTGTTAATATGCCCCCTCCATGTGACCTACTCACTACATATCAAATCAATATACTTAGTACCCCCCTTCAGGTGCTATACTGTTAAGATCCTATTCAATATGTTTTTATTTGAACATGCAAGGAGCCTAATAACTGATATCACATAAGCATCAGACGATGTCACAATGTAAACAATTATTACGGAACAGTTTGCTTAACTCTACGGAACAGTTTGCTTAACTCAGAGAAAATGAACTTTATTAAAATATCTTTGACAGGATAAAGAAGATGGGCGTGTTTGGCGTGTGATCTGCAGGAATCATGTGTTCGAAACATTTATAGTTTAAGTGTCCACGATTTGGTTGACTGCCCACAGCTGGACAGGCTTTACAAAGCTATGCACATAGGAAATGTTACATTTAGTTTGAAATAACATGTCATATTGTAATATTTAGGTCCGCTTATCTTAATAATCAAACTTTAAGATAGTAATGCTTCACATAAAAAATAAACACCTACAAGATAATAAGAGTATAGTTAAATGCAATTACAAGTACATGTGTATATTAAAGTATTAGTAGGTTGGAAGAATTGGTTTCGCTCTTGAGCAACAGAACCAGAACATATCCTTTTTAAAATAAATCAGTACAAAAAATTAAACTGACGAAAGAATTGATTGCTTGCATCAAAAAAAAAAAATATATTAACGCTCCATGCGAGGATCGAACCAAAAAATCTTTCGACTCCATTGCACTGGACGTGTAATGCATCCTACTGAGCTATCACGTCTACTCATACAAACTGGCTTTTAAAACTACAATGAAGCACCGCATTTACACATTGGAATTTTTTTGGAAAAAGTTCATTTTTTATGGTCTCTGGGTATTCTCTCCATTTTTTACAAATGATTGTTTATTTCTTTGATTTAAAATTCATACAAATAACGTTTGAAAATCATGGAGAGATGACCCAGAGATAGCAAATTTTTAGAAAATCGTGTTTAAAAATGTGACATTTTGTGCCAAATGAATCATTTAGCCTATTTTCAACTTATTTTTTAGCAAATCAAAATACAATTTCGGGAAAATATTTCCCTTTCCTATTTTACAGGAACCCAAATGATCAAAAGAATGTTAAAATTTCGTGTGATAGATCAATGAAATTTTCACTTTTCAAGTGTGCCCAGATTCCTGCCAATTGCCAGTCAAAAGCGCCCTCGTTCTTTGTTATGTAGACACTTAGAAGGGTAAAACAGAAATATATGGAGTCCTTGAAAAAATGTGCATTTTTACAAGGACCCCATTTATTTCCGTATTACCCCTCTAAGTGTCTACATAACTAATAATACACTAAAAAAACATATTAAAACATAAAAATCTTACATTTATATAAACACTATACACAAAAAAAATGAAAATCTTACATGCATATATACACTATACACAAAATATATATACACTGTACACAAAATAAATATTTTAATTATTATGTAGTTTTTTGTTCTTTTTTTTCATTGTGGGACACCAGATGCTGGAGAATAATTCCTGTAGCTACAGACACATTCAGTGAACCAATTAATCCTGCATCACAGCCAGGAATGTACACAACTTGATCACACTTCTCCATTAGAGTACTACTTATACCCCTCTCCTCATTACCTACAATACAGAAAAGAAAGGAAGATTCTCTATAAGGCCATTTTCTAGCCTATGATAAAATCACTTAAAAATGAAATTTTATGTAACTTTAATCAGTCTATTTTATGACTCTGATGTTTGTTTTTCAACATGGATCACCTAAGTCATGTGATTTAGAAATAACAAATGGTGGTCATGTAATTGAGGGTAGGTCTATAAACATCAGGTTTCTATGCATGCTTCTAAATTTAAATGATCAAAAATTGTTTATTTATGTCTGACATATAACAAATTAAAGTAATGTATACAAAGATTGTTTCATTTAAGGATTAAGATAATTTTTTTTATGACGTGAATTTTGATGCATTCACATTTTGCATACTCAGTATTTAGAATGTAAATCTTTATAAAATGTACACCGCTTGATGTTGAAAAATGTTTAATTATCATTTAATTTAAAAGTATTATTTCATATAAGTTTTATTTGAAATTGTTTAATATTTCTATAGATGTGCTATCTATTTTACGCATGAAATGCTCATATTCATGATTCCATTTTATTTCGCATGTATAACAATAAATTTAATTAAAAATGCTATCTAAAATAAAATACACGAATGTATATATAAAAGTCAAGTCTCTGCCCCCCTTTTAACGGCACTCCATAAAAACGGGGAAGATTTTCAACAGCTCCTTTCACTATGCATATCAAAAGTTTTAGTAAATCCATGGACTAACATCCCTTGTACAAAATGGGCCGCGTCAAAAACTAAGGCATTTAACGCGGCTAGTGACTGTTCCTTTGTAAGTCTTCGATGTTAAAGGTAAAAGTCATGGGTCTTTTGGATATTACTTTAAAAAGGAGGTCGCATCAATAATGAAACCATGCATAAATCAAAATTATGACACTTCACCTACAGCGAATAATCTGTTTATTTGGGTGAAAAATTCTAAAATGGGGTAAAGCAACATTCAATTATCAATCACATGTAATCTTAGGGAACTCCTGCCCCCCTTGGCATTCCATTTTTCAAGACAAACTACTGTTTTTGTAGCTAATAATGCTACCATAGATGTATGTTGCTTCCTGAAATCCAAATACATTGAGTCCTCTCAACACCCAGGTAATACAAAATATTTGGATCTAATGTCACTCATACAGAAAAATATGAGGGTCCTTCTGAAAGGTTGAAGCGAGGATTCCCATTATGAAATCATCCCATCAGTAATTCACTATTTATAAAAGTTACATGTGTGCATATAGAAAAATAAGTTAATAACATAAATAGCAAATTTATCTTCCCACTACAACAAATATATCTTTTACCACTTCTAGTATTAACAGATATGCAGTACTACTAAGGAATAAATACAAAAATGTAGCATAAATAAACTAAACTATAATGATAATAAAAAATAATAATTATAATAAAAACTAATATTCACACCTGGGTATGTTAAACAGTTTTTCTTTATTTCTAGCAGACAGTTCAATGAAATTAATCTTCAAGTGTAATTTCATAACTTCCGGTCTTTCAAGTACTTTGATTTTAGATTTTTTGGTAAAAAGTTGACATTTTTTTGAGTAAAATTGCATGACTTATACTTTTTTGTTTTTTCAACAGAAACATGTGCTCTAACTGAAAGTTTAGAACATGAAATAATCTACATAAGCTGAAAGCCTTCATTTTTATTTATCAGATTTTCCTTCAAAAATCGTAAAAATGGAGTGAAAAGTTTTTATTTACATGTCATAACCACCTTAAACCAAGTTCATTATCTGGTAGTCACTTTTTATGTTTTTAAGAAGTTTACATGTAAATTTTGGTGCTGGTTTAAGGCGGTTATGACATGTGTAGGAGCTGCCTAACACACCCACCCTCTTGAGTTTTCCCATTACCCAAATGTTAATACGGACTGATAGTACATTACTTTGTGACCCTATATCATAACAAATACTATAGCACCATTAACCAATCAACATTTATCATTAAATTGGATCATTAGCCTGCTGATTCATGCAGTTTTTAAAGGAAAAAATACTACTTGAAAATTTGAAGTCGTTGTAGGCCGCAATACGGCCTTATAGAGAATGGTCCTTTCTTCATCAAAGTACTACTTATACCCCTCTCCTCATTACCTACATTACAGACAAGAAACTTTTCCATTAGAGTACTACTTAAACCCCTCTCTTCATTACCTACATTACAGACAAGAAACTTCACACAAAGCTTGTTATATCTTATTAATACAGTGCAGCCTGGTTCATCCAGATGCCAATAATCCATAACCTTCAATTTGTCAGGAACAACCTAGATTTATATGTATAAACTAAGGATGTTTTAGTAATCCAGATGCTTCATTAATCCAGACATTATATGCTTGGCAACACAAGTGTCCGCATTAACAAGGTGCGACTGTATGTATTTGGTAAATTTTCTTCAATAAATACATTGGACAAGAAATAGATATTTCTCATACAGACTGACCAATTTTAGCAAAAGTTATCACCAAAAGAAACTGTTGTGAAAATGCAATAAATTGGACGTCACTATCCACAAACAGTGTAGATATGATATGCTGTAATTGAGTCTACAAAACCATAACCAGTGTGGATAATGATGTAATTGGGTGTATATATCTATAACCAGTGTGGATATAATGCTGCAATTGAGTCAACATACCAATAACCAGTGTGGGTATAATGCTGTAATTGGGTGTATATATCCATAACCAGTGTGGGTATAATGCTGTAATTGGGTGTATATACTCATAACCAGTGTGGATGTAATGCTGTAATTGGGTGTACATGTCCATAACCAGTGTGGGTTAATGCTGTAATTGGGTGTATATATCCATAACCAGTGTGGGTTAATGCTGTAATTGGGTATATATATCCATAACCAGTGTGGGTATAATGTAACTGGGTGTATATATCTATAACCAATGTGGGTTAATGCTGTAATTGGGTGTATATATCCATAACCAGTGTGGGTTAATGCTGTAATTGGGTGTATATATCCATAACCAGTGTGGGTTAATGCTGTAATTGGGTATATATATCCATAACCAGTGTGGATATAATGCTGTTACTGGGTGTATATATCTATAACCAATGTGGGTATAATGCTGTAATTGGGTGTATATATCCATAACCAGTGTGGGTATAATGCTGTAATTGGGTGTATATATCCATAACCAGTGTGGGTATAATGCTGTAATTGGGTGTATATATCTATAACCAATGTGGATATAATGCTGTAATTGGGTGTATATATCCATAACCAGTGTGGGTATAATGCTGTAATTGGGTGTATAATATAACCATAACTAACAGTGTGGGCATATGCTGTAATTGAATGTAAATATCCAGAATCAGTGCAAGAATTATTTTTCAGCTGTATTCACAACCAATGTGTCGCCCACGTGGCGCAGTGGTTAGAGCATCTGCTCTAGAGTCGCAGAGTAAGGAGTTGATCCTTACATTGTGGGTTCGAATCCCATTGTGGGACATGGAGACCGGTCCTTCAGATGAGACCATATACACTGAGATCCCATGTCCCAGTAGGTGCTGGCATGAAAAAGATCCCTCACTGCTCAATGGCCCTGAGTGCTGAGTATAGGACAAAATTTGCAGCTCTCCACCGGCAAGTGGTGGTGTCTCCATATGAGTGAAAAATTCTCGAGATGGACGTTAAACAACAAACAAAACACAACCAATGTGGTCATGTTGCAATTGTAAATAATATTGTAATTGAATATCCACAACCTGGTGGATAACACTGTAGTATATGTACTTGGATTATATTTTAGTTGATGTATTCACCATCAGTGATGTTAATGCTGTTTTTGGGTGAAACATATACATACCAGTATATGTTTCATGTTTGTACTCACCGACAATAAGGAGGATTGGCTTGTCAACCACTAGTTGTGGTAATGGTGTGACTGGGACATCACGTGTAGCTACAACAGATGTACCTATCACTTCCCCTCCTGCCTGCTTCCACTCCTGTAAGACAAAACCATGTGACTGGAATATCAAGTGTAGCTATACAACAGAGTTACCTATCACTTCACCTCCCGCAAGCTTCCACTCCTGTAAGACAATACAGTGTGAATGGAATATCAAGTGTAGCTATACAACAGATTTACCTATCACTTCACCTCCCGCAAGCTTCCACTCCTGTAAGACAATACAGTGTGACTGGAATATCAAGTGTAGCTATACAACAGAGTTACCTATTACTTCACCACCCGCAAGCTTCCACTCCTGTAAGACAATACAGTGTGACTGGAATATCAAGTGTAGCTATACAACAGATTTACCTATCACTTCACCACCCGCAAGCTTCCACTCCTGTAAGACAAAATGTGACTGGAATATCAAGTGTAGCTATACAACAGAGGTACCTATCACTTCACCACCCGCAAGCTTCGGATCCAATCCTGTACAATAAAACCAGGGGTGACTGAAATATCAAGTGTAAGTACAGCAGAGGTACCTTTCACTTCATCGCCTACCACTCCTGTACATAAATAGGACTCCTATAGGACTCCAAAGTGTGATGAGACTCCAAACCCCAATGGTCACTCCTAAATTTGATGGTCTGCTCCAAACCCCTAGTGGTTTGACATGCCAAAGTTCGATAGTGCAGAAAACCAAACAACATTTATGATGTCATAGTACTACTGCCCCAAATTGCGATGCTGCCCCATGCCAAGGTCTGATGGTTTCAAATAAATACAAAGGAATATTAAATATTTGATCACCAAAGTGAAATACTAGAATACCCCAAAATATAATTGTACTACTAGCCTTCCAGTTAGTGTGAGGCCAACCCCATTCTCTTGGATGGATACAAGACTAACCCTTATCACTTGAATAGAGACTAACCCTAATCAGTCAGAAAGTGTGCAAGGACCTGCCCGAATTTCTTTAGTGGGTGCGACTAACCCTATTCAGTTGAATAATGTGCGAGGACTTATCAAAAATCTCTCGGGAGGGTGCAAAGCTATCCCAAAATCAGTTGTGTAAGGACTAACCCTTGTCTGTCAAATGGTGACATGCAAGGACTAAACCTTATCAGCTGAGTGCGTGCAAGGACAAATATTTACATCCACTGAATATTTTCTCCTTTATTTCTAAAGAAAACCATTACCATTTATCAGTTCATGAACAACACTAGGCATATTACCTGTACAGATTCTTGATCAGTGGCATCAAAGAAACGTACTATGATATACATATCAATAATACAATAATTAATCTTTTTAATCCTACTTTAAATGATTATTTACACATATATAAATATAAACAATAAAATGTCTTTCAGAGGTTTCTTTGGTTGTTAGTGAATTAACGTCGCAGCTATTGCAGAAAAAATTTACATAACCCGCTTACGCAGGTTATGTATTTTTCTGCAATAGCTGCGACGTTAATTCCCGTACTAACGACCAAAGAAAGCATTTTATTGTTTAAAATGGCATCAAGGATTGATATTGGATTAGCATTGTTTCTCCCTATCATTGGACTTTGGCATGTCAGACCATCAGATAGGAGAGATGAGCCATCAGAGTTTGCTGTGACCATCAGACTTTGGACAGTAACTAGTTACTAACCTGTAATATGTTTTTGAAGTGAAAAATTACTAACCTCTAGTGTGTCTGTGAAGTAATTGATTACTAACCTGTAGTGTATCTGAACAGTAACTGGTTACTTACCGGCAATGTATACCGGTACTTACTAATTACTTACTTGTATTGTGTTTGTATAGTAATTAGTTACCCACCTGTATAGTGTCTAAAACAGTAATTTGTTATAACATGTACTGTAGTGTGTCTGTACAGTACCTGTTTTATCTGTACAGTAACTGGTTACTAACTTGTAATGCATCTGTGCAATAACTAGTATAAACTTAGATGTAATGTGTCTGTACAGTAGCTACCAGGTAGTTACTTACCTTTAGTGTGTCTGTACAGTGATAAGTTACTTGCTTGTTGTGTGACTGTACAGTTATGATTACTTATATGTAGTATGTCTGTACAGTTACTGATTACTTATCTGTACTGTCTGTACAGTAACTGATTACTTACCTGTAGTGTGACTGTACTTTTACTGATTACTTATCTGTAGTGTGTCTGTACAGTGATTAGTTACTAGCTTGTAGTGTGACTGTACAGTTACTGATTACTTACATCTAGTGTGTCTGTACAGTTGTTACTTGTCTGTACAGTAACTGTTTACTAACCTGTAACAAGTCTATCATGTCCTGCATCTCTTTAAACCTGGCCAGATTTATCAACTCCAGTGCTCCAGAACTGGCCTTGCTCACTACCGGGCTCAAGCTACAACTGTGAAGAACATTTAACACTGAATACCTGACACATGTGTAATTCATTTTATAAAGAATTATCAAGAATTTGAAAATACCAGGGTACAATAAAATAAACATTGACTTCACTCTTTACTAGAAGTATAAAAAGGCAGGAATCAATGGGGTAAGGAGTCACCCTGTATATTGTACTTATAATGACACTTACCTCTCTTTCTGTGGGGCAAGGACTTTATCAATACCCAGGAAATATGTTGTTCTAAGAATGGCTCCAAAGTTCATGGGGTCCTAGAAATTATAGGGTATCATACATACCATACATGTATTTGTTACACATTTCATCATAAGACTTTACATAAAATTATTATGATTACATGTATCTCTAGGCAGGTCACAGAAAAAATTCTGGTACATTAAGGAAGGTTTAAGAACAAAGATTATTGTAGCAAAGTATGGGCTTAGTATGCATCTCTGCTCATAAATTAAAAATAAATACTATACCTGTACATTGTATGGCATCAACCACAGAGGGTATCTCCATTTAGACTCTTTTAATTCAGTCCTATGAAAATTATAAAAGAACAAGATGTGTTTTTGAAACACTGATGTCCCAGTACGGCAGCTCTTGGCCAAGGTTATAGTCTTTCAAAAGAAGGTCAAACTCCGAGGTCAAGGTCATGAGGTCAAAACTGTTGGTACCCAAAGAAAAGTCTTACCACAAGGCATAAACATATGAAATATGAATGCCCTAGCACCAACCGTTCAGAAGTTATGGCCAAGGTTGAAGCCTTTCAAAAGTAAGATAAACTCCAAGGTCATGAGTCTAAAATGTCTAAATTGATGTAGTGTAATAATTTCCTAATTTAGAATTATTTTGTGTAGAAATCAATTGATCTGAATTGGTGTTGTGTAGCAATTGCCTGATTTGAAATGTGTAGTCCAATAACTGTCTGATTTGGAATAGTTCTGTGTTATGATTACCCAAGTTGAAATGATTCACTGTAACAATTATCTGATTAAGAATGATTTAATATATGATAAACACCTATTTGGAATGATGTAGTGTAAAAACTACCTGATTGGCATGCTGTAGTGAAATATATACCTGATTTGGAATTACCGCATAGTGAAATAAATTCCCTATTTGAAATGATATAGTGAAATAATTTCTTGACTTGACATGTAAAATAATTACCTGATTATGAATGATGTATTGTAATATTATAATTAGCTGATGTGGTATGATTTTGTGTAATAACCTGGTTTGGAATGGTGTAGTGTAATAATTACCCAATTTGGTAATGATTTAGAGATTGTGTCATAATATTATAACCTAAGACCAAGTAATAATTGCATGACTTGAGATTGTGTAATAATTACCTCATTTGAGATTGTGTAATAATTACCTGGCTTGAGAATATTTTTGTGTAATAATTACCTGGCTTGAGATTATCTTTGTGTAATAATTACCCAAGATTGTGTAATAATTACCTGACTTGAATTTGTGTAATAATTACCTGACTTGAATTTGTGTAATAATTACCTGACTTGAGATGATCCAGCCCAGGGAACAGGTAGCTGTGACACATCCAGACACATTCCCTGGTTTGGCCTTGACCCACTCAGCTTTTCCAGAACACCTTTATCCACAAAGGTCATAGGGACAGAGAGTTTGTTAGCCATCTGTAAGACTTTCTCTCCTTCTGCTCTGAAGGTTGTATTTTGTTTGAGATAAAGTTTGTACAGTTTTCTCTTGTTTGCCCTCAGAGCCAGAGAGATAGGATGAACTCCAAAAAGAATCTCTCCTCTGACAGCAACACCAAGCTCCTGGTCATCAAAAGACCTGTTTGAGGATTATGATAATAAACTTAATGGTGAATACAGGACCTTATTACACTGTTATGTTATGCAATTTCAACCTTATACATACTTCCCTACAAAAGTTAGAAGGTGGAAACTGAAAATTTCTTATTTTTTTCTAAGTGTAAGAGGGATAACTCTGTCAAAAATCATAGGACCATGACCAAATCCTAACTTGACCTGTACCGTATTTTCTGGTAAAATACCTGCATATGCAATTTCAACCTTATAGGTATAATCCCTACAAAAGATAGAGAGCGGAAACTGAAAATTTCTTATTTTTTTGTAAGTTTAAGATGGATAACTCTGTCAAAAATCATCAGACCATGACTAAATTCTAAGTTGATCTGCATATTCCCAATACGTATCCATATGTCTAATTGGATTTGAATGTGTGGAACCTTTGCAGAGATAATGAATGGAAAGTGAATGATGGAACAGGGTAACACTATACGCCCCAGCCATTTTATGGCAGGGGCATAAAAAACTTGAACAGTTTTTTTTAACTAAGGTAACTGCAAAATGATAGAAAAAGATGTTAAGGTCATAAGAAGGTCAAGGTAGGAAAACAAGGACACAGTTGAATTGCTCTCACCAACATGTATCTTTATATGAAGTTTGATTTAAAAATCTTAAAATGAGAAGATAAAGGTCAAAGAAAGGTCAACCAATCATGACACACCTGAATTGCTCTTGCCAATATGTATCTTTGTATAACGTTTAATTAAAATAGCTCAATTAGTACGGTCAAAGGGTCAAGAAGCTCACATAGTAAGGTCAAGGTCAAAGGGAGGATAAAGGTAAAAAAAAAATCAAACAAAATGGAAAAGTTTTCACCTCAATATGATAAAAATATCTTGAACAGTTTCACCAAAACTGAGCTTGACACAAATTGAGGAAAAGTGAGATCAAGTTCATAGGGAAGGTCAAGGTCAGAAAATTTTTACTCAAATATTTAACATTCCTCAATAAGTATCACTGTAAAAGTTTTGATAAAAATGAAAGTTTCTTTGAAATTGGGATAAATGCAAAATGAGCAATAGTTATGCCAAGGTCATAGGGAAGGACAAGGTCAGAAATTTTAATTTGACACAGCTGAACAGTTCTTAGCAATATGCATCTGTTCTGATAAAATTATCTCAAATAGTTTCTTTGAAACAGCTGAATGCAAATTGAAGAAAAATGAGGTCAAGGTCAGATGAAAAGTCAAGGAAAAAATTGGATACAGTTGAATAGCTCTCACCATTATATATATCAGTGTACTATATGTTTTGTAAAATTAATATCTTGAACAGTTTCAATAAAACTGAGCTAAACGGACTGACATGCACAATTGTCACACATGAAAAACACTAAAAGCCCCAGCCATATTCATGTCAGGGCATAAAAATGACAGGTTTTCAGTACTCAATTCTTATACTTTAGCTGTGTGAAAAGACATGCTATTTCCCAGCTACAGATACTTTTTGCACATAATGTCTAAACTCAGTTGTCATCTTCACCATGTCAAATGTCATAATACTTGATGCTTTTGTAACAGGAAAGGAGCTGGACCGGGAATCAGAACCTGGGACCCCCGTATCACTAGTCAGGTGCTCTATCAACTAAACTACCCAGGCCAATATCCACAGCCCAAACAATTACACTCCTCGATCCCTCCTTAAATGTACTCGCCCTCAAAGACACAACCTAAGTTCTTTTTGCCCCTGGTAGGACTTTCATCTGCAAGTCCAGGGATGTCAACAGCACCAAATTATGTAACAGGAATGGTGAAAATGTATGGCTGGACCAGGAATTGAACCAGAGACCCCTGCATCACTAGTCAGGTGCTCTACCTACTGAATTAACCAGCTAGGCCAATTAACCACGGCCCATACCATTACACTTTCAAGACCTACCATAAAGATTCCTAATTTGAACACACCGTTGATGAGTTCACTTAGTAGAGAAAATGGCGTGTGAAATGTGAATTTTCTATATTCTTAGATTTGATGGAAAAATTGTGTACATATTTTATAGTAGCATATATATTTGTAGCAAAGTGCTCTACTCAAAATACTTTTAAAAAAATTATAGCTTCATATTAATATATGTGTACTACCAGTTTCGGAGATATTTTCAAGAAATTAAAAACATTGATAAGTACATCAAATACTAACTTGAATATTTTGTTATTTTAATTATATAGCCAGTATTTTATTGTAAATATGTGTTTGTAAATATTTAAGTGTAATATTAATTAATATAATTCATTTCAGGTTTAAACTAGTTATTATAAATAAAATTATTATGATAGAATGATTTGTGTTTTTGTTATTTATAAGTTTTATAAGAATTACATTTATTTAGAAAATATGCTGTTTATATCTACAGATGACCTGGGACTGTATGACCTTAGTATTTAAATTTTATGGTTCATTGCACCACAGGTAGTTCGATTAGCTTACCTGGTTTGGTGGGTTTTCACTTTCCCGGTGGCACAAGTTCGTGCTACATGTATAATTGCCAGGGCAGGGTCAGTTTCACATTTAGTTTACCTATGTATTAAAATCTACTTGGATCAAAGGTAATTATTCTTTTATTTTAATTTAATGTAGGTTTAATTTTCTAAAAGTATTTATTTACGTAATATCGTCGTTTTCATTATTTAGGAGTTTGAGAGCTAGAGTAATTGTATTGTGTGCACACTGAGTTAATTGATTAATTGCACTCAGATAAATTTAGTATGTTTTAATTAATTCTTATTTATTAAAGATTTCAAGAGTAATATATATGAGAAAGTCAATTTTCGTGTTTCTGAACAAATTTTAACCATATCGGAAAATTAAAATAGACCCTATGTTTTATATGCAGGATATTGCCCTTATAATGCCTGAATAATATTAGAAGTACATACAGTATATGGTAAACCTTTACACCTCATGTGAGGTAAGATTGTGGGTATTTGTTTGTTTTGTCTTTATGTATGTCATGTCTGTGTTCTGCATGTTTCATGTTGTGGACATGCTATTCTTTTATGTGTGTTTTATTTGGATTTTCATTTCGTTTCATTTCATTTGTTTGGAAATCATATATCATTGATTAATTTATTCCATCAGAGATTATCTGTAATTATTATTTATTTCTCATTTAAGAAGTTAACTGACTTTAATAGATAATTGTAAACAGCAGCAAGTAAATTATAAAGTAATTCTTGACTAAAGTTTGCGGTATAAATTTCATTTTATTTTGTTACTAATTTGACCATTTTATCCACAGGGTTATTCATGTACCATTTAATGAATAAAATATCCTAAACTCCAAAAGGACTCATTCCTCTATACCGGATACCCGGTTACATTTGGCGCCCAACGTGGGGCCCAGGTGTTCTCTGGCGGGTGAAAGTGATCGCTCCCAGAACATCGCCCCACAGGCGATGGCACTCCAAAAGAGATGAGGACATCTCATTCTCTGGAGGGGGACAATGTGGTAGTGCCAGATACACGGCTTCCTACTAGATTGGGCTAGTGGGTTAACCCTTTAGCTCAATCGGTAGAGCACTGGACTGGCAAGCCAGATGCCCCGGGTTCAATCCCCAGCAGAGGCACATAAATGTCTCTGTTACAAAATCATGAATCTAATTGATAGCACATCATTATAACATTCATGAGCTTATTCAAATAGTACCAAGATAACTTCTTACGAAATTTTACAAGGCAAAATATTACCTCTTGGTTAATTTTGCAACAGGTAGCATTGACCAAAAAGATACATCAGAGGATTCGAAATATTGAATTTGAGACTTACACGTTGAATAACATTAGGACCACAGATTTCAACACCATGACCCCAACGAACTGGTGTTCATGACATAAAGTGAACTGCACAAGATAGTTTTCCTTAGTTTCCACTAAAACTTGATAATCACACCAATGACCTACTTTTGTGACCTCTTTCCCCGTCCTGGCAGTCTATAGTTGTACTCAGGCATGTACTCTCCCTTCCCTGGTGCATGTCCTTTCCCATTCACAGCAATGGATTTGACAAAGCTTCTCCTTTCAGACAACATGCACCCGTACAAAAATCTTCTACAAATCAATCTGTGGCTAGCATGTGACATTTTTATCCTTCTCAATAACACAGGCATCAGAAGGGGGCAAAGTTCTGTTCAAATAACGTATTATAAACCAACATTATGAACATAACTTCTTTCCACATGTTTACAGTTCGTCATCTTTCTCACCTCTACTATTGAAGAGTTCCATATCAAGGGGAATAACACTGGTGGAAATATTTTTTAAGAATGCCTGCAATTTTTCAATCAATGTCAGAAAAACAACTAAATATACCAATAACCAAAATTTATTTACTGTAACAAAATGGGAACACAGACATTTGTAGGAATTCACAAATAATCCAGCAACCCATGCACATAGAGAACAATATGCTACTCAAGTGTGTAAAAGAGTCTTTAAAAAGATATTAATGATGAACTCTCCACTCAAACTTGTAGAAAGTTACAAAATAATTCTTTATCAACAATGATAATCACAATTTTTAACATTTAGATGTTTACCTTAGCATACAATCATAAGTAATATCTTATTTCTAGTCATTTTATAGCAAGATTTAATGTCAACTTAAAGACAATATACATGTACAAGTAATGTTCTTTACATATCAGAAATGAATGGTTGATATTTTCATACAAAATGACTTTCAGGCTATTTTATAACATTGACAGTTGGTTATTTTCCTCCTCTAGCCATGGATGTGGCAAATAAAAGCTTCTGTTGTTTCTTTTTCTTTTTTCCTGGTAGCTTTTCCATTCTAAAGCCTCCGTCTTCTGTGTTGCCTTGGGCTACAAATATATATACTACTAATAGAACACATCATATCTTACATATCATTCATAAAATGCACAATGTAATGTCATGAATCAACTTTTTTTCTCTCTCAAGAGCTGAGGTTTAAAATTTGTAAATATCAGAATAGTCATATATTTGATTATGAAGGAAAACTAACTTGTGTGACATGTATTTTTCCTACACTGAAATATAGGCAAAGTTACAGAGCATGTAACTTTAATTCTCTCTGAATTAAACTAACACTGGCAATAGAAAAGAGCACCACAACTTAAAAGATACATGTGTAAATTTAGTATGTAACCCCTCACCTTTTCCACTCTCTAGATTTTCCAAAGCAGTTTGTATGGCCTCTCCAAAGGAATTCTGAAAGACTGGTGCAGCTGATCTTTCCTCGTCACTTCCATCGCTATCCCGGACCGATGGTTTGAGGTCTCGTTTTGGTTCACTGACTTTTGGCCACACTGGGGCTTTCTTTGTTCCTCCTCGTAACATCTACAATATAGATTGGACAAGCATTAAATGAGAGGTCACACAGTATTATTGGGACTTTGCAAACTGTTTAAAGTAAACATGGAAATTTACTTGTGGTGGTACTTTACACTAAATATGACATACATGTACCTGTGCAAATGACAAGGATGTCTGTTGACCATCATCTTCTTCCAAGGAAGACCCTAATGTAACACCTTCTGTAAAATGTAAATCAAATTTGTAAACATTCAGTTTAAAGGGTCAAAGCATTGGTAAAAACAAAGTTATACGATTTGCAATTGTTGGGACAATCTATGATACTGTAGTTTTACACAGAATTAGTAAGTGGACTTTAATAAGGTGAGAAGACTGATAACAGGCTCCATTGTTAACAGAATTTTTCTCATGGTGGACTCTTGCCTTGGAGGAAAGTGATGGCAGTCTTTAACTCTCACACATAAAGATTTTAGCCAAGAGGACTACCTAGATAGTTGAGGAGGGAGAAATGGCAGATTCCAATGTTTACAGAACAAATCTTAACACTAGATGATGATTGGGACTCTTATATAGGGGACTCCCAATGGGTAGACTGAGGGTACGCTTCAATGACCTTCCTTATAGTGGATTCCTAACAGTTAGAAAGCTGATTTAGCTTCCATAGTGGAATTCTAACAATCAGAAAGCTTATGACAGACTTCTACAAATAGTTTTTTTTACCTAGGGGGCTCCCTATGGGTGAGGACACTGACGGCACACTCTCACTGCTGTCGCTTTTAGCTGTGGGTGACATGGGTCGATTCTCAGACACAATTTGAGAACAGAGGGCAGATTTTACGATCTTCATCCCTGGGCTGATTCCAAGTCGACGTTTCTCTTCGTCCTGGATTTTTTTGCTCCATCGCTTCTCATATCTCACTCTTTTTTGTCTTAAACGTTTTCTATGCTCAATATCATCTATAATCAGAAAAATGCTGTTTCATGGAATGGTTACAAAGCACTAAACAGCTATTTTAAAATCTGCAAGTCTTCTCAAAATTAGAGAAAATAAAGATCATTTAGTATTTGTAATATGATCATTTTTAACAGAAAGGAAAAGATTGGATCAAATTTTAAATAAATTCCTGTAAACAATACGGGTGATTTTCATTACTCCTGAAGACTGAACACATAATCAAAGGGGATACTTTACCAGCAAAGCAGTTGAGGGTGTCCCTGGACAGGGTCGGTGGTCTGAGGTCAAGTTCAGCCACCTGGAACTCGCTGGTCAGTGGAAGGTGTGACAGGTAACGCAGTCTCCTCCTCAGCTCCTAAACAAATATCAAAGTACTGATATTACTAGAGGCTTCAAACAAATATCAAAGTACTGATAATACTACAGGCTTCAAACAAATATCAAAGTACTGATAATACTACAGGCTTCAAACAAATATCAAAGTACTGATATTACTAGAGGCTTCAAACAAATATCAAAGTACTGATATTACTACAGGCTTCAAACAAATATCAAAGTACTGATAATACTACAGGCTTCAAACAAATATCAAAGTACTGATAATACTACAGGCTTCAAACAAATATCAAAGTACTGATAGTGCTACAGGTTTCAAACAAATATCAAAGTACTGATAATACTACAGGCTTCAAACAAATATCAAAGTACTGATAGTGCTACAGGCTTCAAACAAATATCAAAGTACTGATAATACTACAGGCTTCAAACAAATATCAAAGTACTGATAGTGCTACAGGCTTCAAACAAATATCAAAGTACTGATATTACTAGAGGCTTCAAACAAATATCAAAGTACTGATAATACTACAGGCTTCAAACAAATATCAAAGTACTGATAGTGCTAAAGGCTTCAAACAAATATCAAAGTACTGATAGTGCTACAGGCTTCAAACAAATATCAAAGTACTGATAATACTACAGGCTTCAAACAAATATCAAAGTACAGTGGTTCCCGTTTTATCGAATAGTCAAGTTGTCAGCCTAGTTTTATCCGAATAGCCGAAAATTAGAATAGCCGATTGCTCCATACCGAGTCCAAAGATAGATGTATAGAGCTACATGTATTGATAATACATCGTAGCAAATTTCAAACTTGCACTTTCGTTTTCTTTTGACATGTTTACTTAATGACTTTACTAAAAATAATTTATTTCACTTACTTATGAATTTAATATGAAATTCTTTTTCAAATAAATTGACGTATAGAATATATTCTTTGATAGTTATTGCCATCTTTCTTCAGCACATGTTTACATTCCTTCTTCGATGGTCGCCATTTTGGAAACGGAAGTAGACTAAATGCTTGACTAATAACCGTAAACTATTTTTCCCTGGATAGATTGTAAATTAAAAATAAACAAAAATATTAAATATATGTAATTGTTTCGTTTTTATTTGTTTCTTTAATACGGTTACGTATTTTATACTGTGTGTGAGTTTACCAGTCTCGTTCTTGTCTGCTGAAGAGAGATTTTGAGAGCCATGTGGAGAAAGATGGTATGAATTTTGAGACGTATTTTTATAGAACGGGCCATTTGTGATTTTTACCATAAATTTTGCACTGAAAAGTGAATAAATATTAAGCCAATTGACCAAGTTAAACGATTGAATTGGTTTATTTCATTATCCAAGCAAATTGTCATATACAAGCTAATCAGTTCAATAATTAAAATTTCACGCCGAAAAAATTGCAAATAATTGTCATAATTAACAAGTGCATCATTGAACCCAAGCTGATCACCACAACTGTAATCAAAACATATCTATTTACTATGCCCACTATTGACACAGGTAAGGTGCCTGTGTGCGTCCAGGCGTAACTAATCCCCTCATTGTCGTACTCAAGCCAGTCAAGGTAATTGGTGTCAAACTGTGTAAACAAAGGCTTCACATACGAAGTTGGAGGTGTGAACAAGGTGCTGATTATCAAAAAAACACTACGATAGTCCAAATTTTTGTATCGGATAAAACGAAATTCCAATAGTTTCTCATCAGAATATCAGGTGAAATTATTAATAAATATATAAGAAATGGTTTTGTGCTCTGATATTATATTGAAATAGCCGAAATATTCGTTAAACCGCTATCCGATAAAATGGAAGCCACTGTACTGATAATACTACAGGCTTCAAACAAATATCAAAGTACTGATATTACTAGAGGCTTCAAACAAATATCAAAGTACTGATATTACTACAGGCTTCAAACAAATATCAAAGTACTGATAATACTACAGGCTTCAAACAAATATCAAAGTACTGATAATACTACAGGCTTCAAACAAATATCAAAGTACTGATATTACTAGAGGCTTCAAACAAATATCAAAGTACTGATATTACTACAGGCTTCAAACAAATATCAAAGTACTGATAATACTACAGGCTTCAAACAAATATCAAAGTACTGATAATACTACAGGCTTCAAACAAATATCAAAGTACTGATATTACTAGAGGCTTCAAACAAATATCAAAGTACTGATATTACTACAGGCTTCAAACAAATATCAAAGTACTGATAATACTACAGGCTTCAAACAAATATCAAAGTACTGATATTACTAGAGGCTTCAAACAAATATCAAAGTACTGATATTACTACAGGCTTTAAACAAATATCAAAGTACTGATAATACTACAGTCTTCAAACAAATATCAAAGTACTGATAATACTACAGGCTTCAAACAAATATCAAAGTACTGATAGTGCTACAGGCTTCAAACAAATATCATAGTGCCAATTTACAATGAAAGCTTCAAACTTAAACAGGTATTGATTATAATAAATAAAAGGTACTGATTTATGAAATGTGACTGAAATATGAATATTAGTCATTCTAATCATTATTTATTTAAACAAAGAAATCAGTGACTGTTTTGTGGTAATTTTACTACTATTACTTGGAAATAGCATTAAAGTAAGATATGCTTGTAGCAAAGTACAAGGGACAATCAATTTCAATTTGTTGTAAACAATAATTGCTATATCCTTCAACTACAGGGAATGAAAATCACTCTGCTGTAAGTGTGAATTCTTTATATAATAATGTAATATTAATATATAATAATAATTATAATGTAAGTGTGTTTCATGTTTTACTGTACATGTTTGTTCCTGAACATTATGAAGATTCTAGTGACATACTGTAAATGCTGGTAGCTAACCTCTGTCATGAATACACTTTCCATTTCCACTATCTTGGCTGTGATAGTCTGTGGACTGTGTTCTAACCCCCCGTACTCCTTCACCAGACACCTGGCATTTAATGCATGCAGGAAAATACGCTGTCCATCCTCAGCTGCAATGGAAATCAACATTTAGTGCTGAGTTATGAAAAAGTCTGCACCCTGGCTGTCTAACTACTAATGGCCATCATTCACTACACTTACTAGTCCATAAACTCATGATATGTCTATTATCAAATCATTCATGGTACATAGGTCCTGCCTTTCATTCTTCCTTACCTATTTCTGATTCAGGATATTTTTATATTATATAAAAGGGTTGTTGGACTGTTTGATAGAGTGTTTCTTTTATATGGAATCCATAGTTTACATGCTTGACCCAAATCAATTACTACTTACTAATGTCACAAATGTAAACTGTATGTATACATGTATACTTTTGAATGTTCACAATAGAACTAATACTTTCAGCTTCAAAAAGTTTGTATGCTAACCTTGGTAGAAGTAAAATGCATTGTTGATATTTTTGGGCGAGTCTCCTTCTATATGGGGGATTTCCAAATTCTCCGCTGCCTCCTCCAGGGGCAGGACATCTTCTGGCATTAATGACCCGATCTCTGGCACATCAGAGTCCTCCTTTGAAGGAGTGTCAGTTTGTGATAGTTCATTAGTTGGTACATCAGGGTCTATCATGGTACATGTAGGTGTGTCAGTTTGTGATAGTTCATCACTTGGTACTTCTTCATTGGAGAAAGCACAGATATACTCGGTGGCATTCTGTGAACAACATGAAAACATTTCATTATCTCCTCACTATAACAAAGGAAATTCTTCTTGCTTGTGCTAGGACCTGTTACACAAATCTGAGTTATTTTATTGTACTGCAGTTGATGCTTTATATTTTACTTCAAACACAGTAAAGAAAAAATGCTAATTCCGGAGAAGAGTATGAGAAGGACTGTTTTCTTTATCCTTTTTACCTGTGTGGGGACATGGATTTGATCACTCAGAGAACTCTCAGATGCTGGTTCACTCACAAATGATGAAGATGAATGTCTTCTCATCAAGTTCTCTTCCCTTGCCTGAAAAAAAATGCAAGGATACAGAACTTGAGTAATGATAAGGCATAACATTCTACAGTAATTCACACCCAGATAAGAACTTGACTAATTATTGGGCATAACATTCTACAGTAATTCACACCAAGATAAGAACTTAAGTAATTATTGGGCATAACATTCTACAGTAATTCACACCCAGAGGAGAACTTAAGTAATTATTGGGCATAACATTCTACAGTATTTCAGACCTAGATAAGACCTCTTAACTGTAACCATCTATTCTGCAGTTAGCCTTACCTTTAAGTGATGTAGAGCAGAGTCTATGAAGGCAATTTCTGAGGTCTGGAAAACAAACATACTAGTTATCAATGAATCACAATAGAAATGACTGACAATGCAAGTTTTATTCCTAACAATTAAAATCTTAGAAACTGATTTTTTCTTTTTCAGCCTATAAATACACAATGAAGTTCACTGCGCATACAGCGTAATTCCATCAACTACAGATTTACAAACAAAAATATTTATTTTTAGAGCCACTTCAGATCATGATTACATGTACCTCTGCCTCCTGATTTTTCTGCTTCAATTCACGTCTTTCCGTATCAATGATCTGACTCTTTATGTAATCCTTGTCTGCCGTCAGGATTTTCATGCCAGCTGACTTCCTGGCATCATCTGAAAATCCAACCAAAAAACTCAATGTACTATATCTCTACAAATGATAAAGTGGAAGAATTTAAGCTAATCCAGGCCCCAAGACCATAGACTGAGAACAGACTTAAGTCAAAATTTCAAATCAGTGTAACTTTTGAAATAAATTTCAAAATGAAACAAAATTTTCAAGTTATGTTTGTATTAAAATATTTAACAAACTTGCAAGTTTTTAAGCATATTTGTTAAATAATAATGAAAATATTCAAAATCTACATTTAGACTTAAGTTTATTCTCAGTTTATGGTCTTGGAGCCTGAGTTTTCTTCAAATGTTATTAATTTTTGATGACTGATCTCATTCTGGTTATTGCAATAATTAGGTTAATCCTTTTTTGTATATTATGATTATTTTGATAAATGTACATGTAATTCAGGGTACTGTGACTATTTGAAAAATCTTATTCTGGATGTTGTGATAATTTGATTAATGTTATTTCTTATTCTGGGTGTTGTGAATCACAATTTGTGATAATGTGATTAATCTTATTCTGGGTGTTGTGATAATTTTTTGATAAATCTTATTCTGGATATTGAGATAATTTCCTGAATCGTGTATGAAGACTTTTTTTTTTTACCAGTAATACTCATCATGGTGCTTTCTCTCTTTTCCCACAAACTTTTTGGCATGGCATAAATTGTTCCCCTCTCTTTTTTCATCAGCTGCATTGTTATAGTTTGTCCTACTTTGTACATTGGGAATTTCTCTGTCCGTGTGCTGAACAAATAAAAAAAATACTTAAGGCCAAACAAAAAAATATGTGTGGTTCCCGTTACACTTCCAAAAAAATTAGGGTAGGTAGGTAGGGATTTTTTTTTTTTTTAAACAAAATGATTTTCTTAATTTTTTCTAAATAATACCTATCACTGCTTTGCAAATGGCATTTAGATGTGGTGTGATAATATACTAGTCAATATTGGTAGGGGACACCTACATGCTAGCTTGCTTTGGATTTAACACTATTAAACACTTGCACTATGTTTTGCAAGGAGGCCGCCACTGCTGAAACTAAAACTTAAACTGGAGCCATTGATGGAAATCGGGGGAAATTCCGGAAAAAATATGAAAATTGCCAAAAAAAGTTTAGGGTCTGGGGTATAAAATAGGGAAGGTAGGGTAACCAGAACCACACATATTTTTTTATTTGGCCTAATGAAACATGAACTAAATTCCAAGATACTGCTGTAAATTAAATTACTTCATAATTTTTTTTTTGATTTTTTAAAATTTTATCCACAGAAAAGAAATAGTTTAGCAACCCTATGCTAGGAATTACACTGAGACTTCAAAACTTCTAATGCAAATGTAAAAAGTTTACAGACTATAACATAAAATATGACACACTAAAGGGAAATTTTTGAAACAGGAAAGCTCCTTCAGTCTATGTTTCAGATGAGCTAAAAATTTATGACTCCACTCCAATATATAATTAGACCAATGACACATACCTTTTAAGATCTTTTTCATGAACAGACTCATAACAGATGGGACATTTCCTCCATGTTTGTTCACCCAGGGCTAAATAATGCAGAATGCATGGCCAGCAGTAAATATGGCCACATCTGGTCATCTTAGCTGCAATAGAAGAACATTTACATCATAAACCAATAAACAGCAGATGATCATACTTTCATCTCTACAACAAAAGATACTTTATTTCTAAGGCATGAACAATACCGCTGATTACCGGCAGTGGGCTGTTCCAGACATATAGGACAGGAGGATACTTCATGTCCCGAGACTCGCTGAAAGACAGAAGAAACAATCTTATACAAGTTATACTCCACCAGTACCTTGATCTTTAATGGAGAGAACTAATATAGGCCATTTTTGCCTAATGTTCCATCCACATTCATTGTATATACTTATATGTATATCGTGAATAAAATACTTCTTAACTATACTCCACCAGAGGAACTTATTACATGTATATGGCTCAGAAGAAAACACTTATTTAACATACCTACATGGTATACAAAGTATTTACAGAAAATTAAAAAGAAGTTCAAAGCTTACAATCAGCTCAATAGCGTCCCAGTCTACAAGAACATCAGGGTCCACTGTATGGAGAGTGTAATCGCCGTCATCCTTCACAATAAACTGGTAACTAAAATTAACATTCACCAACTTAAGAATGCAAATCTGGACTTTTTCTCAATGCCATCAAAATTTTGTAATTTAAATTTCATGTGTCTCAATAAAAAATTAGGAAATGTAATTTAAAAACACATTAGTATGTAAAGGTATTACACATTGGTAAATTATGGTAGGAAAATACCCCCCCCCCCCCCCCATAACGTTTTAGCTTTCTTTGATAGTTGGCATTTCATTTACATGTACTATATACTGTACATGTTAATCAATCTATATTTCCAGTTTGCAAGAAAAATGCTAATTAGTGTCCAAATTCCATAGCAAATGGCTTTTATCATAAATTGTTGGAGAAAATGCCCTTTTGTGTGAATTTTTTTCTTTTAACGTGTAAGGTTAAATACAAAGTTTAATACAGTCAAATCTTAATCACAAATGCAATAAAACATCCTAAATATCCAAGAGTTAAAGAGAAGGAAGTTGGGATTGAATTCACATTTTCTGTCAAGACCACTAATTCACTTCAATTTAGAAGTGTTGGAGATTCTAAAGGTCAACCACATATGTTGAGTTTCTGGTGAATAAAGACTTACTTGGCTTGGAGGTACTGCTCCTTGTTGTATAACACCTTTTTAGAAGACCCCTTCCTCCTTCCGTAGCCTTGGTAACTGTCTGATTGCCAGGATGAACGACACTTTGTTTTTTCATGACCCCTGCGTCCACCATAATTAAAGTTCAACAGGTGATTTAAATTGGTTTTTCTTCCAGAAACTAAATCCAGCTCCACAGAAAACTCCTCTGTCAGCTGTGGGAAAAAATTAATGCTTTTCACATCTAACAATTGAAATGGAATAGAAGCTGTTTCCCTTGTTAAATTCTGGTCATTTTTCCCTTAGGTTTTAATGGAATTTCCATCAAGTTAATGTGATTGAATAACTTTTCCCAAAGGGAAAGCCAAAAGACAGCCTTAGAATTTTGTTTTAAAGAAAAAATCTCCTTCAATAGTTGGAAATGACCAGTAAACTTGCTATATTTTTTTCTGTAATGAAAACAAGAATGAAATTGCTCCTAAATATTTCATTAGTTCAGGGATACATGAAAAACAGGGACCTTACACTTTGCAGTGAATTAATAAGTGAATAACTTATGGAATTTATAACCATGTACCTAGATATTGGTATTTTAATGATTTGCATCACGCAATATAAAATCACGATATAACAGTATACTGATAAAATCATGCATCCCTAGTGACAAATAGCTGAAATATGTAAAAAGTTTTGTTATTTTCCTAAAGCTTGAATGTATATTCCGATATAAATTTACCTCACAAGTCAAAACAAGGTTTTGCACTGATTAATCAGTATCCTAAACAGAATAATAAATGCTTCCAATGATGTATAATTTCTGCATAGAATTGACAAAGTTACATTCTATTCTTTCTTCTATCTAAACAAATTAACATTTTGGCAAAGTAATGATTACCATACAAAATATGCAAAGATCACGAACGATACCATGAAATCATCCATGTATGCATCAAAATGTCCAAGAGGAAAATAAGCATTGAGCACTTCCATTTCTATGAAATTTTCTAATGCAACACTAGGGATTATACCTTATCCAACAAATTTAAAAGACACACACATAATAAAAGGTTGTCATGTCCATGCATTTCAATGTGTTGTGCAATAGTGAATTTGGATTATCCCCCTTAAGTCTATAAATAAGTCATTCTTACGTCTTCTCTGGAAGGATCAGATTCCTGACAGTACGGTCCACTTCGAGAGCGAGGCCGTTTGTCAAACATGTTACGATTTTTCTGTGGTGTAGGCCTGCGTGGACTGTTTTCTGCCATGCTTTTTCCACTGTATTCCCTTCTTCTGCCTCCACGGCCAAACTGGCGGACTGCAGAATTCTCCCCTAAAATCATTCTTTGAAATTATTTATTGCACATTTTTCAGTACCATGCTTAATCAATAGTTTCTCAAGTTCATGTATTGTCCCTTATATAAAAATATTTCATATATATTCTCAATGTCTACAAGCTAAGGAATAAGTAAAATATGCTGTTCTTAATTTTTAAATAACTGGTTTCATGACTTGGTAATAGACATATTTGGTGAACAAGATGAAGCTTGTGAACAAATTTTGGGCAATAAATACTGCTGCGCTCACCATTATTTTGCAATCTTTTCGAATCGTTACCATTGCTGGATTTTTGAACAGTTGATGGCGATTGGCGATTGTTTTTCTTGTCCATTGTATTGCAATTTTCCTCCAACATAAACCCCCAAATTAAATGAGTTACCAGACCCAAAGGTCGCTCCTTCGTAGAAAGAAGAAACGCAGACTTCAAACGACGACATCTTCACAACTCCATGATTACCAACCAAAATAAATGAAAAAGTTATTCGATAAAGAAATTTGAGTAAATCAGTCAAAAAATAAGTAGCTAAAAGTTTTTGAATTTTGGGGGTTTGTTGCCCCCAAACACAAGTGGCTTTGCCCTTCCTGGTAGCAACGCTTGCAATCTTTCGACTGCAACCTAGAACTTTATATGGCGACGAGCGCCCATGAACATGAAAGATGCCCGGATGTCACGATAATCACATGATCAAAATAACGTCCCCGATAGAGAATAAGGCGCTTTATTTGAAGAGAAGATTGAAGACTGTTCAGTAGAGTTTTCTTCTGGTGACGACAGTGATTTGTAATCATTCTGGTGAATCTTATATAATGATATTCAATTAACAGTGATCAGGTCAGAGAAATAAGTGGGAGAGGAAAATTATGGATTGGAAAGGGGGGAAAATCGCACTTTAATTGATATGCTTTAATGATTTTTCAGCTTTGAACAGATCTGAAAAAAATCATGAAAAAATCACTCTTGAAGATGTGTCTCCTTCAGCGCAGATTGCAATCAAAGTCCTAAAAAGTTTTGGGCTATGTACAACAGTTCATTTGTGACCAAACAATTACTTCTGCAATGAAAAAACAAAGAAGACCCGAGTTCTGGTTAACAGAATTGATTTGTAATAATTCAGCACAGTGTGAAGTAATCATACTCACCCATGCCTCACCACACACAAGGTGGTGTACAGTTATTCAAACAATGAGACCCTGAACCAGGGGCCAAGAAATTCACAACTTTGGAAGACTTGACACCCTTGCTCAAATACATCTTTTGCCTTGTCCCGAGGGCTTGTCCCGAGACACAGTTAGATTATTCTAACTACCTTGTCCCTTGTCATCCGTTAACATTTGCACATTTTCAGCTTCTTCTCTGAAACCGCTGAAGCAGTTTCAACCAATTTTGGCATAGAATATCTATGAGTGAAGGGGAACAAAATTTGTGAATTACATAGTGCCTGCCCCCCCCCCCCCGTCAGGGTCTCTGGTGTTAGAATCAAGCTACGTAGCTAAATGTAGCGATTGTACTAGACCTGTTTAAAAGAGAGAGAGGGAAAAAAACAAATTTAATAACATTTCTCTAATGTCAGGACCTGCAAATTCAATAATGTTTTTCTACTGTTAGGACATGGCGGGAGTTGAAGATATGGACGAATTTGATGCACCATGTGACATGACAGCTGCGTACTGTACTCAAATTACGGAGGAAGACTATGAAAATCAAACAGTATCAGAGACAGAGAAAGCTTTGGAGGTAACAAACATGTAGTTAATTTCAAACCATTTGTACACAAACACTCATATCCTCTGAACATTTACTGAAAGTCCTGTCCTGTAGGCCTAATTATCAGGTCCAGCACAAACTCTTGATTAAGCTAATAGTTTGATTAAACTATTGAAACTACAGTTAAATTTCATATTTGAACACTAATACCATGGATAGGTTAAAATGAGTTGAAAGTCCAAACCACTTTTCCTTGTAATCCTTTGATACATCCTCAGATATCTCAGTCTTTTATTGGCCTGAGTTGGATACATAGAGATCTCAAATCCTCAGATATCTCAGTCTTTTATTGGCCTGAGTTGGATACATAGAGATCTCAAATCCTCAGATATCTCAGTCTTTCATTGGTCTGAGTTGGATACACAGAGATCTCAAATCCTCAGATATCTCAGTCTTTCATTGGTCTGAGTTGGATACATGGAGATCTCAAATCTTCAGATATCTCAGTCTTTCATTGGCCTGAGTTGGATACACAGAGATCTCAAATCCTCAGAAATCTCAGTCTTTCATTGGTCTGAGTTGGATACACAGAGATCTCAAATCCTCAGATATCTCAGTCTTTCATTGGCCTGAGTTTGATACGTAGAGATCTCAAATCCTCAGATATCTGAGTCTTTTAATGGCCTGAGTTTTATATAAAGAGATCTCAAATTCTCAGATATCTCAGTCTTTTATGCAACCGGCAAAATTAACCGTCTGTATGAGAAATTTTGCCAGCTATGAAATTTCCGTCACTGGGATTTTGCTGGGGCTGGTACGCGAAATCCGTAGGTTTTACATGATCTAGAGTAACTTCCCTTGAGTGCGCTCTTTTTTCAAGGAAGTTTGATTTGATCGAATACGTACTTCTACTACTGAGCAAGGCTACAGCTACAACTTGCGAGAGTAAAATTTAAAGAATAAATTTTTAATGAATAATTCCAACTTCATATAAAATTCACAACTCAACGATCGCAATTTAACTTTAGCTTTACAGGATATGATCAAGATTATTGAGAATTTGGGGCTTCATTGACACAAGCATCAGGTATCTACGGCCTAAAATGTCGAACAGGAAAATAAATGTTTGTTTTTTTTAAACATTCACTATCACTCCACAAGCTAGGTAAAGATTAACAACAACAGCAAATATTTATATCTAGGCCAATATAATTTTAAGACCTTACGAATAAAAGTCTTTATTTTTAATTGTGACTGAGACATAGGACGTAGGAATTCTTACAGAATTTCATCAAACTGAAAATGTAAAATTTTAAGACCTAACGAATAAAAGTGTTTATTTTTAAATCGTGGCTGAGACGTAGGAATTCTTACAGAATTTCCTAAAACTGAAAATGTAAAATTTGTATTCTCATTTATTATACCCTCCGCAAACGAAGTTTAGGGGGGGTATATTGGAATCAGCATGTCCGTCTGTCTGTAGACGAGATTTTGTCCAGACCATTTCTTGGAAACTGTTGCAAGGATTTATCTGAAAATTTGTACACTTATTATTCGCCATATGAAGGTGTGACCTGGTATTTTCATCTTGATTGGATAATTTTTTTTGCATTTTACAGGTGTTTTTTTCATTTTTATTATGTGGTTTTGTCCGGATCTGTTCCCAGAGACTATTGCGTAGATTTGTTTGAAAATTTGTACACTTATTATTTACCATATGAAGATGTGCACCTGGTATTTTCAACATTATTTGATAATTTTTCTGCATTTTACAGGTTTTTTTTTTTCATTTTTATTGACTTAGTCATTTCGGGTTCTTGTCTAAGGTTTGAGACATAGCATCTAGAACATCTGTACAAAAATGTGAACTACAGCTTGAAACTACTCATTAGAACTAAAATAAAAATCACAAAATATTAAAAACAGTTTTTACATTACACAGCAGATAGTGTAAATCTATTTGTCCCTTTGGAGTAATGAGTGGACATGCATCCAGTTAAAGATTAATTAATGAGTTCAGTGTGGGAAGCTGTTAGGGCATCTCTGATCAAGCAGGTCTTATCTGTATCTCCTAGGAATTGGGCAGAAAGAAATAAAGATCTCTATTGTCTAAGCCTCTTAATTGTAATTTATGTCTGTCAAAATACATAGTTACTGAAACCAGCCTTTTATTTTTAAAATGAGTTTGATATAAAGATATTAAGATCAATTTGACTTTGTATAATTAATTATGATATTTTTTTTTCAACAATCAATTTGCAGAGTGTCATGTCTCACAAAGATGACAGATAGTTGCAAACTATTTTTTTGATGTAATAAAAACACTGTAATTATTAGTATTGATGTTTTATTAGGCTGCACCTTAATTTCATTCATTAAAAAAATATAATGAGTAATTAAATTTTCACTCTAATAACTCGGATCTGTTCCCAGAGACTATTGCATAGATTTGTATGAAAATTTGTACACTTATTTAATATTTACCATATGAAGATGTGCACCTGGTATTTTCAACATTATTTGATAATTTTTCTGCATTTTACAGGTGTTTTTTTTTTTCATTTTTATTGACTTAGTCATTTCGGGTTCATGTCTAAGGTTTGAAACATAGAATCTAGAACATCTGTACAAAAATGTGAACTACAGCTTGAAACTACTCATTAGAACTAAAATAAAAATCACAAAATATTAAAAACAGTTTTTACATTATACACAGCAGATAGTGTAAATCTATTTGTCCCTTTGGAGTAATGAGTGGACATGCATCCAGTTAAAGATTAATTAATGAGTTCAGTGTGGGAAGCTGTTAGGGCATCTCTGATCAAGCAGGTCTTATCTATATCTCCTGGGAATTGGGCAGAAAGAAATAAAGATCTCTGTTGTCTAAGCTTCTTAATATTGTAATTTATGTCTGTCAAAATACATAGTTACTGAAACCAGCCTTTTATTTTTAAAATGAGTTTGATATAAAGATATTAAGATCAATTTGACTTTGTATAATTAATTATGATATTTTTTTCAACAATCAATTTGCAGAGTGTCATGTCTCACAAAGATGACAGATAGCTGCAAACTATTTTTTCAATGTAATAAAAAACACTGTAATTATTAGTATTGATGTTTTATTAGGCTGCACATTAGTTTCATTCATTAAAAAAAAAAAATAATGAGTAATTAAATTTTCACTCTAAATGTTTAAGCAAATTGTGAACACCTCTCACATCTAGAAAACATTAGTGATTTGGTACCTTCTCTGAAAAACCCAGCGGGGGGTATTTGTCCCTTTTGGACAGTTTTAGTTTGTGTTAGATCTCTTGATATACAGGAACAGTATTACTTTTCACATTTAAGAAGGTTTTTATGTATTATGTAATTTGTATCCATTTTCTTAATTATTTCTTTCTGACAATCTGTACTAAATAGTAAATAAATTTAAAGGTTTATGATATTTTAGTCTAAGATTGCAGAACATTTCAATTTTTGGGGGTACTGTAAGTCGATCACGAAGTGTTAAAAAGTTTTTAAAATTTTAAATAAATTATTTTCTTAATTTCGATAATCTTCCTGACCAGTTTATGTGAAAGGGACTAATTATGTAGCGTTTTCAATATGAAATTCTAGCACAGACAATTGTCTGTGTGAGAATTTCATACTTAAGTTGTCTTAATGTTTTTATAGACACCTAGTTTTTCAGGGAAAAAAACTCAGTCTGTCAAAAGTCCATATAACAAATCCGTGAAAGGGTAAAAATTGTTCTCTAAATGGCTTTATTGGGTAAAATTTGATAATTGATAGAGACAGAAATGTGAAAAATAGTACTTTTTATTGGCCTGAGAGGCAAGATAAATGGGTCAAAAATGCTTATTTTTGTTTTTGGCCGGGCAGCTTTGCCCCCCTGGGCCCCCTACCAGGGCTCTGCCCTGGTCCCGCTGGGGGCCTGAGGCAGCCCCCAGACCCTTTGCTGAGATTGGTCTCCTGCTATTCCAAAGATATTTCCTTCTATTGAAAATCTTATTGAAAACACTGGATCTCAAATCCTCAGATATCTCAGTCGTTTATTGACCTGAGTTGGATACATAGAGATCTCAAATCCTCAGATATCTCAGTCGTTTATTGACCTGAGTTGGATACATAGAGATCTCAAATCCTCAGATATCTCAGTCTTTTATTGGCCTGAGGTTGAGGTAACAAGGTTTTACTGTATCTTGATTCAGCTACTATAATGCACTTTATTAAAAGCCAAGTGCATTTTTTCAGCATGTAAAAAAAGTTTTACTTTTGTGACATGAAAATACTCCTTTGAAAACACTGCTTTAGAAAAAAAGCTTGTCGAATTGTAACCCATTTAGTGCATTTGCAATCATTTTGGGGCTGTATAAAACGTTTGATTTGTGTTTGTTATCGTTTGCATTTCTTAAACAAATGTACATTCCAATATTTAAAATCTGTTGTTATTTTCTAAAAATAAAATTCTTCACGAGATCCATGATTTTTTTTTTAACATTGAATTTCGAATTATTCAACCTTTTTCCACTAAGACACAATCTGAAAAGTGATAGATCTACATTATTTGATTATAATATTGAGTATAATTAATTTTTGATTAGCCAGTTCACCTCATTTGCCACTTAGCCGTTGGTGCAATTTGGCATACGCCAATCTGTGACAAATGAAATCGACCCTATATTTCTGTTAATTTTCCTTGTAATAATGCAAGGACTTTTATCGCTTGATAGCTTTTTAAAACCTCTGGTAATGTATGCTGATTCTTTTGTCTATGAACGTCTGATGGTACTATGATTTTAAATTAAGAATATCTTGAAAAATTTTCAGTTGGTAAATGTACATTGTAAGGTACATGTATATATATGTTGCATGTATCCTTAACCAAACAATGGAAATACAGTGAAACTTGCTTACAAAGTACTCAGGTATTACATGTATTAGTTACATAGTTTTTTAGTGACAGGGTACGGGATGATACCTGGTTAGTAAATTTCATACCTGGTGAGGCGAAGCCGAGCCAGGTATGGAATTTACTAACCAGGTATCATCCCGTACCCTGTCACTAAAAAACTATGTAACGAATTTACCCCACCGATAAAATATTTATGCATTGTCTGTGGTTTGTAATTTTAATTGTTTTTCTCACTATATATATGTTTCATCACTCATACAATGCCTATTATGACGTCACGTTGTGTGACGTAATGTTGTTTTGCGAGTGTTTTGTGCTGTAATAACGTACTGACAGTTTTGAAGACTTTCAGTAAAGGGAGAAAAAGGTTCCATCTTCGTTACTTACATTAGGTAACTGTAACATTGTCAACAGACGCTCGGCAAAGCGCGTGAACTCGAGTTGTTCGAACGTTACAAAAGAACGATAACTCCGTATCGACCATGTATTGATTTTCAAGCGACTAGGTATAAGTAATACACCCCCTTCACGTGACAGACTTCAACGAATCGTAAGCCAGGATTTCATTGAAAAATCAACAGAGGTGGGGTAAAAGGAATTCTCAGTTATAAGAAAGTTGTATCTTTTTTCTCATCCTGTACATAACACTTTCCAGAAAATAAATTTGAGGAACTAGCTATTCACTTCCCCGAATAAATATGAGTACCATAGTTGCTTACTTGCAATTTTTTGTCTAATGTGTCATATAAAAACGTAGTCTAGCATATTTGTGAAAAACTGCACCTTAATAGTTTTAAATAAATTATTTGAGTGGATACCTCTGGCACCATAAGCCTTAAAAAGTCTATGGTATTCCCTATGTGACACTTTTTTTGTTTTTATTTCATTTTTATTTTAAAGTTATATAGCCTATTCAATCTATACATCTTAATCAAAAGATTGTGCTTGACCTGATTATTTAGATTTTAATAAAGAAGTACAAAAACCTATTGATTTTAATTAACATGCTTTATATATTTTGCAGAATCTTATAGCATTTATGGAAAAAAATCCAGGTGTCTACAAGAATGTTCTGAAGAAGAAAATTAAACAAGAAAAACCTCTGAAATTTCTAAAGGTATAAATAATATGCAGTATCTCCTTTACATTGTTTGATGTCTATCCAGGTGTGGACAATACTTATTTCTCACCTGAGCCAGTGTCTCAAGTTTTTAGGCCTTATTGTGCTTGCTCCCTAGAATCCACTGTGTTTGTCTATCTGCCCTATAGTATCTACTGTGTTTGTCTACCTACCCTATTGTATCCATTGTGTCTGTCTATCTACCCTATAGTATCCACTTTGTTTGTCTGTCTGCCCTGTAGTATTCAGTGTTTTTGTATCTGCCCTATAGTATATATAATGTGGTTTATCTGCCCTGTAGTATTCACTGTGTTTGTCTATCTGCCCTATAGTATCCACTGTGTTTGTCTATCTGCCCTATGGTATCCACTGTGTTTTTGTATCTGCCCTATAGTATATATTATGTTGTTTATCTGCCCTGTAGTATTCACTGTGTTTGTCTATCTGCCCTGTAGAATTCACCGTGTTTGTCTATCTGCCCTATAGTATCCATTGTGTTTGTTTATCTGCCCTATAGTATTCACTGTGTTTGACTACCTACCCTGTAGTATTCACTGTGTTTGTCTATCTGCCCTATAATATCCACTGTGTTTGTCTATCTGCCCTATAATATCCACTGTGTTTGTCTATCTGCCCTATAGTATCCACTGTGTTTGTCTATCTGCCCTATAGTATCCACTGTGTTTGTCTACCTACCCTGTAGTATTCACTTTGTTTGTCTATCTGCCCTATAATATCCACTGTGTTTGTCTACCTACCCTATAGTATCCACTGTGTTTGTCTACCTACCCTATAGTATCCACTGTGTTTGTCTACCTACCCTATAGTATCCACTGTGTTTGTCTACCTACCCTATAGTATCCACTGTGTTTGTTTATCTACCCTATAGTATCGACTGTGTTTGTCTACCTATCCTGTAGTATTCACTGTGTTTGTCTGCCTATCCTGTAGTATCCACTGTGTTTGTCTACCTACCCTATAGTATCCACTGTGTTTGTTTATCTACCCTATAGTATCGACTGTGTTTGTCTACCTATCCTGTAGTATTCACTGTGTTTGTCTACCTACCCTATAGTATCCACTGTTTTGTTAACCTACCCTGTAGTACTCACTGTGTTTGTCTACCTACCCTATAGTATCCACTGTGTTTGTCTACCTGCCCTATAGTATTCACTGTGTTTGTCTACCTACCCTATAGTATCCACTGTGTTTGTCTACCTACCCTATAGTATCCACTGTGTTTGTCTATCTGCCCTATAGTATTCACTGTGTTTGTCTACCTACCCTATAGTATCCACTGTGTTTGTCTACCTACCCTATAGTATCCACTGTGTTTGTTTATCTACCCTATAGTATCCACTGTGTTTGTCTACCTATCCTGTAGTATTCACTGTGTTTGTCTACCTATCCTGTAGTATCCACTGTTTTGTTAACCTACCCTGTAGTACTCACTGTGTTTGTCTACCTACCCTATAGTATCCACCGTGTTTGTCTATCTGCCCTATAGTATTCACTGTGTTTGTCTATCTGCCCTATAGTATCCACTGTGTTTTGTGTATCTGCCCTATAGTACACAGTACAGTTAAGGTGCCAAATGGAAATATCGGCGAATTTTTTACTTAGAAAATACATACTTTGCAAGGTTGGGCAATTCTTTTTAGGACTTTATTATTATCAGACAAATGCAATGTGGTTGAAATGTACATGTTTAGGACGATTAGATTTCTTATTTAGACTTGTCATGTGATGTAGAAGTCGCGTGATTTTAGCAAATATACCTGAAGTATTGAGGTCATCTATAAATTTCAATACTGCAAGGGCATAACCAACTTAAAAATCGAAGTTTAATATATAATTATTTTCAACACTCTTTGTAGTTTGTGAAAAATGCTGCGAACCTTTATCGATTCTACTATCTAATTGCTAAAATTACATTGTTGTTAGACCGTATGTTGAATATTTTGCTGGTCAAGTACATTAAATATAGATGTAATTAATTCATTTGTAAGATTTCAACAGGTTTGCAGCACTTTTCAAATATCTTCATACTTCTTGAGTTTATGTGTAAAAGCTTGTCATAATTCATTGAGGGTATGCCCTTGCAATATATCGATTTATTACGACCCTTCTATTACCCTTCAATGAATCTGCATACAAATATATGGCAGTATCGCTTGTCTAGGGAATGTACGGGAACTATATGAATAAAATCATAAAATAGACATTGCATCCAAATTAATGGCCTCTTATATATCTGCAAATAATATTTTATGTAATTACAAAATACATTCTTCATTGTATAAAATATACTTGATCCGCCTCTCACTGCATACAAACTGCGTCAAATTTTACGATATGATGTCACATTGACAAGTGCATTACGATCAGTGAATTTATGTATTGCTGTGTGGGATTTAACCAACGACAAAAAGGCATGCACTAGTGAGTATTGATGTAGTTTAAAGCTATCCAACAGTTTAAAATAGCAAATCATTTCATTTTGTGGTAATTTGAAGAACTTAAATTTTTGTGTGATGTCATAGTAAGCATTTCCCGTATAAATTAGGCCCCGCCTCCTTATTGCAGCCTTAACTGTGCTGCGTATCCACTATGTTTGTCTATCTACCCTATAGTATCCACTATGTTTGTCTATCTGCCCTATAGTATCCACTGTGTTTGTCTATCTGCCCTATAGTATATATTATGTTGTTTATCTGCCCTGTAGTATTCACCGTGTTTATCTATCTGCCCTATAGTATCCATTGTGTTTGTGTATTTGCTCTATAGTATCCACTGTGTTCATCGATCTGCTATATAGTAAACACTGTGTTTGTCTATCTGCCCTATAGTATCCACTGTATTTGTCTTTCTGCCCTATAGTATCCACTGTGTTTGTCTACCTACTCTATAGTATCCACCGTGTTTGTCTATCTCCCCTGTAGTATTCACTGTGTTTGTCTGCCTACCCTATAGTATCCACTGTGTTTATCTATCTGCTCTATAGTAACCACTGTGTTTGTCTACCTACCCTATAGTATCGACTGTGTTTGTCTACCTACCCTATAGTATCCACTGTGTTTGTCTACCTACCCTATAGTATCGACTGTGTTTGTTTATCTACCCTATAGTATCGACTGTGTTTGTCTACCTATCCTGTAGTATTCACTGTGTTTGTCTGCCTACCCTGTAGTATTCACTGTGTTTGTCTATCTGCCCTATAATATCCACTGTGTTTGTCTACCTACCCTATAGTATCGACTGTGTTTGTCTACCTACCCTATAGTATCGACTGTGTTTGTCTACCTACCCTATAGTATCCATTGTGTTTGTCTATCTCCCCTGTAGTATTCACTGTGTTTGTCTGCCTACCCTATAGTATCCACTGTGTTTGTCTATCTGCCCTATAGTATATATTATGTTTGTTTATCTGCCCTGTAGTATTCACCGTGTTTGTCTACCTGCCCTATAGTATCCACTGTGTTTGTTTATCTACCCTATAGTATCGACTGTTTTTGTCTATCTTCCCTATAGTATCCATTGTGTTTGTCTATCTCCCCTGTAGTATTCACTGTGTTTGTCTGCCTACCCTATAGTATCCATTGTGTTTGTCTATCTGCCCTGTAGTATCCATTGGGTTTGTCTATCTGCCCTGTACCCAACCTGTTTATGCTCCAGTGACTCGTGTAAAGTTCTGAGTTTACATTTAACCTACATTCCTGTTCTGTGTTTACATCTTTTCCTCTTTAAACCAATGTGAGATCAAAACAATTTGAACATGCACCTGATGCATGAGAAGTATTCAACCAATCTTGCATTTACAAGAAGTTTCTCTTCATGCCTTACTGCTTATAAGGTGACAAACTTGCAGACAAGGTGCATTCTAAAATGCTTTTTCTGATTCTGCAACTGTACAAATTAAACACACACTTGGTACATGCATAAATGTTCTGTTTGATGCAGGAAGAAGAGGCTGTATCTTATATTCTGGCCTGTAAGGCAAGCTTTAGTTTTAAGAAATTTTGTAAAGATCAGGTGATCTAACAAAGTATTCTTTGTTACTGTGACAATGTAAATCTGTAGACTAGGCAGTTTATTAGTATATTGCTACTTTGTTCATTATGTTTTAATATAAATACCAATAAATGTATGGATGCTGACACTGACTGTAATGTAAAGGAATAGCTTCTTTAATAAGCATCATCTTGTTCTATAGGTGAAAATGATGACATTGATAAAGGGAGAAGAAAATGTCGAATTTATGACAGACAAGGAATGTCAACGTAAAATGCGGGAGCTGACTTCAGGCATGAGCAGAGTGTTTGACTACAATCTGGGTGAGTCTGTCTATAAGACTTACTGTACGTGTACATAATTTGGCGTATTCAAATTTAGCGCAGTCACTGGGTATGGAGTTGTTGGCAAAATCATGAATTAGCGCTACACATGTCCGTGCCATATATTGTATTTATAAATGATTTCTTCGCTGTATTCCTGATTTAGCGCATCATTGTCTGCGCTAAAGCCGCTAAAATATGAAGCCCGTTTTTTTTAGTACACATACAGTATTTTGACTTTGGAGGTGGTGACTTCAGGCATGAGCAGAGTGTCCGTCTACAATCTTGGTTAGTCTGTCTACTGTATATCGGGTATTTTCTGCATATCACAACTTTGTGAAAAATACTCCAAAACACTGTTATTTCTAATATGCATTGCCCTACTTTTGCAATTCTCACAGAAGTTACAATATACAATTTAAACCACCAGTGACAATTTTTTGTGAACCTATTTTTTGCAATCTACAAATACTTGCAAAGAAAGCAAAAAATTGGATTATCGCAAAAATAATACGGGATATGTCTTGACTTTGGAGGTGGTGATTAAGGCATGAGCAGAGTTATTTGACTACAATATGGGCAATTCTATCAATTTAAGTCTTATTTTGACTTTGGAGGAGGTGACTTCTTAAGTTCAGGCATGACTAGATATTTTAACTACAATCCAAACAAGTCAAAAATAAGACTTAATCTGACTTTGGAACAATACTGACTTTAAGTAAGAATGATTAGAGAATTTGATTATAGTCTTTGTGTATCACATGAGTTCCTATGCAATGAGTTCCTTGACAATATTTTGGGTAAGTCTGTTAAGTTTGATGTAAAGTTTTACCCTAAAGCAAAATTAACAAAATTGGAACACCGTAAGCAACACATGCTATTAACCCAAATGTGCATAGCAATCTAATTTTCAACAGTTTTCTTTGGACTTCAACACATGAGTAATTATTATTTATAATAGAATTTGTTCTGAAAAAAATTATATTTATTGGATCTTTAGAATCAAAAGGAAGAAGACAATCAAAACGTTTAGCAGAAAAACAGGAGCTGTCTGAGTCATCATCAAGCACAGCATCATCCAAAGCAAAGGGGAGGCAAACCAAGAGAGGATCAAGCTCCAAATCTGACAAGAAAAAGACATGTCAGGGGAAAAGAGATGAGACAGCCTGTCCTGCTGTAACTGTCTCAGCACCCCCACCGCCTCCTCCCCCACCACCCCCGCCCCCACCAGTCACCCCAGCACCACAGAAAAGTCAATCTGCTCAAAAGAGGGACAGTCATGATGGTACCCCTCTGAAAGAGATAGATCTTCAGGTAAACTGAATTACTGTACATCACCATATCACTGACATAGGTAACTTCAGGTAAATTGTATATTATGTCATCATATCAGTGAAATAGGTAACTATTCAGGGAAATAATCAATCAAATCTTATATCACTGAAAGAGTTAAATCTGTAGGTAAACTGTAAAGTTTCTTCTTTTTTTTTTAACTGCTGAAACTTTTTATCAGCTATCAGTTTGGGTTTCTTTAAATACATGTATATCATGTACAACTCATCATTTTTAGGTTAATACTCCACTGAGTTTGAAAAAGAAAGAGCCTCCCAATGAAATGGGGTGAGTGTTTGCAATCTAAATAGGGAGTGGTATTGCCAAAACAAATTGTATAGCAATATATAGCCATCTTCCAGAAAAATATCACATTAATTTATAGGAATTTTGCATGCAATTTTTTATGGTTTGGAAATCTTAGCTGTACTACCAGTTAATTTACTTGAATGTGTGTTATTGAATTATATTGAGACAAAATATAAGAACTTAAGCTTAATGAACCTCAAGTGGGTCTACCTTAAAACATGTCGCATGTTTGTCACAAAGATTTTAAATGAAGTTACAGATGATTTTATTTCTTATGCCATTTGTATAAAAAATATTTCTAACTTATTTGTTTGTTTTTAAATTTTCCTTCATTCAGAGTTCAAATGGTATTCATTCTATAATCTGACAAGGTGGAACTCTTTTTAACAATATCTTAATATTTGATACAAATTGTTATTCATTTGTCATGGCACTGATGAATAAAGAAGAAGGTACGGTTTTGACTTTATTATGCCCTAAAAATTTAATGTCTTCAAAAAGTTTTGAAACTGGCTTAAATATTAGTTGAGTATATGACTTTCATAAATCAGGAAAGAATATGGCACGAAGGAGTACCATTCTGGAAATATGACGTCATTAATTTGATGCATTTTCTGTTTTAAACAGAAAAAGCCTCAAAATGACCCATTTCAAGGGTTATTTTCCTTAAGAAAATACATGTAGTGTCAACAGCCATCACCCACTATAATTTTCAGATATATGTTGCATAAAATTCTTTGGAAAATCACATATCTCAAAATCTTTGTGGGCGATGCCTTTGGACAATATTATCTGAAAGAAAATTCCATTGAAAATTGGTGTCTTTTGCAACTTTTTAAGAAAATACGGGAAAATGTACATGTTTATGACGTCACAATTAGAAGGTCATGTGAGAAAAATGATTAACAAGATCTTTCTGCATGGGATTTCAATGGATCAGAAAGCATGAGTTTTAATTTTTATATCACTTTCATTTTCAAGAAAAACACAGGGCAAAATTTGTATTGAAACCGTACCTTGTTCTTTATGATTATTGAAAAATATTGATTAAAAATTATCTCAGAATGATTTTTTTTTTGTAGTTCCACAACCTCTTTAGCTTCCATTGGTTCTTTAAGCAGCCTTCATCAAGAATTACTGTCGTATAATCCACAGAAAAGACTTAAAACAACAACCAATGAAAGGTAAGAATACTGAAATTGACCTAACGAATCTCACCTTCTCAACTATCTATCTACACTGTATGTCATGATATAAACAAACTGCCCTTCAGTGACTGAATCCTTAGATGTAAGGTTTATTTTACAGATCCCCTGGAGGTACCCCAATAAAGCCACGCCCTCCTATCAAAGAGAGTCCTCCCCAGACCCCGGCTACCCCAGCAGAGTCCATCTACAGATACTGGCTCAACAGTCTACATAACAAGTTCCGTAATGTCTTGTCCCCCGGGTCTGTGCCTGAGAGTCCAGTCAGTGACCCCAGTAGTCCCAATGGATTCTCCCCTCAGTAAAGACTGGGTCATCCTCAGTAAAGGACTGGGTCATCAGTTCAGTGGTATATGTCTACTGAAAATGATTCATTGATGAAGAAAATCCAACGATAACACCTTCCATCATTTTTTGTCACAATACCAGTATTATACATGTATGTTATGCACTCATGTTATATAATTATTTTTTGCTTTGAATGGAGGATTTTATTGATAGCCCTGAAATGATTTTTCAAAGACATGTTGAAACATTGGTATACATATTTCATGTGTATGTATAATTTGTTGTTAGTGTAAGCTGTGTCTATCGTTTTTAGCTCACCTGAGCTGAAAGCTCAAGTGAGCTTTTCTGATCACCCGTTGTCCGTCGTCCGTCCGTCTGTCTGTCCATCCGTCCGTCCGTCTGTAAACTTTTCACATTTTCAACTTCTTCTCAAGAACCACTGGGCCAATTTTAACCAAACTTGGTACAAAGCATCCTTGGGTGAAGGGGAGTTTAAATTGTTAAAATAAAGGGCCAAGCCCCCTTCCAAGGGGAGATAATCAAGAAAAGACAAAAATAGGGTTGGGTCATTAAAAAATCTTCTTCTCAAGAACCACTGGGCCAGAAAAGCTGAAACTTATGTGAAAGCATCCTGGGGTAGTGTAGATTCTAAATTGTTCAAATCATGACCCCCGGGGGTAGGGCGGGGCCACAATAGGGAATCCAAGTTTTACATTGAAATATGTAGAAAAAATCTTTAAAAATTTTCTTCTCAAGAACCACTGGGCCAGAAAAGCTGAAACTTATGTGGAAGCATCCTGGGGTAGTGTAGATTCTAAATTGTTAAAATCATGACCCCCGGGGGTAGGGCGGGGCCACAATAGGGAATCCAAGTTTTACATTGAAAAATGTAGAAAAAAATCTTTAAAAATCTTCTTCTCAAGAACCACTGGGCCAGAAAAGCTGAAACTTATGTGGAAGCATCCTGGGGTAGTGTAGATTCTAAATTGTTCAAATCATGACCCCCGGGGGTAGGGCGGGGCCACAATAGGGAATCCAAGTTTTACATTGAAATATGTAGAAAAAATCTTTAAAAATTTTCTTCTCAAGAACCACTGGGCCAGAAAAGCTGAAACTTATGTGGAAGCATCCTGGGGTAGTGTAGATTCTAAATTTTTAAAATCATGACCCCCGGGGGTAGGGCGGGGCCACAATAGGGAATCCAAGTTTTACATTGAAATATGTAGAAAAAATCTTTAAAAATCTTCTTCTCAAGAACCACTGGGCCAGAAAAGCTGGAACTTATGTGGAAGCATCCTGGGGTAGTGTAGATTCTAAATTGTAAAAATCATGACCCCCGGGGGTAGGGCGGGGCCACAATAGGGAATCCAAGTTTTACATTGAAAAATGTAGGAAAAAATCTTTAAAAATCTTCTTCTCAAGAACCACTGGGCCAGAAAAGCTGAAACTTATGTGGAAGCATCCTGGGGTAGTGTAGATTCTAAATTGTTAAAATCATGACCCCCGGGGGTAGGGCGGGGCCACAACAGGGAATCCAAGTTTTACATTGAAATATGTAGAAAAAATCTTTAAAAATTTTCTTCTCAAGAACCACTGGGCCAGAAAAGCTGAAACTTATGTGGAAGCATCCTGGGGTAGTGTAGATTGTAAATTGTAAAAACCATGACCCCCAGGGGTAGGGCGGGGCCACAATAGGGAATCCAAGTTTTACATTGAAATATGTAGAAAAAATCTTTAAAAATCTTCTTCTCAAGAACCACTGGGCCAGAAAAGCTGAAACTTATGTGGAAGCATCCTGGGGTAGTGTAGATTGTAAATTGTTTAAACCATGACCCCCAGGGGTAGGGCGGGGCCACAATAGGGAATCCAAGTTTTACATTGAAATATGTAGAAAATATCTTTAAAAATCTTCTTCTCAAGAACCACTGGGCCAGAAAAGCTGAAACTTATGTGGAAGCATCCTGGGGTAGTGTAGATTCTAAATTGTAAAAACCATGACCCCCAGGGGTAGGGCGGGGCCACAATAGGTATTACAAGGGGGAAATCGGGTGAAAAACAGCAAGGCCAAAGTTACTCAGGTGAGCGTTGTGGCCCATGGGCCTCTTGTTTTTAGAGCTGTTTGAACTAAGGTTTATGTATATGTATAATTTGTTGTTAGTGTAAGCTGTGTCTATCGTTTTTTAGAGCTGTGTGAACTAAGGTTCATGTGTATGTATAATTTGTTGTTAGTGTAAGCTGTGTCTATCGTTTTTTAGAGCTGTGTGAACTAAGGTTTATGTGCCATAAATATATAACCATATCTGGTGTTTTCTGTGGTATGGTAATGTCTGCGATGAATTTAAAGTTTGTTTTATTTTTTGTTAAAGTACAATGTACTACTAACAATTGTCTGGCTAGTTAATTTTGCCTTCAGGATTGTTTGAAATAGATTTGATGGTCATTTTCTTGTGACCCACGGCTAGTAAACTTTATGTCAGATTGTACTGTTTAAGTTGATTGTAGAAAACAGTTCCTTAACTGTCAGTGTATGTGTTTTAGACAAAGAAAACAAACTTAGACATAAGTATAAATATACTGTTACATTATGCCCAATATATTTCACTTTAAAGCACATTAGCACTTCATGAGGCCTCTGCAATAAATCACTGCTGCCCTATATGTCTGTCCATCTGTCATTCTAACATCCACAAATTTTCAGGATTTTTTCCATACGACTTTTTCGTGGTTCTCCTATTAAGGAGGGATTCTCGTCTGGTTTCTTGCTAAATGAAATATTCAATGTATATTTGCTTATAAGTCTTATATAGTTAGATGTAAAGGATTTAAAAGATCATATTTTTCTTTCGTCCTCATAATTGTAAAACTTTGAAAAGAAATGGTAAACTGAGTTTGAATTCTAGCAGGGACTATATTTTTTATATTTATTTATCTCTTTTACTGCTTCTCAAAATTACTACTGAACAATGGATTTAGTTAAAATTTTTAAACAGTTAAAGAATTAGAGATTTTCAAGTTAAGGTTAACTACGGGTCAATGTTAGTACAGGAGGGTCAAGTATTTTAAAAAGTGCTTACTTCATTTAGTTTCAAATAATAATAATTCAACAAAGGCTTATCTTTACCTGTTACATTAATTAACACCTCTGTCTGCAAATGATGTTTATTTTGAAGTTAAGTCTGGGTGATGTTTACATTCACTTTTAAAGATTTCATTTTATAAAATGCACACTTCATTCTGGTTCAAATATACATTTAATGTTAAACGAATTATCTTTATATATCCTTGTACATGTATTTACAAGTAATTGGATAATAAATGACAATCATTTGTCATTTAGAAAATATCTTTAAATTTCATATTTACAGTTGCTATTTCGTATATATTCTTCATATATTTTTAATTTTGTTTTCGTTTTTTTTTTTTCATTATCATATTCTCATCCCTTTAATCTGCACCCTTATATTTATGTCTTTCTGTGAGGCCCTTGCTGACTGATAAATCTTTCTGTGGGGCCCTTGCTGACTGGTATATCTTTCTGTGAGGCCCTTGCTGACTGATAAGTCTTTCTGTGGGGCCCTTGCTACTGGTATATCTTTCTGTGGGGCCCTAGCTGACTGGTCAGTTTTCTAGTGTAAATGTGCCTGTATGAAAAGTAGTAGGTCATATCCTTTTTAATTAGACTAAGAACAAGAGTACCAGTAATCTACTGTCATTAGATTGTATCACATTTAAACCATAAATCAGGTAGATATTCCCCATGAGGTTTACTCTTAGTTTGCCAAATTTTCATAACTTTGTAGAAGGCTTCTGTGTTATTTGTTCTGCCACCTTATTTCTTAAAATTCAAGCCTACTTTATTCTGAATGCTATACTTCAACTCTTGTCTGCAGCTCTCCGAGTATTTGTCGGGGGAGATATTGCTAGTTTATGTATTCCTGGAGTTTGTAGATTTTAACTTTGCTTATATAAACTCTTGCCAGGCTGAATTCAAAGATAAATTTTGGTTTTATTTGATTGGAATTATCTTTAAATTAGGGATGTCAACGAATAGTCGACTATTTGACTGTCAGTCGAATGGACCGACGATCGAATAATGAAACGAAATTCGAATATTATAATTTTAAAAAAATGCAATAAGAGAGTGATAACGATATGGAATTCTCATTTCAAAATTGAGAAACCGTCTTTCCTTGGAGACAGTTGATAAGATAATTTTCCTCTACAAAAAAACTTGATTTTCCATGTGCGTATTGAAAGTACAGTAATTATAAATGCTTCACTACCGCGAGAATTAATTATCTACCAGTTACTACTTGTGTAGTTTTTGTAATAAATCAACCATCAACATATATCTGGGCTTTGTTTGTAAAAAAAAAAAATTAATTGGACTTGATTTTATACGATGTACCAATTATCTTTTATTTTAAGATTGTTCAAATGCGAGGAACATGTGACATGTTTTGACGCTTTGATAATTATTAGAACAATTCACTTGCATTTTAAATTGTTCATAATTAAGGACATTTTGATAGCCAGAACCATCAATAAATGAATAAGAAGTAATTAACTGTTTAACAATTAAACAGCCACCTGGCATTAGGATAGTGTGAGATTACCCCCCCCCCCCCCCCCCCAATTTATTTCACAATAAGCTTTAAAAAATATCGGCTAGCAAATTTTGAATGCTAGCTAAAATAAAAACTAACTGCATGTACAGACCAATTTATGAATTCGATTGATGGGGAAATCATGAATTTAGAGAATTTTCAGAAAATGTTCCTAATATTCGACTATCGTTCGAATAATGCAATCGAATAATCGACTAAGAAAAATAAATATTTTGACATCCCTACTTTAAATATACTATGTACATGTATGTGTGTGCAAGAGATACTTGCATTAAAAGTTTTATATTCTGACTTTAATTTAGCTCCACGTTGTGAATTTTGAATATATGTGTTTGTTATACTTTGCATATTTAATTATATCACAATTTTAATATTTTATGGGAATTCACTATTAAATGCATGATAAAAAAGAGAGTTTTTATTTAAAGACCAATCAAAGAGTGATACAGGTATATACTGTACATTCGAATATTTCTCTTGCCTCACATTGTTTTGCTTAAAACAGCTGAAGGTAAAGTATCACTTTTAATGCCCTTTATTCAGTTGAATATCTATTGATCTGCTGAATACATGGTGCTATATAGGCCTATGGATTGGTCATCTGTCTCAATAAATAAGACAAAACTGCTAGTTTGAGTCAAGAATTGAAACCAGTGAGGTTTTGTGTTCCCTGGAAATAGACATGTCCTGTACATACCTGTATATCTGAAGTTAGGTTACTACAGTAAAACTGCAACTTGTTTAGAAAAAGAGTTTGCTCTAACATATCAATAAATGTACTGATAGATAGTAAAAGTCTCAGATCATACAGGCACAAAGATTAGCTAATCCTAACACTGATTCAGTAAGCTGATTCAGACAAAAACAATTTTATTATTGTATATCACACAGAGATTTGGTTAGAAGAATTCAATGGTAATAATATAAACTTCAATATTCAACACAGCAATTAAATATCATTTGTTCTTGTCAATATACACACTTGTATATCTCATATTTTTCACTCCCAATTTCTAGGATATTCAAGCAATCTGTGGAAAATATCCAAAAATTCAAGCATAATGAACACATATCAAATCAACATAGGCTGGGCAGCATCTAAATGTTTGTTGTGGATCACCAACTGCTTTCAGACTGTCCAGCAATATTACACAATGTCTGACACAGACTTCCCTATCCAGCTGATTGTTTATGACGGACAATGTTACGCAATATTCCATACACAAACTTCATTTTTTCCAGTCAGCAAATAATCGATGAAAAACATGCCTATATGTAAAGCAATATTACATTTGCCTGGTGATAAATCTTTAGATTTCCATCCACTGAGAGTAGTTTGTGGATGTCATGCCGAGTTAAGTGATACTGCACATGTCGTCTGACACAAACTTCATTTCCCCTTCCAGTAGATTGTTGATGACAGACTTGGTGAGATACCTGGAAGTTCCGTGTCTGACATTAGGAGGCGTGTTGAAGAACTTTGTCATATCGTCCTGTTTCTCATGTCCTTCAGTCTTACTGAGATCTCGCTGAAACTCTTCAAAAGCATCCGCTATGATCTGCAAACAGGATATTTGATAATACACAAAACTCTGTTTTCTAAGGTGCAAAAATATTGTCCTCATTTATTTTATAATGACTTTCAAGAAATAGTTTTTTGTCATAATCAGATTAGAAACTTTTAATTTGAAGTAATTTTTTGAAAATATTAAGAACCAACAGTAACCATGGTAACATACCCTATCCATGTTCACAGCCTGATCAAATGTTGCTTCCGGGTTCCTCTCTAACATAGTCGACACCACCATAAATGTCTGCAAGCAAAATAATCAGCTTTTAAAACAGAAAACACAAAATTGTGCCTGATGCTGGTCAAATACTTCTATTCATCAATTTCCCTGAATTCGGCTTGATTCCATTAAAAACTCATGCATCCAGCATTATTTCATTGGGTCTTGAATTTTCAAAAGCTAATCAACCCAGGCAGGTAAGAATGATTGATAGCTGGTAGCCATGAATGGAATAATATGAATAGACTTTAATAGTAAATAGTTAGGTATGGAAATCAACATACCTGAGTAGTTGATTATCACTCATAATTCTCTGACAATGAACCATACATTAATCAAATAAAACAATAAATAGTTTATATGTATTTATTAGAAGTCTTTACCTCTACCATGATTTGTCTGTAGGCAGGGTCTACAATCTTACTCAGCATTTGCTCTACCAGTAGAGAAAAGTTTAGCTCATACATTGTCATGTCCGACAAGGTGGGTTGCTGGAAAAAGATCACACAGAATACAGAATATTATAACCTTAAATGATTTATACTTAAAGATGTGCAATATCCATTACCACTTTAATTTTCACAGAAATAATTATGACATTTTTCTATATAATAGATGGAGATACAACTGAAATTCAAGCAAAATTAGAACAGGGGCAATGTTTGAGGCAAATCATTGTAGTTGTTAACAGTATAATTTACCATGTCTACAGATCTTGGGGATTTTCTCTTGCTGATATATAAATTTGGATATCCAACCTCATATAGACATAACACAGAAAATCCAGTTTGTATCGCCTATATTTTAGTAAGATTAACATGAACAGCTGATCAGCCATTGTTGCCTTTGACGTCACATTATCCCTATCTAATTAATACCAGTATAGATTTTTTAATTGATGGTTTTTTATTTGAGTCAATAATGTTTAATTACCACCGCATATCTGCAGTAAAAAAAAACTGTGATTATGAGGAACATAATACACTTTTATTTTACATAACTGAGAAAAATGAGATTAGTCCTTTAATATGATAACAAAATCGATTAACAGAAACACAATTTAACAATTCAGCATTGTTCCTTTAACAGACAAACGACTTACTAAAAAAAAATAGACAACTACACAAAACAGCAAATTATCATACACTTAAACGTCTAAACATTATAAATAATACATTATCAACAAGCACATGCTAAGAAAACCGATACACATAATACAGTCAAATCTCAGTCATCCAAACAATAATAATCATTGCTTCACCTTCCCAGGAGATAGCCCACCATAAAAGTTAATGGTTAAATAATAACAAACAAGTCTACCTGTGGAAGGAGATAGCCCACCATAAAAGTTAATGGTTAAATAATAACAAACAAGTCTACCTGTGGAAGGAGATAGCCCGCCACTTTGATTCCATACGGTGTCTTCTCCAGGATGGACCACACTCTGTCGTAGAAGTCCTTAGGGACCCTGTTCAGGGCCCCGTCCAGCTGTCTTTTCTGTAAGGGTGTTCTTAGATCTGAGTCTATCATATTCCTCACAAGAACAGCAATTAGCATGGTCTTAATATCATTAGGAGAAAGGTCATGAAGCTCAACATCTTCCTCATCCAACTCCAGTTCAAATCTCATGGCCCGCACAAACCAGCTACATGTACAAACATAGACTTTTCTGTTAGCATTATTTGATTAAAGACAAAATTCTGAACTAAATAAGTGATGTTTGTCCTCATGTTAATTTTTCCCTGGATATCAAGTGAAAAATTCTTATTAACTTTAATATATATTCAAGAAAACTTTTAAATTCCCTTAGTCCAAGGTTTAGTTGAAACTGGTTCAAAGACAGTGGACAAGAAAAAAACAGATGCCTGATACACTATTTGATCAGAACAGCTTACTCAGTTTAGCCTAAGTTTTGGATTTACTAGCTTTTTTTTTACATCGTTATACCTATAGAGGATATTCAATATTTTGTAGTTGGATATGGAATTTATTTCACGAGTGGGACAGGATTTTTGATATTTTCACGAGTGCGAAGCACGAATGAAAATATTAAAAATCCCGTCTCACAAGTGAAGTAAATTCCATATCCAACTACAAAACATTGAATTTTCTGTTTATTACATTTTCTTTGATTTTCCCTTTGCCTCTTTCTTTCCTAATACAGTGTCAGAGGCTGTAACATCATAGTTGAGCAGTTGAAATGTCATAGCTTAGCAGTTGTGAAAACATTGTAACATGGATTTAGCAACATATTTGGGAAGAAATTGGCAGTTTTAGTCTCTATCAACATGGTTTAGTTACTATCTCAATCTTATCATAGGCCAGAAATTATTTTTTACTTACTTTGATATCCTTTCACACTGTGACAGAATATCATTTTGGTTTCCTTTCACACTGTGAGAGAATATCACTTTTATTCAATGAATAAATCACAGTATTTCACTGTTGAAAATGTAATAAACATGTATATCACATATTAATTTTCAGAATTCAACTCCAGTTTTGACTTGATCTGAATTTCTATTTTCTGTAATAATTCTGTAATACCTTACCCTATCCTAATTTTAAGAATTCCATCAAACAGATCAGGCGTTGTAGCAATCAACTTCCCGATTCCCAGAATCAGCTCCTGTTGTATGACGGCTTCCTGTATGTTGTATGGCAGACAAATCTTAAAAATGAGTTCCTGAAGGTAACCAGGACTGACGGGTTTATCTAACACTTCCTCTTCATGTCCATATATCCCCACAGTCACCTACTCAACAAAAACATATATATACATATGTATTACACATACACCCCCACAAATACCTACTCAACAAAAACATACATATACATATGTATTACACATACACCCCCACAGCCACCTACACAGGAGAAAACACATATATACATATTATATTACACATACACCCCACAAATATCTACACACCAAAATATGTATTTATATTACACATCAGTGACATACGACCCTAACTTCAAACATGACAAAACAAATTATACTTACGCTCCTTAGTCATCTACACACGATAAAACGTTTGGATAACCTATTCTTCATTCGATTGCCTGTTGATGTACCTATTACCTGTTCATGATTGTGTTACCTGTTCATGATTGGATTATCAGTTCATGATTGGATTATTCATGATTAGATTACCTGTTCATGATTAGATTACCTGTGCCAGATTGGATTACCTGTTTGCCCCTGACCAGTATAGTGGTGACTGACGGGGCCAGACTGTCCACAGTTTTACGTAGTAGGGCTGACTGAAGACGGACTACGGACCACTCCTTGTACAATCCTGCCTGATGGATCAAATGCTCCATTTTCTTTGTGATGGATTCCCCCTCAATCCAAAAGTTTGCTCCCTCCCTCTGGAACAGAACCTTAAGGATCTGACTCTGGGAAATGATTCCATCTGTAGCTTTCAACATGTTGATCAAATCCCAATTGGCTTTCCTAATGAGATCCTAAACATAAAATTGAAATTGTTAAATGTTTTCATAATTTACCTAGTATATACCATAGAAATTTTATCTGGCATCAAATACGCAATGATTGACTCAAATTAATTTATGAATTGAAGATTTGAATTTTATATAAACAAAATTATGTCTGGCTTGTGAGAGATACAATGGAGAATCAGTCATTATACCAATGGACGGAAGATTGATTAGCTGCGATGCTTTCTGGTAAATATTCTCTCCAGGAAACCTGGATCAGATATTGTAAAGAGGGACAGCAATCAAAACAGGGCTCCCGTTAAATAATATGGACAACTATTTATTGTTACAATGGTCTGTGTTCATGAGTTAATTAGGTCTGTATTCAATAATCATTGATGCCTTTTTGTAATGAGTAAGAGTCCTATTCAACATTTGAAAGGGAGGTCTGTTTGCCATTACTTAAACAGGTCATGGAATCTACCATATATGGCAATTGTTATTATGACACACAGCGGAGCTTACCCTGAACAGTTGTCCAATCTGATAAATGAATTGCAGAGCATCATGGTCTACTACATTTGCATTTTACTATAAACACACTGATTTGGGTCAATTCAGTAGTTACAAAGGAAGGTATGTTCGGTAATTGCTAATGGAGGCCTATTGAGTAAATTACAAAGGAAGGTGTGTTCAGTAATTGTAATGGAAGCCTATTCAGTAATTACAAAGGAAGGTATGTTCAGTAATTGCTTATGGGGGACTATTCAGTAGTTACAAAGGAAGGTATGTTCAGTAATTGTGGAGGCCTATTGAGTAAATTATAAAGAAGGTGTGTTCAGTAATTGCTAATGGAGGCCTATTAAGTAATTACAAAGGAAGGTGTGTTCAGTAATTGTAATGGAGGCCTATTCAGTAGTTACAAAGGAAGGTATGTTCAGTAATTGTAATGGAGGCCTATTCAGTAATTACAAAGGAAGGTATATTCAGTAATTGTAATGGAGGCCTATTGAGTAATTACAAAGGAAGGTGTGTTCAGTAAATGTAATGGAGGCCTATTCGGTGATAAAAAAGGAAGGTATGTTCAGTAATTGCTAATGGAGGCCTATTCAGTAATTACAAAGGAAGGTATGTTCAGTAATTGAAATGGAGGCCTATTAAGTAATTACAAAGGAAGGTGTGTTCAGTAATTGTAATGGAGGCCTATTCAATTATTACAAAGGAAGGCATGTTCAGTAATTGTAATGGAGGCATATTCACTAATTACAAAGGAAGGTATGTTCAGTAATTGCTAATGGAAACCTATTCAGTAACTACAAAGGAAGGTATATTCAGTAATTGTAATGGAGGCCTATTCAGTAATTACAAAGGAGGGTATGTTCAGTAATTGCTAATGGGGACTATTCAGTTACTAAGAGCTGGCTGTAATTTCAAGAGGCCTGTTAATATTTTTAATGGACTATTTCCCGGGGCAAAGCCAAAGGAAAATAATCCTGGTTGAGAGGAACTGGAATCTTGCTAACTCCCTCAATGATATACTTTTTAACTGTTTAATTATACCTATATAAAAGTAAAATCTAGAGAATTGTAGATGATTGGAAATAAGCTTTCCAAGCAGGGATTACCTCATTTAACTAACACACTGAAAATTTGGGATTAGTCCATTCACAATGATTTCTAAAAAAATTTCACATTTAACAATCTAATTTCATATAGGAGAAATCATTAGAAGTATAATAACATTATTTAGCTCTGGTAATTAAGGTACATCTGTAAAGCCCTACCTGTTCATGATAACTTAGCATAGCATCATTAAGCTCCGGTAATTTTGGAATCTCTGTCAGGCTCTTAAAGCTGGAACCAACTGTTTTCTCTTCAAACGGAACAAAGATGTCAGAGGGATCTCCTATCTTGTCTAGAAAGTCCAGGTGTTCCACACAGCCAGAGGTGATGAGGGACTAAAACAACAAATAAAAGTAATTAGATATCACAGATGTTCTACATAGCCAGAGGTGACATCAAATGTAAGTAATTAGTCAGATATCACAGATGTTTGATCTTTCAGTGGTGATGAAAAACTGAAACAACAAAAGCAAGTAAATAGTTAGATATCTGATGTTCTACATAGCCAGAGGTGATGAGAAACTGAACAGCCAATGTATGAATTCCCTACTTATAATTTTACAGATTCGTTATATGGATATAAAGAATAACAATATAGCAAAGTCAATTTGCCAGTCCAGAGAACTTCCCTATAACCAAGTTTTACTGTATATATGCCTCTCTTTGTCTTAATAAGAACTTGTATTACATCTGAAACTCTAACATACATATCCTAATTTCATACCTGAAGCTTTCCTAAGCGGACCCTTATCCCATCCACATCTCCACGTTTGAACTGAGCAAGCAGATCCAAGAACTCACCAAAGTTAGGTCCCCTGAAGAAATAATACAACAAAATATATTACAACATGATTGTCTTACATTGTCCGTTTTTAAAAATTCTTCTTCCCATACTACGAGAAGAAATCATGAAGACTGATTTAATTTCTTATTTACCTGACATTGCTTTCTCTGATGATCATGCAGAAAGTGGGTCTCCCTGACAACTTCCAACACTTGGATAGAAATGCCAGGTCATTCTGTAATACCAGTACAATAGTAATATTGGATTATCTATTACAACTTCTCAAGATGTGTAAAATCAAAATGAAGTCAAAGTCTACAAATTATGATTTTCATTGAAACACCAACCAAATGAAACATTTACTGCATAATCTTTGAATTTACAGAAATTTCATCTTGGCAATAATGAGACTAGAGAGACTGACCTTTAAATCATCGAGCATTATGGGAACGTCCTGGGCTAAGTAAAAATCGCTAACTTCAAAAACCAGGGGATAACATAATACAGTGGATCCACAAACTCTGTAAATCTAAAAATACAAATATACACGATATTCATTGTACACGTAAACTTCAAAGATCAAAATGTTCTAGTGAATAAGACACTAAAAACCCATAAATACTTGGCTAATCATTGTTTTTAAATAATCTTGAATCTAACTGAACAGATTTTGACAAGATGTGTTTGTGAAACACTGATGCCCCCGTATGGCAGCTTATGGCGAAGGGTAAAGTTTCTTCAAATGCAAGTCAAAATCCAGGCCAAAAGATAAAAAATGTTGATACCCAAAGAAAGGTCTTGTCTCGAGGAATACACCTGTGAAATTTGAAAGACCTAGATACAACTGTTCAAAAGTTATGGCTAAGGTTAAAGTTTTTTAAATAAAAGTCAAACGTCAAGGTCAAGGTCAAAGTGGTTGGTATCCAAAGGAAGATCTTGTCAAAAGGATTACACCTGTGAAGTATGAAAGCCCTAGCACCAAGCATTCAAAAGTTATGGCCGAGGTTAAAGTTTTTCAAAAGTAGGTCGAACTCCTAGGTCAAGGTCAAAGGGTCAAAGTGGTTGGTATCCAAAGGAAGGTCCTGTCACAAGGATAACATATGTGAAGTATGAAAGCCCTAGCATCAACCATTCAAAAGTTATGGCCAAGGTTAAAGTTTTTCAAAAGTAGGTCGAACTCCTAGGTCAAGGTCAAAAGGTCAAAGTGGTGGTTGGTATCCAAAGGAAGGTCTTGTCGCAAGGATTACATATGTGAAGTATGAAAGCCCTAGCTGCAACCATTCAAAAGTTATGGCCAAGGTTAAAGTTTTTCAAAAGTAGGTCGAACTCCTAGGTCAAGGTCAAAAGGTCAAAGTGGTGGTTGGTATCCAAAGGAAGGTCTTGTCGCAAGGATTACATATGTGAAGTATGAAAGCCCTAGCTGCAACCATTCAAAAGTTATGGCCAAGGTTAAAGTTTTTCAAAAGTAGGTCAAACTCCTAAATCAAGGTCAAAGTTGTTGGTATCCAAAGGAAGGCCTTGTCACAAAGAATACACATGTGAAGTTTGAAACCCCAAGCACCAACTGTTCAGAAGTTATGGCCAAGGTTAAAGTCTCATAAAATTTTGCAAAAGTGGGTCAAACTCCAAGGTCAAGGTCAAAAGGTCAAATATGATGGTACCCAAAGAAAGGTCTTGTCACAAGGAATACACATGTGAAATATGAAAGTCATAGCTCCAACCAATCAAAAGTTATGGGCAAGGTTAAAGTTGACAACAGACAGACAGACAAACAGACAAACAGACAAATGGACAAACAGACAAATGGACAAACAGACAAACAGATAAACAGACAAACAGACAGACAGGACAAAAACAATATACCCCCGGGATCTTTCGATCCGGGGGCATAAAAAGTTAATTTATGATGTTATCCATTTTTGTTCAAAATAAGTACCCTTCATGTGTAAGAAAAGACAAAATGACAAATTATATATGTAAATGACTACTCCCCCAACATTTGCAAAATGGTGGTGTGTGTGTGTGTGTGTGGTGTTTTTAATTGGAATGCAAAAAGGTTTTAAAAAAAACAAAATATGTCCAGAAGAAATATCATGAAAATCAAATATTTAGTTTTAGAAACAGAGGCAATCACTTTGAACCATTGATGCCCAAAACAAACCCAAGACAGCTTAATCAGACAGTGGTTTATATGTATATTTACACATCACAACAAAAATATTTCTCAAGTACTACAAAAACTTATCTTAAGATACTGAAATCACTCCTGAATCCACATGGTAACCTAAGTCAGATGGATGCAAGGACGGATGACTTAGGGTAACAAGTATGCTCCTTCATTTCAATTGCAGGAGCACAGAAAGTAATAACAGAGACTAATTATGATTCACGTTATAATTTTCTCAATAAAAACAATGTCCTCTTAATAAGTAAATCTTCTTAATTCAATATTTAAGATACAGAAAAATTTCACCACAGAAACAAAAATTGTTACCTTAGAAGTACTGAGGACCCCAAATGGTCGCTTTGGTCTTCCTGTCAACCCAAGTTTCTTGTTGACCCCGAGGTACTCGTAAGCTTTAGAGAGTTCTTTGGGGGACCAGATCTGTATGGGCTCTATCTGGTGTGGAGTCTGGGTCTGGATTCCGTATGTAGCCAGAAGCTGCTGAAGACGGGCACTCTCCGCAATTAGAATGACCTGGGTCACAAGGTCAGGGGGTGTGATCTAAAAACAAAAACTAAATCTTAATTCACAAAGTCTTCAAAAAATATCATGCAAGAAGGATACATAAATTTGATAGGAAAAATTCTAAGATTTTGTTCACTTCTGAAATAAAAACTCTTTAAGGGCATAAAAACTAACTTGGATAGGCTAAGATATAAATTTTAAGATTGATGAAAATATGTACTGGTTCTAACTTAGCTTCAAATCAAAATGTAGAATTTGTTGTCTCTGTTTAACTATTTCTTATTGTATGGTTTATACTCTGTAGTGTCTTTTATTTTGATTTCACAATGGGATATATATATTGAATCGACTTTTGAATAAAAAACTGCATTGTTGAACCCTTATCGAGATTTAATTAATTTCGAACTGGGATATTTTGTATAGCTGTAACCTTCATCTTTAATATGTTCTATCCCCATTATCAATAAGCAAGGCCTTTAACACAGAAAAATGTCAGACCTGGAAAGACGAATATCTCATGTTGACTTTGGGTCGTTCTGATGCTGGCAGGTGTCTCCTAATTGGGTCAAGGTCATTTAGATTTAATAGTCCATTAACTGAAATTAAAAGTATAGAGTTGATGGGTTACATATATTCTTTATTAAAGGCAAAATAGAAAACCTTCCTCAAAGGATCATTAAAAGAGACTCTTAACAACTTACAATATAGTACAACCGTCAACCACTTGTTGAATAATAAAATGTTCATGTCCACATTTTGTAACTGTTCAGAACATAAACTAGAAATCTGACCAGTCAGCAAGGGCACCGCCAAGGGTTAGAAATATAAGGGTGCAGATTAGGGGATGAAAATTTTACTTGATTCCAAAAAATTTCAAAATATATAAAGAATAAGCAACAGCAACTGCTAAATATCCAACAATCTGTAAATAGTATCCTTGTATTTACATCAGGTAGTAAAAAACATCATATCTATAATAACTCAATTAAATGTATATTTAAAAATGAATGAAGCATGTGTTTTTTAAAATGCCAGCCTTCAGTGAAAACAAATATCACCCAGGCTTGACCTTAACTTCAAAACAAATATCAGTTGCAGACAAAGGTGTTAATTAATCTTAAAGTGACAGAAAGATAACCCTCTAAAATATTCTGCAAACCAGCAAGATAATCAAACCCACCAGATTAATTATACTGGTCTCTCAACCTTTTCTTCTAAGTTTACAATAAGAACTTTTTCAGCAATGATAGAATGAAGTTATTAAAGTTATTAAAATAATTAGTATTCTTAAATTTACATAAGGCAGAAAAAAAGAAAAAAAAAGAAAAAAGAAAATAATAATAAAAACGATATCTTTATCTATATCTTGTTTTTAGAATTCAATAAAATCATAACTTATTATGTATTTTACCAAAATAAAGTATGAACATTATTTAAATCCACATTTCAGAGAATGTAAACATCATTCAGAATTGACCTTAACTTCAAAACAAACTTCATTTGCAGACAGAGGTGTTAATTAATCTCAATGTGGCAGATACAGATAAATGCTTTGGATTTTCTTCAAGAGGAAAGTTAATTAATCCCAAGAGACTCATTGCAGTCTTTCATAGTTTACAATAGGAACATTCTCAGCAGTTCTCTCTTTGCCCATTCACTCTTATATAAAGTTAAGGAATACACCCCAGCTCCAAACCGGATGACATAGAGAACCAAACTTAGCATCAAAATATGTCTTACTGCCTATTCAACCAACATACCAAATTTGAACTTAATTGGTCACCCTAAAAAAAGTTATTAGAAAAAAACAGAAAATTTGTGGACGGAAGAATGACAGACAGACAGACAGACGGACAGACAGACAGACAGACAGAGTGATTACTATAGGGCACCTGCAAATCCTTGCGGGGCCCTAATTAACAATTCAGTTTTACTTTTTTCTTAAAATAATGGTTCACCTTTCTAGAATTTTTATAATTTGTGAAAAAAAATTGCTACATCACAAGTGCTGACCAAATATTTACATGAAAATTTTTTCACTATTTTCTCTGTGATAACTCTGATAGTTAAGTCTGATGATTTCTCTATAATTACAACTAAATGTAAATTTCTCCAAGTGAAAGGTCAAGTGCCTAATACGCATGTCAATCTCTCGTGGTAGTCTCTGTGCCTGATGTCAGTGGGTGGGACTATGAAAATTAACATGGAACGTCTCAGGTTTTTTAAATCTATTGGGCAGCATTTTTTATTTAAATTTACATTTTTATTTAAAATATAAAGGTAAATATAAGGAATTGATGTCTAGTTTTTTGGGTATGCCAGGGACATCAATGACAGTTGGAAACGTGGAATAATTTTTGCATAACAGGCTTCAACCGTTATGCAGATTATCCCATGTTTTCAACTATCATTGAAGCCCTGGCATACCCAACAAACTAGACAGTGATTCCTTAAATCATACACTTTGTTCATGAAGTAAAACTAGTCATTTGCAGTTTATGTTCTTATAAACCCCTCATCTTACCCAGTAGTTTATATCCTCATATACCACGCATCTTACCCAGTAGTTGTGAAATGAAGTAAACAGACTGGCCCAGCATATATGTTCCATCAGTTGACCCTTCTGCACTCGGGTATCTGTCCGTGCTTCCAGGAACTCTCTTCTCCTCTTCAATATTTTCTTTTGGCACATAGTAAAACTTGGGGATCAGTTTACCTAGGATTAAAATTGGACTTACATCAGAACTTGATAAATAAACTAACTTTGATGTTTTGCAAAGGGAAAAAATTATATTGAACATGGATGCATTCAGTTTGGCTTCATCTCACTTAACTAATTATAGTCAACTTGAATTCAACTGCTTATTAAAGTAGAATTTCCCAAATGTGATTGCATAGGGCATGAAACATGCCTTAAAGATAATAAATATCATATAGTGTTACCTTCATCTGAGTCATAGAGCAGTGGTTCTAATAATTTAGCGTACTGCTCTACACCCTGCTTGTCATGTTGGAACACCTCTGTAAACAGCAAAATAAGAAATGTCAGAAAAATACCATAGTTTGCAATCAAACATAGAGGAGACATATGTAGATATTTAACTTACAGTCGATCATTAGTAGAATTATGTAGATTTTTTTTACTTACTGTCAATCATTAATAGGACGTAGAAGACTGGCCATTCACACTCGATTCCATCAAACAACTGGTAAATAACAACAAACACATGTAGAGTAAACGACTGTATATGATGTAAAAAACGATTGCAAATGTAGTCCAAGAACTTTGATAAAAAAAATTAATGACTGTCAGAATTAGAAAACCAAGACTATCTTTAATATTTCCTTACTGTTTTAGTGCTATATTTACAGTATGTGTAAAAATTTAAATATTTAAATCACTAATTTTTGAGCAAAACTCTTACTGATAAATTGTTTCAAGTAAAAAGCTGATGAATAAAATCAGATTATGACTTCATGAGCAAGAAAAGTACTAAAACTTTGACTTACTTTGATTTCTGCAGGTTTATAAAAGCGGCGTTTATTATCCTCCAGCACAGTGCGATATCCATCACGTAGATATCGCTTGATACCATATTTTCCTTTCAATTTGCGAAGAACTTTACTAAATGTCCTGACTTTGATATCTTCTTCATGTAAAGCAAACGCAGGCCAGCCGATGGTAGATAGCAGGGCAGCATCTGTGTTCTGTTTGAAGAGAGAAAGGAGAAATAACAGACAAAAACCTGCCAAGAGATCATTTAAAGCTACTGGAACAAATATAGGAGAGAGAAATGTCAATAATACCTAATGATAGAGAATTTATTTCTTTCCCTAATAAAATCTAAAAGAATTTAATTCTTTTGAATCTTAAATTGAAATTAGTGTAAACCAACTTTCATAAGTGACAATTTTTATTTGCAATTTCTCAGTTTGAAATGTATCCATGACAACTAATTTTCATGAGTGAGGAAATATTCTACATAACCTACACAATGAAAAAAATAGTTCACGGCCAGCAATATTAACGAGTGAAAGAAACTCCGAGATATTTTCTGGAACACAAATAAAAGTTGGTTTACAGTATTATTAATATGATTGTTAACAAAATAAAAATGCTGAAATTATCATAATTAAATATATAATCAAGTTTATACATTAGACAATTTAAAGGCAATAAAGTTTTATGTTTTAGGACCAATTCTTGCTAACTCTAAGACAAAATTATCTGTGGCATTGCTTACTGATTTCATTCAAACCATTTGAATGATGTAAATTTACAAGATACCACACAAGAAGTAATGAATAAACTTCCAATCTTTTATTTAAATTAGATAATATAAAGTAACCCTCACTTCCTAAAATTCTTATCTTTTCAATTGTTGCAATTTTATTTCATAGGGTTTATCAAATATTTTTAAAGAATGGAATTTTTTTGGTTCCAAAAATTGTGAAATAATTGACAATTACAAAAATTACCTTTTGTATGATACATTTAAGTTTATGATCTATACATGAATGATGTGAGAAAGCTCTGATTGGATGGGAACAAAAAATGATTGGCTGTAAAAATCAGCTTAGCTAGCAACAAAAAAGCGTTCAAAAGCATTACAAATATGGAAACAATAATAGCGGTTATTAACTAAGGAGCATTAATTGACAACACATTTTCTTTCTTTTTACATAGATCATATTTCCTTATTTATAAATTCTGAATTTTGCCTGCCATTTTTTTTCTATGTGAGATGCCCTACAGACTAAATATTCTTTTATCCCATTGGCTCTTCTTATGCAGCTCTCTCTCTCTCTTTCATTAATGTGACAATCAATTGAAGAACTTAAAGATGATAAATTAATAAGTCAGACCTTAGAGTTGGATTCTCTGGGTAAAATGCCCTCAAAAATGGTCCGATTTCGATTGTGAGCATCATAGTCAACAAAGACCACTGACCAGGAGGCTCCTTGTTTCCCAAAGAGATTCTCGCCATTCACAGCTTCTAGTGCTGCCTTAGCTATACCTATAGAGCTAGGAAAGAGAGGACATGCATCTCAGGTCATCTGACTCACAGCCAGCCCCAATCCATCAGGAATCAGGCAAGCCATGCTCCATCAGGAATCAGGCAAGCCATGATCTATCAGGAATCAGGCAAGCCAAACTTCACCAGGAATCAGGCAAGCCATGCCCTGTAGGGAATCAGGCAAGCAAAACTCCATCCAGAATTAGGCAAGCCATGTTCCATCTGGAATCAGGCAAGCCATGTTCCATCTAATATCAGGCAAGCCATGCTCTGTCAGGATTCAGGCAAGCCAAACTCCATCAGAAATCAGGCAACTCATGCTCCGTCAGGAATCAGGCAAGCCAAACTCCATCAGAAATCAGGCAAGCCATGCTCCATCTGGAATCAGACAAGCCATGTTCTGTAAGGAATCAGGCAAGCCAAACTCTATCAAGAATCAGGCAAGCCAAACTCCATCAGGAATCGGGCAAGCCAAACTCCATTAGGAATCAGGCAAGCCATGTTCCATCAGGATTTGGCCACACTCCATCAAGAATTAAGCAAGCCACATTCCTTTAAGAATTGGCCAAGCCAAACCTTATCATGAGGGCATTAAGCCAATTCCAATTAATAATCAGACAATCCACTCAGGCAGGCTTAATCTCTGTCAGGGATATAAAAAGGCAGTCGATTTGAAGGACATCAGAAAATTCAAACCAATTTTCAACACTGAAATGTTATCTGACTCAAATTCCCTATTTATTGAGAGTTTCATTCTCTCTATCCACCCACCTAAATAAAAAATCTCATAGAAAAACTATATACATGTATAGAACTGTTACAGTAAATGCTAGCTGAGAATAATTTCTTCGAGTATAAAATGTGCAAATCAAAATGGCTTCCATACATAAAGGTCTGCATGAATCATAAAGTAGTTATGTTTGGTGTAAACTAATTACCAGGTAAGGACACACAAAAAATTATGAACACAAATACTGCTACAGCACTAGCCAAATGAATCTATATATTGCACTAGAAAAATGAATCCAAATACTGCTTCTGCACTAGCCAAATGAATCCATCGCTACTGCACTAGCCAAATGAATCCATTGCTACTGCACTAGCAAAATGAATCCATCGCTACTGCATTAGCCAAATGAATCCATCGCTACTGCATTAGCCAAATGAATCCAAATTAATCTTTCATGCAACAGATTTGATTATTGATGATATGGTACATGTAATTGGTTTGTGAATGTATGACATGAAATACTAAATACTGGATAATAAGCAGAAGACAGCAGTATAACAAACTAACACACAGGATCAATGCCTACACAACATGCAAGGAGCAGGAAAAAAAATTGACAGGTCGACAAACCTTTGAATTTGATTCTCTAGGAAGAATTGACTCGAAAATTGTTCTGTTTCTGTTATGTGCATCTATATCAACATAAATCACTGAAGATGAGGTCCCCTGCTCCCCGAAGAGATTAACACCATTAATGGATTCCAGGGAGGATTTGGCCAGTCCAATAGAGCTACAGACAGACAGACAGTAAACAAATTAACACCATTAATGGATTCCAGGGAAGATTTGGCCAGTCCAATAGAGCCAAGGACAGACAGACAGACAGTGGATTAATGGATTCTAGGGAGAATTTGGCCAGTCCAATAGAGCTACAGACAGACAGACAGTAAACAAATTAACACCATTAATGGATTCCAGGGAAGATTTGGCCAGTCCAATAGAGCCAAGGACAGACAGACAGACAGTGGATTAATGGATTCTAGGGAGAATTTGGTCAGTCCAATAGAGCTAAGGACAGACAGTCACACTATACACAGTTACAAAATATATATATAATCTAGGATTCAGACTAATATGGTTCCTCTACATCAGCAAGTTGGTTATTTATGATTATGAGGTGCTTACAATCTTTTCTGTACATTAGCTATACAGGGTTACCATCAGCTATAGTGCATAAACTCCCCCACCCCACCCCCACCTCCTGCTAATGACCAATTTGGATCCACTATAGAAAGCCTTATCACCTAATACAGATCGTTACATGTAACTGTAGTCATTATCCCTGAGATAGTTAACTGTAGTCATTATCCCTGAGATAGTTAACTGTGGTCATTATCCCTGAGATAGTCAACTGTAGTCATTATCCCTGAGGATTTCCTATTTGTGTCCTATCTGGCATATGTGCAGAGGAATTGTTTAACATACTGATGGAAAGACAGAGAAATAGAAAACTAGAGAAAGCGTTATAGACTTCCCATTATGTTTCTGCCATGGAAAACCTTAACATAGACAAAGGGACAGCTTCAACATCAACTACAGACATTTTTTAGACCTAAAAAACTGCAGTGCATAATCATAACTGGGACCTGAGCCACCATCTCCCACCTGCTTGTACATGTAGAAATCTTAATACGTATTGGATAACAATATACAATATAAATTTATGAAGAGGAGTATCTGTCACCTACTCTAAATATACCTAATGTAGATTTCATTCTTTACCTGGCATATATTTCTGCATTTACTTGGCATGGATTTTAATGTTTACTTGAGTATGTGTTTCAGTTTACTTGGTATGTGAGTCTGTATTTATCTGTTATGTACATGTATCTGTGTTTACCTATTTGTATTAACCTGGATTGAGTCCATTATTTACCTGGTATGTATGTATATGTCTGTTTACCTGCTATACAGGTGTTACCCTGAATTGAGTCCATTATTTACCTATTAAATTCTTTACCTGGCATGGATCTCAGTTGATCCATTGTTGTATTTGCTTCCTCTCTCCCACGTCCCATAATCAGGAGTCCTATAAGCTCTCTCTACATAAAACACAAGGTTCTGGACAAAATTTACTTCATCAGTGGTAAATATGATCTAGAAAAAAAACAGAGCTCAATTGTGAACTCATCTCACTTCGAAATTTTTAGTCTAAAGAGCAATATTGACAATGTAATGGCTAGTCTTTATCATCATTGAATTTGTCTGCTTTTCTTTCATGAAAAGATCTGTAAATATCCATCTTTAACTTATCTGACCAATACTGTTTATTCTTTCTTATTTAAGTTGTCAGTTAGATAACAATGCCTATATTGGTTTCTGTGCTGTTAAGTAATGGTTATAGACAAATCTGAATGAGACAACAATGCTATTTACTAAATAGTTCCTGGTCAAGGTTGGTACCCAATTATATTTTGTTGGCATTAGATTAAATCAGACTTAATTTACTTAATATTAGAATATTAGACCCTCAGGCCCTGTTCCCTGTAGAGAATACCAACCTGTAAACCAGACGAAATCATCTGAACCAAAAAAATCAGATATAAACCAATCACATTGATCTGTAAATGGCCATACTCGTCGTCCCGATAGACAGGATCCCCGGTTATCATGTGAAAAGCTGAATGAAGGGCATACTCTGCTCTCTGATTGGCTTTGAAGTTCTCAACCTATGAGATGACAACAAAATATATCATGTATCTCAATAATCAAAAGGAAAGATTTCCAATCATAAAATATTATTACCTTGTCTGCCTGTCTGATCCAGCAAAAGAGTATTCCCCGCATGCACTTCACTGCACTCTGGGCCAACTCGTGTGTCCTACCCTGGTCATCATCTACTTTCCTGGAAAAAAATCCTTCATGTAAAGAATCTTCAGACCTAATACAAAATTAAATTTTTTAAATGATAATCAAAGCTGCATAATTCTTTATCAGTTTAATTGATTGAATTCTTTATATCACAGTTTTCTTAATTAAAATATTGTTACAAAAAATGTCATGGTTGAATTCCCTGAAAATTGCCAAGTCTTTCTCATATTCTACAGTTTTCATATTTGATATGTGGAATACTAAACAAATAATTCTTTACATTCTGACACACCTGATTCACAACTATGGCAAATGAGATTTTTACTAACTATCCTGGGATTCACATGACAGTACTATTTTTTACCTGTATGCCTGGGATAAAGCCCACACAGCAACAGCACAATAGATGCTGGCTCTAATATGTGCTATGTGGGTTGGATTTTTTTCATTACCAATGTCAGGAAAAAGTCCTAGCGTAGGACTCTGGTGTTGTAGAATCTGTTTTTTCACTGCAAAGAAAAAGATGGTAGTTTATCAATTGTTTCAAAAATTTTGCTAACAATTTCTTCAATGTATAAAGACAATAATCAAGATCATATCAAGATCAATGTTCAAGATTCATGAGAGCTGCATCCCCTAGTAACCAGTTTGTGAGCTAGTAGTTCTACCAATGGTAAGCTTTACCTCATCACTAATTTGAATTATTTCCTTACTACTAAAAATGCAGTCTAACCAATGAATCTCAAGATAGGACACTTCATGACAATTTCTGAGAAACTTCTTGACAATTTCTGAGACACTTCATGATGATTTCTGTGACATTCTTGTGAGTTTCTGAGACACTTCATGGGACACTTCATGACAATTTCTGAAAAATTTCCTGACAATTTCTGAGACATTTCATGACAATTTCTGAGACACTTCATGAGAGATTCATGAGAGCTAAACACAAAGCATGACAGAAAGACAAACGGAAGGACAGAAGGATGGAAAGACAGAAGGGTGGAAGAATGGAAGACAGACATAACAAACTTTATTATATGCCCATTTGTGCCATATTCATGGTGGGGCATAAAAACTGTAGGCTATAATATAAGTTTTCAAAAATTAAATAATAATAATAAATGTTACTGAGGCCAAATAAAAAATGTTTTCTGTAACAGTCCAAAAACATAAAAGGTTGGGGTTGGGGGGGGGGGGTGTTTGTTTGTTTGTTTGTTTTTTTGATAATGTAGGATTGTAGGTACGATCTCACAAAAAATAAAGTTCCCAGTTTAAAAGATCCATTTTTCCTTCCCATAAATTTCTAAATGTCATGAAACATTTACGCATATTAGTTTCACTGTCTGATAAATTAAAAATTCATTCATTAAAATCAAAGAAACATTGAATAAAAATTGTGAACAAATTGATGCAGAATATTCTTACACTGAATGTAGTAAGTGTTCAGTTTTTTGACCAGTTTCTCTTGTTGTTCAATTTGCGCATTTCTTACGCTTGCTGCTAATGCGAAGTTTTTACTGTCAAAGCGGCCGAACATATGACTCGACCTGATGCTAGAATTCCTTCTTCTGCCGACTGATTCCCGCCTCCGCGGAGATACGGGTATATCATCCATGGTGCAATCTCCTACATCAAATTATTTGCTATGTTTAAATGCTGACATTATCAAAACCTTTTCCCTTTCCCTGTTCATAACAGGAAATGTCGTATTGAAATCTAAATGCAAGTCCTTCCTCTTGGAAAATGAATCTCCGGATTCTGCCATTCTCTATCCAGAGGGTGCTAGTCACTTCGCCCCAAAACCAGAACGCCCCATGCATGAGCATGAATACTGTTCGTTATCTCCATATATTGCATGAGCGCCCCAAACATTTTTACCGGCGCTGTACCAGTGAAAACTGTCGCTAGTGCTCAGAGTCGCTCTAAAAATAGAAATCCCAAGCGGTAGCCTTGCAATTCGCCACTCGTATAATTATACCCAAAGATAGTTATAACCACGTAATATAGATGTTATTGGTGTTTAAAATGAAACATTTTGAAGCAAAAAAAGTCATAACACTCTGGAACAATTCTGTTTATTCAATATTTACTTCAAAAATCCTGAAAATAAGTGTATGGTCATTTCTTAATTGACATCGCGATCGGCATGTGGGCTTCGTTTATCTTCATCTCTTACGTGAGAAGTTGGACAATTTGACTAATTAAATTAAATATTTAGACAGTTTATAACCTCTTATTGAAAAAAGGCAACAACAGAATCATACGAGGAATTATATTTTGAATCGTCGAGATCGGCATCCAACTTTTATTAGGCAACAGGCAACCGCATACGAATCGGCATGTATTATGATTTGTAAAGTCGATTTATTGTAAGTAAGACAGTGTTTTAAAAGATAAAATAAGAATAATTATCTTATTTTATTAGCGATTAGTTCATTGTAAACACGAATAAATTTAAATCTTGATCACACAAGTCTAATGCTAATTCGAAACAAAGTTGTGACGCGAATTTCCTCTATTGTGTTTATAACACTAAAAAGCACTGACTTTTTTCATATAATTTAGGACTACTGGTGATTTTTTCCAAATAAGTGCTTAAGTGTTTATTAAATTAAAATTCTCTGCAATTAATTATGAATTTAAAGCAGTTTTTCATCATATTTTGTGGTTATAGAAGGATTCCCTTCGACTAATTTTCATTAATATATCCCAACTCAGTATCTACATGTATGATAACTGATGATGAATCATTAGATGACCACTTTGTACAAGTATAATAATAACTATCCATCAAAGTTATGTATGTAAGTTGATAATATGTGTTTTGACTGAATTCATTTTACATTTCTAAGTATGGTCATCATGTCTATAGATATCTGGCTTTGTTCAGTTATGATGTAGGCATTGGAGACATTCATTAAACTAAATAAGTAGATACAATGTCAGTGAATTATTGTTAGGGTGGGGATGGGGAGTTTAACCTTCTTTACAGTCAATTATTAAACTTCAGTCTGAAGTTTATGAACCTCAGGGTCCACACTGAATATATAAGCTAAGGAAATATATAACCAGATAATATGTTGTAAAATCAGCTTGCACGTGCACTACAATGCTGGACAAGTCACCCCTAAGACAGCTCTCCTGTAGAACAATTCACATTGACAATCACCTTTGATTCAAAGAACTTGGCCACTGTTTGGACAATTTACCACCTTCTCAGACAACTCGAGCGCTTTGTAGCTATTTTATGCTACACTTAAAGCAAAATAGATTACATCATTTTATTGTGATTCATGGATGACCTCCTTTTCATTCTGAAGTTATATGTCAAGACTACATACTATGAATAATGGATTTGATGAACATTTGATATCCAGACTAATATTGTTTATTTAAAACAGCTTAATTTAACAAAGCGACATTTTGATTGTAAAATTTCTGTTAGAAACATGGTGCTTAAGATGATAATTTATTACAACCAATGTCTTAAAAGTAGAAATCAAAAGCAGGGAAAAAAAAGTAAAAGAAGGGGCACAAAAAGAATACAGATACAATAAATAAATTTTGCCTGAAAATGTAAAATGTTAATAATTAAATGGTTCGATGCAGTCTCTTCTCCCATAAATTGTTAAATCTGATGCACTTAATCAAACTGATGATGGGAGTCATTATCCAGTAGTTTAACTGTAGTGTTATTCCTAATTTAATAATTAAATTACTTTTTTTTCACTACAACATTTGTTTGTATTCTTAGTACCTGTATTTAAGATTACAGGGGTATATTGATTAAAATGAGTTTATCTTTATGAGGTAGTAACATTTTTGAAAATTCTCTCCTCATATCAATCCCTACTTTAGATGAATGCAAGAGTATTTTATATCAGATCGATATTTAAAGATAGAGAATTTTGTCCAATTAGGAATTGAACATCTTGATTAATTAAAGCTTCTTATGTCTTATTTGTCTCAGTTCACCCAGCTGAAAATGAGTACCAGTATACTGAAAGTTGGAAGTAATAGACCTCTGATGATCTATGTCCCTTCCATAGGGATTCTCTAACTCTATGATCTTCATCTGCTTAGCACAAAAGAAACTGGTTATGAATCACCAGCCCTATGTCAGCCCCTTACCTTGAAAAAATTTAAACTGTTGAAAACATCCAAAAGAATATTTTTATTTTAATTCAATAGTAGAAATATTTGTGGAGGTCAGGTGGGTTCGATAGCTCAGTTGGTAAAACTTCTGACTGGAGATTCAGGGGGCCCGGGTTTGAATCCCTGTCTGGTCTGTCAGATTTTTCTCCTTTCCTGTTACATATTTAAGAAAAAAATATATCAAGAAATGGCAGAGCAACAGTTAGTCATACTGATTTGCAAACATCATCAGGTACCACTACCAGTAGTATGGATTCAACTCTGTTCAGATCATGCCCAGGATGGTAGGTGCATATGAAAGATCTCATAGAGGAATATACAGGAAAATTCAGGATTTTTTTTTTTTTTTTAAATATTCTTATCATATTGGGTGCCAAATGTAACAGGTGGTGAAAAATCAAGTTTCAAGAGGGACTCAACCCAGGGTCTTTGGCATACATGTACCGTGGCTCTAACCACTGAGCAAGTGAGACCCCATATATTGACCAACTTTCACACATCTTTTAAACTGAGACATTATTAACATCAGGACTATAAGTGATATTAAATAATATGCAAGCATCCTCAAGTAGGGCAGTTTGAATATATCTCCAGGGTAGAGTTGGAGTGGCAATATTCTTGAAGAATAAAAGCTTTATTCAGGAATATGTCAGAAAAATCTTCTCTCAAACTGAAAAGCAGGGCCATGATAAGTGGTAACAATATGAGAGCATTCTCAGACAATGCAGATTCAATTCTTTTCAAATTATGGCCCATGGGGATTGTAGGGCTACAATAAGGGATCGTTCATCTAATGTGAAGATAGGATATAAAGTAATGAGGTAAAGGATAATTTTAGATCTCTTTTATATGGACAAGTATTTGCTAGGAAGATAACCTATAACCTTAACCTTCCTAGCAAGTGTTTGTTAGGAAGATAACCTTACATCTTGTTTGCAAGTATCCTTATATAATGCAGATTAAAGTTTGCTCAAATCATGACCCCCAGGGATAGACTGGGAGCCCAATAAAGGATCAAAGTTTATATCAGCACTGGTGTATTTTGGAAAGTAGGTCAAAGTTCAAAGGTCTCGAGATCAGTAAACCAGGTATTCTACAAAAGCCATTCTCCCAAGTAATATGTAAGCCTAATATCAAGTCAGCCAGTAACACTTCTCAAGTTCTCTCAGTTCTGAGGCTTATGTATTATTATGGCGTAGGCATCCCAGGTTAAAGTTTTTGGAGCAGATTTCTTTTCAAGTACCTCTATGCCGTATATTGATCAGAGATGCAGGGAAGATGCTTGTAGTATATTTCATTGTACCTGTCAAGTTTCAGATGCTGCAATTTCAGCTGAAGAATGACAAGGTTAATGTTTTTGGAGCAGGCTTAAGTTTTTAAAGCAGGTCTCATTTCCAAGTAACACTAATTTTAAGACCTATATTGACAAAACTTGCATGGATGATACATTTATTGATGCACACTACCAGATGAGCGACTAGGTTAAAGTTTTTGGAGCAGTTTCTTTCTAAAGTGACTTTAAGCCCTATGCTAACCAACTTTGCACTGAAGATACATTTATTGATGCACACTACCAGAGTTGCTTCAGATGCTGAATTTGACCTACATTTTCCAGATGAGTAATTAGGTTAAAGTTTATTTAGCAGGTCCATTACCAAGAAACTATAAGGCCTATCTGAACCTAACTTGCATGGATGATGCATCAAGGGATGAACACCCTCACACTTCTAGATGACCATTCCCCAGATCTTGTTTTCAAAATGAATTTGGTATAAAATTATTAAAATCAATTTGCTATTGTATGAAATATTTTAATTAATTTTTTTTTTCGTATTTCGATCAACAACCACAGTGTAGAATGTCTGTCTTACTAAGATAAAAGATGGTTGCAATTTTAAAGTTTTCACTCTAAAATACATGCTAATAAATATTTAGATGTTTTAATAGGCTAGGTGGAGCAGAGTTCAGCATTCATAAAACATAAAATGCAATTTAAGAAGATGAGCGAGCAAAATGACGATGGTGTGACAAATACGAAGGTGAAAAATTAAATCTCAATTATAACAAAATTCTCCTTGATATTTCATCAAACATTAACATATACTATATGTAAAATCTCCAAAATTTACAGAAAATCTCACAAAGATTGTAATTATTTGTCTAGAAGTAGCAAACACATACCATAGAGGGCAAAAATGCTGATCATTTCTTCATACTCTAACACAATTTTTTCATATGAGTGGGTCTTCACTCCTTTGTAGCTCACCTGAGCTGAAGGATCAAGTGAGCTTTTCTGATCTAATTAAGAGTGTTTGGTGTTTGTTTGTTGTTTAACATCCCTCTTGAGAATTTCTCACTCATATTGAGAAGCCACCACTTGCTGATGGAGGACTGCAAATTTATACCTATACTAGGCACTCAGGGCCATTGAGCATGGAGGGATCTTTTTCGTGCCAACACCTACTGTGACACGGGACCTCGGTTTATATGGTCTCGTCCGAAGGACTGGTCTCCACATCCC